ATAAAAACTAATTATTAATAAAGATTAAATTTTTATAAATTTATCTATTTATAAATTTATTGAATTTAGACAAGAATCTATATTATTATAATATTTATTTTATTATTATTTTATTTAGAATATTTTATTTTTATAAATCTGGATTTTAAGATATTTAGTAGTATTTTATAAAAAATCTAGAATTTATTTATAAATTAAAAATATTAATAAATTTCTTAATTTCTGATACTTTATTTTATATTTATTTTAAATTAATAGATACTAGATTAGAGTATAATAGTTTCTATAATAAAAATCTTACTTCTAATAAAATTAATAAAAATTTTATTTTTAATAAAATTAATAAAGATTTTACTTTTAAAAAAATTAATAAAAACTTGATTTTTAATAAAATTAATAAGAATTTTACTCTTAATAAAACTAATAAAAACTTTATTTTTAATAATATATATTATAATTTATCTCTTCTAGAATATAATTTTATAGATAATATATATTTAAATAATAATATAGAATATTTTAGATTTATTAAATATAGATTTTTTTTTAATATCTTATTTAATAAATCTATTATTAATATTTAAACTTAGTTTTAGATTTTAGATTTTTAATATTAAAATATCTTGAGATAATTATATAAATTTAATTTAATTATTTAATTTATTTAATAATTTAGTAATATAAAGTTTATTTATTAAATTTAATATATTTAAAAATAAAATTAAAAAATTTCTACTATTATTTTTTATATAAAATTATAATATTAAAATTAATTTAAAAACTTAATCTTTATCTATAAGTTTATTTATTAATACTAAATCTAAAGTTTTAATTTAATATTAACTTATATATAAATTATTATAATTATTTTATTTTATTTTATTATCTTAATTAAATTAAAATAAAATATACTTTAAAATAATAAAATATTTTAATAATCTAATAAAATTATAATATTTTTATATTTAAGATTCTTTACTAATAATTATATTAAATAAATTTTTATATTACTTTAATAATATTTATTTTTATTAGATAATTTTATTAAAATAAATTAAAAACTGTAATATTAGAATATATTTATTTAATATAATTATATATTAATAGTTAATCTTAATATATATATAAAATTACTAATAATAAATTATATTATTATAATTATATAAATAATAATATAATAATATTAATTATATTTAATTTAATATATTATTATCTAAAAATTAGAAAATCTAAATCTGGATTATTATTAGATATTAGTAGAAAATATTATATTAAAATTTTTTTAATCTTAATTTTCTAATAAAATAGATTATATTTATTTTATAAAATATCTAAAAATATTTATAATCTTTATATTATTTGTTATTGTAAGGAAGGAATAATAGGATTTATTTAAAATAATAGCCAGTCAGCTAATATTACTTATAATCCCTGATTCAGGCCTGAATCAGGTTATTATAGATTTATTAATTTTAATTAAGTAATTAACTGCCTGAGATAGGCTTATAAGATTATCTGATTCTTATAACTACTCTCTTCTTTTATAAGTAGGGTTTTTATAAGTATATAATTACTAAAGCCCCCTGTAAAAAAGGTTTTATATAATATCTGATTAGCTAAAGCCCTTGTGAAAGGTTTTATACTAGCTTTAATTTTTATTTAGAGTTTTTTCCACCTCTAAATTATTATAATTAATTTTCTTAAATTAGTTTAGCCTGATCTAACTTTTTTTAGTAAGTAAAATTAAGCTAAGCTAAGCCTAATTAGACTTAATTACTAAGTAAAAGATTATTTAGTTTTATTAAGAATTTAATCTCTCCACAGATTAAACTCTTAACCAGGTTAATTATAGGTAAAACTGTAAGGAAGAAATAATAGGATTTATTTAAAATAATAACTAGTTAGCTAATATTATTTATAATCCCTGATTTAGGCCTGAATTAGGCTATTATAGATTTATTAACCCTAATTAAGTAATTAACTGCCTGAGGCAGGCTTATAAGATCACCTGATCCTTATAGTTATATATTTAATTTTTATATAATAAAAATTTATTTTTATTTTTAAATATATTTTTTTTAAATTAAATTAGAGATTTAATATTTTAGGTAAAATTAATTTAAATAATTAATTAATTAAAAATATATTTAATCTATATTATTTTTACTTTTTATTAATAATTTTAGAGTCTATTAAAATATATATTAAATATTAAAAAGATTTTATCTTATTCTAGTTAAATTAATTTATTAAAAATAATATTAATTAAATAGTTTTTTTATATTAATTTTTAGATCTTATAGTATACTAATAAAAAAAATTATAAAAATATTTAAAAAAAATATTTTTAATATATTCTAAGGTTTTTATAATTAGATTAATAGAAAAAAATTAATTATAATTATATTAATTATAATTTTTACTAATAATATATTATAATAAATAAAAAATAATAAAATTTAAAATTATGATATTTAAATTAATTATTAAATATATTATTATCTAAAAGTAAAAAAATATAATTTAAAATTTAATATTTTATTAAATAAGTATTATTATTTTTAAATATGATTATTTTATTAATATATATAGTTTTTTTTAATATTTATTAAATAAAAATATTTTCTAGATTTTAAAGAATTATAGATTAATTTATTATTATTAAAATTTATTATATTAAGATTTAATCTTATCTTAAACTGGTTATTTAATATTTTATATTTTAATTAAAAAAAATTAAATTATAATTATAAAGTTAGATATAGAAAATTTTTATATTTATTAATATTATAAAATATTTTATAATATTATAAAAAATTATTAAATCTTATAATTAAAAAATTTTATTTTTAAAATATCTATAGATTTAGATTTTATTATAATTAAATTAAAGTATTATTCTATTTTTAATTATCTTATAATATAAGATTAATTAAATCTAGTTTTATATTAAATATCTTAATTATATTAAAATTCTATTTTTAAAACTATTTCCAGCTTTTAAATTAGATTTCTTTATAAAATTTATTATTTAAATATATATTATAATTATATTAACTATTATATTTATTTTAATTTAATCTAGAATAATTCTAGTTATTATTAAAAAAAAATTTAATTTAATTATTAAGTCTCTAGTATCTAATTATTATTATTTTAATAATAAATATAAAAAAATTAAAATAATTTTATTTATAAAATAAAAAGAATATTTTAATTATTATAAATAATATTTTTTTTAACTAATAATCTTTCTAGATTAATTATTATTTTTAGAGAATAATAAATAATTACAGAATTTTATTATTTTTAATTTATATATTAATATTTATTTTTTAGTTTTTATAGCTGAATATAAACTAATAATAAATTATAATATTTTTTATAAAAAATAAAAATATAAATAAAAAATTATTTTTAGATTATATTTAATAATAATTATATTAACTTTAATTTCTAATAATTTTAAATATTATAAATCTTAAATTAATTAAATATTATTAGTTAAGTTTATAATTCATTTAATTTATATAAATTATATATATTAATTATTAAGACTAGATTTTAGTAATATTTAATTTTATAATTTTTTTATTTAGATTTTAGTATTCTTAAAGTTTTATTAAATATATTTTTAATTTATTAAATAGTATATCTTAATAAATAAATATAATTAAAATAATATTAAGATATTAATATCTAGTAATTTTTAGAATTAATAAATTAATATATTAATTTAAGAAATTTTAAATATATTTTTAATAATATATATAAAAAAATATTTTTAAATAATACTAGTACTTTATAATATTATTTTTTTTATTAAAATTAGATTAAGTTTTTTTCTAGATTAATATTAGAATTATATTTATTTTATTATTATTAATAAGTTAATAATTCTTATATTTTTAAATCTTAGATTTTTATTTAGTATAATTTTATAATTATATTTTTATTTTATAGTATAATATATTATTTAAATATTTAATATTCTTTATTTTTTTTAGTAAAGCTTTTATAGTATATTTTTTATAATAAAAACTTAAGTTTATTATATTATATATATTAAACTAATAATTTAAAATAAATTTGAATTAATTTTTATAATAATATTTAAAAAGTATTTATATTAGATTTTTTATAGTAATTTAATTATTATTTATTAAACTTTATTATTTTTATATATTATAACTAAAAAATTAATTATATATAATAATTTATATTAATTATTTTTTATTTAAAATTATATATTATTTATAGATTATAATTTTACTATAATTATTTTTAAAAAATAAATTAGAATAGTTTAATTTTATTTTAATAATTAATATTAGTAAATAAGTTTACTTTTAATTATTAAACTAAAAAAAACTTTAATAATATACTAGATTATTATAAATATAAATAATAATTATTAAATAAAGATTTATAAATTACTAAAAAAAAATAAAAAAATTTAATTAAAATTATTAAATAATTATCTATAATTATAAAATAATTTTTATTATTAGCTTATAACTTTTATATAATTAGCTAAAATAAAAAATAAATACTATTATAAGTACTACTAATAGATTATTCTTCTTAATAATTATTATCTGTTATTTAGAAATAGTGAATACCAACCCCCTCAGCCTGCTATGTAGTAGTAGTGTTCTAGGATAAATTTCTAATAACAAGCATTATATATCTTACATCTAAACCCTCGTCGGCCATTGTCTTTGATGTGCTTAAACTGTCTTGAGTGTTTATATTTGTGGTTCTGTCTTAAATCTTTCTGTATCTTCTTTATACACTGTTGTTGTTCCTGGCGGGGTAATGGTTTTCAGATATCGCGCTTGATCATTTTCTCGGCTCTTTCAAGCAGTCTGTGCTTATTCTACCTTTTATATTTGTATGTTTTCTAACTGGCTCTGTATAAATAGCAAAATTATGCTTGATAAGTGTATTTAGAGTAGAGTTAGTAGTTCTCTTCAGCTTTATACATGCGTTCGAGAGTCTTATGTTGTATGGTGGCTGCCTATGCTGAGTTGTATGATAGCCCTACAGAAGAAGCAACATTGCCATCCTTCGCTTCTGGCTAGATTTAATTTAGCTTCTGATGCTATATCTTCTGGACAGTCTTCACCCTGATAGAACAAATTCTTATATGTAGAGTAGTTTAGTACGTCGCAGGCAAGGCAGTGTGCCTGGTCAGAGGTTATCTGGACTGGTGGGATGAACTTTCCGCACTCGAGGCTACTGCAGTATATACGATTAACGGTTGTGAATTCAATTTCCGCCTCACAAAAGTCCTGAACTTCTTCTTGCAGCACTAGATATTCTATACTTAGAAGAGCAATTGGTTGACGACAGCATCGTGGAGGGAAAAGCGAGGGATCTTTTGTGGCTTGAAGAAACAGGTTCCTGAGGCAGTCATCACAGTAGAGGTATGTGCAGTTCAGAGGAGCCAGATCGCCCAGAGAGAATATTTCGTAGCAGGCGGTACAACTTGCATCGCATTCAAACCCCCGCATTGCTTCCTCTTGGTGCTGGGTCAAGATAGGTGCGGTCGAGTGATGAAAGGCGTCATTTTGCTGCTGTCGCTCAAGCTTATCTTGATCTGATGAAACTCGCGTACTGATTTCGAGGTCTCTTTTAAGAATGACCGAGGAAACCGAGGCAGTACGTCGTGATGAGGGGACAAGCTCACCTCGACTAGCTCGTTGAGTGAGAAGTCGATTACTGCTAGCCTGCGCTTCTTCAGCTTGCAATAGTGTAATCAGCAGACCGTCTTGACTGACGGCTGAGGTTGTACTGCGTGCAATTTTCAACCCCATCAATGTTGTCCTCATGACTTTTATCTCTTGCTCAAAAACTATCCACGCGATATCCTTGTCCCCGGAATCGGCGGCGAGTTGTTTACTTTCCCTCATCCCAAACTAGTGTTCAATTTCCGCAAGTTGTTCATCAACCGCTGCGATGTCGGCTTCTGTGGCCAGAGGGTCCGTGTTGAGTTGACAAGATGCCATATCTGTTGAGGTGAGAATTTCAAAATCAGTAATGGGTGATTGAGCTGAGTTGCGTTTCTTCTCTGTAGAGCTGTATTAGATCAAAACAAATGCCTGTGTTATAATCAAAACTATGAAGTGAAGAGGTATTTGGTTGGTAGACTGTAGCTTGGTGGAAGAGAAGGGGACCTTGAAAAGAGGAAGAAGGGAGGGTAATGCAGTGGCAGTAGGCCGATATTGCATCACTTGCACAGGAGGTAAACGAGAAAATGCAGTTTCCATGGCGGTGTCGGACTATGTCGCTTCCCCGGTTATTGTCATTGATACCTGACTTTGACAAATACATATGTAAGTGGAAGTATATCATGTCACTATTCCTGTTCAGACTATAACATAATCGATAAGCGAGAGGTCCATGTAGGCGAGTGGTCCGCCCTTGTATTCTATATAAAATTATTTTTTATATCTCAGCCATTTCTTATTAAAACCTGATAGAAACTGTTCTATAGATTCTCATTATTACATTAATTGATATTATTAAAGGGATAATATCTAATATATCTTAATAACCTAAAGATCTATAAACTTTTGGTAATATATATAATATAAAGGAATTTTTGGATTATATTAAGAGTATTAATTTGGAGTTTCTAAAAAAGATATTATATATAAAAGATATACTTAATATCTATATAGTATAGACTTAGTCTCTCAAGTATTATAGTTGTCGTGATATCTAGCTTCAAAACTATCTATATTGTATGGAATAAGGAGATGGACCACTCGCTTACCGATTACGTTATGTATTAATTCTGCTGCCTAAGTTAGACCGCTTTATACTGTGCAGCAAAGTCCCCAGGGCATCATCAAGATAGTAGCATCTTTCGGATGGTACTGGATTTTGCGGAGGCAGCGCAGAAAGACGCGCGCCCCAGGCGCGGCGGGAAAAATATCCCAAACACCGGCCAATACAGGCTTTGACGAGGGTATAAGAACTTTGGGAGTATAATCAACGATAATTGAATGTACGTAGAGAGTAGATGTATTGAATCCCAGATAATCGCCAAAGGTCAGGGGCTAGCGTTTCAAACATCATCATTATCATCACCACTGTACCATTAGCCTAGAAGGACAAAATAAAAATGACCCCAACATATTCGGGTAAACCGAGAAGCCTCGAGATAGTTGTCTCAGGTGGAAGGTTTAGTCAAACACATCCCTTGGCACTTTTCTGCACTATTTCCATGATACATATTACCTAAAATGTCTTGACTCATCTGCAACAGTACAGATACTATAGATCCGAAATAATATCATCAAGAATATTCATCTCATACTATCTTACCAATAGTTCTGTATCGTTGCCAGGGTGTTATCTCTCAATTGGTGCGTATCCTATGTGAGAATATCCCAGCACAATCAGATCTCAAGCTTGGAATGAACCGACATGTAAGAACGCGCTGCTACATTTGGTTCAAAAATTGCAGTGACTACACTGCTGCCATATACGCCGCCGTCTGGGTTTGCGCGCAAAGCTTTCAAGGACATGACGAATAGACTAAAACGTGAAGCATACCCTGCTGCCAAGTGATACAAATTCGGTTCAGTACGGAATTATTTCATATCACAACACTTACATCCTCTACAATAACTTTGCCATGCTGCACTGAAGGTGCAGGCTCTATAGATTAATCTGTATATCGTGCTGCCCTGAGATTCTCAATCGCCACAGGCTAGCTAGATCTTGCTGCAAAGAGTTCTACGTGATATTTCCGGCCTCCATTTACTCATGCTTCCTTATATGTACACCTGACGACAAAGACGCCAAAGTGATGCCAGATATTGTCATAGATCGTCTGATAAGCATATCTATGGCTTTACGCACATGTTCCTCAAGAATAAGATCATAATTTGTCTTATCGTAGTTTCCTTACTGCAAATCAGTTGATGCCAAGCCAGGTAAAACAGAAGTGAGTAAAGCGTGTCTGGCTAGCTAAAATGAGTCGGGAGTCACACTGGCACTGACAGAGATCTGTACTTGGTATAAATAACCTATGCTTTGAGTTTGATTCGGAAGTATGAAAGAACCGATCACGGCAGCGCTTTCCAAGTAAACAGGACGAAATAGCTATATTCAACGGAGGAAAATACCATTATCATGTGAAGCTTATATAAATTATCGCAGAGGCGCATGATTCATATTGAGTTTCTGCTACGCCAGGTGCATCGTACCAAAAAGTCGGTTTCCTGTATCAGTTGTTCCAGTGCCGGTATATTTGTTCTCCGAAAGGCGAAGGGCAATAAGCCCAACATTCGACTTGCGCGCAACCATGCAAAGCGGGCTGCGAGCGGCCACAGCCTGTTTCTGAACCACACCCGCCACCACCACAATTCGAAGAGTTGCATTGATCTGCCGAATATGCTGAATCATTTCCAGAACAGAACTTCCTGTATTGATTACTGAGTCTACCAGGATTGCGGTCGCTCTGTCATTGAGATGCTCATGCGTGATATCTGCCACGGAGGCAGCATGGTGAAACATCGCTTTCGGAAACGCCTCGCTCACTCCCAGGGCCATTGGTTCCCCTCCTCGCATTAAAGCTATGATTAATGTCTTCGCTTCGTGCTGGAGTTGATATCCATGAATCGCATATCCTTGCACGTGAGGAATTTGGACGGTCTCAAGTCCAAGCAAATCAGACACGTGAGTCATCGAAAGGTAATATCCCGCACGCTTATGCGCTGCCCTAAGAAAAGGGCCATAAAGACTAGCGTCGCGCATCGGTGTCGCTAATAATCTGGCGGCATTCGTGTCGGTGCTATGGACGACCTCAAAATTGATTGAGCCAATCAGTTCCTCCAGTGTAATGATTGGGAGTCTCTTTGTATCTAGACGCGGTGGCACTTCTCCGGGTAAGAGTAATTGATGTGCGCGAAATTGATCGCGCTCGATAACGGTGGCTAGTTCGGTCTCCATCGACCGGCTCCTGGTACAAATTTCGCCCACGACCACGATGGCTTGGTCTGCTCGGCTCAGCATGTCAAGGTCAAGCGGGCTGTCTCCGAAGGCCCAAATGTAACTGGAGTACTTCCCCTTGAGGTGATCTACTATCGCAGCTTTGACCATAGGAGTCACAACATGATCACCCGGATCGCGACCCCCTCCGATGACAATAAACTTTCCAGCGAGACCGTTATTTTCAAGTACCTTGGTCCAGATTTTTCGCAGGCCGCAGGTGACGATCACTGCACCAATATGCCCTTTAGACTGAATAACGCGAAGTATTGATAGCATTTCGGAATACAGCTGAATCTTGGTCGCCACCAGTGAGCATATTTCCTCGAACTTATCATTCGTAAATGTTTCTCCGTAAAGTAAAGAGACTTGCCGGAAAGCAGTGTATGAGTATCCCAGTATGCTGGTGAAGATAGTTTCCAATGGGTTGGGGTCATTAGTCACTGAAGGTAAATGTGTGCGCCACAAAATGTCTCCGGTATCGCCGGCGGCGAGCGTTTTGTCTCCGTCAAGGACAAGGAAGGTATTAGGCTGGTGGTCGCGACAGTACCCAAGAGCAGCATCTAAGCTTTCGATGACACGATTCAAATTGTGGGTCTCATTATGCTTGTGAAAATCGACCAGCAACCTGGCTATTTCATCCACAAGGCTGGCAGACACGAGGACGAACAGGATCGAATTATTGTAGCAAAGTTGACGCAAACAAGATTTCTCGGCCTCAAGCCATCGGAAGATGCCGTTGACGGACAATTCTTGTCTCTTCTTTCGTGTATCGTGCTGTCGTCGCATCCACACCACATCTGCAGGCTCGTCCAGATATAGGATGTGAGAGAAAATCTCCAAGTCACTCTCTGTATACACAGCTTCGAAGACTCCTTCTTCCGGACTTAAGGTCAGGTGGCCGGTCACGATAGCAGCCTTTCCAGAATTGAGGGAGGAACATCTGATACTTTCAATAGCTCGTTTGCGCCAGGAGATTTTCTCTTCCGTTCCCAGTGACTGAAAAGCATGCAGTCCACCGGGGACAGTCTCAGAGATCACAGCAGAGCCTTCGTAGTATGTAAATGACTCATTACCCAGCACCTTCTCAAGCTGAAGAAGTAACGAAGTTTTGCCCACGCCAGACACCCCATACAGACCGATGACCGTTGCCTGCTTTGGGGCTCCAAGGGCACCGAGTGGCAGAAGAGAATTGTCGCTCATGTTGTCCTTGTCAGTGCAAATGAGAAATCTCAACACAAGTGTCTTTATATCTCACAATAAGCACGCCCAGAGAAGACTTTGTATGAACGAAAGATTTGGAAGAAGCAATTTATTGACCAGCAACCTTGGACAGGGCAATGGTAGCAGTACTCTTTAATCAATCGAACTTCCTGGTGGAAATCCTCTCGCTAATAAATGTATTCAAAGGCTTTACGAACAATGATCGTCCAAGCTAGGAACTTTTTTGAATACACTTTACTAGCTGCATATTTGAACTCACATCTTCGTGGTCGTACTTTTGACCATGCTCGTTCAACTAGATTGAAAACAGCCACGCATTGATCGGTGGGTCCGAAGCAGCCTTCCTGGTGTCTACTCTCTAGTCAGAAGCCGAGAGAGAGAGAGCGCGCCTAGCCCACCTTCAGGCAGATGCGTGAGGCCCACCTCCACGATGTCTAGCCAACGAACCGAACGAGAGTTGGTACGGAGATATGCTCTTAGCGTCTGAAACGATACAGTCAGATTCTGTAAGCCAAGTCTTTGAAGACCAATATCGCGATGGCACAGAAGTTCAAGCGGAAACCCATCCCCCGTTAGCTCCAAAAATGGTACACCGTCGAGAAGACGCCAAAGACACTCCGCCAGTTCGCCTCGCTGTCCATCGGTGGAAAAAGCGGGGTAGGTCAAATTAGACAGACAGACGGACTCTAGATTGAGCCCTTGCTGCCGCCGGGCGCGGCCGAGTCCCCTGAGCAAGATACACAATCCTGTCACATTGTATTTCTTGTCTTGGCATAGCGCGTACAGACCTTGGACATCTACCAAGGACTCCGCTGAAATTTCTGGTTGATGAAGCATGATTTCCAATCTTTTCAGGCGAGGCAAAGCTAGTAGTGACGAAATGGCCTGCTCTGTATCTGCTTGTACGCATTGCGCTCGATCTTTTCCGTGGCGAGTGGTGTCATGGTAGACAAGTGGCTCCCGTGCTGCGGTTTCGCTTCCGGTTCTGAGATAGGAGCTGCGGTCGGGAAGCACTAAGCATACTCGTTACTCGGTGAGATTCTAAATCCATATGGTAATGTGAATACCTTCATCTTTCGTGATTCCGCAAGCCTGGAATTCTAGAGAGGTGACCAAATGACGTAAATTGGAAGCCGCTAGATCGTTGAGGCAGTCCAAGCTGCTTTGAGAGAATTTGACCACTATATGGCGAAATACAAGAGGTAGCACCATAGTTCTTAGGCATTTGCTCACGCATGATACATTCTTCAGTGTTGTAAACTGAAGATAATCAAAAATTGCGTAGTGGATTTCTCCTGGTAAGGCCTCGAGCCACCTTGTCCGGGGCATCGCAGGCTCTGGTAAGATGGACACGACCACTCTTGCGACACGTTTTAGGGCTAGGATGATGATTTCCCTTAGAGCCTTGTTCATAAGCTCACGCTTATCTCCTCAGACTGCGTATGGCAGCGGTTATAAACTGAATTGCTCGGTCCTTTTCAAGAGGCATGAATCAAGGCTGTTTTGGAGGATTGCGCATGGAGAGCTCGGACTGTCCCACTGTATCACAGGTGATTGTGGCGAAGGCTGTAAGACCAGAGCATGAACTTCACATACTACATTACTACTTGGGAAATAACGCTCATCAATCCTGAAATGGTTAAAAAGGCATTAATGAGTTTTGGTTCGTCCAGCTCCATGTACAATTAGCCTGGTGAAGCTTTCGGCTTCAAGGTTCCCGTCCACCCCCCGTGTCAACTCTTTGCCCACAAAAGCTGCTTATAACACTTGAATTTCCGTCGAAAAAATGAGCTTTGCTCGTCGGAAAACACACCCTAAATGCGTAATGCTCACTCACCCCCTCCCCCAAACGTTGGATTATGCAGAGTGACGATGATTGAGCTCTTTCAGTCTCTTTCAAGAAATGCGGCGAGCTTGCCCTTTGGTCTGCCCACATGAAATGCCCACGCGTAGTGATTCATGAAGTCCTTAATCCGTAGATCCATTTCGTTGAGCTTGAGCTCGCGTTCTTGTTCGATAGTACGATGACTCTCAGGGTTCAAGGCGACCGTATGTTTCAATTCCACCTCCCCGACCATGTGATTGTCAAAATCCATGATATCCTGAACGATTTCAAATTCCTCATTGGCGATCCAGCTTCGTCTAGAAGTCGTAAAGATGGCTAGCTTCTGTAAGCCAAAGTTGTTGCATTCCGGTTGCTTGATTCCCGTCAAGAGCTTCAAGTGGTAAGAGATCTCCTTCGAATCGCGAAGCTCCACGAACCTCGAGTTCTGAAAATCCCCGCCATCCTTTATTTTCGCTTCCCAGTGCCCATTTCTTCTCCGTATCCATATACCCTTCGATGATAATTGCCCATTCTGATCGTAGTAGATGTCGTGGATAGATTGTAAACCGAGGTACCGCAGGGTTCGAAATGCTGGATATCCTCCGGTGCGCGTTAGGGGTTGCACGGCAAGTCGGCTGAATTTCCGCTCTACCTCTAAGGTGAGTGTTTTGGGAGAAATCATTGGGAGTTCCTATCGAGGCCACACGTAAAATGAGGTTAGAGTGGTTTGTGAGAGACCTCAAGGTTGTCTATACTCGTCTGGTTTGGCAGTAGGCAAATGAGAAAGAAAAATAAACGCTTCAGTTGTGGCCTGTTTCTCTAGCGACCGGTCTCTTGAATTGATGATGTGTAAAGCGTGCGACAACGACAGCGATCAATTTCCTAGGCGTGAGTAATGCGAAACCTGTGGTCGTTACGCGTGACATTGGCGTAGGGAATTGGCGAGTACTGGCCAGGAGAAGAATCTGAATCAAATATTTTAGGGAAGTCGGAAGCTTCGCACGGGTTCCCAAATCATGCTGTACAATTCGCGTGATGTGGCTCGCTTACTTTTGAGTTACCACCAAATCGATATGATCTTCCGCAGTCATATGGAACATCACTTCTACGATACAGAAAAACCTTGCAAAGAAAATACAGGTCATTTCCCTTAAATCAAAAGAGAATAGATATGCGGTCTAAAGAATCTTTAGTGCAATGGTCACTTATGTCGAGCCACATGCAGATGTCCAATTAGGGAAAATGATATCTGGTTTGGACAAGTTCGGCATGCACACATAATGGAATCTCTTTTCTCCTTGCCGTTGTGGACCCTAACAACAGAGAGAGATTACTGCGGTCGGAGAAAGAATTCTTTTAAGCATGAACGAAGTGCTTCAAAAAGCGGCCCCATTGGGAAGGTAGAAAGGCTGTAATCAGGTGAATCTATCACGTAAACTAAGTTACCTGTGTTTGGTTTCCACATGAAACGGGACAGTGGGGACATCAGGATAGTGGGAGGGCTGAGGGCTTTGCATTAAACATACTCCCGGTTCATAGCATTGTCATGGGAACTGAAATGAATTACTGTATCCTAATTATTTCTGAAGCGGATTGTAAAATGAGCGGGTTGGTTCTCTTTTTCGGTGGTGGAGGTATCTAAGCCCGTTCCCACGAGATTCAAGGACATCATCTCCCATGAAGGCGTCAGATGGTCTTCGCGGTGAATTCGTTTGCCTATGATGTGCGAGATGGCCCACAAGGCTCGGCCAGAACTTTCAAAAGACGACAGCGTCTAGTGCATGTTATTTAACTTCATAGCCTTATCGGTGGCTGGCGGCCTGATGCTTTTGTTGACACAGTATCTAATAAACCGCGGGGATTGAAGTGAAAGAGAATCTGATACGTACTATACGGCGTTCGTAACAAGTACTGACTGTTGCCCAAATAAGAGGTTAAGCCGGCAAATATGCTTAACTGCCTGAATAGGAAGGGCGTGATCCTTCAATTTCCAAAAAGAAATCTATTCTCAGGCTCATATTCTGGTGTCATAGTATAGCCTCTCTGGATGCCTTGTCATAGATCAATCTGGTCGCGCGTGTTCTAGATGTGACGTCATCGTCAATGCAATTCTCCTATGTAAAATGGGAATGATCGGGATTGGACTAGTGAGATCCAGTTTCACCAATCTTCCTGTCTTCAATGCCAACAATAGGGCCAGCTAATGTTGTGAACTTGTTGTTCCTATGCAAAATCATTCAGGTATAGCATCTCGAGGTTCAGTAAGAATCTATCAGCGCCCGAGTAATCTGGCCACGTGACTTAGGCCTATAAGCGAGTTTCCCCCACATAGAGAAGTCAGTTAGTAACCAATATAGTCAATACTAAGGAATCAACATCGCAAGTTCCGAAGCCCTCCTGAGTAGCCTCATTTCGTTGATAGAACCACGGAGCGTTCATGACTGCCGAAGCCTGGATAAAGCGAGGGCGTATTGAGGACCAGGGTCTTACGAGAGGCTCAGTCCTCAAACTCTCCTTAAGAATGCAAGGCTGTGGTGAAAATTCAAGAAGCAGTATGCGGGCGGCTTTCTTGGCGTACGAGATTGATCAGATCCTTTTAAATCAATTCTGTGGTGTTGAATCCGAGTTTATATATCGCTGGAAAGGTTCGGGATATTCAGCTTGATATCAGTAGTTTAGAACCTATTCTGGCACGTATAAGACAGACAAATACAACTCCAATAGATCCGTAAAACTGGAGCAGCATCGAAACGATCTCAGTCCGAGCGATGATAGTTCGTTCACAGTAGTACAAGACACGATGAAAAAGCCTTTTATCAGTTTGTTGCAGTAGCTCTGTGTGCAAGCAGGAATTCGCTATAATCACGCAGTGCTACGAAATAAACCAGCGACTCCTTATAGTCACCCGTCAATTCTGCTGGGTTTTTCTCGATTTGACTTGAACACTATATCTTACCTTGGTGATCTCATGCATAAATCTTTTCAGGTAAGGGTGCTTATATCTCATAGAGCAGCTCTTGAGTAGACTAGCTACTCTTTCAATGCCACAGTAAACCTACAAGGTCAGAGAAACCTGTTGTTCTACCATAGCGGTATTTCAAACCCAAATAGATATTGTTCTTTACTCACCCAGCATATGACCTTCTCCGAACGTATTAGTCGAATACCAAGTTCAACATATACTACTGCTGCATACTTGAATGGATACTTAGTAGCGATCGAGAGAGAATCGTGTCCTGCCAGCTCAAATGGTCAAGCATACGCTCCTTTTTATGGTACGTGGTTACGAGAGAGCTAAATATGAGTTCTTACAACAAATTAGAGGTTCTGTGAGATAACTGGTTGCATGCCTAGCGGCAAAGCTCAGCTTGCTTACTTGGTACAAAGGAAAGTATATACTACTTTGCATGGTAATTTACCTCGATGTATGAAATCGAAATACCTGCAGGCAACTATTATTACTTAGGACTATGATGCCAGTAGAGACCGTCTGATCATACCTACCCCGCCTCTGGCATGGCAGACTCACGGTTCATGGATGGACACTCCAACCATACCTATCTACAGATTTATGGAAAAAGTAAGCTAATAGCTCGTTGTGCATACATACATTCTCAGGTTCGATTTCCAAGAAACATTCCTGGTGTTTGGAAACTAAACCACACCCACTCGAGAGGAGCGTGGGACAGACTGAACGCCGAGCCCCTGCGGCTCCGTTCTCCATGTGTGGTGGAGCTCATCACGAAAGAAGCCTTTTCGACTACATTGATGGCGGGGAACATCACGCCATATGATAGAGAATATCGCTCACTATCGCTTTCTCTTTTGATGCGTGAATCATTTATCTTGCGCCTTCCTCTGCCTGCGATTACTGAAAAGGGTATTTAAGAAACCACGCCTGCTTAACTTCTTGTTTAGGAATAGCGTGGCGCAGCCCTTGCATTCTTAGGCTGCGCGCAGCAGCCGCGGAAACATGATGGCTTGCTCAGCACTGACTTGGAGTGCTAGACACCGATAGGAAAGAGGTGAGTGGCCAGACTCAAAGCCATTCAGGGGGACTAATGTCATTATCCCTGTCGACTACGGCAAGGCTGACCGGCAACGTGGTTTGCGGCGAGTGGGCACCGGTGCTAAAAAGAGTGCATGGCCTCTTCCGGGGAAACTGTTCGTCAGCGATGGCGCAAGACGGTCTGCGCCCATTGGGTTAATCTTGCACCCGATAACATGTATACTCTGACTCCCCTTGTCGGGCTGAGGCTCGGCTGCTTAAGCCACAAACAGGTAGATGCAGCTATTTTACATGATATGCACAACACGTCTAGGCGGAGCAATACTAGGTGGAACTATTGCCGGTGCTTTGACCACAACAGCGTAGTATTCAGCAGATGATACTTTACAGAAGCACAGGAACCAACCCGTCGAATAGAAAGCGAAAACTATAAAGTATGCTCGTTCAACCAAGTGTCTTCTGCCATCGAAGTCAAAGGCGCGAGTCGGTTTAATCACTACCAGAGTCCTTACAGGTCTTTTCTAATTCTCACTTGACAAAGTCCAAGCCGAAAGTCGGATCCACCATCGAGTCATCATAAATGCAGGCAATTCTATCTCTGCTGCCATTAGCAGACTTATTGTGCATGAAGAATGAAGCACAAAGAATTCTTGGCTACAGATTTCAGGTTGCTGATTCTCTTCTAACCGAGGCTCTCACCGCACCCGGCGCCGAAGGCGAAGGCTTTCAAGGAAATCGATGGTTAGCAGACTTCGGAATTGATACAATTCGTTCCTGCGTCACCTTCGATAGCTTTCAGAGAAAAGAGATGAAACCGAGTAAGTTCTAACGCTTGACTCTCAGTTGATAATCTAGTACATTAATAAATCGTAGAGGACACTGCCAGCTTGAAGCAACAGATTTGTAGCTACTCTTATCTCAGAGCAGTGGCTGAGCGCACGGCCTTTGACAGGTGCATCATATATAATCCCCGCTCAGGACGAGGTAAGGATGTTGTTGTTGGAAAGGCTCTTGCAGCAGCCATTGGTGCCGCGCATTTGGACAATGGGAAAGATTATGAAAGAACGCTGAAGATCATACACCATTTGGGGTGAGTCTAAACCGAATTTGCCTCCGCAAATGGGTATCGGTGCTGACATATTGCTGAGACTGATGAATGATGACAAGAATGGTATTGATCCTAAACTTGTCCAGTTGGAAATTCCATCAGAGCTGGATGCTATTGGCATGCCGGACGCAATGGCTGAGATCGGGATGGAAATTGATGACTCTTGGCCCAGGTCCATCAGTGGTCATGACTATGAGCTAAGTGCTTCCGTTATCATGGGAGCTGGAGATGATCAGTCTTTGCCTGATACCCCAGCTATACAAGCTCAAGAGACTCCCAGTGCAGAGGTTTCACACCTTTCAAGTAGCAGAGGAAAAGAAAACGTGCCTCAAGATTTCAGCACTGATATGCCGACGATTAGAACCTCGCAAAGGGAAGATAGTCGTCTGACAACCTACTTGCAATGCGAGGAAAGGAGATGCGCGGCTCACCGCTTGCCTTTGCCGACTGAAACCTATTATACCAAAGATATCCAAGCAGATATAGAGAGCCGTGCTGGTCCTCGCAATCTAGCAATCTGTCAAAGATTACTTTTGTGTGTTGGAGGCGCGGAATCTCTAATCCAACTACAAGAGGCGATCAAGTCTTGGCGCGCAGGAACAACCACAAGCCTAGTGCGTCCCCTGCAGACGTTGACAGAGAGTGAGCTTTTCAGACTGATTGAGATTAACGCACAAAATATCTGCTATCAGCTGATACAGCGAAGATACTACATCTGGGCACTCTTCCTGAAGAGCGGCGGAGCCGACGTGCCATCTAGTACGGGATTTGTGGCTTACAATACAGAAGGCGTCAGTAGAAAGCCAGGCAATCCTGTGCATAGCATGGACACTGCTGTATCCAAGAGAATACTTCAGGAGGTGGCGCCGTCGCTCGATGAAATGTCTCCGGAATACAGGCGCAAACTCGATAGTATTAAAGTACTTCGAGCTCTGGGCAGGAAGTACTACACGTTGACCTCTAATTTCGGACCAGGAATATTAGCCTTAATACCATCAACCGATCAACTTGGGGGAAACAATGTGACGATTTCAGGTTCCGAGTAAGTACAACAGAAGCAGATTGCAGAATAACATATTGACATCTTGCCAGTATCTCCCGGATGCCAAATTTTCTTTTCAACAGGATGTTGAGCATAATGAAAAGGACGCAGGAATCGGCGCTGAAGGACCTCAGTCAAGTGATTTGGGACACATTGGAAGGCATGCTAAATCATTCGGGAACCCCAGGGAAAAGACTTTGGTTGGAGGATCTAGAGAGCAGTGACATACTGAGATTTCCGAAAAACTCGTCGATCCTAAGGCGACTCTTTGACGGTTCCTCAGATATTCGCGCCGGGCTTTAATAATCCGAGCGATGTATATCATGGCTGTTTACGAAAATCCAGGTTCCAGAGAGGTCAGGTCTCATAGTGAGCATCAATATGAATTGATGCTCAGTCAGGTTGATTATGATCATACCAGGTTCGTAGTACCACCATGGAGCGAATGGGATATGTGAAAGAGATATTTCTCCTGGAATACTTGTGCAAAAGACGGAGAAAAAGAGGTGAAGATCTAGGATTTTTGGAGTAATGCACTCTACAATATTGCTGCGTAATCAAAGCGATGTGTCCACCGAACTCAAGCTCGATCAAACCGGAAAGCGACGTTCCCTGAGGTTCCATAGAAGTCGCAGAATTGTGACTATTTCAGTAGACATCCAATGGTCAAAAAAGAGGTGGAAACTCTTAGAAACTCTTAGGTTACCAAGTCCTGCCCAACGGAATTCAAAGCCTCAATACGTTCGTCATACTCATTGACTGGAAAAAGAAGGATAGTCGTGGTACCGCAAGCAATCACTTCAGGGGACCTCAAGCCGTATTTCATCATCCATACCAGGTAGATCATAATAGAACGCATACTGCTAATGAACACGCTTATCTCTCTCGCCGATGGCATGAACCCATAAAAATCGAAAATGCTCAGTAAATCCATTCATTTGCCTCGAAGCATTACATTAATTCAAAAATATGACGGAGTTCGACAACAATGACCATGTGTGGTGGAATCCAATGCTTGAGAGCAGAGACGTTATGAAGACTTCTCGCAGACGGAGATTCAAGATTCCAATTTCATTCAGATTACTGTATGCTGGAAGTGTTCAAGCAAGGTGGAGAACCGTCTCCGGAACATGTATCCATTCCTTGAGAACGAATCGTAGCTCTCATGACCTTTTCATGACTCCCCCACTTGCTATTTCCCAATGCAGTTTCTTCACAGAGTTATCCGTGACGTCTCCGAAACGTTCAAACTTGCCTTTCGGTGCGGCTTGAACTTAGCCCCGGTTCTTTGGCCGGAAACACGCTTATATCTGGGCAATGAGACACGTATTTAAAGATGGACTGTCCCACCTTGTCTAGCTTCGACTCATGATATTTTACTTTTGACATACCTACTATTTTCAGAAAGAAATAGGCCATAGCTTCGATGACGAGACCTTCACAGTCCCGAGAGACGGAATCCTCCGATCGTCCGAGTCACTCCATCTTCAGCGACGACATACAAGGGTATCACAGCAGCCTGCTGGGATCCAACGACTCTCATAAAGAGCTCAGAGAGGAAACTATTCCTCCCATTATTACGAGTGACATATTTACGGCATGGACGAAAAATACTGCACCTCTTGTGCCTCAATTCGGCCTACTAGCAGGCGTCAATGACGGTAGATATCCTGCTCTGACAGATGACCCCCGCCTGTTCTTCAATGTCACTCCTCCCTCGAGCACGTTTATCTGTGGCTCTCAAGGATCCGGCAAAAGTCATACGCTGTCCTGCATGCTAGAGACCTGTTTGATCTCATCCCGAGCTGGATGTTTGTCAAAGCCCTTAACGGGCTTGGTCTTCCATTACGATACCTTCATAAGTGATCAGATGGGATCGCCGTGTGAAGCTGCGTTTCTATCGTCGAGTCCCGATGTGGAAGTTCGTGTCTTATGTGCGCCAACCAATGTCCACGCAATTAGAGTATGCGTATCTCTGGATGCTTTTACGGAGTTGAATGCTGATTCATGTGTTCGAACAAGGGTGCCTACTCGAGACTTGGTGTCAAAGTGTCTGCTTTGGAAATAGATCAAGGACATCTCAATACGAAGCGAATGCTGGATCTAATGGCGGTCGGACAAGACGACGGGCAAATGCCGTTGTATATGCACACAGTGAAGCGTATACTACGCGAGATGCGGGTAGCACAGCAGGAAACACAAACAGTGTTCAATTACAGTGCTTTCAAGAAGATGGTCATGGATTCGACTTTAACCCCTGCTCAGCTCGAGCCGCTGAAGCAAAGGCTGGACATGCTCGAGAGCTTCATGCCACGGGAGCAAACCAGCACTCGTGATAAGAAGAATAAATACCCTTCCTCAGCTTCCTCAAAAGGGACTGATTGGGAGCCAAAGGTCAGTATATGTGGACCGTAGACCATATCACCTTGACCCCGGCAAGCTTGACGCATTGACTGACCTACAATCCAGGCACGCCGCTTGACAATCTTGGATCTGTCTTGCCCATGTATCTCGCCTGAAACCGCATGTTCCCTGTTTAATATTTGCCTGGGAATATTTCTCGAGCAAGATCCTCAAATCGGGAGGGTTGTTGCTCTAGACGAGGCCCACAAGGTTTGCGATCAATCTTACAAATACTTTTGTTGGGCATTAATCTGATGGTCTATAGTATATGAACAGCTCCCCCGAGGCTCGCGGCTTTACTGAAACCCTGTTATCCGCAGTCCGGCTCCAGCGACATCTTGGCATCCGCATGATTATATCCACACAGGAACCGACAGTCTCAACAGCACTCTTGAATCTCTGTTCAACAACCATTGTGCACCATTTTACCTCTCCAGAATGGCTACGAATCCTGCATAAGCACCTAGCTGGAGCTGGAGAAGATGCTGTCGCTGTCAATGAGCTGCAAGCAGGAGAACCGAATAACTCGTCTAAAGAGCCCAATACGCAGAGTAGTTTGTTCAACAAGATTGTGAGCCTGCGAGTTGGGGAGGCCATAATATTCTCACCAAGTACAATTATCCGAGTACGTGGGGTGGATGAGGACGGCAAACTTTCCTTCGAGCGTCTCGGCAACGGCAATGTTCAGGTCAGGGTAAGGCAGCGACTGACACTTGATGGAGGACGGAGCCTACTATGCCGTTGATAGATAGCATTCTCTTGAAGACAAACTCATCGACAAATGTGTGATGCTGGGTTTGATAAGGAGCAGTCATAATGATGAAACCCATATGTTGTGGTCGTGGTTAGGAAATCAGAACATATGGTGGTAGAGGCTTACAAGGAACATCGTGCTCAGAATGAAAATGATTTGCTAATTGAAGCCGCTTTCAATGGTTCGAATGAATCTTCTTGCCATTGTCTTAACTAATGAACGGTGAGCCGACAATTCTACGTCAGCAAAGTGACAGCAGAAATAGTAGTAAACACAATTACACGTTACCAAAGTCCCACAGATGTTTTTTCTACTCTTAAGACGCAAAAAGAATGCTTACTGGTGCTTTCAGGCATAAATGACGCTACACTATTTACTATACTTGGTTGTACGATCCATGCAGTGCCAGGCGGTCGAGAACAGGCTACGCTAATGTCAAAGGGGTGGTTTTCTGTTGCCTAACGAGAGTTGCTATTCCTACCAAAAATAGTAGGCTCAACAATCATGAAGTCAGGGCAATATATATGACACTCCTTAATCCCCTCATCAACTTCTTGTTTCCCAAAGACTTTCCTATCCATGTGAAAGAATCGCCCCACAGGCGAATGACAAAGCTGAGCCAGGGAGATGAGCTGATCCAGGTTCAGACATGGTATGGTTAAGCCAATCACTAGATTTACCTTATCTTAGTACGTTGACGTCGCCCAACATATTAGCAACCAGCTAAGGATGGTCAGAATCTAGCGCGAGGGGGGCGACAATGCCAACAATCTTCTGCCGCTGAGCCTCGCGAATACGCTCCTCCCTGAACGTCTCATTGTTGAGGTTTTTTATGAGCCAAAGTCATTTGACCACCTCCGAGTAGGTACTCTAGACCTGAGTGATACGCTCCTTGGCCTGTCGGGCACTTTACGGGATTTTTCCCCTCTAACGTCGAAGCCATGTGCGGGGTATTTATGCAGATGCGAGGCCCTTCATGCCTACTTCATCTCTTTTCGATCCCTAACTTCTGGATTTTGAGACCTCCTTCCTTTTCTTTCTGATCCCTAACTTCCGGATATCGAAAGCTTCAGACTCGTGTCTATCCCTTGTGCGTCCCTCACAAGCCCACAGTCTCAACGCGTAATTCCACAGCTGCCACCGGCAGCCTACGGCGTTTGCCAAGCCGGTTGCGCAGCTGTGGTCACGACTTGCTACTCAGCAGCAGGCTTTACTTGGGGGGCGACTTTTGAGGCCACTGCACCAGCATCTATCTTGGCCTGTAGAGGTGCCTTCGGAGCCTGTCAAACTGCCTGTGCTACTGCACTACTGGCACCAACTTTATCGGATGCCGGATGTGTACGTGCTACCCATTTTCCTATCTCGTAAGGTGTTCATTGACTCGTCCAGTATTCGAGGTTTGGTCAAGGCAGTAGATCCGGACAAGAAGACAAGTTCAATTCAGGGTTCATTTTGAGAGAGTCTCGGCAGGACTATCTCGATGAGCTTTCCTGTCTCGCGCGTAGAATCAAGCTGCTTTTGAAAGCTCTAGTGCGAAGGTGCTGATGCAATTTTTTTTTTTCTGTTCAAACCATAACGGAGAATCACTTAAATTCAATCCTGTGACATTGAGATTCTAAAACATGGCTTTCTCGCTTCCCGCGATGCAAATATTTCTCATTCCCGTGGTGATTCCTTCGCTCAGATCGTCTCCCTGGCAAAGCTGAAGATCATGAAAATTTGACTCCAAATCAGTCGGCCTGAGACCCTTTCCTAGTTTATCGATTGCATCTCCCCGGCAGATATCTGCATGAGATTCTTCCCAATCGCGAATAAAGGCTTGTGCTTGAGCACGTGTCGCGAAACGCTTGTGACATGCATGCGGGTAGTCTTTGACTTGTGGCTCGGCATCCCTGATTCGATGCTTGTGAGTGGCCTTCGACTCGATCATCCGAAGTCGGGGAATACATACTTCCATGAGAGATATACACCTGGTCTTCGACCAAAGGCCACGGCGTAGAATCTACCTGAATGTGGTTGAGGACGAGTCTCTTTAGTGTCGTCGTGAATTACCAATTTCGGCTTGTCTATTCCCTTTTCCATCATATACTTCTGTGCTTCAGGTAGAGTTTCGAAGCCCTCATGAACTGAAAGACAGCCAGTGATGTGAGGATGTGCATCTCCCCTGCCATTGAAAAGTCAGTAGAAACTTAATGTTCAGCCCGAGTTTTATTACCAAGAGGAGAATATCGTCGCTTCGGCAACTCGTCCGGAAACCACTGCATAAAACTTCTTCTTTTCGCGTCTCATCGCGGACACAGGATAGAATTACAACGAAGTGTAGTTCGATAGAAGCCAACTATGGATTTTCTGATTAGTAGTATATTTTGTTTGATGAGATTGCGGGAGGGTGATTATCGACAACTCGAATTTGCCTACGCCGGCCTCTCGGAGTTCTTAAATCCTGCAATGGGTTGATCTCCGCCTGGCAATAAAGCCACTGGGGTGCAAGTGGTTCGAATTAACCCGTTAAACGGTGATTCAAGCTACATGTTAAGCGCCAAATCTTTGTCGCCTGATTCTCCAATTTCTGCTAACCCAAAGCCACTCGGGATTCTGGCGCAGTCGCGACATCCAGAGTACGGTATGTAATCGATGGTAACGGAACCTGTGGGAGGCGCAGGGCAGCGGGCAAGCGCAAGCAATTACTATTTTAGTACGAAGCTCAATCGGGAAATGTGGGAATGTTGCCGATGATCCTTTCCGCCTGTAAGAACCCTTGAAAAGGCACATGGCTCGGCGGCTCGCTGACACGGGCGCGGCCCGGTCCAAACCGCTTTCCGGACCCCCGCGCCGCCAACATCCTTAGCCCGCCACAACTTGTGTAGTGGCGGAGGGCACCATCAGTCGCTGCGTTGACGCAACTTTCATAACTCTTGTAGAGAAGGTCCACGTTCGAAGTGATCTTGCGATGCTACCCCATATAATACAAAGCTTATGATGGTAGGAGGGGTAATTTTTACCGGAAATAGAATTAGGGCGCCAAAGAAGGGTTTCGGCCGCATAGAAAGAAGGCTATAAGACCGAGTAAGTCAAATAATTCCGGAGAAAAGGTCAAGTGGTTGATATCAATTTATCAATGCTTGCGCTTGCCTCTCTTCTTTGTATAGGTTTGCGGATAGCGGTCATACGCCTGCGCAGAAATCTGAGGTAGAACTAGAGTGGCTTAACCTGACTGTTATACCTTAACCCTAGCTTGACCTTAACCTGGCAGTCAGGTTAAGGGTATAAAAATCAGAGTAACCGCAGGTATAACGGTCAACCGCGGTTAACCGTTATACCTGAATCAGGCGAAATCAGGCAGAAATACTTTGCTATCTTACCGCCTTCCTGAATAATCTTAGTTGCCGAGAAATTTGACCCGTAGGTTAAATGTTGGTTAACCTGGGCAGGAATATATATTTCTTATACCTGACTATTAACCTGCGGTCAGGTATAAAAGTTTTGATTAACCTAACCTGACCTCGCTGTTAGCCACTCTATACAAAATTAAAGATTTTTTTAATTTCTTATTTTTAAATCTTATTAACTTCTATATATAGTAGTAATAATTAAGATTATTTAAATAAAAATTTTCATTAACAGAAATCAATAAATTAATATCAAGGATAAGAACCAAGGCTTAGCGTGCTAAAATACGCGTCAGAATTTAGCGAAGTCTGGTGAGGGATCGCATCCGAAGTACTGCCATATTAGGAAGTTAAGCAGGTTTGTTCTTTTAACCACCAGAAAAGGAATGGTCCGGTTGTGACTTACCCTCAACAATGCACTCCAGGTAATAGGTCAATTCTTCCGATCAAAAATTCGCATGACCTGCAGGAGACATACATACACTTGAGAGATATCTGACGGAAAATAGATCTATGATACATCATTTCACATGCTAATGCAACGCTTCACGTCAGCGGGTTACCTTACATATTAGACGGGAAATTATCGTTCTACAAAAATACCGGGATCAACAAGCCCGAATCTGTTCGAAGAGCTGAACCCTGGTTACGGTACCACCATCTTCAGCATCGCTCTGCGAAGACCAAAGTCCACATGTTACTTGAAAGATCCTGAGTTATCATAACAATAGCATTTAGACTTGTTCACCCTCAATCGGTCAATCATATGAAATAGCGAATATCTGGATGCCAGTTTCGTCTTCACAAGCGGTTTCTACCAGCGTAGGTACCCAGAGAATGAAGCTAGGGCTCTCAATCAGAACCATGGCCAGGATTCCAACGAATTACCAAATCTGGCGGCAATACAGAGTTGACAGTACCGCCAGGAATTCGAAAATTCAGAACTCCTTTTTCCTCTCCATTGATGTTATGTTCAACTTCAAGCTTTCCAACCTCCGCGCTACGAACGAAGGATGTAACCATCTGCATTAAAATAGCAAACCTCTGCAAAGACGGCTGTTGGGATTCTTCCCAATTCTTCAAGTTCTCTTGCACATCCATGACTCGAACATCATCAAACCTCCCAGTGTTGTGAAATGCGAGCACGAGATGTGGAACTTGTCTGATCCACAGCCGGCTCATCTGTTCTTGAAGGATGTCGGTCTTAGACTTTCTCGCAGAGCGCGTCTTCAAGTCAAAGATCGCGCACTGTGGAATATAGCGACCGGCCTTGGAGATTTCCAGAGCACTTGGATTCCTGTCGTCGATGGTAGCTGAAGAGTGGTTGGTTGTGATCGTAGCCGCTGTGATAGAAGCTAAGACATCTTCGAGCTCCGCGTCACTTTCACCATGGATCGGATTTTCCTGAGCAGCGAGACCTGATTTAGGGACTAATTCGGGAAGAAAACCATCGGCTTCGAACCGCATCAAGACGTTCATGTTGGCGAATTCATAGTTTATGAGCCGTTGGTGAGATTCCGACGTCCGAACATCTTTGGTCCATGTTGTATATGCCTCTGGAAAGGTGTGTCCATACCCATGCACATCTGTGATGAGTTCCCAAGGCGAGTTCTCCCTCCTAATAAAGAAGACTGTGTTGCCGATGACCTCGACTAACATTCTAAACGAAAGGCTATCGCCGCGCGCAAATCTCAGTAGATTTCCAAGCGTGCTGGCACAGGCCACAACGTCCAAATCCTGGACTCGATAATCCGGTTTGTCCGCCAGTATGGCGCGGATCATCGGCTCTAACGGATAATTGGGATGCCGTGCGGCATTCAAGTCGCGAAAGTAATCACCGGAGTCCTCCTGCAGTTGGCTGGGTTCAGGACGGGGTGTCCATTGCGGGGGCTCACCTGCACAAAGTTTATTAATTGTTAAGTCATGGTTGTTTGGATGGCGGGGAGGTTGTATGCACCTGGAACGATGATTCCACTTCCTCCACGGACCCAATTATAAGACGTCAAATACTGTGTATCGGTGATTCGAGCAGGATGATGGGTTTTGGTTGTGTCATCTTGAAGATCATCGTATTCAAGTGTAGCAATAATCTCCCCCAACGGTGGAGGTGGAGCACGAGGAACTGATGACCTTTGGCTTCTGCCACCTCTCCACCCATCTCTACCTCTTCTCGGGTATGAACGGTCAGTCCTCCTTAGAAAGTCTATGTTGCTAGACATAATGAATTGAATTTGTTAGAGGCAAGTTTACCCGCAGTTGAGACAACAGAGAACAGATTGTGCAGGAATGGTAAGAGATGGCTGGAAAGACCCTATGGAACCTGCGGGGATGATGGTCTCCTTATAAGCTCTTCTTCCCTTTGGCTACTACCTGTGGTAACCACTTCAGTCGGTATTGCACTTGTAAGATGCCCCTATTGTCACACCACCCCCCAATATCGTGGGCTGCCAGTGAGGCGTCCAGCTTGCCATTAGCGTAGCTGCCTAGGTGGCGCACACGTAGTCAGTGACTTAGGTCTTGCACATGCTTCAAAGCCTGCATCCTGCGTACTTTTGTTCCTACCCCTCACTACGTACCCTTTGTAAACACTTTTTGATGCCTTTCAAATGCTTACTGAGGGGGCGGTCTGCCGCTAGCGGTCTGCTAAGCGCACGCCCCCCCCCCCCTCTCCTGTTTCCTTTTCCATCTGCTTCCGACTCTATATCACAAATAAAACGACCCAAGTCTTTCACAGACACCCTTTTCTTGCTTTGAACATCCAGATTTATTCGAAATAGAGAAAGGTCTAATACCAATATACTTCTTTCACGGTTGAGATGTCGACCAATATCCGATCGGATCGATTGGCCAAATACCTGGCAGCTGTTCTGCGTGAAAACCAGGAGATTCGGGACCTCAGCGACTTCAAGAGGTTCATAGATGCCATACTGAACACAAAGGAGCCTTGCGGGGCTGTGGAGCGATTGGTTAGCAATGAGAATGCCCTAAGTGCTCTCCGACATGGCTTGAGGTTCGACATCACACCGGCCTTCATCAATAAGTATACATCCAAGTTCCTTAACTTTTTGCGAAAGCCCGAAATCAAGCTCCTATGCAATGGTATTTTTCTGGAACGGATTCTTGTTATCATTGTGGAACCCCGGACACTCTGGAAATCGCTTCTAGATGCCTTCTTCACCCGAAAACTGGATGATGATGCAACCCACGTCTTCTGTTGGTTGACTACAGAAGTTTTATCGTTGCCAGCCTCTTCTGGAGTAGATATCACGACTGATGCCCAGGCTATGCTGAGTGATGGGTATCTTGAATCGTCGTCATCGGCTTTACTACGCAATCTGGGACATAAGATCAAGTATCTCCTCGACATGAGATCTTCCGCATCCACTCTGCTCACAACCGAAGACACAGTCGGCGGCCGCCACGATAATGATTTTGCTGACTTCCGCCTAATCGCAATTCTTCCCACCACGGATGAATTAAGTTGTGCCGAGAAACCATTCTATCGACGCGTGGAGGAGATCGCACAACTCTCCGGGGTCCAACGCATCGCGGCGCATGCGGACAACCAATTCCGACTCTTACGCGAAGACATGCTGTCTGCGCTGCGAGAGGATATTCATGTTGCAACGAGCACGAAGAAAAAACGACGAACGGCGCTGCGGCTGCGGGGGCTATCGCTGGCTAACATCTCCTGCGTCTCGGCCGATTTAAGATACATCCGCCCTTGCACTATTGGCATCACTGCAAAGTCAGGCCTGGAAAAGCTGAACACTCTTTCCCGAGCGGAAGCTAAAGGGTTTCTCAAGAATACTCCGCAGTATGTCAAACACCGCGCTTTGGGCTGTTTTGTACGGAACACGGAAATTGTGGCATTTGCTACAATCGAACGGAACCTCGATGATTTGTTAGCCGTGCCACCGGTCGTCAAGCTACGGGCAGCCGGCAGGGAAGCAATGCGAAAGACTCTGCTCTTTCTGAAACTCTACGATGATGTCGAGTTCCTGGTGGTTGATACAGCGACTTTCGCTTACGAGCCAATTCTGAAATGTCTGCAGGAGAGAGTTGAATTCCCTTTCACGGAAGAGTTGTTTCTCTATGAAAGAGGCCAGCCCCTCAAGGATTCTGCCTTGGCACCTCAGAGTGTGATTAGCGAGTTGCGGAAGAACGACCGACCCCGTCTTCAAGCTACTTTGAAGACAACCAAGCAAGTAACACTAGACCCGTTTCAACGCGACTCCCTACTCGCAGGACTGACACAAAGGGTCAGTTTGATTCAAGGGCCTCCAGGTATGGGCACCCAAGAACAATCTTTGCTTCTTATTTCCAGCCCCCGAAGCTAACCTTGATGGTGGGTTAGGTACTGGGAAGTCGTTTATAGGGGCACTTCTGGCCAAAGTTCTTCATGACTTTACCGATGATAAGATCTTAGTGATGTGCTACACAAACCACGCCTTGGACCAATTTCTGGAAGATCTGCTGGATATAGGCATTGAAGCATCCGACATCGTCCGATTAGGATCCAAGTCAACACCAAGAACGGAGCCCCTGAGCCTCAAAGAGCAGAAGCTTACCAGGAAAAGACCCAATTCTGCCTGGAATACCATTAACGCACTCAATGACCAGGCTCAGGACCAGCGAGACAACATTATGAGCTCATTCGCAGCGTACCAAGAGCTGTCAGCAAATCCTTTGGCGATTCTGGACTACCTGGAATTTGAAGAGCCCGACTACTTCGAAGCCTTCACTGTACCCGAAGACGAAGACGGAATGAGCGTGGTAGACAAACAAGGGAAAACAATTAAGAAGGGCTATCTCTACGAGCGTTGGACCAGAGGCCAGTCACCAGACCCTGTGGCTGAGTCCCTTCCAGCTAGAAGCTGCACTATCTGGGCTTTGGATCAGAAATTCCGTGACGAGAAAGTACAAGCGTGGAAACGGGCTCTGCTGAATGAACAAGCTGAATCTCTTGCAGTCCAGATGGACTTACTGGACGATTGTCACGCAAGGTTAACTGCGATCTTAGGGGAGAAAACCCGGGAGATCCTCAAGAAAAAAAAGATCATTGGATGCACCACAACGGCCGCGGCTATGTATGCTGACGATCTTAAGCATATATCACCCGGCATCGTGCTGTTAGAGGAAGCAGGAGAGATTCTTGAGTCTCATGTTCTCACTGCATTATCTCCGGATACGAAGCATTTGATACTGATTGGCGATCACTTGCAACTCCGGCCCAAGATCAATAGCTATGCTCTGAGCAAGGAAATAGGGGACGGATATGACCTCAACGTGTCTCTGTTCGAAAGATTAATTCATACGGGATATCCACATATCACCCTGCAGAAGCAACATCGAATGTGTCCAGAGATCTCCGATCTTGTACGGTCACTTACTTATCCTCAGTTACAAGACGACGAGAAAACCAAGACCCGTCCTAAGCCTCGTGGCTTGACTGACCGCGTGATTTTCATCAATCATCAGAACCCCGAACACAGTTTTTCAGCAATCTCCGACCGACGAGACGAAGAAGCTAAGCAGTCTAAACAGAATGCATTTGAAGCGGAAATCGTGCTGGCGATCGTGAAATACTTGGGCCAACAAGGATATGGAACGGACAAGCTCGTGGTCCTCACGCCATATTTGGGCCAACTCTCGCTCCTGCGACAGACTTTGAGCAAACAAAATGATCCAGTACTGAATGATCTTGACTCTCACGATCTTGTAGAGGCTGGCCTCTTGTCACAGGCGAGTGCTGATTATTCCAAGCAACCGATCAAGCTATCGACGATTGGTGAGTAACAAGTCTAACGGAGCGATGTTCAGTAAGCAAACTGACCGTTGATGTCAGACAACTATCAAGGCGAGGAAAGTGACATTGTGATCGCGTCACTCACGCGAAGTAACAGAAATGGTGATGTAGGATTCATGGCTGCTCCCGAACGACTTAACGTGCTTCTCTCCCGTGCCCGCAATATACTTATCATGGTGGGCAACTTGGAAACATTTGCCTCCAGCCGCAAAGGCCAAACGTATTGGAAGCCCCTCTTTGATCGACTCAAGACCAATGGGCATATCTATGACGGACTGCCGATCAAATGTGAACAGCACCCTGGCACGACCGCCATACTGAGCACAAAAGAAGACTTCGAGCGAGAAGCGCCAAATGGTGGATGCTCAGCCCCTTGGTAAGTCACTTCTCCATCTCCTAAGTGACTTGGTTCGATAGCTAGACCCATCTAGCGGAACGCTGAGTCTTCGACGCCGGACTAATGCTGATCGTTTTGAAAGTGGTGCCAAGCTAAGCTGCGGGATACATGAATGCCCATCCAAGTGCCATAAGCTCGCAGATCACTCCAAGAAGGTGTGCAAGAAGATGGTCCATAGAGACTGTCCCCGTGGACATAAGTTGGTATTGCCGTGCTCGACGAGTCAGACCTCATGTCGCTCTTGTGCCCACGAAGATAAGATACAGAAGCAGAAGCATGATCAAGATATGAGACTCGAGGCAGAGCGAAAAAGAAGCCAAGCTTTATACGCCCAGAAGCTCGCCGACCTACAGAGTGAAGCTTCACATCTGAGACGCCTGAATAGTGATAAGTCAGTCGAGTCAGAGCGAGCAAGAGTCCTTGAGCAGTATAGCCAAGAAATCAAAGAGTTGCGAAGCTCCCAGTGCTCAATAGAAAGCACACCCAGCACTCAAAGGGCTCAGGAAACAGTCTCGGGACTGAGTGAACCGCGGCCAAGGTCCCTTGAACCCCCAGCTGTCGGGAATCTGGGAAGCCGATCTATGACTTCCCGTAACGAGCCCCGGGTAGAACCCCGCAGCCAGGAGGGTATGCCTGAGCAGCCTGTCTCAAAGGCAAGGGATGATTGGGAATACCAAAAATCATACTACAACTCTCAAAGCCCGGAAATCGATACTTTGATGGATATGGTTGGTTTGGAGGCAGTGAAATCGAAGTTCTTGACGATCAAAGCCAAAGTTGATATCGCCGTCAGGCAGGATGTCGATCTGAGCCATGAGAGATTCGGTAGCATCCTTGTCGGGAACCCTGGAACTGGCAAAACGACAGTTGCCCGACTTTACGCAAAATTTCTGGCGGCGGTGGGTATCATACCCGGACACAAAGTGATCGAGACAACCGGGTCGAGGCTTTCAAATGAAGGCGTCCCCCAATGTCAGAAGATGGTTGAGCAACTACTCAAGGATGGCGGAGGGGTGATTTTCATCGACGAAGCCTATCAGATGGTACAAGGAAACAATTTTGGCGGCAGTCAGGTACTTGATTTCCTCTTAGCTGAAGTCGAGAATCTCACTGGCAAGATTGTGTTCGTTCTAGCTGGATATCAACGCCCGATGGAGAAATTTCTTGCTCACAACCCTGGACTTCCCAGCCGTTTCCCTCTTGAGCTCAAATTCGATGATTTTGACGAAGCTGAACTCCTCATGATCGTCAGAGCTTGGATCGAAAGGAAGTGGAAAAGGCAGATGGAAGTCGATGGTGGGCTGGATGGTCTTTACTGTCGTATTGTGGCCCGGCGCATCGCGCGCGGACGGTGTCAAGAGGGTTTCGCTAATGCGAGGGCTGTTGAAAATGCCATGGCAAAAATCACTGAGCGACAAACTGAGCGACTGATGAAGCAAAAGCGGCAAGGAGGCTCGCCTGTAAATGAGCTTTTTCTTGACAAGGAGGACATGATCGGCCCAGAACCTTCTCAACGTCTCAAATCATCGAAAGCGTGGCAAAAGCTGCAAGGTATGATTGGGTTAGCCGAGGTCAAAAAGACGGTTGAAAGCCTGATAGACACCATCCAATACAACTACCGTCGAGAGCTAGATGAGCTCGCTGTGGTTGGCTACAATCTCAACAAGGTCTTCCTCGGTAACCCTGGAACTGGGAAAACCTCGGTTGCAAGGATCTACGGTCAAATTCTCGTGGATATAGGACTTTTGTCAAACGGAGAAGGTATGCGAGTAACATACTTGGACTCTTCAAATTACTTACGAGAACTACAGTTGTTGTGAAAAATCCATCCGACTTCATTGGGGCCGTGATGGGAGAGTCCGAGAAGAACACAAAGGGCATCCTCGCAGCTACCTTGGGAAAGGTCCTAGTCATAGACGAAGCATATGGTCTCTCAACCAGTGGCAGTTCTGATGGTGCAGGGGCCCGATCTGACCCATATAGAAGCGCCGTTATTGATACCATAGTGGCTGAAGTCCAGAGCGCCCCCGGGGACAATCAATGTGTTCTACTACTGGGGTATAAAGATCAGATGGAGCAGATGTTTCAAGCTGTCAATCCAGGTCTCAGTCGGCGTTTTCCAATTGACCAGGCCTTCATCTTTGAAGATTTTAGCGCACAGGAGCTGGGTCTCATCCTGGACCTGAAACTGAGTGAACAGGGGTACAGCATCACTGACCAGGCTCGCCAGGTGGCTTTGGAAATGCTAGAGCGAGCTCGGAATCGACCCCACTTTGGTAATGCTGGAGAAATCGACATTCTGCTCAACATTGCAAAATTGCATCATCAGGGGCGCATCTCGTCGAATGGACTTGGCAGTCGCGCGCTTGATTCCGTCTTAGATGCGGTCGACTTTGATGAGAATTTTGATCGCGTTGAAAAGGGCGAATTCAATATGAAAAAGCTTTTTGAAGGGGTGGTAGGCTGTGAAAGCATAATATCCACACTTGAAGGATACCAGAATATGGTCAAGCGCCTCAGAGAGCTACACATGGATCCCCGTGAGCAGGTGCCGTTTAACTTCGTGTTTCGAGGGCCCCCAGGTGAGTAGAAAACTTTGCTGATGAATTCCTCCTCGGGAATATAGAGCTCTACTGACATGCGACATACGGACAGGGACCGGCAAAACAAGCACAGCCAGAAAAATGGGGCAGGTGTACTACAATATGGGTCTCCTGTCCTCGGTTGAGGTCATAGAAGCGTCTGCTACAGACCTAGTAGGCCAATTTGTTGGGCAAACCGGCCCGAAAACCCAGAAACTGCTGGAACGTGGTCTCGGAAAGGTTCTCTTCATAGACGAAGCATATCGTCTTGCTGAGGGTCATTTTGCCAAAGAGGCTATGGATGAGCTTGTTGACTGCATCACAAAGCCCAGATTTGCTAAGAAAGTGATCATCATTCTGGCTGGCTATGATGCTGATATCAACCGCCTCATGACCATCAACACTGGTCTTACTAGTCGTTTCCCGGACTCTTTTCAGTTTAAATCTCTTTCTCCCCAAGACTGCATCGAATTACTGAATAAGCTTCTGAAGAAGCAAAAAGAAACAATCTACAGTACTTCAGGAGTGAACTTCAACATCAGTTGTCTTGATGACTCAAGTTTCGATTACCACAGGAGATTGACCGACGGATTCGACGCCTTGTCTCGAACTGCAAGCTGGGCTAATGCCAGGGATGTTGAGACACTGGCAAAAGCAATCTTTGGAAAAACTATAAAGACGTCACAGTCGCTCTGTGGAGCGGAGCTTGCATTGAGCAGGGATACAGTGACTGAGGAGCTTCATGACATGTTAGTTGAGCGTCGAAGTCGCGGGCATCTCCTGACAGAATCATCTGCCGTTAGCCTCAATCACAAGAAAAACCTACAAGTGTGCATCGAATCCCCGCAACCACAAAGTGAGGAATCTCAAAGCCTGAAATCGAACGTGAAAGCCAATGATCAAGCTTATGCACCAGTGCAGAAGAGCAGCGATCAACAGGGTCTCGGATCAGGGCGTGAGGCCGGTGTAACAGATGAGGATTGGATTCAACTAGAGAAAGATAAGGTAGCTGCCAAACAAGATGAGAAGGATTATCTGAGGATGACAGAGGAGATGGAGAAGCAGACAAAAGAACTGCTGAGTTTGAAGGAAAAAGAGACTCAGGCAGCCCGGGCAGTGGAAGAGGCAAGACAGCAACAGAATGAAAGGCTGAGAGTGCGCTTTGAACAAGAACGAGTGCGATGCAAAATGGAACGCAGGAGGCAAGAAGCAATTGCTAGGGAACTTGAGATCAAGCGACAAACCTTAGCTGAAGCTCGCCGCAAGGACCAGGCTACTCAAGCGAAGCTACGGAGCATGGGAGTTTGTGTCCAAGGCTACCGATGGATCAAACGTCCTGGCGGATATAAATGTGAAGGAGGAGGCCACTTTGTGCCAAACAGCCAACTCGAATGAGAGTAGACTAGGGAGTTTTTTTTCTTTTTTTTTTTTCTCTTATATCTGTGATGACATTAGCAGGCCCGCCTGTCGCCTTAGACAATATGCAAGGTACCACCATTAGGTCTCCAATTTACATACACGATGCAAATCGGCTTCGAGGATCTTGTGTTGACGGATGCCTAGTATTTCGATCTGCAAACCTTATGGTGCGCTAAGTCTTGCGGACCCCTTCGCAAATGCTGGGACTACACCCTTCGTGGTTGAGAGTGCTACCCAGGCACGCTAAGAAGCGTATGGGGCAACTCGACATGACAACTCACGATCAATAGGCTTCCACACACCGTGCATTAGTAGAGTATCGAGGCCTTTGGAAGCTCAATGGGTCAAGACACAGAAGACTATCGTACATTAGCACCCTACTGCGGCAATCCATCATGCGTCGGAATAAAAAAACACCCCTGCGTAATTAGTGCAATAGCAAAACCCAATGCCCGCGATATCGTCACACTTCCGCGGGCCTCACCCGCTACGACACGTGTGCTGAACTGCAATGCCATCATCACTTTGACCTGAAGGGCTCACTATCAACGCACCTCACCTGTTCGCAAAGAACGCAAAAGTCTCACAAACAGTGTAGTTGGAGTGGGGATGTTTAGTATAGCCGCCCATGTAAGGATGATTGTGGACAGAATCGATCAAGTTTTTAGCCACTCATCGCTCGCAGCACATTCCAAAACACCGATGCCGGTAACTCGTCCTAAATACCCCAACTGATATAGAGCGCTGCGGTCACGGGTTGATGTCAGTATGCTTGAGATTGTTGATGCTGCTTGGATTATTTTCTCGAAGCTTTCCTTCATTCGTCAGCGGCTGACCACTTTAACGACACAGCGACCTATCCTTAGCAATGCGTACAGATGCATGTCGATAGCTTGGGTGCCCGCCAATAGAGCGCGGGCGTTCGTTGCGTCGCCGGGGTGTGTCTGGGGTCCTTCTCCCTTCTTAGTTTGCTTAGAACGTGAAAATTATGCTGTGCTATTCAACCGGGATTATCGGAATATAGACTATACAGTTAAAAATCATGGCATATTCAAAAGATATTTACCTGACCTTTCTATTCGATCCACTGCAATCGAAATTCAATCAGAAGAAATAGCTGTCTCTTCTACCCGCCAGACTCCGAAGCACAATAGATCCAAAACAAAATGCCATAAAAAACATAAAAACCCACATCGAATGAATCACCCACTCAAAGCTGTGGTCATACTCAGATCCACCGCGCACAGCGACCGTGACTATGATTTGTTCCGCGCAAGTGGCAAAAAAAAAAAAAAAGCGTGATGAATCATGATCCCGCCCCGCCCCTGAGTCCGGTGGTTCAGCAAGCCGCAACCGTGCCTAGATTCTAGACCCTACACCCTGCATCTGATCTCTAGCTTGTTTCGTCTCCATGTCCCCTATATGTCCACGTTCGTCCAAGTCAGCTAAAAACAATTACACGCCTCCCCAATACACGCACAAGCCCCCGAGCAACACCCCTCAGGAACCTCAAACACACAAGGCTGACCAGCGGCGATACACTGCGGCGGCGGCGGGGCGCACAGCACGGCAATAGAAGCGGGCTGGCCGGTCAATGGAACCTGGTATGTGGTGGGATTGCTCTTGCCCGCCGTGCCGGACCAGACCGCGGCGGAGTTTCCGGGCTGGGGCGTTGCTGTCAGGGTGAGCTTGCTGTTGCGGAGCGCTTTGAAGGACTTCGAGGCGCTGTCGAAGGTGAATGAGTCTCCGTAGATGTCGGCCGGGTATTTGACTGTGACGATGCAGCCTGTGTTCGTGATGGTGAGTTGTGCGCAGGCTACGCTTGCCACGGTCTTGCCGATGAAGCTGTCGCTTGATGTGTGGCTGCAGATGTCTCGGGGTTGGAGGATTGGGGTGCCGGTTGCGAGGGTGGTGATGAGGAGGGTGAGGAGGGTGGGTTTGAGCATTTTGTTTGGTTTGGGGTTGTGAGGGTGTGTGGTTGGGTTTTGGGAGGGTAGGGTTGTTCTGGATGATGCCTATGGACAAGATGCGGATGCAACTCAACGCTTAAATCTACAAGATATGGAGGCTACATGCCGATGATGATCGAATAGATGAAGCAGATCTATGGACGGAGTAGGAAATTGAAATTGAGTTCGGCTCGATCCACGGTACACCATTCCCGTGATCTAATGTCTAGATCGTTTGAGGCCATGCAGATACGCTTAGATTAGGATCCGGCTGTGCTCTAGACACTGCAGATGGTCGTATAAACTAAGTCTGGGGTTCTAATCAAAGATCCATCGGTTTGATTGGGTCGATGGCGACCAGCTCGAGTCTGGCAGGGATCTTAATCGCTCAGGTGAGCCCCTCAATAAACCCTCACCACTAACGATTCTTAAGAAGACAAATGAATACACCTCAAGGCGAACGGGAGGGTAGTATACAAGAGAACGGTGGGACTGAACTTGGGCATACCAAGGTTCTATCATAGCTGCTGTGCCGGAAAGCCAATTGAGATAGACAGCCACTGAACTAGTGGGCAGTGCACTGGCCTTCCCCAGTGGAATGGAGAAGAGAATTTGCTCATGAACCGATAGCCACCATACAATTTCAAGCCCATTGGGATCAGTGTCATCATCATGTATCGTGTAAGAGTGGGTACTTAACATTGCACATACAAGAAATAAGGATAATTCTCTCCATTGAATGCAAAAAATGGTATATTGTCTTCTCATCATCACCTTCCCCGCTACGTCGACTTCCTCGCGTGATCCAGCTTATCCCTGACCAAATTAGCCAAAAGCGCATCACGATCACCAGCAACCACCTTTAAATCGACCTGCGATACCCAGTCGTTGACCGTGCGTTTCAAAGCCTCGACCTTCTCCTGCGAGCCCATGTCAAACCTATGCTGATCCATATCGTCCAGCCACGACTGCAACGCCGGGCCCAGGTGATCCATGAAATGGCTAAAGTCTCCCCCACCGCCGAGCGTGTTGGTCATGATCGGCCCGGTCAGCGCCCACCGGAGACCGAGGCCGGATGTCACGGTTTTATCTGGAATAGGTTAGAGCTAAACGTGGAATAAGAACTGGACTCGTGCTCTGCTCACCGAGGTCCTCTGCTGAGACGATCCCCCGTGACACGAGGCTGTAGGCCTCGGCGCAGATAGCGGCCTGGAGGCGGTTGGCGATGAAGCCCGGTGTCTCTTGTTTGACCACTACCGGGTCTTTGTCCAGGCTTTGGTAGAATTCATAGGCGGCCGTCACGTATTCTTTACTCGTGCCTGGGTGAGGCACGACTTCGACCAGGGGCACCAGGTGGGGAGGATTGAAGGGGTGCCCGATGAGGATGCGGCCTGGGTTGTTCGTGCATTCTGTGATGAACTGTGATGATGGGAGGCCAGAGGAGGAGGATGCAATGAGGACGTGAGAAGGGGTCTTCGCGTCCAGATGTGCGAATAGACGGCGTTTGAAGTCTACTCGCTCCGGTCCGTTCTTGGGGATCGGTTAGCACTGTAGCAGATAAGATAAGCTTTGCTGGGGGATCGGCCACTAACCTCTTGGATCAAGTCTAGGCTCTCGAGGTAGGGATCGATGTCCTTGACAAATTTGTAGTTCTCCAAGCAGGCGGCTGGTGCGACTGTGGCATTTGGTACTGCCGCGCAGTATTCCTGCAAGTAGTCACGAAGCTTGGCCTCAGCACCTGGTGCTGGGTCTGTCACGATCACCTTAAGGCCTTTGGCGAGGAAGAGGGCGGTCCAGCTGGCGCCGATGACGCCTGCGCCAATCACACCGACTTTTTTGATGGGAGTTGAAGACATGGCTAAGTCTGGGAGTCTGTGACCTTCCAATTGCCGTTGGACACTCTTAATACCTATCTATATATACAACCATCGGGGCGAAGGGTGATTCCGCAAGCCTCGGTGACTCCGAAGCCAATGGGTCCATAGTTCGGAAGAGCCGTTCGGGACCTTAATCAGGAAACATGTACCGCGGAAGAGGGGTAAGCCCCGTTATGACGACGATCTTCAGGGGCGCGCCCCAGCTTTTCGGGATATGCCCGGACATGTCTCGGTGCGGGATGATTCGACATGCAGCGAACTCCCGTTCTGGGTCAATCCGACGCCGTTCCGTAACAGCGACCTGCCGATTTCCGGGTTCCGTGCCTCTAAATTGCCCGATTCGATTCTGGAACGTCGGAACAGGTTTTCGATATGCGCCCCGCGGCATTCAACGGTTGGATGGGGCTGCCTTGTGGAGGTATAATAGTAGCTATGTCCTTCAACGTCAGGTTGCCTTCTGCCGTATAAACTGCTTGTATCTCCTCTTCTCTCTCACAAAACTGCTTCCACCACCGTCGCCACCCTTCATAATGACTTATTCGCACGAAACGACGCCTAGTACGGACATTTACGGTCCTGGGACCTTTGTCGATAAGGCCTTCCTCCCCGCGCCACAGGATGCCGGTCGCATCTTCGAGTATATCGCCAAGAGCACGCCCGGGTTCACCAAGAATGAAGAATTGTGGAAGACAGTCCGATTCACCGGCAGCGATCTGCCGGTTATCCCGGGCCCGACCAAGGCCCCTCTCGTCGCAGCTGCCCTACACGCCATGTGTGGAGTAGTGGCCCACGAGATTGTCGAAGATCGCGATGGGACCGCTGCCCATACCCAACAGGTTACGGTGAACACCGACCACGCAGCCATCTGGCTGGGAACCATCTTCGCAGCGTCCGTTGAGGGGAAGGACATGTCCGAGTTGGTTCGGTCGCGCAAGCTCCCGACCCTCTTCGATCGTGATTTCGAGAAAGGCTGGCAATCCACCCCCCTGAGACAACGATCGACGGCGTTGTACAAGACCAAGACGCCGGGTGTATGGTATCAGATTCACGGCTCTCTGGACGCTGCGCCCGTCCTCCGCGCTCTGGGCATGGACCCCGAGTACCCGGCGAAGACCTCGGACGAAGCGTATGAGTACATCGGCAAGCATGTCGAGCAGTGGACAGCCGACGAGCTGGAGATGCTGAACATCAAGAACGGGTTCTGCGGCAGCATCTGCTTCACACCGCAGGGGTGGAACGACACGATGATGGGCAAGCGACTCGCGGAGCACCCGCTGGTCGGCTACTCGCGCCAGTCGCATGCTATCCCGACTCCTCCGGTCCCTTTTGTCAAGGTTGAGAACGATAAGCGCCCGCTGGTGGGAATCAAGGTGGTGGAGCTGGTTCGCATCATCGCCGGACCTGTGATCGGCAGCACCCTCGCCGCTCTGGGCGCCGATGTCATTCGCGTCAACTGCAGCCGCTTGGTAGACCTTAATGTATGCCTCATTTTTCCTAATTCAAACTCCCCTGAGAGAATCAAGTGCTAACTCAGATCCTCCAGGTCTTGCAACTCACCCTTAATGCGGGCAAACGTACCATCGACCTCGATTTAACCAAGGAGCAAGACAAGTCGCGCCTGCGTGAACTCATCGAGGACGCCGATGTCTTTGTTCAGGGCTTCCGTCCCAACGTGATCGCAAGGAAGGGATTCGGTGTCAACGACCTCCTCGAGATGGCCGGTAACCGTGGTAAGGGTATCGTCTACGTCGAGGAGAACTGCTACGGTCCCGACGGACCATACCACGAGAGACCCGGCTGGCAGCAGATTGGAGACGCCGCTTCCGGCTCATCCTACGTGATGGGCCGCTCCCTGGGCTTCAAAGACGGGACTAGCGTTCTGCCCCCGCTGCCCATCTCCGACATGACCACTGGTCTGGTGGGTGCGTTGGGCGCGCTGATGGCGCTCCGGGATCGCGCTCGCCACGGCGGCTCGTATCGCGTGACTAGCTCGTTGGTCAAGGCCGATACGATTAACCTGGAGCCGGAGATTGGACTCTACTCGCTTGAAATCGTGCAACGGAGCAATGAGTTGTTCAAATGGGGTCACATCAGCCCTTCCCAGTTCGTGACGGAGATCTTGCTCGTCGTCATGGACGGATGGAAGTCGGTCTTCCCCAAGTACTTTGCTCCTGGGCCTGATACGCTGCTTACCGGCTTCCAGGAGGGGCCCTGGGGTCGCATGGAGGTCCTGAAGCCTGTGGTTCAGTCGAGTGATGCCAGTGTGACGCCTCGCTGGCTGACTGCATCCGTCCCCAACTGCTACCATGACCGGAACATTGAATGGCTTTAGATTCGGGGTCGAGGATCCGTGACGAAAATGTTGTAATCTCGATTTTGTGTAAATAGATTAGGTTATGAAACCTTATTTTCCGAAGACGTGTTTAGACATGTTCCAGGTCGCGTTGCACTTGTCCAGTTGGCGGTCGAAGTAAGCTGTAGGCGTGCGGCAGCAACGCAAGCTTCCATGCTCGCCCTAAGTCATGCTGCGGCTTTAAATGGTCCAGCTGCCGACCGGGCTCGGGCCTCCGTCTAGTTGTGCAAAGAACATTGGCCAATCGTTCCAATCGAACGAATAGTTTCCCAGTATAGGAAAATTGTCAGGAAGGGTCGCTTGCGGCTCGTGAGCTCCAAGGACAAAGTTAGACATGGATGTGTTTTCATGGTCTGTGGGAGCTTGCACGAAGTCCGCGGGAGCATAGTCCGCAACTGGCTGGTTCCCGCCGATGCTCTGCTCAATCAATTTGAGAACAGAACTGCACCTTGAAGCCAAGGTCGTATGTCTCTCATAGTCCTTGAGGATTGTTCGGGCTTGTTGCAGGATGCCCTGCAAGCGGGCTGCGGAGAAGTACTCCACTATTTGCGGCGACGACTGGGCCGCGAGCAGATTTGTCGCGGCCATATATACATCTTTCATGGTCATCAGCATACGACTTTGAGCTACTTTAAGGGATTCCACTTACATGAGACAGTGTACCAATTCGACGGTAAGATGTACGCCTGTTTCTGTTCCGGCGAGTTCCGGACGATAAACTCGATCATGTCGGTAGCCGCCTTGGTACAATTGACTTGGCATTGGAAGACTACGTGGGGCATGATCTGGTCGTCATCCGCATACAGACCGCTGCCTGGGGCGTTGTTGGTTCTTTGTTGGTGGATCTGTAGCAGCAAGAGTCGAAAGAGGAGGAGTCGGACCGATAGATACCTTCGCCATAAGACAAAAGTTTGTCAGTGCTAGATGCTCTCTGGGCTTTCCGGACACGAGGGGAGGTACACACCGAGCGCGAAGGATATTTGCTTCACGAGTGATGTGTTTGGTTGGCGTGGGATCTTCAAGTTCCGACGGCATTTGGAAGAACGGGTGCAGGCTGCGAGCCCAATTGTTCAATGCGGAGTCGATGCGGAACAGGCTGGCGAATTTGTCGAAGAAGAGTGACGAGTTCTCACCTGGCTCGGCGTCATTGCGATTGGGGTGCCGGTCGCTCTTGCCATCTCCCAAGATATAGAAGGTCTCTAGCACTTCCCCGATGATGTGATGTAGTCGACAAAAGGATATGTAGAAGTTGACCTTCGAGGGTAGACCTGCAATCGCAGTCTGGCCCGAAGGTTCCCGGAGGTTGAGTACCAGAGAATTGAGCCCCTGTTGTGCGACAGATTGAGGAACCTTGAGGGCGCAACCAAAGGTCATGGAACAGATTCTAGAGACGTGTCAGTTACAACACGACTCCCTGGCTCTTCTTCCATACCGGTCCATGATAACACATCCATTCCACACTTGACGCGCAAGGTCTCGCTCCTTGGAGTTTTCCATGGCCTCTGTGGTCTCAGGGATGTGCAATCCCAGCTCCTGGGCAATATGAATTGCCGTTCCAATGATGCGGAAGCATTTTTGGGGCTCTTTCTCATGCTGCAGGTACACGGCCGTGAGCAACAGGATCTGGATGATCTCAAAATTGTAAAGGTCCATCAGCTGGTATGACATCAACGCCTGAGCCCGGTCAAAGAAGACCACAGACGATTGATAGCGAACGAGAGGGGGTTCGCCCTGGGACGCGACACACGAGGTAGCAAACATCAGGTTCAGGAGGCAGTGCAGAACCGTCTCATTCATCGCCAATTCGCCGTCTTTGACCCACAGAGTCTCGTAGGCACTTTCAATGGAAGGCCGGTCCAGCCAGGGGTAGGCGCTGTCTACATAGTCCCAGTAGAGACCGAGGAGGTTGTCCGCCTGCTTCCGCGGAGGGATCGCAAACTGGAGATCGGGAGGTTCTTTGCGCGGGCTCTGTTTCTGCAGCTTCGGCAGGTGTTTGAGCGCTTTCGGCAGAACTAGGCTTCTGTCCTGTCTTCTGCTTTCCGGTGTGTCGGTTCGACCAGTCTCGGACCCTACATCGTGTAGGAGATGTGCGCCGCTGGATGCACCGAACAGACTCCCCGTCGGGACGACGCCACTGTACTGGCTCGCCTGGTCATCATCATCAGTCTGTTGGCAGTCATGAGCTGGATGCTCGCTCGTGGATGCTGCCTGCTCGACGCCTTCATCAGCCTCACGATATGTGCAAGTATGTGACGTTCGTTTCCGCTTCGAGCAAGGACCGCAGACTAATGCAAGGTAAGTAAGTGAATGCTCCACCACGCGACAGGAATGCCATTGGTGCTCTTACCAGGTCTAGCACCGTCGCATTTCGTCTTCCTGGCCTTGCATACATTGCAGGCGATGCGAATCTTGGCACGTTTCGGCCTTGGACCTCTTGACACCTGGTCGTGTGGAGACGACCGACCCGCGTGGAATGAGAACATCATTTTGGGGGGAAATACGGAGGGAACTCGGGAGGATGAATCGGAAAGACACAATCCCGACTTTTGCCTGGCTGCCCCAGGCTTCCGTGGCTGATTATGTCATTGGCGTTCCGTTCCCAATGCGGTAATCCGACGGTCGGCCAACATCCGGGCACAGATGTATGGATTATGTATGGATCCATGATGGCATTGAAGAAATATTCGGCTTACCGGTGCCAGGCGATCTGCTGAAATTGGGTCAAGTGGTACTTAAGGCTCTGGGCCGTAATCTAGGTTCTTGTTCTGACTTGCTCACATAAGATTCTCACCATTTACATCCGGTTGTTTGCGCCACATTACTATACTATATTCCAACCGGAGCATCCGACGGCCCCAAACGAGAAAATGGCCCCCCGACCAGATCATCCTCAAACACTCGCAGAACGCCTCTACTTCCTAGACGTGGGCATCTCGACCTCCGAGCTCAATGGCCGCCTTCTCACCTGCAAGCCTGACGGCTCGGACCTTTGCGAGCTGATCACGCAAATCAACACCATGCCCGACGGCATCACCATCGACGCAACCCACCAGCACATCTACTGGACCAACATGGGCGTCCCCTCCGCCAACGACGGCTCGATTCAACGCTGCGATCTATCAGGAAACAATATCGTCAGCGTCATCCCCAAGGGCTACACCCACACACCCAAGCAGCTCACCATTGCCCCCCGGTCCAGGAAGCTGTACTGGTCCGATCGCGAAGGCGGAAGGGTCATGCGGGCGAGTCTGGACGGAAGTGGCGTCGAGGTTCTCTATCGAGCGACTGAGAGCCAGGGCACAGACATACCGGCTGTTTACGACTGGTGCGTGGGCATTGCGGTTGACGAGGAGGCGGGGAAGGTGTATTGGTCGCAGAAGGGGCCGTCGAAGGGGAACCACGGCCGGATATTCCGGATGGGGATTGACTTGAAGGAGGGTGAGTCACCGGAGAGGAGGACAGATGTTGAATGTCTTCTGGACGGGCTGCCGGAGCCCATTGATTTGGAGTTGGACCACGCTTCAAGGACGCTGTATTGGACGGATCGGGGCGATCCGCCTCGAGGCAACACGGTCAATTCGGTGGTGCTGGCAGATGGATCGGGGAAGAAGCTGGAGCCGAAGATCTTAGTGCGCAAGCTTCATGAGGGCATTGGCATTGCATTGGACTTGAAGCATGGTCGCATGTTCTTTGGCGATCTGGGAGGCTCGTTGTACAGTGCGAATCTGGATGGGTCCTGCAAGACCACCATCTTGCCTGATGTTGGGGGTGCCATCACCGGAATGGCGTATGTGAGAAACTAGAGCTGTATACCTTTTTTATTGGTGGATGATTTCAATTGTGATGGAAGCGCACCGGACACTGGTCTTTATGCGGAAAAAGAGGAACTATATCATAGAGAGGAACGGATTTGCAGTGGTGCCTAAAAATATATTGGATGCGCTGAATACAACTAACATTTCTAATACAGTCATGATGAATTTCGATCATCAGCATTCCGCTTTCCCTCCCTCCTTGAGCGCCTCCGCCGCCTTCTGCACCGTAGCCGCCTTCATGAACGGACTGCGCTCTCGGATCTTGGGCCCCCAGATCAAAAAGCACACGGGCGCCAGCGTCAACGCGAGACTAATAAATCCCAGCAAGCTGCTCGCCCACTGCAGACCCATGGCCCTATACATATTCATCGTCGCCAGCGGCAAGAAAGCCGAGAAGGTGTTCTCGCCGAGCACGACGCACGCCATCGCACTGCCCGCGTAATTGCTATAGGCATCAACAACATAATCCATGATCCCCGTCACCACAATCACACTGCCGGCGCCGACCATGCCCAGTCCGATCGACGGTGCAATCCACGGCAATTCGGGGTAGGAAGTCCAGGCGTAGACGAACATGCCGCCCGTCAGCCCGAGGATCGCCCCGGCCAGGGACATGTATAATCGGGCTTCCGGGATGGGGACGCCGGGGATCTGGGTGTTGCGTTTCGCGGAGCTGAAATAGAGCCGGGCGGAGACCAGCGTCAACGGCCATCCGAGGACCTGGCCCACAACAATGGCCCCCTGCACGTATCCCGACTGCACCGGATCCCAACCATAGAGAGCCTCGTACACCTGCTCCACCGACTGGGTAAAGAGGTACAGCGTGCCGACCGTGAACGCCGACCACAACATGCAGAAGAAGACCACGTACTCGGTCACCAGCATCTTGAGCGGCCGCTGGATGCTCGTCGCCAGCACCTCGAGGACCGGTTTGGAGAGGATCTCGTGGCGGGTGTACGCGTTGACGCCCTTGGCGCGGAGCTTCTTGGCCCGCTGCTTCAGAATCACCACGTCGCGGGATTCCTGCATGGTCAGGAACGCGACGGGGAAGAGCACCGCGTGCCAGATGAGTTGCATGTAGGAGATCCACCGCCACGAGAGGAATTGGATGATGGACGCGCCCAACACGGGGCCGATACTGCTGCCGCCAAGATACGCGACCATCCAGAGACCGACGGGTTTAGTGCGTTCGCGCTCGCTGCCCCAGATGTTGCCGATCACGCTCGCAGCACTGTTTCCGAGGACGGCGACGCAGCCGCCGGCAAAGAAGCGAGTGACGACCAAGGTCGCGAAGTTCTGCGCCACGGCTTGTGGAATGAGGAAGAGGATGAAGACGAAATGCGTGAGGAGGAACGTTCGTCGGATCCCGAAGTCTTCCATGGTCGGCAGAATGATCAGCGAGAAGAAGGCACCCCCCAGAGCCCAGGTGGTGACTGGCCAATAGGAATTGGCGAAAGAGGCCTCGCTCACGCTGAACACCTTGTTTAGATCCAGGTGGGCCACGGTGATGATGGTGCCATTGGCGAGGACGAGGAAGGTGGTGAAGAGGGCGACGAAGGTCACCAGCCACTTGCGGGCTTTGGACCAGTTAAACGGGTTTTCCTGATCATGAGGCCCGTCCCAGTCGACAATGACGAGGTTGTCGACCGTGCCTGCGAATTCTACTGAAGGGTTAGCCAGACAGTGGTGGCGATGATGGGGATTAGTCACGCACCAGCTATTAATTCGTCTGCATTCGCAGGACCTGCCGAGGCGCCGCCATGCATTTGGAAATAGGTGTGGGTGAGATGGGAAGAGTGGCCAAGGAAGCTTGGTTGTTCGATGCGGTGTCAATTGAGTAATAAAAACAATGCTTGATGCAAGAAGAATGCTCGGTATTGCTTGGTGTGTGGGAATCAGACCGGGAAAGGCAAGATCTTTAAATAGAGAGAGCGATCAAGCTCAGCATTCCACTTTCTAGAATTGTCCCAGCATCCCACAGGTGATCCCGATATGGCGAGCTTAACAAGCAGCCAGTTGGAAGCATGATCCCACCGAATATCGTGACGGTTCTCTTCACATTGACCTGGAGAGGAATAGCTTGGCCATCCGTAAATACGTGACTGTGTGAATAATGCGTGAAGGGTTCCAGAAATTTGAAGAACCAAGTTAGAGTTACGTAACCGACTCTTGGTTGGGGATTTGCCACTATTCCCAGAAGGGAAGCCAAGCAGAGAAGCAGTGATTCTGTGGAAGACCGAATAAAGTGAGTGAATGTCCGTTCGGAATTCGAAGGTCGGCTCTCGGTTAGCGTTATTAAGCAGTGGGCTAACCTACCACTCTATCCGGGTAAGGAACCCGAGCGCACCATCGGATATGTCCACCCCGACACCCCCATGTGCCTCGGATGACAATCTGCACGGCTCAAGCAGCAAAGATCGACTCGTTCTAACGCATGGTCCCTGGGACGAAAATGAGAAGGAACGGTACCATGTCTCGCATGCCCGGGGGATTGATTTGAGTTCTGCACAGGTACTCGAATACGAGAATGATACTACTAAGTATGCCAGCATGACTACTTCTTAATCTGGGGAAACGCCCCACCTTCTCCGATGTCATACTTAGTCGGGTTCTTCTTGAGATCCGTGTTCGGAATTGTGACTCCTTTATTTACACAGGAAATAGTGCCGCCAGAGACATCTCCTATTTGCTCAACTATGCAGGAAACCAGGAGTGCACAGAGAGGATGTATTCCACCATCAATCCCATGAAAGACACGCATATCAAACAAAGAGTCACAAGGACTCGCATGGTCCATCTCTCCACGAAGCCATCCATAGTGGCCATCTAATAATTCACCGCCTCGCCGTTCTCCAAGTCCCGACCCTCTTTCATGGCCTGTAATCTCTCTTCCCATCCTCCAGCCCAGCTTTGACGCCGTCCATCCTGGCTGACCATTTCCAACCTATTCTCAAACCCCAATGTCCGTCCTGCAAACAGGAGGATCAACCGCTCAGCCTCCTCCGCGTTCTGACTGAGCCCATGATCATCGCCGGGAAACGTCTTCAGCTCTCGCACCCCCTCAGTCCCATACTGCCCATAGAGCACCTCCGAACACCGCGACGAGAGAACCGTATCGCCCGTCCCATGCAGAAGCAACAAAGGCCGCGGACTCAGCTTCGCGATCCCCGAGGTCAGCGCGGTCTGTGAGGCGACGGTGGCGATACCCACCACCCGCTCGGGCTCCTTCGCCGCCACAGTGAAACACGGACTGCCGCCGAATGACCAGCCGACGACCACGAACCGCCTGGACTGGTACTGCTGGCCGAGGTAGTCCATGGCTGCGATCACGTCGGCCGTGCAGTATTGAGTGCGCGCGGGCTCGCGGTAGTCTAGGCGGATGACCGGGATGGAGAGAAGCGTGGTGAGCTTGTCGGCTAGGGAGGGATAGATGCCTGCACGAAGCTTTGGTTAGCTCACTGGTGGCTTGGGGCGGGTGAGTCTACTGGGGGATCGATCTTGCCTGATGGGCCGCTGACTCCGCCTCCGGCACCGCTGATCAGGATGACCGCGGCGCCGTGCACTTCTCGTGCATTGTAATTGCGTGGTTGGTGTAGGATGGCTGGGGCTTCGTGGTCGTGCGGATCGTGGACGACGATGCGGATGCGCTGGGCCAGCGATGCTTGGTGGGTGGTCGTCGGGGCTTGAGGCGGGTGGAGTGGCCCTAGGCTTGAGAGGGGATGATGAATGGTGGTCATTGCGCTGGTGGATGTATTGTATCTCAATCTGGAATTTATTTGATCTCCCAGTCATCATACTTCGTAGTTCGATGCTGGGTGCCAGGTCATATAGGGCTCCCGCATATTGACATCAGACTGACGGGAGGGGAGCGTGGCAAGTCACCTGAACCCATCCCACGTAACTGTCAAGTGTGGGTGAAATAAATTCAACTGTAGAGTCATTCTGAAATCTTCTATATTTCTTAGTCCGGATCTATCATTTATCTCTTCATTCGACGATAAGATGAGCAAGCTTGGGTAAGCTACGGTCGGCGCTAGTCACGTGAGTCAGGGTCTCGCCTCCTAATCTGATCGGGTCTAACCGGAAAAAGGGCCATCCATGACCTGATCTGCCAGCGCCAGTTGTAACGACAAGATGGATGTGATGGCAATGTATGTCTATTATTGTTTTTGATGTGGCTTGTCAGGTTACTTCGCTATGATAGAAATGAATAATAAAAAAAAAAGAAGGGCAGATTACTAGGTAGTCTGCAGTGAAGAGGAGCCTGTTCACCTGGAGGCGTAAGCTTAACTTGTAGTATCTCCATACTATCAGCACACCGCCAGTTATGATCAGCACAACGGGGTTGTGATAGTCACTCTGATCCGTGTTGATCCATACCTATCTTTCCCTGTTTGATTTAAGGAAACAAACAGCAGCATCACCTGACTGGCCGATACAGGTTCGATGAGCATGGTCTACACCCCAGTCCAGAACCCTGGCAGTGATATCAATCACCCCGCCGGAGTTCCGAATGGCGTCTTCTGTCGGCCTGACATACTTGGTACATCGCGTCTAGGCTACTGCGTAACGCGTTAGCTGACCACCGCCCTATCCTTATTTCCCCGCTTCCGACCGACTCAAAATGTTAATTTTCTCATTGTTTACTATTTCCTGGCAATTCCAGCGTCGGCACAGCTGAACCTACCATGGTAATGCTGACCAGTTTGGCTCTCACCAGTCTGCTGGGCTTGGCCAGCGCACAATTCCCACCCAAGCTTGAGGGGGTCACTGTAATCCAGTCCCAGCTCCACGAAAACGTGACTATCTCATATAAAGAGGTGAGTATGCCGCCCTCCGCGTATCCAATTTCCTTCCATTGCTCATTCTCACGACCTTCAATCAGCCCGGGATCTGCGAAACCACGCCCGGGGTTCGATCGTATTCAGGCTACGTGCATCTGCCACCCGGTTTCCTCAACGCCACCGACACCGGAGGCCAGGACTACCCGATCAACACGTAAGGGATCTCTCCAACCCGCTCCCACACAACAACCATACAGTCTGCTAAACAATCGCAGCTTCTTCTGGTTCTTCGAAGCCCGCAAAGATCCGGGCAATGCGCCGCTCGCGATCTGGCTCAACGGCGGACCCGGCGGCTCCTCGCTGATGGGCCTATTCGAAGAACTGGGCCCGTGTACAGTCGCCGACGACGGTACCACCACGATCCTGAACCCGTGGAGCTGGAACAACGAAGTCAACCTGCTCTTCCTGGACCAGCCGGTGCAGGTCGGCTTTTCGTACGATGTGCCCACCAACGGCACGCTGGTCTCCCTGGAGAATGGCGAGGCCGGCGGCATCATCCCCGGCGATTTCAGCACGGAGATCCCAGAGTCGAACTTCACCTCGCTGGTCGGCACCTTCGCCAGCCAGAAGCTGAACCAGACCGCGGATACCACCGCCCATGCGGCGCCAGCGTTGTGGCAGTTCCTGCAGACTTGGTTCTTTGAGTTCCCACACTACCGGCCGAACGACGATCGGATCAGTCTGTGGGCTGAGAGTTATGGCGGCCATTATGGTCCCGAGTTCTTTCGGTTCATCCTGCAGCAGAATGAGCGCGTTGCCGAGGGCACGGCTGAGTCTGGGGCGCGACATCTACATTTAGATACTTTGGGCATTGTCAATGGGTACATTGATTCGATCGTGCAGGGCGAGTCGTTTATCCATTGGGGGTACAATAATGTGAGCCTGACTGCCAGGCCCAGGTTGACCGTTTCGGGGCTGATGTGATTAGACCTACGGAATCGAGATCTTCAACCAGTCGACCTACGAGGCGCTCCTGGACCACTGGAGGCGCCCCGGGGGCTGCCGCGATCGCCTCGTTCACTGTCAGGCGGCGTTGAAAGACCGCGACGCAGGCACCAGCCCGGCCCCGAATATCACCGAGCTCTGCGCCGGAATCGAACAGGGCTGCGAAGGCGGCGCACCGCAGCTGTACCTGAATGAGCTCAACGTGAGTTCCCCAACCTCCTCCCGAATCCTGCATTGATAAGGCGTCCCGGGGGAGAACCCCCAGACCCCCCTTCCTTTTCAGCTTCCCAGCGCACCTCAATCTCAGGCCAAGCTGAGTAGAGTATCCCGGGGGAGAATCCCCGGACCCCCCTTCTTTTCAGCTTCCCAGCACCGCAATTCTGTTGCCACTGGTATAAGATAAACTGGGGTACCAGGAAGCTGAAAGGAAGGGGGGTCCGGGGGTTCTCCCCCGGGAACGTCACCAGTCCGCATAGCACAGCTAACACAACCCTCATCAGCATTCATGGTACGACATTGCGCACCCCAAACACGACCCCTTCCCCGGCAGATGTAAGTACCCCTGCCCCCACCAGATACGCATATAACTAAAAACTATGCAGCATGGCTAGGCTACCTAACGCAAGAATCCGTCCTGGGCGCCCTAGGTGTCCCCGTCAATTTCACGGCGGCCTCACCGACGGTCGACCGCACTTTCGTGGACACAGTGGACCTCGATCTGGGCGGTTTCCTCGAGTCGATCGCCTACCTGCTGGACAGCGGGGTGAAGGTGCACATGATGTACGGCGACCGCGACTGGACCTGCAACTGGGTGGGCGGCGAGGCTGCCAGTCTGGCGGTGCCGTATTCCCGGCAGGCGGACTTCGCCGAGGCGGGCTACACGCCGCTGTTCACGGCCGAGGGCATCAAGGGCATGACCCGCCAGCTGGGGAACTATAGCTTCACGCGCGTGTTCCAGGCCGGCCACGAGGTGCCGTCGTATCAGCCGCTGGCGGCGCATGATATCTTCCGCCGTGCGACGTTTAATCTTGATATTCCGTCTGGATTGCTGGATGTCTCGGATGAGTTGCGCACGGTCGGATTAAATGATACGTCGGGTATCAGGAATGTGCGTCCCGCTGTGCCGGAGCCCAGGTGCTACATTCTCAGTCCGGGGACTTGTGAGCCGGAGGTTTGGAAGACGGTGCTGGATGGGACGGCGGTGGTCAAGAACTGGATTGTTATTGGTGTTGAGGATGAAGAGAGCGTGTTGGAGGATGGACGCAGTCAGGTTGTTCTCGGAGGGACTGCTTGATGCAGCTACTAAAAGGGTGGCTGGCATTGAGTGATTGCGGGTTGATGTGTCTGTAGGACGCAACTTCAACTTTCGCATGGTAACACTCAGAAGGACGAATCGTTAAAGTTTATAGTACAATTGAGCACATACTCGCTAGGAAATGACACCAACACCAGCCCAGCGTTTTTATCGTACACCGCCGCATCGCTACTCGGAGCTGCAGCTCCCACTGTCGCAAACGAGGTCGTCCGAGCAGTCATCATCAGAGGAGCACGTAGCGCCTAACCCCGTTAGCTCCATCTCCTTCCGCTGAGCAGTAAACGTACCTTCACAGTGACCGGACCAGGAGCAGGTATTAGTGTCCGTGTCCGTGGGGCTGGCAGCAGATTTGGTCGCCGACGCCGTCTTCGTTGGGGTTGACCCCAAATGCGATGCCAGAGCGCCCATGAGCTTGTCGCCCATGGATCGCAGGGTGGTGAAATTAGTGAGGTAGTTCTTTCCTAATGCACTGCTGGGAAGGACAGCATCCTTGCCAGTGAAGACGATGTCTATCTTGTCAGCTGGCTACCAAGAAGGAGCGGAAGAGATACGTACAGGTCACATCGACGGCGGCGTGGCCGTTGTCGCCGTTCAGCCCTTCATCCGGGAAACAGGTGCGGGCCATCAACCACGATGCTTCGCCCGTCACCTCCGGGTCGTCTCCGTTGGAATCGCCCAGGATCCCGTAGTACATCTTACCGTTGCTGAAGAAAAGCGGTCAATTGATATCTCGGCAGAGCGATGGTCCACTTACCAGATGACTGCGACGACGTTGTTACCCGGGAGGAGGTCCGTGTTGGCGGTCAGGAACTTGTCGGGGATGACGATGAAGGGGACCTCGTAGGCAGCGAGAGCACCCCAGTTCGTTTGGGGCTGGCCGTCTCCGTTGCCCTATAACGTCGTGTGGTCAATATCGTTCATGTCCGGAAAAGGAGAGGAGCTCACCTTGCACTTATAGTCGATTCCGTCGCAGTCCACATCCATGTCCGCCACCCAGCTGAGGGCCGCGCCCTGGGATTGTTAGACTCTTTGCATGGAACAGGCTTTTGGGGGCGTACATCGCTGAATTTGACCCAGTCATTGTGGATCGTCGACTTCGGGGAGTTCTTGTCTGTGTTGACTGGGTAGGTCGCCAGCGATGGCACGCTGCTCGCCTTGGCCGCTGCGGACTGGATTGCAGCCACGGGAATGGAACTGGCCGCTGCAAAGTAGCTGGCAGGAGGGCCAGCGGTGGGCGAGTTATACTTGGAGCCATCGACGGTCTGAGCCACGGCTGAGGCGGACAGGCCCAGGAGCGCCAGGCTGAGGGTGCTTTGGATAGCCATGGTTAAATGTGCAGTGAAGAAGAGAAAGTTGTTCTCGTGGAGGTGATATCGAGAAGAATGATTGTGATGGCGAATGCGGATAGCAATGGGCAGTTAGGCAGCATTTATACGAGTCCTATTGCTGTTGCGCGACGCCCACGAAGATCTTTTTGTGGCTGTCAGCACCCTCCTTGCCCTGTGCTTTTCGCCCCAACTAAGCTCGGAGCGATTTGGTCCAAGATAGGGCCACGGAATCAGATAAAGTAGAGTGTTCTTCACCAGCTCCGGGTGGTTGATCATGGTTCCACGGCCGGCTTATTTCTGAGGTCTTGGGCTTGCGTGCCTCCTCCGATCGTGACACCGTCACGCAGTATCCTGCAAAGCATTTCGACTCTCTCTCTGAGGGTGCAACAAGCCAGACTGACTGGGAAATGGCAATTGAGGGGTCAATGACCTGTCACCCGGGTCCGTATCCCGATCTGCAGTTCCGATCCATCATGCGACCCAAGACAGAAATAGCCGAATTGGATCGTTTCATAGAAAGAACGCTAGACTCTGATTTAGGATGATCGACGGCGATAGTGTGAGAAAGACCTCGAGGGGCGCGATGTGCCATTGGTCTCATCAGAGTGTGGAAGCGAACCGCCAAGACGGTTGAACTTAGGGCGAAGGATCGAAGGATCATGATGGATCCAGGGACAGACGGGGAGGAACAAAGACGCTGGGGGCAATTGAGAATTGGGGGCCAGGGATGACCAACAAGCTTACCTGGTAATTATCGAGTAGGGCATCGGATCGCTTCCGATCAACACGTGGATCCATGGATTGGGTGTGCTCTTTTTCATCTCTCTCATCTTTCTTGTGGACTGATGTGTACTGTATAGGCCACCTCAGCTCCCCTTCCCCCCCCTAGAACATGTCTCACTCATTATTCTCAACCAGAATCGATACATTGCGTGTGTGGCGTCATTTGCCCTGAAGAGAGAATATTGATGGCTTGAACTTCTAGGTGTGAGGTACTATTTCGGTGTGCCTTCACATCTCTCAAAGCGGCACTTTCCCTTCCACCTTCTCAATTCCTTCACATCCGATTTCATAGGCAACAATGTTCGGTCGCTGCTTCAGCTGATGATTGCTTCAGTGGTAAGAGGGAGTAGATTTATTAGCACGCGTTCCAGTCAGAGCTATGCTGACTTCTCAGAGACAGCGTGTCGTTCAAAGATCCGAAATTCAGACGATGGAAAGACGCATTTCGGCAACTGGCGTCGATCATTTGCCCCTTGAGCGATCTCCCTACCACCCCTCGTGAGTCAAAGGTCAGTACAGCACGTTTATAATGTACGATGCACTATCTTGCAGCGATGACGATGCTTGTCGGTAGGTAGATAAGGGTTTCCCAGACAAGGAAGGGTTTGTATAGCAACGGTGGCGGAAGATCCTCCCTTCCAGGGTCTTTGCAGGGATGAGGGTAGCACACCTTGCATCGCTCCCCTCCAAAGCCTAGATGTGCAGGGGATGAGCCGGGAATATAAATGAGGATGCTTGTCTCCATCCCCAGGTTCACGCATTCCAGTTTTCTTCGCATTCCTAATTTGACTGACACATTTCCCCTCCGATTTCCCCAAGAATGTTCTTTCGACATGCACTCGTTGCCACCACGGCATTTCTATCCGTATCGACGGCGCTCCCAGCAGTCGAACACAGCCCTTCTTCCCACTTATTGTCTCTACGTGATGATACGCAGTGCGGACCACGGAGTGCCTACTATGTCTGTTACCTGAACCATTTCCGAGGCTGCTGCTCGGTTGATCCCTGCGCTTTGGAGGCTGGTTGTCCCGACAACAATCACCACAGTCACCCGAACGATCACAGCTTCAATCTGTCTGCTGCCGAAGAAGTCCGACCAGTCTGCTCTCCGTCGGGGACGCAGATCTTCCAACCGCAGATGGAGATCATCTTCCCGACCGATCCGGCCGTGGACTCGATCACCACCGCGAACCTGAACCTGTCCCGCTCCGCTACCACGCAGTGGAATCAACTGATGAGTTTCAACTTGCCCAGCGAGGCCCGCCAGTGCACGATCGGATGGACGATCCCCGCCCGCCGTAACTTCACCGCTGGCTCCAACGCCCTGGTGCGGGTCATCGAGCATCTCGCCCCCGGGAATTCAACCCGCATCGGTGCTGCCGACTTCTCCTTCTGGCCGGACACCCCCGGACCCCATGAGGCTCTCGTTGGAACCACAGCCTGCAAGGAGCACTTGCAGTTCCAGTTGATCTTGGAGCATCGCGATACCGTCTTCATGGAGCAGAATGAGAGGACCGGCTGGTGGGTGCGCTACACCTGTTGATGGGGAGTGGCTCGTGGGTGAATCGATTAGCTTGGTGATGGTGACTTTCTTGTATTTTGACTTGGGACATGGCTTGGTGTTTGGTAGATAGGTATATAGAAGTAATGACTGATAATGAAATCCTGTGATGATGATCTTGTTCAAGCAGATCTGCTCTCCTCCTTGGGCAAGGGGTTATTGCATGCTCGGCTCTGAATTTGGGCCTCGTGCAGTCACACACTATGCACAAACGATGAGCAAGAAGAAGCTTACTGTCCATCAAGCCGGGAGATGTCTGACGCGCCCCTAGAGTTCTTCATATCTTGTCCGCAAATGAGGTCCAAGTTTAAGTTGGTACCAAACCATGCGCAATTGATTCCTCCAAAAGGCGAATCAGATCCTTGTTCCCGCGGAGAGACCGGACGCTGTATAGAGACTGATGCCGGTTTTCCCAGACGTTCAGGCTCTGTCTTCAAGACACTGGGGGCGAAAGGATGGCCTAGTCTGAGTTGGACTGCAGATTACTCGAAGCAGAGATTGTTGGTGTTTCGAACTGTCTCATTAGCTCGTATTCCCTCACGGGCCAGGAGCTCGGCCTGAACTTGCGGGTATCCATTTTCCCAATCCGGATGGGCCAGTCGAGCGGCGATGGATTGATATGAGATAATGAGGAAATATCCAAGGATGGGGCCAGTTAGCAGAAGGCGTTATATAGCATACAGTGCGCAGACATCGTCATGGGATAACCCTCGGTCGCATCGCATACTTTGACACTATCATCCAGTATGGCACCCAAGGCAGCTTTCCTCGCCGCCACGGCTCTGGCATGGCCAGCTTTCACCCAAGCATACACTCTCAAAGACAACTACATGGCCAACAACTACCAGGACTTCTTCAACAAGTTTACTTTCTGGACCGGTGCGGATCCGACCAAGGGCCTGGTAGATTATGTCGACGAGGCCTCTGCCTGGAACAATGGCCTCATCGGCAATGGAGGCAACATCTACCTCGGGGTGGATAATACCAACAAGGTCGGCGATGAGGGTCGCAAGAGTGTTCGATTGACCGGGAAAACGGCCTATGGCCCTGGCACTCTCATCGTGGCAGATATTGCTTATATGGTGAGCGAGCAATAGCTTTTCGATTTGCATCAATGGCACGATATAAATACTGACTCGATGACCAGCCGCAAGTCTGCGGAACCTGGCCAGCCTTCTGGATGACAGCTCAATCGGACGACTGGCCCCAGAGCGGAGAGATTGACATCGTTGAGAATGCGAACAACGCGCAGAACAATCAAATGTCTCTGCACGTCAGTGAGAAACAGGGACAATGCAGCATCGCCCCCAATCCCTCGATGACGGCGACTAAAGATCGATGGGGCAATTGCGCTGAGGAGGTCAATGGGGGGTGCGAGGCCAACGATCCTCGCACGAACAGCTTTGGCTCGGGCTTCAACAACAATGGCGGTGGTGTTTATGCAATGGAGTGGACCACGCAGGCGGTGCGTATCTGGTTCTTCCCCCGTGGCTCTATCCCGAGTGGTAACAGTGGACCTTTGGGCGCTTCGCCGGACCCAAACACATGGGGCACGCCCACTACGAACTTCCAGAGCAAGGATGGCAGTGGCTGTGATATGTCCTCCCATATCAGGAATCAGCGCATCGTCATCGATACGACCTTCTGTGGTACTTGGGCCAGCGGGACGTGGTCGAGCTCCGGGTGCGCTTCTAAGACCGGGTATAGCTCCTGTGAGGATTATGTCAAGAATGTACCAGGAGACTTCAAGTATGCTTTCTGGACGTTCAAGTCCCTCAAGGCTTACACTTGAGCATTGATATTTGCTGGTCGGTCAGTCGATGACTTTAACCTGTTTGAATGTATATACCGTGTATACTATCGATCATAAGTTACTCATTTGGGCGCACACACTTGTCTCTCACTGTCCGGGGTCTGTGAATGCTAGAGGATCCGTCTCAAGGGACAGGCTTTGGTGGTAGTGCTGTGATATAAATCTTCAACACACCAATTCCAGTGCTTGACGCTGAGGCCACGGGGCTGGTCTCCTATCATGGCATTTTCCAGCAGAGTTGCTGTTCGCGGCATTCTCCATGCAAGGCCTCCGCTGAAAAGACTGCAGCGGCAATTGTCCGTACTTCGAGTAAGGTGTCTATTCTTTATAAGCTACTACATTAATGCGGAGCAATCGATTATTGTGAATGGAGTGACCTGTCTCCGCCTCAACGTGCTCTCCAAATGGGCGTGCGAAAAATTCCTGTCTGTGGAGTTGGAGCGTTTGCCTTCCGAGCAGGACGATCTCGATCGCCGTGCCCGCGAGGCCAATCTCCAGGTTCTCATGGAGCGTACCTTGCACAGTCCTCCATCTCAGCAGAGAACTAGGGTCGCTTTTGGCATTGTGGCTATTGGTAGGTACAGCTGTTTTCACAAACTTGAGGAAGGCTGTCAGCGTGAGTCGATCATGGTGGAGGATATAAGGGTGTTTCATATGAGCAAGCAAGCGCGCTCGATTGCTTACATCTTGCAGAATCACGTCAAAGAGTGACATTGGCTGGCCCAGAGCTTTCAGGTACGTCCCTATCTTTCCATACGGCCAATTAATTTAAGCACAGCATTCACGATAAAAGCAGGTTCAACAAAGGTCCCCAGCCACTACCACATTGTAGTTGTCCGAATCAAACTCCTTTTCGTTGATATACTGTCCATCAAAGCATTGAATCATGATATGCTCAGCATAGGTGGCCAGGTACGAGCCCTCCGGCTGGATTGCCCATGCGTTCTGAACACCTGTTGGTCCTCCAGCTTTGAAGCATAACAGCACATATCCACAATGGCGGACTTACATCATTGCAGAGGTAGATGGCAGAGTCATACGAGCAGCTGATGCGGGCGCAGGTACAAGGGCCGGCGCCTACTTTGCACACCCCGTCCAAGGCGAGCAAATACTGGATGCCCTTGATGATCCATGGGTGAATGGCAGTGTCCGAATGATCTCCCTCGATGTTGCACAGTAATTTGTTCTGGTGGATGCTTCATCGACTGTTACCGTATTCTATACCAGCTCAGGGACTAGCTGACTTTGTTTCTTTTCTGGACCACACGGTGCATTTCCACATCGGCCTCGCGGCTTCGGCTCTCCAAAAACTGGCTAGAGTTGTAGCCGGGGTTGAGGCGTTTGATCTGCTGGTGAACGTCTTCGATTGTTCCCAATAGCTCGACTTTCTCGCCATCCTCGGTGATGATTCCCCCATACGTCATCGGCACGACGGTCAAGCCCCTGGGCACATGGTTCGTCACGAGCGCCTGGTCGATTGATCAGCACAGATCTTGTATTAGTGCATGGCTGCCTACCATTGAGGTGCTCGCAAGACCAGCCAGAATAAATGGTGTCTTCATGTTTGGAAAACTGGCTGTTATGATGTCTTCGTTGTGTGATGAAATCACTGCCCTTCTCCAGTAACAGTCAACGCTCCTATACTCGTTTCCTGGCACGAGCCTCTCACCCCTTTCCTTCAGCTCCTCGAGCCGTGCAGTATGATCTGGTCCTGCAAAAGTCCTCGAGGTTCCAAGAAACGGGGCACAGGGGGCCATTCAGTGTCACCGACATCCTTCAGCTTGGCGAGAGGCACTTGCAGAGCCGTTGTGCAAGGATTGATAGCTTGTGCTCAAAGCCCCACGTACTTCCTTGGTATTTTCCAGGTGTCGAATCATAGTACTTGCGTGATTTTCTCGTGGGCTTAATCTCCATGTGTGTACTCCTTCAGCCCCCTGTCGTGGGGGCCGACGGAGCCGAGAATATCTCCCATTTGCTAAAAGGAGCTACACCCGGTTCGTGTAACGTATCCTTGAGTAGAAAAAGCCTGGCATGACAGGCTGGAATGTAGGGATGTTGCTGCTGTTAGCTAACGGCAGCCCTACGACCCGTCCCACTTGAACACCAAGTGAAACCGACACTATGCATCTACATTGCTTGTTCGATTGCTGAATCGTGTGAAGGCAAATGGCTCAGTGCGGAGATAACTTTCGCCACGGATTTAAGAAGAGATGAAGGCAGCGTATGAATATTCTTGATGCGCTCCCTTCAGAAGAGTTCGATGTTAGACATTGGCCAGGGCCACCAAGCAACAGGTGGAATCCACCAGCCTTCAAACCATCATGACTGGGCTGAGACCTACAGTCTACTAAAATGTCATCTTCTACTCCGGCAGATGTGACTGCAATGATACTATCAGTACTTAGCAAAGGACTTGAGCCTTACCAGCAATCACAAAGGGGCAGGTTGGATGACGTCACGTGAACATGTACTTTCCCCACCGTCTGTGCTCATCACATGACCATGCAATAGAACGGGCCAATGGACAGTGAATGTTATCTGGATAGCTCACCCTTCCGACCGATCGAGCTGTTTGTCCCCTGTCTAGTTCCTGTCCCAACGATGTGTTGGGCCAATCCCCCAGTCCATATTCGACGGGGATTCATGATGCCTGCGCAGCCACAGGGCATTCCCCCATCGCCTGAAATTGCGTCTTGGGCTGATGGGGTTCTCCCATGGCCCCCATGAAGTCTGACACAGTCCGTTCAGTCCCTCTCGACTAATTTCCCTTTCTCTGTGCGGCTGACAGACTGGTCTCATGAGGCAAGATTAAAACAAAACAAATCCTCCAACTCCTGCCAGGGATGGCTTCTGAAACCTCCCCCGATGAACACCACCTACTCGAATTCCATCGCACTGTCGACCTGGACCTGGACCTCAACACCACACTGCCCCCGATCGACGAGGATGGCGAAATGGGGATCAAGCCTGCTGTCAGTTCCACCCCCATTTCAAGCCCCGACATCGACTCTGCCCCGCAGCGCCGTGGCACAAGTGTGACTGAACTCGAACCCCACGACGTCTATCAATTGATGAACTGCCCCTCGCATGAGCCGGTCATTGAACGCTGTTGCTCGTGGTTCTTCGCAACTGTCATCGTCCTCTCCACTTACACCACCCTCCTCTCGGGCCTGTTCCTCATCATCGCGTGTCTGAAACCATACTATGGCAACCTCGTGGGTGACACGGGTGGACTGGCGCCTTCCTCGGCGACTCTACTCAGTGCCTTCTTCGCGAAAACCATCGAACTGTCCTATGTGACAGTGAGTGTGGCATTCGTGGGCCAGCTGCTCAGTCGCAGAGCTTTGCGTCGAGGGTCACAGGGCATCAGCATATCCGATATGAGTCTACGCATGTGGATCACGCAGCCGGGGTCTCTGTTCATGCAATGGGAAACTTTGCGCTACTCCGGAGGGACACTGTTGGGCATCATTGCGCTGATTGCAACCCTCGTCTCGATGCTTTACACGACGGCTGCGGAAGCACTTGGTGAGCAGCGACTGTCCCACGCACTCTATCCATTTCCGCCCGTGGTAATCTCTGCTAACTCCATGCGTCATGGTAGTGTCTCCCAAGTCAGCTATGGGCCCTGTGTACGAACGACTACTCTATGGCAACGTATCCACCCAATTCGCGAATCCGACGTATCTCGAAGCGCAATGTGACACTCCCATCACCGCCACCATCGATCCGTCCGCCAGTCGGAACGAGACTTGTGTGTCCATGGAGATCGTCGGTCGGGCTTACCACGACTTTGAGCAATACATGGAGCAATGGAGTGGGTTAGCGCAGGCGAACAATGCCACCTCGACCTCATTGACCACCCGTCTCAGGCCCCATGGGTCGCTGTACGATAACACCACCGTGACGGGAAGCTGGATCGAGGTTACCGACATGAAAGCCACCTCTGAGAGATTCAAACGCATGGTCAACAATGTCACCGCGGCGTTCCCGCATGGTGGCTTGTATGACGCGGCGCGCAACCCTCGAAATGGTATCAGGCAGCCAAATGATGTCACCGGCGACGGGAAATATATCCTTCAAGCTTCTGTACCGGCCCCAGCTATCAATGTCTTGTGTGCAGGCCTGTCGAAAGAAGAGCTGGTGCCCATGATTTACACAGAGTGGCCCAATCACGAGCCGTTCAACGCAACTAGCTGGTACACCAAGGCTCCGACATACTATCAGAACACGAATAAAACGGTGGTGGATGAAGTCTTCGGATTTGGGCCAGGCACAGATCAACTGACTCCCGTCTTTCCCATATATCCAACAGAGTTCAACACCATCTTCAACGCCAAGGTCGAGAACTCATCTGCCCTCTACCTGTTGGGTACCACGCCTGTCGGTCATAACCCGGCCTACGTGCTTTGTGCACTGAAAGCCAAGCAATCGGGTTTATGCTCAGCTCAGTACCAGGTGGACTCGAGTGGCGCGGAGTTGAGCACGCGCTGTGAAGATCCAAAAGATGAGCTGCAGTACAGTCGGCGCGTCCCGGATGTTTCGGAAGACTATTACGAGATTAACTGGAAGAGTGTCGGGTGGCTGTGGCTGGATGCAGTCAGCCTAGGATCTGGGATTGCAGGCGAAGATGCCAGCATCGAACGACTCTTGATGCAAATGGTTCCTGCCTACGACAACAGCAGCAACACCGCTTCCCTCAACGCCAATCTGCCTTCCATCGCCGAAGCTATGGCGGTCTTGACCAGCGTCACCCTCATGATCAGTAGTCAAGACGCTCCTTACGTCCCATTCTGGAACTACAGTGCCCCGATTCTGTCGCCTCCAGTGCAGCAGGTGTTCAACGCTACACTCCAGTCTTCCGGATATGCCTCCGGCAATGCCGTCGCCTGGCAGAAAAGCTTCTACGTGGTCCTTGTCCTGGCATTCCTCACCAGTGTTCTCTTCATGGCGTTCTTCATGGTCGAGGTCCGCGGTCGCCTACTCAATGACTTCACCGAGCCATCCAGCATGTTCTCCCTGGCTATCAACAGCCCTCCCACCGCACGGCTGCAGGGCGCATGCGGGGGAGGCCCATCTGGTCGACAACTGCAGGATCGATGGCACGTGGGCATGGTGGAAGACAGCCACCACTACTACATCCGACCCATTGCTGACGGGGAGTTCGTTCCGCCTGACCCGGGTTCTGATGACGAGACCGGAAAGGGAGGGGGAGCCCATCTCGCCGTTCATGAGTACCGCAGCGTTTCGCGTGGAGCCGCCAGCCCGATGTCATTTCTGTATTGACCCCAACCACCAGCATGGCCAAGTCAATGATATTCACACGCCTGTTGGATTTAGATTAATGTAATACTCAGCAAGGGGAATGATAATGATCAGTTCATCACACATCTTATGCATCACTTCTATTGACTTTTGGTACAACCAGAGCTTGACCAGCTTGCCAAATACTGGGCCAAAGGCACGACTGCCGCGATAAATCGTAGTTCAAGACGCCATTAACGCATTTTACAGTGAAGAAGTAAAGCCCACAATTTAGAATACTGCCTGCAGCCCACGCCATATTGGCTCATGAGATACCGGCCAAGGATGGAGGCCTCAGGCAGCACACCAGGTCATATGACCAGGTTGGAGCTGATAAGGGTGGAGTCACATGCCGACCATCCAGGCGGTCAGCGACGATAACATCAACAGTCTCGAAGGTTATCTGAGAAGACATTCCTCAATGTATCGGTGACTTGCATGAGGCCACGCTCTATCACCTGTGCAGCTGCTAATCTTGTCGAATTATTACAGTGACCACAAGTGCGGGGACGGACAGCATCAATTTGCACGACTGATGGCGTGATCGCACCGCATCAACTCCTTCGTCGATTGCCTTTTTATCACTATCACCTGTCAAACCACCAACAACAATTGCAAGCATGTCTGGGCTCAATAACTTTCACGAGGGAACCACGCAGCCATTACTCACCGAGCAGAATGCAAGAAGCTACGATGCAACCGCTCAAGAAAACCCGGCAGGGGAAGGTCCCCAACCACGCGCGTTCAAGCGCAACTTGGGCACCATTGAAGCGTTCGGCATCATCATCAGCATCGTGATCGGCAGTGGAATCTTTACCTCTCCGGGTTCAATCGATACCAACGTTCCCTCGCCCGGAGTGGCCTTGGTGGTATGGCTCGTGGGAGGTATCCTGGCCTGGACGGGCGCCACAACAATGGCAGAGTTGGGCACCGCGATTCCGGGTGAAGGTATAAATCCCGAACGTACTCAGTCTCTGGTTTGCTCGGTCGCTCACACGGTAACTACTCAGGTGGTGTGCAGCCGTATCTGCAGTATATCTTCGGTGATCTCTGCGGGTTTCTGGCGGCTTGGACGTGGATCATCGCCGTCATGCCCGCGACGCTGGCCATCCTCAGTATCGTCTTTGTCGAGAGCATCTACTCCGCCGCCGGGGTGACTGACCAGGCTGCCGCGCTGTCGCACAAGCTGTTGTCGGTTTTGGTTCTAGTCGTTGTCAGCGTTGCCAATTCGATTAGTACCAAGGTCAGCACCCGGCTCAATGGGTTCTTCGTCAGCACCAAGTTCGTCACGATCGCTGCGATCGTACTGGCTGGCCTGGGTGTTGTTGTTGCCCATCTGGTCAAGTCCGATAGTAGAAGTGGGTCGCAAGACTGGTTTCGCAACCCGTGGTTTGGCTACCGCGACACAGTCACTCCGGACGGAAAGGTGATTGACTGGCATGATGTGGCGGGCTGGGAGATGCTGGGGTACTACTCGACTGCATTGTATGGTGCGCTATGGGCGTACTCTGGATGGGATAAGGTCCGTCTTCCCTTGCGAGAGGTCATAGGACTAAGCGCTGAAATTAGTAGGCCATCTACATCACCGCAGAACTCTCCGCACCAGCACGCCAGCTTCCTTTGGCGATCAACTCCGCGGTCCCTATCATAATCCTCTGTTTCATCGCGGCAAATGCGGCCTACTACATCCTCCTGCCATGGAATGTAGTCTCCACGACAGACAGCGTGGCTGTCGTACGTTCAAACCCACTTTTGTCGATTTGTGCACGCAGCTAATACCACTAGACCGCTATCACGCATCTCCTCGGCCCGGCAGCCGGCGTCATCGCAGCAGTACTCATCTGTCTTGTGGTCGCGGGATCACTTCTCGGAAACTCCTTCGTCGCAGGACGCATGGCCGTTGCTGCCGCGAACAGAAACTGGCTGCCGCAAATCCTTGGAGTCATCGGCCATCTTGGCTGGCCTGCCGACTCCCGCCGAAGAACGGACTCAGACGCACCCATCAACGCCATCATTCTCTCGACCATCCTCCCGATTTTCTACATTCTCTTAGGCAACTTCCGTGCTCTGCTCACCTTCAACGGATTGGGCGAGTACTCGTTCTTCTTCATGACGGTAGTCGGAGCGATCCTGCTCCGCTTCCGCGAACCCGACCTTGAGCGCCCGTACAAGCCCTTCCTTGGAATCCCGATAGTGTTTGCGTTGGTGAGCGGATTCGTGGTGACTCGGGGAGCGGTATTTGCGCCTTTGCAGGCGGTCATTCTGATTGTACTGTGGGCAATCGGCGCTGGATTCTATGTTGTTCGCAAGCGGTGGCTGAAGGGGGAAAACGGCTATGCTACGGTGTCTTCTGGTGAGGCGGACGGGGCGGGTGAGGAGTGATAGTGCGGGGGATTTTTACTTATAATCAAGTAGAGGTGCATGCGATGAACCGGCAATCTCATTGATTGCATTCAGAGAATAGTATGCATGCGTGGAAGGTAATGACGCATGTGAAGTCACATAGAGAAACCCATTGTGATTACAACTCAAGAAAGAGATTAAGATGAGTACCTGAATCAAAGACAGGGAAGCGAGTATGCAGTCCAGGAAGTCATGCAGACCACTAGGTAATTGGTTTCAGTTCACAAGTGCACTAGTCTCTCAACCCAAAGAAAAGTAGCAACCTCATAATCATGTACTTTGTGTATCCTTCTGTAGCAAGCGACCAACATACTCTACCAACGCCAACACCTTCTCGTCCTCCAAGCGACGACCAACCAATTGCAGCCCAACAGGAGCACCATGAGCAACGTCACAATCGTCTATCCTCATTAGCCAAATCATTCTACAACCATCACGGGGGATACATACACTGAGACTGAATCACTTCATCCATCTCACTCAAAAACACATCCGGCCTCTCCGCCTTATCCACCACCCTATCCGCATACGTCACAGGAAACACCACGGCGGGGTAATCAAGCACGTTGACAAAGGGCGTATCCCCGTGCTTGTATTGACCAGGGAGGAAAGCCGCATAGGGACACGTGGAACAAATGAGCGCGTCAACCGGACGGCCAGTCCCTGTCAGTGCGGCCGTCGAGTTCCAGTATACCAGATATTCCTTCTGATACTGGCGCTTCTGAATGTTCAAAGCTGCGATTTGCATGGCGTTTTGTGGCTCGCTGGGCTGCAGGAAACATTCTGCGCGCTGCTCTTCGCCGGAGAGCGCGAGGTGGGCTTGGATGTCTGCTCTTCCGTCTAGGTGGAATATTTGCATCTTGCTTCCTGTTTAGTTTGCGACGCAGTGGTCAAAGAGGGACAGGTCATACCGCAATGTCAAATGCCGTTTGATGGCTGGGAGGGTTCCATTCGATTACCTGGACAATCAAATCAGCAGGTACACAAAGCAAAAGGTGCTTGGTGCTGGACACGTACCCGGTGGCCCTGGGCTTCCAACAGCCGCCTAACCAACGCCAGTGCCCGCTTAACAGGAGGATGGGGCTGCACCTTGCCGTCGTCGTACATGATCCCAAAGCAGAGCCGATCTCGCGCAGCCTGTTGCTCGACGGCCTCCCGCCAGGGTAACTGCAGGGCCAAAGGATCATGATACCACGGTTCCTGCAGCAAGACAGCCTTAAAGAGCAACTTCAGCGAGCGCGCGGTGGTCGCCATGGGGCCCACGACCGAGAGCATGCAATTCTGGCCATCCATGGTATTTGCGGCGCCCTCGTACGGCATGCGCCCCGCTGAGGGCCGCAGACCGAAAATGCCATTGAAGGTCGCAGGCAGGCGTATGCTCCCACCAATATCGGTGCCAAACCCGGCCGGCGACCCGCGCAGGGCGATCAGCGCGCCCTCGCCCCCGGAGCTTCCCCCCGCGGAGAGGTGGCGGTTCGTCGGGTTCCAGGTGTAGCCGACGATGTTGTTGGCCGTCTCCGCGGCCATGAGCGTGGTCGGGACGCTGGTCTTGCAGAAGAGCACGGCCCCCAGGTTGCGGAGCTCGCGCACCAGTTCGCTTTCGTGGGTACGCGCGGAGGTCTCGAGCTTGCGTTGGCCTTCAAAGGTCCCGATCCAGCCTACGTAGCCGATTGTTGTCTCCACGCCCTTGATGTGGAATTGGTCCTTGAGGCTTACGGGTAGGCCGTGCAGCGGGCCCAAAGGCTTCTTGTGTTCCGCGAAGTAGGCGTCCAGTGCCTTCGCGGAGGTGATGGCCTGGTCGAAAAAGATCTCCAGGAGGCAGTTTACCTGATACAGTTTGTGGATTCAGTAGGGGTCGGTTATTGTAAGTGTATGCTACATTCCCCACGCACCAGCTGGTGAGCTATGGCTGCTCGATGACAGAACGCTTCCGTCACTTCGAGGGCGGTCCATGCCCCCGTCGTTGTCCGCTCCGTGATTGAGAGAGCATCGCACTCGGTGATCTCGATCTCGCGGTCGGTCAGGTATTGCTGGATATATTTGCCCGTCACGTCGGGCTGTTCATCGTCGGAGGGAAGCCGTTCTTGAATTCGCCACTGGGCGGGAATGGCTTCGAAAATGGCTTGGCGCTTGGCAGCGGCCTTTTCTTGCCAGCGAGGTGGAGTGGTGGCCATGGTGTTGGGTGATGGTTAAAGAGACTGGTAGAGGCAGTTGAGCGGGTGCTTGGTTGGTTTATCAACCGGATGGAGAGGTCAAGACACCGTGTTGTCAATCGTCTAGCAGGGATCAATTAGCCTGTTGGCGAATCGGCGGAGTTTAGTTTAGGCTTCTCTCTCGGGATACTCTACAGTACCCTGCCTGCCAAGACCATTATACGAGAGATTTTTGAAGCAGCGTAAGGGTGAAAGAAGTACTGTTGTCTGTCTTATTACACCAGGATATCAACTGTAAACATCTGACCATATTTTTCCTTTGTTTATTGCTTTCCTGAGGATGATAGTCGGCCTAAAGGGGAAGCTCCGGTCGTATAGCATTTCGCCATCCCGGCCACGCACAGGTGAGTGAAAGACCATCAAACACAGACATAGCATTCTTGTAACAGAAGTCCTCGGTAGTTGGAAACTATCTTCAACTTTTGTGTTCAACTCGCTGTTCGGATTACATAGGAAGTACATCAAACAAGGAGGCATTTGTACTTGCATCAACACACATGCACGATACACCATCTCACAATCAACGTCGTTCAAACACTGGAAGCCAAGATTCTTCCAATCCAGCACGCAACCCAGTTAGGTCCAGTAACAGGAACCGTACATAGCTTAAGCGGTATCCGGGTAAAGAAAGCCCATCTCCAGCAGCCGATGACATATGAACTCATATCGTTCCCTAATCGACTGGGCAATCTCCATCCTAAGTTGCCCACGCTGCTCATGTGACATGTAACTTCCCTCGCGCCAGAGTTCCGGGATCAAGTCCCTGATAATTCCAAGCCGAGTGCCATCATCGACAGCAAGTTCCTCTCCCATACAGACCGGACACGGCTGTCTCACTTTCGGATCCTCGTTTGTTCCAGTTTCCATCAGGTTTCCGGGAACGGAGCCGGGATCGATCATATGCTCTGAGTCGCAGACGGGGCAGCGGTCGTTGAAGTAGTGTTTGAACACGTCTCTGTCATTCATTAGAGCACTAGAGGAGGTGGTGGAGGGGGCAGCGAAGAAGAACCAACCTGCCGTGCGGATTGACGATCAGCGTGAGGCCGTGGGCTTGGGCGTCGATACCCGCGTTCTTGAAAAATCCGGCAAGGTCGACCGTCGCGGTAGACCCCACGTCCAGGTGCTCGTTGCACAGGCACGTAGACTCTGGTACTCGATGAGGTGGTTCGTCTGGCTCGTAGTCGTACTCGATCTTCGGACCCGAGGGCATCCAGTAGCCTTGTTTGAACGGGATGTGCCAGTTTATCTCGTTCAATATGACTTTGTGATCTTCGGGAATAGTGCTTGGACTTGGCGTGCCCATGACAATGAGCATGTACGCTTTGTTTGGGCTGTGGACGAGGATGAAGTCTCCTATATTGATGGGCTGGTTGAGAGTGGTCATCTTGAGATCGTCAAATACCTTTCCAAACGCAAGGCACAGATGCTTTGAGGACAAGGGTAATGAAAAGGGGAAAGTTAGAAGTGGATGGAACCAGGGGGTTATGTGAGAACTAATGGGGGAAAGAAATGGACAAAAAAGAAATTCAGATAGGTGATCAAGCGCTGGGATTCAGTTGTCTAAGAGGTCGTTATATACAGCAAGGCTGGGTATTCACTGCGTAGTTGTCTGCCATCTGACATGGGTTCAGGTCTGCTAATGCCAGAGTGAACTTTTGCACCGATACTGTTGAGTGAGATCATTCACTAAGACTGTCCAGTTACCCAGGGTATAGCTGTATAAATGAGCTGTGAAGGTGAAATATATTCACTTTCCAATTCTATACACAAATTCCCAAATTTTCACTAGGAAGACTTTACCAAAAAGATTAGGTTGCGCATATCTAGGAGAAGCGAGAACCTCCGGGCGAAGTACAAACGCACGGTAAACACCTGCAGGCTTGTTGAGATAATCTAGGATAGAGACATGTCCAGGTCATTGTATTATTAAAATTACGAGTATAGTGGTGAAGTAGGAATGACAGAAGAGATAGCCACGTGGTTTGCGTCCATCACTATAGATGGGAACAAGATGATAGCCTCTAGCCTCCTAGGCCAGTCATTAGAACCGCACGCACAGCGTCAGTCGCCAGTAGGAAAGATATTTTACAGGGTACTATTAATATGTGACAAGACCTAAGAAAGGAGATTTAGTAAACTGGCAGCGAAAACCGCGTGCAGAGGTCAGGTAGCTCAGTTCTGGCGATTGCCCTGGATGTCCGCCTCGGAAATGCTGTAATAGTCTCTGTAGAAGTTTAAGCCACCCTTCAAGCGCAGGAGAAAGTTCACGAGGAACCCCCAATGCTCAGCGTTATTGAATTCGATGACACCTTCATGCTGCAAGGCGCCCCCAGGCCGAGCGACAGGTACGCCGCCCACGCGACGCCATTCGTAAATACGGAACTGTCCATCGATCCAAACAATCCCACAGATCGGTGTATCCGGGGAAGCCCATCTCTCTATTGTCTCCAGCTCTTGGGCTATAAGCTGAACATATGTGTACCAGCACCAGTTGAATTGGGGCCCGGGTTCGGTGAGGAGGCAGAAGAACGGTCCGGACGTAGCTTGCCAGGCATGTATAACATCGTAGCTAAAGTCAGCCGTCTTTCTCATGTGAATATACGAATAACCTTCCTCACGGGTAAAGATTTGCTGAAGCAGAGTGATTACTCGATAAGGCGAGGAGAGATCTCGTTCGTCGAGCATAGGTCCCAAGCTTCCTTCCGCCGGCGCTGGAATAGTGAACTGGTCTTCGGGCGCAATGAAAGAAAGACTCTGTTCGGCGAGCATGCGTCCAAAGCCTTCTTCCCCGGGCGCTGGAAGAGTGAACTGGCTTTCGGCTGCAATGGGGAAAGGATCATAATCAGGCAACATAGGACCTGGGTGTAGTTCTTCCTCCTGCATCTGTGCAGAGAATTCGTCTTCAAAAGCATCGGAGCTGCCATGACCCGCCAAGGTAGGAAGGGTATCTTCTTCATGTCTGGAGACAGGAGGCAGTTCGACAAGCCCAGTTACTGCGAGGTACTCCTCCTCAAACTGGGATGGGTGAGTGTCGCTCTCCTCTGCGAGCTCCGGGGGGAAGTGTCGTGCACTCATTCTGGTGGAAATTCGATGGAGCCACGCACAACCCTGAGCATGGAAACAGACGTGGAGAGCTTGATGGCACACTTCAGTCGTTGGAGGCAAATCTACTCTTTTCTTTCATTGGGAGATGGCACATAATGAAGTCGATTATTTGCAGTATTTATAAGAAAGGCATGCTTTGTAGACAGCCGGATATTGGTCGATCATTTCATTGTCAGGCACTGGGAAGCTTCTTTTGGCAGAGAAATCTACCATGAAAATTAGCATTGAATGTCGAATCGAGAGATATTCCCCGGTCAGAAGAGCTGTCCCCTCGGTGTGCTGCATCACCTCCCTTACGTACTGTCGCCATCTATCGAGCACGATGCGCAATGTGCGAAGCCTTGGGCTAGGACCGAGAACTGAAGACATTTTGATCGATTTAGCAAAAGGATTCGCAAGATCTCTGCATCATTCGGCCAAGGGAACGAAGGCACGCTGTATAATGGGGCTATGAAAAAATTACGAGACTGTTTGTAGCGTGCCCTGTCACTGAACATGAATAGTCATAATGCAAGATATTTTGCTAGAGCGGCTTCTTGGCAAAACTCATTTGCTGTACGACAAGCGCAAGGTGAAGAACTCCGAGCTCATTGATATGGATCGATTGATCCAACGGTGTGCGCGAGGAGAACACGGAGACAGGACACGGGGTTTTTTCTTCTTCTCAGAGAGGATGCACGGCACCGCTCGCGAAGCTCAGATTGCCAGCGAACTCGTGCCTAGCGGATACACTGCATTTCTCAGATGGCGCCACGCTTACTATGACTCCGGATATAGCGAAGACGAAAGCGAAGACCACGGTCTCATCTCATGCTTTGCTCTTGGAGACGGGACGGAAACACCCGAATCTAGATAGAAAAGCAATGATGGACCAGTGCCAATGACTCGGGATGATAGCAAGAGAAAGAAAGAAGGAGGACGGATTCATCAAAAGTTTTGATAGTTGTATAACGAGGGACTCTGACTGCCTGGGGCATTAATTGAATAGTAGATCATTACCAATGGTCATTCAAGAGAAGTCCCGGCAACCCATCATCATTTTGATTGTTGATAGATAGACGGACCCTTCCACACCATCTGGACAAAGACTAGGTAGTGCTTTGTAACAATACACAATGGATGAACAACCACTAAATGGAGGCGCGATGCACATAAATACCGAAGCATATTCACGGACGAAACATCCACACCTGCTATCTGCACCCTTTAATCACCACGCATAACCGCACATAATCAGGAAGACAACAAAGTCAGAAGGGACTCAAGTGACCTGCAACATGTCGGGTCCTCCTCAGATTGTGAATTTATTGCAGGCTCTGTTTCCAGATGACCAAGGATATGTCGTCCACTTCATTGAAGACGAATATGAGGATGGTTCCTCGGAGGGCGCAGCTACAGTCTCGTACGACGGTGAGTGCTTCATGATAGTGTTGGTGGGCAACTCGGATCACCCCGACGATGTCCTCGTGTCTGAGCTGGTGAAGCCTCGCTTTGAACTGATGCGGGCCGCAGCCAGGCATGGCTGGGACCACGTCGGTTGCGTGTGTATCGATAATAAGGTGAAGGCGTGGAAGCATGCTAGAAACGCAGGTGACAATGACCCTGCCACTCGCATGGTGGTCGAGCTCCCCGTCACTCGCATGGTCGTCGAGAACCAGGAAACGTTCGATCTTGGAAGACCGATACAGCGGACCCTGTTCGCCGCGCTCTGTGCACTCATGAAAAGCATGGTCACTAGCGGCGCGAATGGAATATAGGGTTCCATAGACAGTACTCGTAAGATTGAGAGTCGTCCACGGTGAATTTCCGCCAGCGTCTCATACCACAAGGCAGTATTTTGCTAGGTTAGGTCTTTCCGCTCCGCCCATTATGGCAAATATCAGAAAATTTCAGTATAATTCGAGGTATTCGAGTTTTTAAGTCCAACTGTAAGCCCTGTAAGCCCTGTAAGCCGTGCACTGTACAGAATAGAGCCAGCCACGAGCAATATGTGAATGCTGAGCAGTACAGTACCTAGTCTAGAGCCATGGATCTACCATGAATTTACCCTCTTCTCGCGCCCAACTTATTTTGGTGGTGCTGACTCATCCCTGCCCCTGACATGGATAGCTTCAATTAGTGCTGACACGGAAGTGATGCCAGTTCCCCAATGGTTACACGCAATAGCTTACTGTGGGTCATGTGAATAGTTAGTGTCAACCTTCCTAGAAAGTCAAATGAACCATTACCTAGTTACACTCGGTCCCTTTGCTCTTTTTCTCTTTGTTCCCTTCTTCCCATCCATTATGATTTCTCTTGAAACTCCAGATGGGCTTTCTTCTTCCATCCGTGGGCATTGCCACGGCCCTTGTTGGGGTAATTTGGCTTATGCGAAGGCTCAGCTCATCCCCACCACCCTTGAACGCCCAACAGCATGATGCTCCAACCGTTTCTCATCCGCTCAGCGAGAGATTAGTGGCGGCGTTACCGCAAAGCGTGCTTCTACTCCATCGCGACCGAGAGCTTTTTCGCCAATCGATCAACACTTACTTTGCCGGACAGGAACGCGACGTGATTCAAGCTGCCATCGTTCAACCGCGCAGTGCTCATGAGGTATCGACCGCAATCCGGATCCTCAAGAAAGAATACGACCGACGACAACAACCCAGCACTCAGGCTGGGGACGTGCTGTTTGCCATTCGCGGCGGGGGGCAGTCGCCGCTTAGGGCTGCGGCGAGTGCCAAAGGCGGCGTGCTCATCGATCTCTCCCACCTGCGCGGAGTAACGGTCGCAGAGGACCGAGAAAGCGTAGTGATTGGAGCTGGTTGCCAGTGGGTGGATGTTACGCGAGTGTTGGACGAGATGAACCTGGGGGTGGTGGGAGGCAGAAACGCCGATGTCGGCGTGGCCGGCTACATCTTGGGAGGTACTGTGCGCCTATATTCACCCGTCTAAATCATGCTTCGCATTGAGGCATACCGACTTTGCTGACATAAACTGCAGGTGGACTCTCGTTTTTCACTCCAACGTACGGATTAGCCTGTTCTAACGTCCTCGCATATCAGCTCGTTTTGGCCTCTGGGGAGATCGTGACGGCCTCAGCCACCTCCCATCCGGATCTCTGGCGTGCACTCAAGGGCGGCTCGAACAACTTCGGCGTCGTCACCCAGTTCACAATGCCCTGCTTTCCAGTAAATCCGATTTGGAGCGGCTATATTTACGCGCCCGCCTCGCAATATCCCAAGGCTCTTGTTGCTCTTCATGAAAACATTAAGCGCATTGATCCCAAGACCAGCGGCCGGGAGGTGGACACGCATGCCGCGGGGCCCATTGTCTGCTTCACCTATATTCCGCCACTCGGTTTGAGAGTCGTGTCTGTGCGGCTGGCATACACCAAACCGCCCGAAGAACCCAAGCAGTGGCCAGTCTTTTGGAAAAAGTCGGGCTTCTCGGCCATCTGGCGATACTGGAGCACACACCAACTTCAAACTGTCACTTCGGCCATTGAGGGAATGCGCCAGGGGTGTTTCCCCGGCAAGCGGTGGTCCTTTGGAACGACAACCATCAAAAACGACTTGGCGACCATCATGGCCACCCGTGAGGTCTTTGAAGAGGCGATGGGGTCCCTGCGCAAAGTGAAGGGGTCTTTGTGGACAATTGTCATGCAGCCACTGCTGCCCTCGTGGACCGCCAAGGGCGACCGCAGTATGATTGATCTTGAGAAGACCACGGACGATCCACTTATCATTGTTAATCTATCAGTTGACTGGGACGGAGCGGAGAATGACGAGTATGTTTACTTGGTGATACGAGGGATCCTCGAACAAATCGACGAGGTCGCTGAAGCCAATGGGACCAGCCACGCATACCGCTACTTGAACTACTGTCAGGCATGGCAGCAACCGTTGGAAGGGTACGGGAAAACGAACTTGCATTTCCTTAGAGACGTGAGCAGAGAGTATGATCCTGACGGGTTTTTTCAGCGAGGGTGTACAGGAGGATTTAAACTATTCCCCTAGTCGATGGCGGGCTGACACACTACCAAACTAAATTGCACTAGATCTATCATTTTTCCATTTTAAATAGAGAGCAATTGGCTGAGGTTGAAATTCTCTTCTTCTTCTTCTGCTATACTACTGAGTCTACTGCCTTTCGAATTAAGTTCGAGGACCAAGACCAGTACCTGGCAAGGCCAATGCCTTACTTAAAAATACATTTTTCCAGTGTCCAGTCGGCATACTTGACCGGGTTGCCATGTCAGCCTGGCTTTGTGTATCTATTATCGCAAATGATTCGTCGAGTAGGACGTTTAGCAGACTGTTTCCTACTATCTCCCCACATCCACCAACAACGTCAACCAGGCGTTCAAAAAAGTTTTTTTGTCCGGGTTGGTCCATGACCGAAGGACCCTCACAATGGGTAGAATCACAGACCCGAATCACTACTCGACTGGGTTGAATGCTATTCGGTATCTTTAGCGCGTGCTTATGGCACGAAGCACTATCGGAAACAAACCCATTGCTTCCACGAATACAATTCGATACATGAAAAATCTACTCAATCTACACAAGTGCGACCTAATTCAACGTAGAATGCTAACTCAAAGCCTAGAACGTTGCTTGGTGGCAATGGCTCTTTTCATGGTGGCCGCATGCTACTTCCTGCGAAGCAAAGGCATCATCCAAACCAATCCGTGCAGCATCGCGGGTGCCGTTTCTCTTCTGACGGGCTCGGATCTATCGAAGTCGGCTGTGCTTTCATCGTGGTCAGAGTGGTGCTGTGACCGTGAGCTGATGGAAGAAGGTGTTCAGGGGCCTGGTGGTAGGGACAATGTTTTGCACTTAATATTGGCAAGCATGACCAACGCTTGATTGTAAACAGAGTTTCCCTTGATTGCAATAGAGCTAATTGCTAGATCTGCCAATTACCTAGAGAATGATTTTCTCTTTTCATCTATCGCAAACTCGTTCAGATCATCCTAGTTTCCACACAAAGGAGCTTCGACACATTTTGAATCTCAGGAATCAGCCACATCCCTCCTATTCACAAACAGGGCTTCAAGCTTTGACAGTAAACCCATATATGTTATCCGATGCGTTGATATCCCCTACTCCCTGCACAGTCCGATACACACGCGAACAGCTTCCCTTCGCATTGTAGACTTGCAGGGTCCGGGCACCTGTCGATCCTGACCATCTGATCTTGGCGCCCTTAGGAATGTTGAAAGCGGTGCATCCTTGAGGATTTGTTCCGGACCATGTTCCGGACCATGTCCCGGACCATGATAGTTTCTGTGCGCGGAGTTCCCAGGCAGTTGTGGTGGAGATGCCCAGGAGGAGGGCGACGGTCAAAGCAGTAAGGTTCATGTTGAGGTGTTCATCTGGATGTGATTGAGATGGAATTGAGCTTGACAGGCCTTGATTAACGCTCCTAACAACAATTTATGGCTATATCAGGACAGTGGTAACTGTAAGGATGATTCGTTTGTTAGTACAGGTGAAAGAGATTGTTCTAATTTATACCGTGGTATCGTATTCTATCGTGGGTTGACATCATTGACAGTCAATTATACGATGTAAGTACCCCGGATTAAGACCTTAAATAATGATTCGTATTCTTGGGCTCAGATTGAGGCATTTTTCGGTCAATGGTTTGTTTAGCGGGCTGAAGGGAGGCATTCCCTGGTTGATTCGATCCGATGGAGTCTGGCCGATGCGTGGCAAAGATGACTCTATCAACTGCACCCGAATTGGGGGAAACACAGCCGCTTTATACTTGGTTCAATGATACATAACCACGGATTAGATACGAAGAGAGAATCCATTCTATTCGTGTCGTGAATAATATTCAGTCTAGTGTTCGACTGCTGGTTCTCTACTGGACTCACTGCTCCACAACAATCACCAAGCAATCTTCGCCACTACACTCCGAGGAAACATGCGCACCACCACCTTCCTGCCCTCATCCATCGCCAAGACCCCTGCTGCAAGCCCCAATGGAATAAACCAGAACTCTAACGGGATGGACGCGGTGCTGAACAATGACTGCAGTCCCGGTTCTTCCGTCACGAAGACGGCAATGGCCAGCGACACCAGCATCGCCAACGGCAGCCACAGATTGCGCTGCTTCTTGCGGATGGGATCCGCCTGCAGAAGGGACAGGCGCTTGTTGCGCACCGAGAGGATGTTGCCCCATTGCATGATCACCAGTGACACGAAGTAGACGCTCTGGCCGACCGCGTTGAAGTGCGTTAATTCCGCCTCGGAGTAGCCATAGAAGCCGTCCGAGTACTTCCCGAAAGCGAAAATGAGGGCGTGGAAGGGGATGCCCGCCTTCTTGTACATGTACAGAAAGAACATGGCGTGGGCGCAGACGGCTTCGATTACCCCGATGAAGAGGTACGACTGTCCGTAGATCTTCAGGTTGATCAAGTGGTCGGTCTTGTGGTTACGCGGCGGGAGACTGAGCAGGTCGAACTCCTCTTTCTCCATGATCAGCGATAGCGACAGGAACAGGTCGGTGAAGACGCAAATGATGATCATCAGGAACGAGCTGAGCGGTAGAGGCACGCCGAAGAAGACGTTCATGATCACCGGCCAGATCTCTGACCAACTGCCGGCCGGTAGCAGGTAGGCAATGACTTTTTGCAGGTTCTGGAAGACTAGACGGCCCAGGCGAATGGCGTCAATAATTGAGTCGAAGCGATCGAGAAGAACGAGATCCGCGGCCTCGATGGCCACATCACTCCCAGAGACCACGGCAATGCCGATATCCGCAGCGCGCAGGGCCGGTGCGTCGTTGACGCCGTCGCCGGTCACGGCCACCACACTGTCCCGTGCCTTCAATTCCTCGACAATGCGCAATTTCTGCTCGGGGGTCGTGCGTGCGAAGACTATTTCCTCGTATTGGCAGATTGCGTCCCATTGAGCCTGGTTCAGTGCTGGGATCTGTGATCCCTCCACCAAGAGGCTGCGTCGGGAGTGTTTCTCCTGGTCCCCCTCATCCACACTGTCGGCAGACAAAGCCTGCAGATCAGAGACAGTATTTGGCTCTGCCGTTCCAGTGAAAATGCCAATGTCTCGTGCGATGGCGGCAGCAGTTAGTCCGAAATCACCAGTGACCATAAAGAAGCGGATGCCAGCTCTGCGACAGGCTGCAACAGTAGCCGGGATCTCGGGACGGGCAGGGTCAATGATTCCAAATATACCGACGATAGTGAGATCTTGCACTCCGTGGGCCAGGATCTCGTCATTGAAGTCATTGGTGCCGACTGGCGCTGTTGGGACGTAGTCTTTCTGACACAGCACGATCACGCGCTGGGCGCGACGGGATAGTTTCTGCTGGAAGGCCGAAAAGGACTCTCTGGCGGCAGCATCCATGGTCTTAGTGATACCGTCTCCGGACAGATACGATGAACAATGCGGCAGGAGAACATCGGGCGCGCCTTTGACATATACAAGGCAGCGATTGGGGGCGTGGGGAGTTTTGTGTATCGTGAGCATCCACTTGTTTTTCGAATTGAAAGGGATCTGGTGTATGCGTTCGTACTCATGCAACCCGGTTTTACCGTTCGGGCGCAGCGTTTCGACCAAACGCAGAACTGCAGCATCGGTGGCATTTCCGTTGACCGTCCGTTCGTTGATGGGTAGGTCTTTTGTCTCTTGGTCGAAGAAAGCATCGTTGCACAGGGCTGATCCTTGCACCAGGGGTTCCAAAGCCGACGGAATCGGAATGGACTTTTCTTGCCCACTGACCAAAGCCTGCAGGTCAAACTCCTGGTCAACCAGGCCCAGCGACTGGACAAACATCTTGTTCTGGGTGAGGGTGCCCGTCTTGTCTGAGCAGATGACATTGACACAGCCCAGAGTCTCGACTGTAGCCAACCCTTTTGGTAGAATGTTGTTTGCCTTCATCCGTTTGGCCACAATCATCAAGGTGAGAGCGACACCCACCGGCATGCCTTCGGGGATGAAAGCCACAACACAACCCATCACGTCGTTCAACATCGCTACTACATTCATGAAGTCAGAGTGATCCACGCGAAGCCATCCCACCCATGTAAAGAGAATCGCAGCAGCCAATATGACGGTCAATACAACGATGATACGCACGAAGCGCGAAATCTCCTTCTGAATGAGCGTGGGTTTCTCCTTGACGTTCGCGGTGATCGAAGCCAGACGGCCCATAACCGATCGGCTGCCAGTAAGGACGACGACACCGACGGCATTGCCGTTGGTGACACTGGTACCCATGAACGCAATGTTTCGGGTCTCAAGGAAGTTCTGGTCCGTGGCATCCGTCGCTCCTTCGACCTCGTCAGATTCTCCAGTGAGGATAGATCGGTCGAACCGCACATCACCCGAGCTGCGAATGATGCGCATATCGGCGGGAACTTTGTTGCCGATGGAGATGTGAACAAGATCGCCAGCAACCAAGTCCGCAGCAGGTAGTCGAACAAGATTTCCTTCCCGCATAACTAATGCATCGGATGGCAACAGACCCAGGATGGAGTTCATGACACGAGAGGTTGACCAGTCCTGGAAGGCAGAGAAGGAGGCTTGCAAGGCAATGACAATGATGACCAGGATGGCCATAGCGAGATTTGGCACGGACGGAGGGTTGCTCAAGGGTCGCCAGCAGAGGAAGAAGATAATCACTCCGATCCAGAGAACAGAGCAGAAGCCACCAAAGACATACCAGAAAATCTTCTTGAGGTAGTTTTCTCTGTGATGGGCGATGGCATTCTTTCCGTCCCGCTGCAGACGAGTCTGTGCTGCATTGTTACTGAGTCCTTGATTGGCGTCGAGGTTGAACTGCTGGCATAGTCTCTCGGTGGAGAGAAGATGGAAGTCCAAGCTTTCGAAGTAGTCTTGATCCGGCTTCTGTTCCTCTTTGCCACGAGCTTTGAGCACCTCCTGGGTTGCGGCTTGGGATTCAGATATCTGGAAGGATATGGTACGGAATTCGATGGGAATGCCAGCAGCTGGCGATGGATGGGAGATGCTGCGAGAGCTGCGGGCACTGCGGACGGTATCCCGACTCCTTGACCGGGTCACATTGTAAATCGAACGGTTGTTTGTGGAAGGATGAGGCGCGCCGAAGTTGATGGTTTGAGATTGCACGACTCGACTTCTGCTATCAGGAGTGTGTTCATCGGGATTCAAATCCGACTCCAGGGAGTGTCGAGACTTGTCGTCTAATGCAGCAACTCCTGCAGGAGAAGCAGGCATGTCTGCAAACCAAGTAATGCGTCTGAGGCGATGCAAGGAGGGGTCAGCAAGCACGGTCAGCGGGGGTCGAGGCGCACACGCTTCTTGCTTCTCAAGACAGAGGGATCGAGGGTTACTGCATCGTAAGAGCAACTTCAATGGAGAGTCAGACGCCCGCAGTATTTATCTCTTTCGGCTCAGCCATGACGAGGTGTAGACCAGGCCAAACTGGTGATGGGTTCGTGGGAATAATTTCTTTTGCCATTGGCAAAGCATAGTAGTAACGAGGGCTAAACCGCGATGGCAAATGAAAGAGACAGCTCTGTTCTCTCGTTGACTCTGTTGCAAGCCACCTCCGTGTAGCGAGTGGAGGAGAGACTCCCCCGGAAATGCCTCATACTTACCCGGTGGATCCACAGTACTCAACCCTAGTTGCAGTGGATCGGGAATGTCTATGTTCGTCTTGCACTCTGAAAAGCTAAGACTATAACCATGGACAGGCTGGTCTGTGCTTCATCTTTGAACATTCCGTAAAAGCTTGGCATGCAAGATCTCAAGCAGACGGCTTGAAGCATAGAACTCGATGTATATGCGTCCAACAAGTCCAACAATTGAGCCGGATGAAGCTGGAAAGGTAACTATCTGATACTGACGTCTCCTTCCCGGCTCACCGATCTTTCGAGGCGCTGTTGCCTTCGCGAGATTGCAGCCCTGAGGGAATTTCTCTGGCCACTCGGGGTGTGGAGCAGAGATCGGAATTGCTGAGCTGCGCACGGTGGCCACCACCCGCCAACCCTATCGCTGAAACAAATCCCGCGTACAAAACCACAGATCCTGCCAGGTTGCTGCGGGACTTCTTACTTTATTTTCACGAATACAAGCCTATAAGGATGCGACTAGTATTGATCACATTGATTGTGGGTGGTGGGTGTAGGGAAAAAAACATTTAAAGATTGCTTCGCCAATATATATTAGTGTGGCAAACCAGAATCATGCATCCAGAGCTTGCCAACACTGGCTGCCGCCATGATTGTACCCGTCTTTTGAGTATCCTGTGAGTCGTACACCCTGATCCTCTCACACAACAATTGACAGCATAGGTACTGCTATTGTGCTTATCCAAGTGTGCTTATATTACTTTTATGCTTACCTAATTAGTTATTCTGTCGGCTTATGCTGGGTACTGCCGGGCCCTTCCGCTTTCGCATAAGCTGTCTGGAAAAGCGTGGCCAGGAAGCATCATTTGCACTTCTGCCTGTCGGTTGGCTATCACTAGGGATTATTCCGACCTTTACTCGTCCCAAGAAAGCAACCTTTAGTCTTACACCTGTGCCAAGGGCGATATGACGAGCTCCACTGCGTCCGTCAAGCAGCAAAGGGAGATAGATGCACAGACGGTCTCTTAATGACGGATTCTGGCCGTTACAAATTGGGTGCAGCGCAGCAGCAGACCGTTGCGATACTGGCCATCAAGCCGCACAGACCAGGCTGACTGAATGGGGAGTATTGACCATTAGGCCCAGGTGACGATGTGTATGGAACCTTGCTGTAGGGACATTACACGACGCCAGTGGAGGCTATGGATGCTTCTCACCCCCACCAGGTCTTGAGCATGTATTCTGTACTCTGTCCAACACCATGGAACAATGCAAGATGCTCAGTTCAGGCTCGAGTCAAGCCAAGGGCGCCAGGCTAGGATCTTTCATGAAGCCTCGTTATACCGCTTGCTGGTCTTAACCGATCCACATCATCGTCGAGTTAATGCGATTGCCAAGCGGATCGTTGTATGTATGTAATTCTCTTACTCCCCGCCGAAGCTGTCGGCCAATTGTCCCCTTTCAGATGTCAGTGTCATCACCGGACTGGGACTGCTACAGCTAGTATACAAACCGGCAAAGCAGTACAATATGAGGGAGCAGGCACGTACTTAACCACGTGCAATGTCGAGCGTGCCAGCTGCGTCTATAGCTGTAGCACTCATTGCTATTCCGCCAGTGCAGTGAGCGCTGCGCAGGCCGAGGGTTACTCTCTCTACAGGTCTGGAGAAACTGTGAACAACTACCCACATGTCTACCACGACTCCGAAGGATTTGACTTCAGCGTGTCCGGCACCTCCTACGAGTTTCCGATCCTGAGTGATGGAGATGTGTATGATGGCGGGTCTCCTGGGGCAGATCGGGTCATTTTCACTACTGCCAACAAGCTGGCTGGTCTCATCACCCACACCGGCGCTAGCAGCAGCAGTGGCTTTGTTGAATGTACTTAGAAGGGAATTGCAATGCTTGCATTACCTCGGACCAAGCCTTAGGGCCACATAGCGCCCAATAATTGGCATTACTCTTGGTCTTCTGCATTTTCGACTAGCTTCCAGCGGGGTTGATCTGCCACGGGCAAAGATATTGTATTTGGTAGCAGGGTGGAGGTACGCTTTAGGGCAGTTTGAGAAAGGAGCTAGAAGGATAAACAATCCCCCAAACTCCTCGTTTCATATTACTTGGGATCATAACCTATTCACTCTTCCTCCCTGTATGGCAGGATTATTCAACAACCTGCATTAAGTGCTTTCGTCGAGGCCTGACAGGCTACTTGCCTGTACCTTCATCGATCCAGTCCTGATGAGATTGCCATGAGCTTTGCTACTATAATTCCACGATTAGGCAGAGAGCACATAGCAACGCTGCATTTTACGACAATCACCGTGTCTCTATTCCACCTCTCACAAAATGGTTTCCTCGCTTCGTCCTTAACAAACATTCAGCTTCATCGACGTGTGCCTACCTGGGCTAATTTCCACCCATATAGCATCGAACCTTCATTCCGAAGCTCATGCTGGAGCTCATGCTGTTCTCGACTCCCCTAGAACGCTTATATCATATTAATCATCTTTATTGATCCACTCCCGGCCGAACTCTCGGCCCCTGCATTCCTGATTTATCTATCAGCCCCACCTTCCTCGGTGTTCTCTCCGTTCCCGAGGTGGAAGGATGGGGTGACGAAATGAGAGGTGGTCCAGGGGTATGACATTGGGCAACCTGTGAGTGGCGTGGCAAAGCAATGGGGGCAACAGTTCGGCCGGTAAAATCGGAAATTGCAGCAAAGTTTAAGGTTTAATTTTTCTTCTAACGGCCGGGATTTGAGGGTTCCGAGATATTGCCGGTTCGGCCGAAATCACGTAGGTATACTCATCCGTTGACATGTTTCGCATCGTTGCCCGATTGTACTGGGGCAACTTCCTCCATTTCATCATCCTTCTGCTGCACTATAATATTTCGTAACGACCTAATCCTCTGCTTAACCACTGTCTACATTACTGTCACTCATGTTCCGCTCTCGTCCCACCGTTCTCACCCGATTTCTCAAGACTCAACGATTGAGCTACCGCGCAGCACCACATCACACCATGAAAAGCCAACCCGGCACCCGCTACGAGATTTGCCAGGTGCAATCCGGCTCGGTGCCCTGGGGACAATCGTCCGGCAAACAGGTGCTGTGGATCGGCTGCTCCGACAGTGATTACGACGAGCTAGAGACCCTGGGTCTCCAGTCGGATCAGGTTCTAGAATATCGGAACCTGGGCAACATGGTGGTGGACGATCTCTCCTGCAAAACCACGTTAGGCTATGCATTGGATCAACTCAAGATCCGGGATATTGTCGTGTGTGGGCATTACGGCTGTCACATTGTCCAAGGGACCCCCAATCCAGGTCTTCCTGAGCCGTGGAGCCGGTACAGTACCATCTTCTCTTTCTGTTATCTTAGTGGGTGGAGCTATACTGACGCGCATTTACAGGAATCTGGACGAGATTCGTTGCACGCACAATCACACGCTCGACCGAACAACGGGCCCAGCGCGCGATCGAGCCATGGTGGAATTGAATATTCTGGGGCAGATGCAGTCTTTGAGTCGAGCGCATCCCGCCATCGATCCAGCGCACGACGGGGAGATTAAGGTCTTCGGAATGGTTTACGACCGAGCATCGAAGACAGGATACCAGATTCGAGAGGCTAGCTGTTGATTGATACCCAGGAGACCAGGAGGAACGAAGAAAAGCAGGTATAGACTGTATAGACCGGCACTACCTACATGCTAATACATAGATGATACCCTTCAGGTGGTTTTGTGGATGGTGGATACGATAAGATAAGATAAGGGGCTGCATTGATGGCTTCAATGGACGGACGTAGGACAGCAGTCACAGCGACGGGAACCGCGCGGGGTTTCCTGGCCTCATTTCTGGGGGGGAAGGAACTCACCACAATGGAATGGGGGGAGGTGTGGATGGAAGTGGAAGTGAAAGCGGAAGTGGAATAGGAACAATACAGCGAAGGTAAAAGAAGGGACGGAAAGCGGTGGGTGACTTGAGTGGGGGAGGGAGAGGTAAGAGAGGGGAAGCTGTGACGGTATTGTGACTGACTGCGCGACTTGCAGCCTCTCCTCGTTCTCCTTGACTTCTTCCACTTTCTCCCTATGACTGAAGTACTCGAAGACTATCTTTGCCCCTCCACACAGTACGGTTACGACTTTACCTATTTTCAAAATAAAATCAAGAAACAAAAAAGAGGGCTCGAATCCTCGATTCCTCGAAACCCCCCCCAGACCCACGACCCGCCGTTGCATCTTGCAGAAACTCAAGGCATGATAGTTGACGTGGTGTGTGTCCTGCAGTCTCCCCTCACTCAATAATACTACTCTCACTGCCACTGTGTCACTGCAGCTGAACTACTCTCATTCCAGTGAATCCAGTCCGACTTCTCCATTGAGTCCGTTCATTTCCACGGACCTCGGATCGAGATCTCCCAAACCCAGCCAGCCAGCCAGCCAGCCAGCCAGTCAGGAATATATCCCTCATGACCCCCTTCATGAATCTAAAAAGCTAGTCGCATAAAAATGCCTCTCTGCTCTCCCTTGACAATATATCCACAGGATAGGATTGGATTGGAATGGATTGGATTGACCGCCTAATTCCAAAAGTTGGAGTCATTGAGAGATTTCTTGCCCAGCCACATTGGCGCGGTTGCGTCATGCATGCGGGTAACAAAAAATCGCTCGCCTGACAAATTGGGAAAAATGGACAGGTTCCTGATCGGCGCCCGCTCTGGACCCGGACTTCCTCCCGCACGGCGCACACTCGAGTGGCGCTTTCAATCATTCCCGCGCTTCATCCTCTGCTGCGAGATAGTTTTCTGAACCTTATCTGAAACGGAGTCTCGGGCAGGCTTGAGCAGCGGCGTCTCAGTGACAGTGCGATTGCAGCAGTATATGTAGAGCTTCTTGGCCCACCTAGAGTACGCTTGTGAACTGTAGGTGCTGAGTGAAGACTGCCAGTGTGGATGCGTGTAGTGAGTCTTATTTCTGAGTCTTCCAATTGGGCAATCCCGCTCTGACCGCCCACCGGATTCTGTCAGTCGTCCCTGAGCTTATGTGGGCGGTGAGGAATGACGCGTGGGCTCGGCTTGCTTTGCTCACGTGATGGGTTGGCTGCCTTTGTCACCCTCATTGCTGATTGATCTTATTGTTGATCTTATTGTTGAAAGCAGGTGAATGGATGATTGGAATGAATAGAGTGCATCCTTTTGTTCTTTTTGTTTGACTACTTCTTGCTGTAACTCGAGAGCGCTACTGCCCCCAGTGAATGAGGAATAGACAGACGCGCTTCCTCGGAATCTAGATCCGTACCGTGACAACATATATTCGTTACTGCAGAGCGCATTCTACAATGGAAGCATTCATGTTGAGAAACCGACACTAGCTTTTTCATGAAAAATGATATTGAAAAAAAAAATACCCTGCCGATCATAGCCATGAACCCCACGCTCCCACAAACCTAGTAATGCTAACCCTTCCAGCCAGCCGACGCCAACCCACCGAGTACCACTGCTAAAAGCAGGGACCGAACTCCCTCAATGCACAGAAGCCAGCCAACACCCGCCTGCCGTCTCGAAGCCACGAAAACCAGCCAGCGCAGCTCCCAGCAGCCTGAACTTACCGACACCCTAAATCTACCGGGGAACATGCATGCGCGGCGGCTTCCGAGCGGCGTATCTCATATCGGAGACCTCGTCGACAGGCGAGGCGACCCGGGACACGGGGCGCGAGGTATGCGCAACAAACTGCACCTTCTTCTGCGCGGGCACCGATTGGATTGACCTACTCAGGATAGTATCCGGCCTGTGCGTGCGGCGGTTTTCATAGAAAGTGCCCTTCACACATGTAGCGACCTCCGCGTCGTTCTTGAAGAACGGCCGACGGAGATCGGAAGGGGAGGCCGGGTGGTACACGGCAGGCTGATGCGGCGGCAGCTGTTGCTGTTGCTGTTGCTGTTGCTGTTGCTGTTGCTGTTGCTGTTGCTGTTGCTGTTGCTGTTGCTGTTGCTGTTGCTGTTGCTGTTGCTGTTGCTGTTGCTGTTGCTGTTGCTGTTGCTGTTGCTGCTGCGGTTGCTGTGGTTGCAGCTGAGGGTGCAGTTTCAACGCCGGCTTCAGCGGCAGCGTTTGTGGCTGTGGCACGGGCTTCCGCGTCAGGGTCAACGAGCGTGCCAGCGCTGCGCGCTGCTGCTGCTCATCCACCCACTGCTGTAACCGCCACTGATGGTCGTCCATCTCCTCCTGCTTGCGTCGCTGGTGCTGCTGCTGCTGCTGAGCCTTCACCGTTCCGGAGACGTGACTCCCCTCCGAACTGAGGGTGGTCGTCCGCACCCTCGGTTTCATCGCCTTGGGCGTGCTGACGCCCGGGCCGGTGTTCACACTGGTTTCGCGGGTGGGAAGCTTCTGGGGTTGATCGGGAGGGTAGTAGACTGCTTGCCGCTTCGGGTTCGGTGGCGTCAGCGGGACTTCTTCGCCGGGCTTGTGGTGTTTGACCGCGTTGGAGCGTCGGAGGCTCCCTTCCTGCTGTGCTTCAGCGTCGGAGATTGTCCGGCCGTGTAACAAACCTTTCATCAGAGGCATATCGTGTAAACGCTGTTGTTGTTTTGCTGGGGGTATATCTGTGTAGTGTTAGGTTCAATCTGGTGTATAGCGACTGCGAAATCGTATGTGTGCCAAAGGTCATTTATAGTTTCAGTAGTTTTAAAATGATGATCAAGGAAGGCACACGGGAGGGACCAGCCAAAGTATATATATACCCTATTGTTGACACCGGATCAGAGATGAGACGTCGTCTGGATGTGTGGGACCAAAGACTTGTTGACGATTGCCTCGATGTTATCTGCGACAACAAGGGTCCCGAATGAACAAAGCTATTGTTGCGGAAGTGTCCATTTGTGGTGAAAGAGTGGTGTTCACAATGCGAATGAACGTCCTACTCATTCCATTTTTCGCATTCGCTTTCGTGAGCTTCATCTTGACCTGGTCGATGGCTCCTCTGCACAACATGTCAGCAGCGTGAAATGGTAGAGAATCAAACAACCCATTCCAGGTTCGCATCATAGCATGTGTGGACGAGGGGATCTCAATAAATCATTATCATCTAGTATCTCGAATTGAGCCCGGGATTAAAAATCTATGATACAAAAGAAGTGAAAGGGAAAAAGAGAATAAAAAGAGAAGAAGCATATCTAGCCTAAGCAGAGCCCACCACGTCTGCAACTAGAGCCACAGAACCCATCGAACGCCTGAAAGGAATCCTCGAAAAAGGCCCCGTAGCACCTTGAAGGCCATGACGATGAGCCACACCCACCACAACATGCCCACGAGCGCCCATTCCAGCATGACGAACCCTGTGCGCCGGACCCAGCGCAGCCGGCGATGACGCCTACGGATACCTTTGTCAAGGGTATCGCTCAGTTGCTTCACCGCAAGGGTGCTTGTGGTGTTAAGCTGGATGCTCAGATCCTCGGCATCCTGAGTTGCGGCTTGCACACGCGGGCTGATGCTCTCATTGACCACCTTCTCAAGTCTGCTCAGCTGAGAAGTGAGCGGCGATGACACCGAGCCCGAAAAGTTGCCCATGGCTTGCTGGAAGGCCCGGTTGGTTTCTTCGAACCTTCGGAGCAGTCCCTGCGCCGCCGCATCATACTCGCACAGCCGTGTAACCCGTGGCACGGGTACGGGACCATCGTCATACGAGCGTAGGAGGAATTCAGGGGGTGGTTCGCGCACAGTGTCGGCCCGACGGGTGATTTCCCGAGCCTTGATTCCTGAAGAAAGGAGAAGTGCTCGGGTTCGTTCAACCTCCCGCTTCCCAGGTATACCGCTAACCAGCGAAGTGGAGATACTGCGGTTGGAGATGCTCCAACTACTAGACTGGGCGTCCAGCGCAGGGCGTCTGTGTGAGGACGCTGGGGTGGCTTCTACTCCGGCTTGCGCGAGACCCGTGACAGGGGGTCGGGTGAGGCTGAAAGGCACAGATTGATCCCGGATCCTGCCTTTGTTGATTTGCTCCTGGAATGTATGTATTTCGGGTCCGAATCTCAGCTTTTCGAAGCGTGTAATTGGCGCGTGAACATCTGGCCTACTTGCAAGGTCAGTCGGGAAACTCCCAACGTCCCTCTGAGAGGTGTCCTGATCGCGGTGGATGTTGGCTTCGGCAGCCTGGCCAGGTACATTAGTAGATTCAGAGCTTGGATGCTGAGTGAATTGCTCCTGTCCAGCAGGTGACATTAAGGACGGCGACAGCAATGCATCGTTGCTTGTGCCGACTTTATCCAAGTTTTTGCGCAGAGCCCGATTCGAATCATCTGCAAAGGTAGGCAGCCGACGTAAAAGAGACTTAGCGCCCGACAATTTGTCGCTTTTCATCTCCTCAGCCTCATCTGGCATGTCGAAGTCAGAACTGCTGAGACTATACAGCGAAGGCTTTCGGGCATGTGCCAAAGAGTCTTTTTTCTTGATGCGATCTCCCACTTTCGACATCTCATTGCCCACTTTTTCAGCTATCTTTCCAGGTCCCTTCAGGATACCTCGTAACCTTGATTCTGTCTGGGTTGTATCCTTCCGCATCGGAAATTGCAGTCTATTAATCTCATCCTGGTACGACGACGATGAGATCTGGTAGGTAAGCGGATTCGGCTCCGATCCAATGCGGCCAGTTGCCTCGGACAAGCTATCTTGACGTACAGCGTCCGCGTCTTCCATATTCTCGTCGGCATTGTCCTTGGAGCGAATATTACTCTTGCTGCGCTCGTGCCGTGAGCCACGGGCCCGGGAGAAGCGACCTTTGGAGGGCGAGGGAGACCGGCTTGATGGAGGAGACAAGTTGCTTGCAATGCTGGGAAACACACCCAACTGGGAATGAATGTCGGGAGACCTGCTCTCGGCAGTTGCCATGTTCGTTAAAGGACCGTAACGATCATCGATACTCGGCACGGACGACATAGAACTCCGCTTTCCTTCTGACCTAGCCTTGGCTGAAACATGACCGGGTTTGTTGCGCGGAAAGGAACCGTAGGTGTTATACTTGATTCCCTTGAGGCTGTCGTCCTCAGAATATGCCCCAGAGCCCCTAGTGATAGATGCATCAAGCGTGGGCATATGGTATTTTCCAGGAGAGATTGCTCTGTCAGCATGTGTGTACCGGTATAGGCGATCATCTGCGCTGGAAGTGCTCGCAGAGCTACTGAACAAGCCAAGTTTGCGGCTTCCTGGCTCGAATTCTCTGACCGAAACCTCACTATCATGCGTGCTTCGACCAGAACTTCGAAATCTGTGCCGTTGTCTCCCACGCGCGCCGCTTGTCACACTCGGATGAGCGTCGGATAAAGATGCACGGGAAGTGTACCGTTCCGATTCCATAGATTCTCGGTGGCGCTGCAGCTTTTCCTCTAAACTGAGACCGGCGTCGTGCATACCGACATCTATCAACATATTTGAGTCTGGATAGAGGTAGTTTCCGTCCTTATCGACCAACTTGCTCTTGTTGTGGTCGTCCTCAACCCATGCAGCATCGGCAAGCAATTCTGCCGGGTCAATCACCCAGTCTGATCGCGGCCTGCGCGCTTTCACGCTGCTGGTACGACTAGCACGTCTCAGGCTGGAGGGTGGAGAAGCTGCAAGATGATCAACATCAATTTGAGGTTCCTGAGGCACATGTTTCCTCGACTTTTGAAAAGACGGAAGTTGCAGACGTTCCACGGGGCTGTGGTTGCGATGACTGTAGAGCGACTCCACAGAGTCCACCCATTCATGCACCCTATCGGTGTCGTACCATCCCTCTGCTTCAGCATCAATAATGCACCGCTCACGAAATCTCACTTTGCGGTTACGTATACACTGGAGAGGGTTGTATGTTCGGGAGGAAGGCTCGCTGTTACTCGCGGCAGACACGGAATCTGCAGCGGACGGATCGAGATGCTCGAGAGGAGGAAGCGAAGAAAGAAGTCTTAGGTACTCGGAAAATAGCTCAAAGTGACGCCGGGCCTTCTCAGCCCGAATCAGGGTACTCTCTGAAGCTCCAGAAGGCAAAGCTTCGGAGTCGACTGACTGAGGGAGCAGACTGAGCACCGAAGACGGGGTATGTGCCGGAAAGTCCACCCTTTCAGGAACGCTAGGCTTATTGTAGCGGTCACTCCATGCGTGCACAGTATCATGACGTTGGGAGCTACTGTGGCGAAGGCCGCCCGCAGAAGCAATAGGTTGAGTGTTAGGGTATGAAGCAGTGGGCTGGCTGGCTGACACTATCCTCCGACTGCCTGGAAAGTGACTGGAAGCCGAGCGCCCTAGACTGTTCCTGTCCCTCGACTCGCTCAAATTCAATGCCAGGTTCACAATCTGTAAAGAATCCTTGTCTAGGCCCGTAGTAGCCTGGCTCTCAAGCGGTTCCGTTCCCTGCTCCTGGCCTGCCGCATCCTCTGTCACCTGCCAAGGAATGGTGGCCTCCTCAGTTGTTGTAGCCTCGACCGAGTCAGGTTTCTCCTCCTTTTGACGACTCCACGGAAAACGCGATCGTTTCTTGTACGCCTCAAGACCCGGCTCGGGAGCTTCGCGCTTCTGCCTCCGATCAGAACCCGAGCGGCGGAGGAGTTGATGGGTGTTCTTCAGACTTCTCGAGCCCGGTAGAAATGATGAATCAACGAAAAATCCACCGGAGCTTTGTGTTCGCCGTTGGACTCGACTTCCCTTATCGCCATCTCGAGAGCTACTGCCTAGCGTGCTACCCTCCAGCTCGCCACTCGCGCGTCCCTCATTCATCTGCAACTCTGTCAGTCGAACGGATGCGTCATGGGGATCGATTCGAGGTTGGCGAGAATCTGACGGTGTGTCATTCGCGCTAGGGGTTGGATAGGATGCGGTGGGCGGTTCATTGGTCTTGGGCGACATTAGAACCAGGGCAACGAAATGGGGGTCCGTCCCGCCGGAGTAAAAAGGGGTTCGGCTCACAGGGTGAAGTGGACATGGGCTTGCCCAAGTAAAGTACTAGATGTCGGACATGGCACTGTAGAGCACAGTCAATAAACTAGGGGCAACATAGCAAGTGCACGTCCGTCGGTCTGTGCTGTCGAGACAAGTGGTACGTACTTACTTGCACTCCTCCGACTGCATCATGCGGCGGAGCACATGGAGCTGCAAACACGACAAACACGGCAAGCACTCTCATTGCCGGCCGAAGATAACACCGACATGTGACGTCGGAATGCTGTCTACAGGCTCACCGTTCGGCATACAAAGGAAACATCTAGCATTGACTCTAAAAACGCAAGTGGACAACTAGAGGTACAATTCCTGTAGTAGGAGGCATGAAGTACAAGAAAACTAAATAAACGCCGAGGGTATTGGTTTACTCGACCCTCAGGCACTGTAGACGCGCTTCAGTCTCAATCACCTATACAGAACCATTGCGTTAGCCTGAACCCAAAAAATATGAAAACGAGCGGGAAAGATGGGTTAGACTTACCTCCAGGGCTTGCTTCACTTCCAACACTCTGCGCACTTCACCCAGCCAGTCCTTGCTCAGGATCTTGGCCCATCCCTTGAGGCTATTCATCTCACGGGCGGCGGCATCCAGATTGCCCTCTTCCAGAAGGCTCTCGGTCCGGCAGAGAACACTCTCGACATCATCGCTGCCAGCAACTGCGTCCTTCTTGAACATAACCTTGCTCAGAACAAAGCTGGCAGCGTGGCTGGCAATACCCGCATCCTCGGGCAGGAGACTTGCCTTACGAACCTCATCGGCTACCCGACGGAAGCGCTCGATGACCTGGGATGTGGAAGGGATTCCGCGCTGATAGGCGGTAGGGTTGATCGAGGCAATAGCCGCATCAACGACAGGGTCTTCGGCGGCCAGCTCCTTCACGGCAACAAGCTCACGCACGAATGGGCGAGGGACAGCAGAACGCTCAAGGACCGAGCGGACAGCATCCACGGCGACCTGAAGCTGCTGGGTCTTGAGGTTGGTATCGATGACCTCTCTCCAGCCGGTGGTGAGCTGCTCCAACTCGCTGACGTTTGCCGTCAGTTCATTAAGCTTGCTGAGGCGGCCTTCCCGCTCACGCTCTACCAGGTCCTTCACTTCATGGAGATACTTGCGGTTGAGCTCAATGGCTTGCTCGACCAGCTCGTTCTTGAGACGCTGTTCAGCCACCTCTTGAGCCCTCTGCAACTCCGTGCGGATCTTCTCCTGGTAAGCGTAAGCCAGCTTCTCACGCTCCGCCTCGAATTCTTCGCGGTACTGAGCAGCGTCGGCCGCACGGGACTCCTCAAAGCGACGGATGAGCTCACGGGCAGACTCGTCGAAGGTTGCGTGGGCCTGGTTGATCTCCTCCTGAGCAGCACGGCGCGCCTCTTCCCGAACGGCGATGATCTTCTCTCCGATCTTCTGGAGCTCTTCCTTGGCCTTCTCAACGGGCTTGGAGAACTTAGGGGCGCTGTCGTCGGCACCGATGACCGTTATGATATCATTGAAAGTCTTGACCAATTCCTGGACAATCTCCTCGTCCCCCTCGTTGACCTTAGCAAACTCAAGGGGGGCGACTGCGGGGATGGCAGGTTGTCTGGGTTCCTCCTTCTGAACCGGCTTAGGCACCTCCTCCTTAACAGCCTTGTCATCCTTCACCTTCTCGACTGCTGCGGTCTTCTCCTGGGGCTTAGCAGCCTCAGGCTTGACCTGCGCTTCATGGCTCTTGTCCTTCTGAACAGAGCTCATGTGGGGGCCCTTCTGCGAGACATCGGCTCCAGATGACTCCACCTCGGTGATCTTCGAGGTCAGTCCGCTCTTGCTGGGGATTGTGATCTGATTGCTCTCATCCCTACGGGTAGGGAAGCGAGCGTGACTCTTCAGGGTGTTGGGGAACCGGCGATAGAAGTCTCGTTCTTCGAAATACAGCACACTCTCTTCGCCATAAGGGATAAATTCGGTGAAGAAGTCGTGAAAATTGTCAAACTTCAGAGCCAAGAAGATACCACCACCATATGCGAAGCCCGAGGTGAGGAGCAAGTAGAGGAGGAATCGGCGGAAACGTCCACCCTTCTTGGGAGTGGGAGTGGGCGCAACAGGAGGAGCTTCAGAGCCTACATCCGGGTCAGTATGTGGCTCTTGCTGCGCAATGGGGTGACGATGGCAACAGTACCCTGCTCGGTATACTCCGGCTTAGGAAGGACGGTCTCCGGAGGCACAGGCGACGCGGAGGACGGGGTAACAGGGGTAGGAGCACCGGTGGTAGGAGGCTTAACGTCGGCGAAAAATCTCTAGAAAACATCGAATCCATGTTAGCGACCAATCTGCCATGGATGGTCCGCAAAGCGATGATGCCGTCACCGTACCTGATTCGAGAACCGGCTGCTTGCTCCAGCTCTAGACAGCCATTGTGCGGCTGTCCGTTGGCGAGCGGAGGACAGCAGCACCTGGCGTCCCGTGGCAACAGAAGAGCGCAGCATCCTGGGCCGCACTACTGTGAAGGAAAGCGCTGGGAGCGGGAATAGTTGAGGGGTTGGTGTTGACGAGAGTGAAAACGCGGACCGGAACTGGGATAGGTGCTTTTACGATCCGCTCCGATCCTGCACCGCCAAACAGTGGCTCAGTCAGCTCGGGTCCTCGCACCGCCCGCTTCTTTTGGCTAAGCAGTCACTACGACACTACATCATCATTTAGCAAGTTTGCCAACCCTGCCCCTGTCTCCTACTAATTGGTAGTGTCCCAATACAAAACGGTTCCTATAACCTATATGTATTGGATGCGAACCATACTTATCTAACCCCTTCGTACACGTGGAGGAAAAGCCATAAGTGCGTGATCGAATATTAAATACGTCATCCCAGGAACAAGGAAGATTATTGAAGTATTATATAGGCATAGCATACTGAGAGTCTGAGGGTAAAAAAGGAAAATGCAAGGGAAACGACAGCTCAACCCATAACAAAGAATACAGACGCCATCAAAAGGAAGACACAAAGGGGAGCAAATTGGAACAGCGAATATCCTGAGCAATCTCCTGCAACATGGTGGTCGAATTCGCCAGAGCCAATTGTAACCACGTACATGACCGAAATTTGCTTTCGCAGGTGGAATTAGTAGGCATCAAATGATGAGTTCGGAGACCTTAAGAAGGAGGCGACAGAAATGCGGAAAGCTGCTCAGATTGGGGGCCATCACGGGAGACCGGTTCTTGCTCACTGCAGAACCGAGCTGCTCGATATTCGGCCGAGGGTGCCGCTGTAGCCGTTCCACCAGGAACATTAAGCGGCCATGCTCAGCTGCCGATTGAATTTGTCAAGGTTTGCACAGCAATTCAAGTTCAAGCTCGGGCAGAAGAAGCACGTCTTTCGCATCTAGACAAGTCATACCAAAGAAAGCTAGAACATCCATAAACAGAAGCATCAAAATGCGGGAACTGAAAGGCAGGTATCACAATCTTCTAGCAGTTGCAGGCGCCCGCGCCCTGAGTGCCAGGGGCTTCTGGTCGCAAATCAACACCGGGACGGGGAGCAGCTCGCAGGTTTCGCGGGCCTGCCTGGTCAAGAGGCAGCTTTTTGGCAATAGCGGTGAAGAGTTCTCGCACGTTGGACGACGTCTTGGCCGACGTCTCGAAAAACAGCAAGCCGGCTTCACGTGCATAAGCCTCGGCGTCAGCGGTCGGAATTGCGCGCTTGTCGGGGTTCTCTGTTACAAGATCGAGTTTGTTGCCTGCAAGTGCGATAACGATATTCTCGTTTGCTTGCCGCTGTAGTTCCTTCACCCATGACTTGGCCTTGTCCAGCGACGACTGTTCGATTCCATCCATATTAGCATTTGCCGGCGATCATAATCGGACAAGACAAGTGGCCGTACCGCTTGAGTGATGTCGTACACAACGACAGCGCAGTTGGCGTTCCGATAATACATGGGAGCTAAGGACTTGTATCTCTCCTGGCCGGCGGTGTCCCATATTTCGAACTTGACCGTCGTGCTTTCATCCAGGGAGATGGTCTGTGTGAGAAAGGCAGCGCCAATGGTCGACTCGCGGTAATCGTCAAATTGATCCTATCCAGTTTGAGCTGCGGTCCTGGGCGCCGAGTAGGAGCCATCTCGCTGTAAACTAACCTTCACAAATCTCAAGACTAGCGAACTCTGCCAAGCAATGAGCACATCAGCGACAACCCGGACAATGCACAAAAAAGAATGTTTACCTTTCCAACGGCACTTTCTCCTGTTTCACATTAACAGAGCGTAAGTCAGTTCTCATATTCTGTCAAATCTGAGTGGGGCTGCAGTCAGGGGGGAAAGCTAACCCAGCAACACCAGCTTGAACTGAGCGAACCTGGCACCGGGACGGGCGCCTGCTGCGGCTCTGGTAGCCATCGTGAACGAGGTTTGGTGGACGATTTCGAAGAGAAAAGAAATAAGAAAAAAGGAAGACGATATCGTAGTTGACGGGGAACGTGTGGAAAAAGGACTCGACTCGGAGCGAAAAGCTGAGAGAGCAGGAAGAAACGAAGATAATGAAAAGGCGGGATCGGGACGCTGGGGGAGGTTTGATGGCGGCCTGCCGTGGACGGCGGTGGTTGAGATGACGAAGGGGGGGAGGGAGTTCAGCCACACCTGGCTTAAGCCGACTGGCCGCTGTGCGGGGCGGTGTGGCGCCTGAATTACTGCCTGCCGTTCCGTAGCCTTGAGTCTGTCTGTACTCTGTACCAGTGTACTCTGTAGCCCGTACCTGTGCAGCCAGCCAGCTGCTTATCGGACTAGATAAAGTACGGGCAGGCAGGCCCCAGGCACTGCCAGAGAGAGGGAGGGCTACGTACACTTCCTTCCCACCCTTTTCTTGGAGATCGTCATCACCACACTAACTACTGGTACTACTACTCTTCTGTGGACCACCACTTCCTACTCTCCCTCTTCCTTCAGCTTACCTTCCTGGCTTGACTTTTAAGTCTTCCTTTCCTTTACCAGATTCTTTCCATACCCCTCGCAATATGCGCTGAAGATTCTCCTCCACTCTTTCTTGCTTTCTTTGATCAATTCTCACCCACTCCGCCTATCTGATTGCTCTCTATCCCTACGGGGTAAACTTGAATGATGGCTGCCTCCGTCCTGCCGTTCCGCGACATCAACTTGCACGCTTCATCCTCTCATTATGCCTTTACTTCTCCTTCGTCACCCAATGCTCCAACTCTTGTCGTCGAACGTCCGACCGGTGACTTGCGTCTCGCAAATGGCGGCCTTCCAGGTGCGAAGCGCATCTCCAGTATTGCTGGTATACTGGGCATCATCAAATTGAAACTTGGTATGTCTGCTACTGAGCCATGCTTCCTCTGGGTCTGGTATTGATTATTCTAGATAAATACATCATCGTCATCACTAAGGCTCAGCCCATGGGGCGCCTACGTGGCCACATGGTATACAAAGTCGCTGCGACCGAATTCCTCCCTCTGCGCGAACGCCCTCTGCACGATTCCGACGAGGACACTTATCTGGGCCTGTTGAAGGAGCATCTTCGCACTGGTCCCATGTATTTCTCCTACGCTCTGGACATCACCAACAGCTTCCAGCGCCAGTCACAGAGTGATCTTAGCCTACCTATGTGGAAGCGAGCGGATGACCGTTTCTTCTGGAATCGCTTCCTGCAATCCGATCTGATCGACTTCAGCCTGGGAGAGCATGACACGACTGGTGTACGGTTGGGCCCGCAACCCAGCGTGGATCCGTATATCCTGCCGGTCATGTTCGGAATGTTACGCATCACTCCGGCGAAGGTGAAGTCGACATCTTTCACATTCGCCCTTATTACGCGAAGATCCAGATACCGTGGGGGCACAAGGTACTTCTCACGTGGTATCGATGATCAAGGCCATGTCTCGAACTACAATGAGACGGAGCAAATCGTCATCCTGAATGACGCAACTGGTGGTCTTTCCGGTTTCGCTGGAGGCCAGTCCCTAGCCAAGGAGAAGCTGGGTGGCTCTGGTCAAGACCTCCAGGTCATGGCATTTGTGCAAACGAGAGGCAGCGTCCCCGTGTATTGGGCCGAAGTTAACAATCTCAAGTATACACCGAAACTCCAGGTTCGGGGGGTAGAAACTGCTGTTGATGCTGCCCGCAAACACTTTTCCGAACAGATCCGGCTGTATGGCGAGAACTACCTGGTCAACTTGGTAAACCACAAGGGGCGGGAAGAACGGGTTAAGAATGCCTATGAGCAGTTGGTCCGTATTCTGTTGTCATCTTCCACTGAAGACACCGAAGCAGATGATGCGACATCCGAAAAGGTACATGCTGTTGAGCCCGGTTCCAGACAGAACGAAATGGACAGGTTGCACTACATCTATTTTGATTTCCACAACGAGACTAAGGGACTCAAGTGGCATCGTGCTGAACTGCTACTGGACCGTTTGATGGACGGGCTCACTCGGGGCGGCTATTTCCGCGGAGTCGAAGACCCTGGTGTCCCTGGTGGACAGTTAGACATTCGCTCTGCGCAGACCAGCGTCGTCCGAACCAATTGCATGGATTGTCTAGACCGCACGAATGTGGTGCAGAGTATGTTGGGACGTTGGGCCATTACCCGCCAGCTCATCGATGCTGGTGTTTTGCGCCCAGGCGAGGCTGCAAATGACGATCGGGACTTCGAGAACCTGTTTCGCAACATTTGGGCGGACAATGCCGACGTGGTCTCGAAATCCTACTCCGGCACCGGCGCACTCAAAACCGACTTTACTCGCACGGGAGAGCGCACTCGCGCAGGCATGTTGCAGGATCTGAACAACTCCATCACACGCTATGTGCGAAACAACTTCCTGGACGGTCCACGCCAAGATGGCTTCGATGTGTTCCTGGGTGCATACCTCCCTCCTGATTCCACACTCGGTAGCCTCCAGCTCTTCGTTGATCGCCGACCGTTGATAATCCAGTCAATCCCATACATCTTCGCCGCCGGAGTGTTTATGATCATGGTGTCAACATTCACAAGACGCTTGCCCGACTCTGCCGTGTGGCCACTGCGCTTGTTTGTCATCTTCTGGCTTGCCGTCAGCGCCTGGTGTGCTCGGTTTATTCTCGCTCATGGAATGCTCTATGTAAGTTTTACAGTGATCTTTGCAACATGGTCCTCAATGCTAACGCCTGGGATTCAGGTCAATTGGCCAAAGTTGAATACACCTGCAGCTGGCTCTGAAGGGTATCAAGATGCACTCATCAAGGCTCGCTCAGATCCCATCATTGGCCAATGGCTTCCTGTCCGGAGGCACCAGCGAGGTTATAGCAACGCCAGGCTGGGCTTCTTGGAAGAAGGCAAAACAAGGATCGAGTAGGCTCCTTGGCAAGCTTGTTACTGCATCACTCTTTGCACCACATCTTAAAGATTATTTACTTATCCACTTCCCTGTGTGTATACCAAGCAATGCACATCTTCTACCCTATACATGTTCAACCTCACACCCTACTTTCATTTTTCTCATTATCAATGATCCCTTTTCGTGATTTTTTGCTGCTATCACCCCGTAAGGATCATCAACAGCCTTTAATAATTTACTCAGTAGTAGCAAAGGATTTCCCGAAGATATCTCGGGATTCTGGAGTTCAATCAAGAGTCCTGCTCCATGAAAATGGGTCTAGATTGTAGCTATTCACGTGATTTTATGGGGCCCGACCTCGGGACACCCGCGGCGCTCGATGACACTCCTCCGGCTGCTTGGACGGAGTAAAAGTTCCCTAGTCGATGCGCAGCATTCTTTTCCTTTTTCCTTCTTGCACGTGAGCAGCGGCATATTCGAAGCTGATGAGGGGCTTTCGCAAACTCTTTACCTTCTACAGAATCCAGCACAGTCGTCACATTTCATCCAATTCTGCCATAATGTCTCGCAACTATGAGGCAGGTTTCCCCGCAGGTATTTGTGGGCAAGCTACTGGGCGTCAGATCTAACAAGATGGTGCAGGCTGCGATCGCAGCTCTCAACTCGCTGCAATCCAACTTTGCAGTAGTGGAAGAGCTACGGAAATCACGGAAAGACATGAATCTATTATCTATTCCAGAGACCGTGGAGTGGCTCCGTCGCATAGGATATCAGGTCCGAGTGCTCCCCCGCACCACATCATCAGAACTCCGGGACTGACTCGACTCCATGTATAATTATATAGCCCTCCGATCTCAGCCGCATTAATCCCGTACATGTTGCTGGCACCAAGGGTAAAGGCTCCACTTCGGCCTTTATCGCATCGATTCTGTCTCAGTACACTGCATCGAAGCTATCTGACTCGACCTCGACCTCGACCTCACGCACACTCAACAAGGTCGGACTCTACACCTCGCCTCATTTACGCTTTGCCAGAGAACGGATCCAGATCGACAACGCCCCGCTGTCTGAAGAGAAGTTCGCCAAATATTTCTTTGAGGTATGGGATCGCTTGGACGAAGCTGCTCGGTTGGCCGGCGAGGATCCCGCGAACCTCCAAACGAAGCCTCAGTACTTCCGGTACTTGACATTAATGGCGTTCCATACTTATATAAGCGAGGGGGTGAATGCAGCGGTCATCGAATGTGGAATTGGGGGAGAGTACGATTGCACCAACGTGATTCCCAAGCCAGCAGCGACAGCAATCACTAGCCTGGGCATTGACCACGTAGCTCTATTGGGGAATACTATTGAGGAGATCGCATGGCACAAAGGTGGCATCATCAAGCCTGGCACCAAAGCATTCAGCACACCGCAGCCCCCGACTGCTGAGAAAGTTCTCCTTGAACGTGCGGCCGAGAAAGGAACTTCGCTGGAAATCGTGAGGGGCCATCCTGAACTCCACAGTGATGGGGGTGTGAAACTCGGACTAGCCGGTGAGTTTCAATATACAAACGCGGCAGTGGCAGTTGCGACCGCGGCGGAATTCCTCCGGACTGTCGGCATCGAGGACTTGCCGTCAGATGCCCTCCAGAAGTCGCTGCCGGCCAAATTCCGGAAAGGTCTGGAAGAAGCCCGCCTCGGGGGTCGCTGTGAGACACGCACTGAGAATCGCATTACGTGGTACATTGATGGAGGCCATACGCTCGAAAGCATCAAGCTGGCTGGTCAATGGTTTGCATCTCAGATCCAGGCGAACTCGTCGTCTACTGCAGTTGCCCAGAAGAAGCAGCGGGTCTTGATCTTCAACCAACAGACTCGTGACAGCAACGCCCTCGCTCGGGCTCTTCACGAGACTCTGGCTGCGGCCTTGGGCTCGGAGCAACCGTTCACACACGCGGTCTTCTGCACCAACGTCACCTACAAGGATGCTGGCTATCGGCCAGACCTTGTCAGCATGAACACGAATGCGACTGATGTGGAGAAATTACATGTCCAGAAAAGCCTCGCGGAGACATGGTGTTCCATTGACCCCCGTACCGAAGTTAAGGTGTATGGCACCATCGAGGAAGCCGTCGACTTCACCCGAGAGCTCGCCATGATGGAAAAAGACCTTGTGGGTCAGCATGAAGCCCCTGTTATGACCTTCGTTACTGGCAGCTTGCACCTGGTTGGTGGCTTTCTGGATGTCATTGAAACCAAACCTGCTCCTCAATAAGGATCGCAATCTACTGCCTCACCATGAGGTTTCAACAACAAAACTGGTGATACCCGCGCACAAGGCATATCCGCCTTGTTTATGCTCTATTTCTGATGATTTTGGTATGAGATAGAAGGAGGCGTTTAGTCACAATTCAACAGGGCGAGGTCTAGATTCATATATAAGGTGGAGAATCTCTGATAATGATTCTTAAGCGTACAGCCGTAGAGAAACTATGGGAGTAGATATGCACCCCGCGGAGGGCACAGACGGCGGCTAGTGAGTGGGGGCGGCGGGCTTAGAAAACCTTCCCGCACCCACTTCTGCTCCGACCATCGAACTTCCACTTATTCCAATCGCGCCAGCTGTCATGCCGGACTCCAAGGACAAGAAGGGCAAAGCCCCCCAGGCGTCTAACGCTGAGGTCAGTTCCCTTCCTCTCATTGCGATTATTGTGCCCTCTCAAATCTCACTGATTGAATTAGGATGCGGCGAAACAGAAGTTGACCCCCAAGGCGGCCGAGGCGCTGCTCGAGAACAACCCCGCGCTGAAGAATGAGCTGGCCGGACTGGATAAGGATAAGGCTGCGGAGGCCCTGCGCAAAATGGATATCTCCGAGCTCTTGACGGGCCTGGCTGTGGGAGGCAAGAACCAGAAAGACATGGCCTCCTACAAGTTCTGGCAGACCCAGCCTGTCCCTCGCTTTGATGAGACCGCTGCTGCTGCCAACGATGTTGGTGGGCCGATCAAGATGATCGATCCGGAAAAAGTGTCCAAGACCCCCGACGCCCTGATCGAAGGCTTTGAGTGGGCCACTCTGGATCTTACAAAGGAGGAAGAGCTCCAGGAGCTGTGGGATCTTTTGACCTACCACTATGTCGAGGACGACAATGCGATGTTCCGCTTCAGATACTCGAAATCATTCCTACACTGGTTCGTTCACTGCGCAGGTTATATCCAAGTGCTTCGGCTCGAAGGCTGATCATATGCTATTTAGGGCCTTGATGGCTCCGGGCTGGAAGAAGGAATGGCACGTCGGAGTTCGCGCTACCAAGTCGCGCAAGCTTGTCGCCGCTATCTCTGGTATCCCCACGGAGTTGCGCGTTCGGGAGCAGAAGATCAAGGTCACCGAGATCAACTTCCTCTGCATCCACAAGAAGCTCCGATCCAAGCGTTTAGCTCCGGTCCTGATCAAGGAGATCACTCGCCGTTGCTATCTCAAAGGTATCTACCAGGCTATCTATACTGCGGGTGTAGTGTTGCCCACTCCCGTCAGCTCATGCCGTTACTACCACCGTCCTCTGGACTGGCTCAAGCTTTATGAGGTCGGATTCTCGCATCTACCGACTGGCTCCACCAAGGCCCGACAGATCAGCAAGAATCACCTTCCCAGCACCACATCCACCCCTAACCTGCGCCCCATGGAGATCAAGGATATTGATGCCGTCCAGGACCTGCTGGAACGCTACCTGAAGCGCTTTGCCTTGAACCAAGCCTTTTCCCGTGAGGAGATCGAACACTGGCTGGTTCACAAGGGAGGCGACGCCGACCGGGAACAAGTGGTTTGGTCCTACGTGGTGGAGGACCCCGAAACCCACAAGATCACCGACTTCTTCTCCTTCTACAACCTTGAATCCACTATCATCCAAAACCCCAAGCATGAATGTTTGCGCGTAGCCTACCTCTACTATTATGCCACTGAAACGGCTTTCACTGGTGATCTCAAGGCGCTCAAGGAAAGGCTCTTGTTGTTGATGAACGACGCTCTGATCCTGGCGAAGAAGGTAAGTCCAAAGTTCGGGCTTGTATGAACCCAGTAGGTACAGGTCACTGATCATCTTTTACGATAGGCTCGTTTCGACGTGTTCAATGCGCTTACCCTCCACGACAATCCCCTGTTCCTAGAGCAGCTCAAGTTTGGAGCGGGCGATGGCCAGCTCCACTACTACCTCTACAACTACCGGACGGCCCCAATCCCTGGAGGGGTTAATGATAAGAATCTGCCGGATGAGAAGAAGATGGGTGGTGTTGGTGTTGTTATGCTGTAGAGTCCGGAACTCTCACATGTTCGAAGGCCAAACAAGACCTCCTTTTGTGTGCTGTGGGTCAGATGACTGGCACTAACTCGGTGTGACAAGACACTTGTGAATACCGTTAGCCCGAATTGAAATGTATACATCTGCTATTATTGTGAATGTTCACATGGTGCTGTACTTCTGCATACTGTAGTATTCTCCGTAGTAGTGATGATAGTTACTGCATAGTTACTGCATAGTCAGTCGTAGTCAACTTACCCAAGAAATGGACCGAGTCTAGAAGGTCACGGGAGGGTCATGAGGTCCTTGCCGAAAAGGGCAAGAACCCCCCTGCCTGGGGGTGGGTGCCTGGGTGCCTGGGGGCCTGAGGGGCCTGAGGGGCCGAGGCCCGCCTTTTCATCCCCAGCCCGCATGCGGCCATGTTTAGTTTCCGTTCATTGTCCATTGTCTGCCCACTTCAAGATTCCGAGGTCTCTTCTCCTCCCCCATCATCATCGACAACAACAATCGCATCACTGCATTTTCATGTCGATATGACACTGCACAGGCACACTAAGCCGTTTCCTCATCAGTACCGACTCGAGTTTTAGATTCGCGTCCCCTATCTCCGCAGATGATAACGATCGTCCCCCCGACTCGTCGCAGTGGGTTCACGTCGTCATCACCGCGGAGCGTCCCAGACTAATACTATCCGTGCTAAGGCTACAGCTGCACATAATTTATCATCTTATTTCTGAAACACTAACTCTCTTTGCCTCATTCTTAAACTACTTCAACGCTCAACAACTCCTGGGCCATTGATCTTCAAGATGGGGGGATATCAGTCCACTGAGTCTGCGGGCCATAAGTCATCGCCAGGTCAGCATCAAACTATATCTATCCGTCCGCTCTGAGACAAGCAGACACTTGTAACTAACATCCAATCAGAGGAACTGAGTTATATGCTTGCTGAGCGCTTCGCCACCAAGTGCTTCACTCCTCTGGAGCTTACCCATTTCAAAGACAACTTTTACAGCCGTGCCATTGACCAAGGTGGCGTGAAGTACTGGAATGAGAAAATACTATCGGACTTCCTTGGGGTCCCAGATAGCAGCGACTCTCAATGTCCCCTCGACGCTGGCCCTGTGATCTTCCGCATGGTCTCGTACCTAGGAGCTTTTCCTTTCCAGAATTCGCTCGCGCCGAGTGTGCTCACATTCGATGCTATGGTGAAGGTTGTCGTTTTGCTCACCGAGAGATATGGAAAGGTGCTCAGAAGAGCACGCAGAGATCGCATCAGGCTTCTGTTTGGAAGCTTAGCTGATGTCGGAAGGAAAGATGTTGAAAAGTCATCTACCAGTAGCGATATGTTCGGAGAGGACGTACCTAACGCGACCACATCAAGTTCTCACGCTCCGGGATTTGCCGTTGATGCTCCTGCTAACGACGGCTACGAGGATGAGGAGGATGACGACTTGGCTCTGGCTGCCTTGGAATCGCTTGACGCCATCGAGGTCTTCAAGCATGACTCTCGTGTAGATAGGGCGGTTTATGAAGCTCGAGTCTCCGATAATACTTTCCGTCGCTTGCTGATGCTGCTTATTGTGATATCGCGATTGAGGTCCATCGAGTCAGCAGCAGTCTACACATCGAATCTCAGTGGAACACGCATGGATTCGATTCGAAAAGAAGCGGACAGCATTATAGCAGCGTTTGACCAAGAACCATCCAAGGGAATCAGGTACAGGTCTTTCGCGGAGACGGTATCTTCCTCATTACCGTACCTATTTGACCCTCTGACACCTTTATTCGAGCATTTCTTGTTCAGCAAGAACCTGGACCTTTCTCAGAAGCGCGATAGGGCTGGTTCGACTGAATCTATACTAGATAAAGCCATCCTAGACGAGCTGCAGCCTCCTCCCTCAGTCATGCTTGATGGTAGTTTCGAGTCAGTGATTCTGAATACGAGCCTGTTGTCGCACCTTTCGTTCTTCCTTCCCTCAACATCCGAGGACTTAAACTTCCTACGCGGCAACACACGCTTACACCCCGTTTTTTCCACGGCCGCACACGGATCCTCGCTTACCTCATTCTCTCACAACGTTTTAACCTGGTCATCAGGCACCCTGCTCATTCTTGATGGTGTGTCTGAGACTAACGGTCCGGTCATCCTCGGCGCTTACCTACCACAGCCGTGGAAATCACCATCATCAACCGCCTCATCATCCCAATTCTCCAACTCCGTCCTCCCTTGTCTTTTCCAGCTTTCACCACAACACATGCTCCTGCAAGGAAATTCTTCCCCGTCTGCACAGAAACCTGATACCCCTGCGGCATATTTCTCCACGAGCTCGGGAATATCTATTGGATGTCGCATCCCACCCTCATCGCGCAGCAACCGCAAGCCTCCTGCCCCCTTCGGAGCCGGCAGTCTCACCATCGACGCCAATCTCGAGACCGCAAACTTCTATGTTTCTCCAGTTGGTTGCGACGGGTCATTTCTCCCCCCGGCGCCCAGCACAAATACCGAAACCACATACAAAACGAGTATAGATATCTACAACCTAGAGGTTTGGGGACTTGTCCCAGATCCTACGACCACCACCGCCGAAGTCGGGAAGAGCGCCGTCGAGCTACAACAGGCAAAGTGGGACTTTGAAGCGCGCGAAGCGGAAAGACGGCGGAACCTGAACCTCAAGGCTGGTGCGGGCGACTCGGCTGCCGAGAGTGCTCGTTGGCTGTTGGAAACTGCCGGCATCATCGGCGACAGTAGTCGACAAGGCGGCTCGCATGTGATCTAATTTGAACAATCGCGATGGTCTAGCCTTTGCTTCATCTGGAAATGCTAAGTTAGCCCTGGAGGAATACCTGGGGGTATCAGTTGATGATTTGCTCACACATATGAGGCGTACCTCAATGTTGGCGTATCTGAAGTTTGATACTATTATTGTGGATATGTTGAAACCAGAAACAGACTCAATTGGACATTGAAGCTACCGCGAGAAGCTCAGGCTGTTTTCTTAAGAAGCCCTATATAATCTAGCCATCGATTACTCGAGTACGACAAGCCTGCAATTGGCTTGGTTCCACATTGGCAGACTCAGTTTGCACCTGTCTATGTTATTGTGCCACTCTAATAATCTCCGTTACTGCATCCAGGCACCGAGAAACGTAGTCGATCCTTCATAGGGCTGCTGCAGGGAACTTTCACACAGCTTGATACAACAATTAAGGTAAAAATCGTTAATTGAGTTCCAAAAACGAGTTATCATACGATCAACCCGCAACATCTTCTCTATTCAAGAAGAGAACAGGAGAAAGGCACTGTTCTATATAATTCAAGCTCCCAAAGGCGGCAATCCAGTGGGCGGCCCATAGAAATCCTTCAGCTCCTCCTCGGCATCCTCGCCCTCGTCCCCATCCTCACCAGGTTGCTCGCTGAGTTCGACATCCGACTCGGCCTTATTGTGGCCCCGCGAACTAAGTCTGCTCCGTTGGCCCGGCACAGGTGTCCCTCCCGGTTTGCGGCCCACGTCCTCGGCCTCTTTGCCTTGGTTGGCGGCCGCGGGATCCTCCGGCTCTTCCCGGGGTAGGCGATAGGCTAGGAACCCCTCCGGCGCACGCTCGGCGCGGTCCATGATCTCGTTCATGTACTTGCGCACCTCGTCGGGGGGCTTGACGACTCGGCTCAGCGGCTCGAGGACTTTGGGGTTGTTGCTGAAGATCCGGAAGGTGACCGGTTGGTAGTACTCTTTCAGGTTGGGGTCGTCTTTCTTGTCGTTCTTCGCCGCAGCGGGGGTGGAGGGTTCTTTGTCCGTGGTGGGTTTGGTGGCGGGGGTGGAAGAAGGGGTTGGGGTTGATGTTGAGGCTGCGCCGGCTTTCACGTCGGGTTGCTCGCCGGCTTGTTGTTCGTCGCCCTCGGTTGGGTTGGGTTTAGGGGGTTCGGATTTACCATCGCCAGTAGTGGTAGCGGTGGCGGACGGGGTCTCGGGCTCGGGCTTCTCTTTCCCCTTCTCCTTGTCTTGCTCTTTATCCTTCTCTGCGTCCTTAGCTTTGTCTGGTTGGGGTGCCGGGGTCTTGCTCTTATCCGCGGCCTTTTTGGACTTGGATTTGGAGCCGGATTTGCCTTTGGCTCTGGACGGTGGTTCCGAGCCGGTTTCGATAGGGAACGGGGTGTTGGGATCCACTTTCCGCACGAGAAGGAAAGATGCAAGCACGGTGGTTCCTCCAGGAAGCCATTCTAGGATTGTGTACTCCGGGAACAAATAGCGGTCCCCGGAGCCTGCGTGTCCGGACGTACTGCTACCATAAGGAGTGAGTGGTGAAGTGAATTCGAAGACAACGGACTTGTAGTTGAGTCTCGGAGGTGGTGGTGGGGCCGGTGCGGGGCGGTAGTATGGAGTTGGTGATCCGTATTGGGGCGGCCGGGATTGGATTGCAGGTGGCTGGCCTTGATAAGGAGCTTGCTGGTATTGGGGGTGAGATGGCCCAGAGCGTGGTCCTGGGGTCTGAGCTTGTTGCAGTTGTTGCGGTTGTTGTGCTTGCTGCTGCTGCTGCTGCTGCTGCTGCTGTGTTGGGGGTGCGGGGCGTGCTGCTGGGGTTGGTTGCTTAGCGACTTCTACAGCCGATGTCGGTCCTGGCGCAACAGGAAGATTCGGGGCTTGTGGAGTAGCCGGCTGGATTTGTGCAACCGATCCAGGTTCTTGTTTGATTGGTAGTGCCTTCGAGCCTTGTGGGGTCGGGGTCGGCGGTGGTTGTGCCGTATTGCCAGGTTGCGCTGATTTCCCAGATGGCGAGAGAATTTGTACTTCGACAGGCGGATTTGGTTGAGATTGGGATTGTGCTGGGGGATTCGGGTGGGCTGGCTGCTGCGGAGGTCGTTGTTGCGGAGGTGGAGGGTGTGGCGTCTGTTGTGGTGTCTGAGGTTGTGAGGGAGGCTGTTGCGTTCTAGGCGCAGCCTGTGGATGCGCCGGAGTAAGCGGTAATGGCTGTCTGTGTTGCTGTTGCTGCTGCTGCTGCTGCTGCTGCTGCTGCTGCTGCTGCTGCTGCTGCTGTCGTTGTTGCTGTTGCTCCCTGGCTCGAATTATAGCGTTGAGTTCATCGATATGAGCTTGGAAAGCACGCAGTTGCTCCTGAGATGCTTTGCTGGAAGCCACCACTCGCATCAAGGATTTGAGGTCAGGATCGGAGGCGGCTCTTGTCGCTAGCATTTGGATTACTGGATCTGGGCTGGGTTTCGGCGGCTGAGGCGGCTGTGTATTTTGCGAGGGAGGGGGTCGCTGCGCTGCTTGAGGCCCAGGCTGACGGTGAGGAGTGTGGCTAGGCGTTCGAGCAGGATGCGGTGGAGGTGGGTGGCTGCCATGAGGGTAGCCCTGCTGAGGTGTGCCTGGAGTGGCCGGTGTTGCGTGAGGAGGGTGCTGCTGTTGCTGTTGTTGCTGCTGCTGCTGGCGTGGATGTTGCGGCGGAGTGGGACCGTTGGGATACGGATGATATTGTTGGAAGTTATTAGGATGGCCATAATGAACCATCGGACGTTGGGGTGGTGTGTACTGAATTGCCGGCGGCGCATTGGGGTCTTTCACCGTATATAGCATAGCATCGAACAAATGAGGACCGACCACAATGTTGCAAGCTCCAACCTTCGACATGCTCTCCTTGGGCGGGTTTTTGCCTTCGATTTGTTCTCTCTTGGTTTTCTTGGGCTTGGTCCAGTACCGCTCCAAGATGCCGTCGCTGAGCCATTTCTTCTTCGATCGTTCCAATGAGGTTAGGAGAACCGCACTGCATGTGGTCAGTCAATTACATATGCAAATTGCGACAATGAAAAAACCCCTTATCACGGCGTCCTGGAGGAAATTCCATACCTTTCTGCAATCGACTGGAACTCCTTCAACGGGAGATCCTCCGGCTGCGGAGTGGGCACAGTGGGGAGCCCTTCTCCATCCTTAATTTTTGTAGGCAGGGGATTCTCGATGACTTCGGGTTGTGGAGGAGGGGGAGTTGGAGCAACGACTGGTGTCGAAGCCTTTCGTTTGGATGATTGCTGAGGCTGAGGCGAAGATCGAGGCGCGGCTTCGGACACCCGTCGCTTCGCCGCAGGTTCGCGACGCTCGCGGGCAGACAGTCTTCGTTTCTCGGCCATGGAAAGGGTATCACAACGATAGCTAATTGAGATAAACCGAAAACAAGCTCCGACCGCAATATATCGGAAGCATTGCGCGGTTACTCGGAGGGTGAGTGAAGAAAGGAGCGCAGTAAGAAGGGGTCGGAGGTTGCGGAGGAGAGAAAAATGGCGGGATGGAAAGAGAGAGAGAAAGAAAGACGGACTCGGGAGGAAAAGGAGCCTCAACGCTCGCCGCCTTCATATGAGCCTTCATCCTCCTCCCTCCCCTCTCGACATTCCTCCTCCAATTGAGCTTCAATTGCACCTGTTGCCACCTGGGGTACCCCTGGAATTAGTCGAAAAGACACATAACAACGGACATTTGCATGCGTGAGCTGCGCATGCGCTGAAACCGCGTCCTTAGCCGCATCTGTAGCTTACTGGCAGTACGTCATTCTCGTCGACTCTGTTTACTCCCATTCAGTGCTCCAGCAATACCGAAGCTGTTACCAAATCAAAGTTCCGACTTCCGAGAGCTCATGGCTGAGCTTCAATCTATCTTTCGAAAAGCCTACTGGTCGTTGGCGGCCGGTGGCCTGCTCTATGTGCTATTCGTCTGTGCCCTAACGTATCCTGTGGTTCAACGCTTGTATGTCTGTATTGTAGCTCTCTTGCACAGAGCAATACTAGGACTCCAAAGCTGACATTGCCTTATTTCCACCGGATAGTGCGCTCTATGTCAATAAGGTGAACCCTACGCAATGGCAGGACATCAACCTCGTCGAGTCCTTCGGGTTTCTGAGTACGTTTTGTCGACGTCCACAGCGCATAAACCTGGCCTGTGCAAGAGTCCGAAGATGTTGACACGGAGTAGAAACGCAGGTTCAACCCTTCAACCTGGTGACGCCCGATAACGAGACCTTGTACACCTGGCACCTCCTTCCCCTGCAATTGTGCAAGGAACATGAAGAGGACCTGCATGAGAATGAACAATATGGTCCAGCGGAGGACTATACCAAGACATCTGCCTTCAAGCTCCTCGCCAACGACCCCAATGCGAGGGTGGTTGTCAGCTGTAAGCCCAAACAATGCTCGCATCACTCCAATGATCGCCTATCTTACTCACCTCTCCGACCCAAGTTCACGGCAATGCCGCGCACCTCGCGTCTGCCCAACGACCGGAGATCTACCGACAGCTTCTCGGCCTGTCGACGCCTTCGCACCCAGTCCATGTCTTCGCCATTGACTACCGGGGCTTCGGTCTCTCAACGGGCTCACCAACAGAAGAGGGCCTCATCACCGATGGCGTCGCGCTCCTCAACTACCTCACCGCAGGCCCACTGCGCATTCCTCCCTCGCGCATTGTCATCATGGGCCAAAGTCTCGGCACAGCCGTGAGCGCCGCAGTAGCCGAACGCTTCGCCTTCGGTTCTCCCAACCCGGCCGCCATCCAACCCGCTCTCAAAGACCCGGAGCCCTTCGCCGGCGTGATCCTCCTGGCGTCTTTCAGCAACGTCCCAAGCCTTATCGAATCCTACAGCCTGAAGGGCATCACCCCACCCATGCTATCGCCTCTATCCGCATACCCCGGGATCAAAGACTGGGCGAAAGGCCACATCGTCGACCGCTGGGACACCGCCGCCCGCGTTGCGCGCCTGTCCGGGGTCAGCAGCAGCACCACCACCAAGGACGACCATCCGACGCCCGCATACGCCCAGAAGGGGTTGAATCTGTTCATCGTGCACGCCGCCAACGATGTCGAGATCCCCTGGCAGGAGGGTCGTCGCGTCTGGGCGGCGGCCACCGGGGAAGCCCTTGAGGACGGCCCCGGGAAGATCGTGCTATCGAAGAAGGACTCGAAGGGAGGTCCCAATGAAGTTCAGATCTGGGAGAACAGATCGGCCAAGGACTCTGCGGTGGTCAAGCGGGTGCGGTGGGAGCGCGTGGCCTACGGTGGTAAGTCGTCTCTTTTTGCATTTTCCTATTTTTGGAACGCTGGGCTTAACCGGTTCTTTTCTTTAGGTCATAATCGCGTGGCGACGTTCTCGGTCGCCGCTTTGGCTGTGCTAAGAGCCTTCGACGGGTAGAGAGTCATTTTAGAGTAGTTAGTCTGGCTGGACCAGACCACCAGAAGATGCCTGCACCTGGTTTTGGCTGTGCGGTTCATGTCTCCACAGGAAACCTACTTTTAGAGACGAAATCAGCATTGGCACGACTACTTCGACCATTCGACGAGAGGAGATGATTATAACCCAACTATCAGAATAATATTTATGTACAACCTGTATGAACCCATCCACGCTTCCCAACTGTGCTTTGTATGCCAATATATCAGGTAAAAAAGCGTCTTTCTCTAAACGCGCAGAAGGGTTATCGATATTGCTTGGTAAATAATACATGAGCCCGAAGTATTTTGAACAGAGCTACAATGAACAAAAAAACATCATTTTCGTATGCAGACACACACGCCGGGACAATTGGCGAGGAAGGGGATGGAGCAGGAGGAAGAAGACCCGGAGTGTAGTCAAATGGCGTTCGGAGACTTCGCGGTGATTATGTGAGGGCAAAGATCAAGCCAACGGATTCGAGACCTCACGGAATGCAGAAGGAATATCTCCCTGCACTCGAGTCAACGCGGTCGGAAGGTGATTCGATCGGCTTATTTCTTGTGTCTGTCGGCCTGAGCCTTCAAGTATTTGGCAATGAGTTCCTTCCTAAATGGTTGAAATTGCAGGTTAGCATGATTGACTTCTGAGTTGCAAGATGCAACGTTTATACGAAGAGAAACACTTACTGTAGATGGCCCGGCGCCTTCTCGTAGTGACTGAATTCCATGGTGTATTCACCCTTACCCTGAGTGGCGGCACGAAGGTTGCTACTGAAGCCAAACATACCGTTCAAACTGCAGTCAGCGTGAACGGTGAACTCATCGACACCAACTTCGGAGTCGTTGATGGTAGCGCTACGCTTGTTCAGGAGAGCAATGACATCACCCTGGAACTCGGAAGGAGCCGTGACAACAGTCTTCATCATAGGCTCAAGAATAGCGGGACCACTCTCCTGGAAAGCCTTGCGGAAGGCCTGCTGGGTGGCATTCTTGAAGGACATTTCAGAAGAATCCGTCATGTGAGTAGCACCATCATTGATGACCATCCTGGTACCAAGGACCTTGTGTCCAATGAGAGGACCCTTATCACAGGCCAAATTGAAACCCTTCTCACAGGCGAAGATGAATTTCTCGGAGATACTTCCTCCAACAACCTGTTCTTCGAAAACGTTCTCCGTCAGACTGCCAGTTGGCTCCATGTAACCCACGACACGGGCGAAGTCACCAGGACCTCCGGTCTGCTTCTTGAGCAAATGGTCGAACTCAACACGGCTACCGATGGTTTCACGGTAGGCGACTTGAGGAGGACCGGTCTCACAGTCCACCCGGTACTCACGGCGCATCCGCTCAATGTAGATATCCAAGTGCAGTTCGCCCATACCAGAGATGATAGTCTGTTCACTCTCGTTATCGAAGTGCACGCGGAAAGTAGGATCCTCTCTCTGGAAACGAGCCATGGCCTTGGAGAAGTTGGCGCCATCCTTGGCGTTCTTGGGCTTGATGGAAAGCGAGATGACGGGCTCAGGAACGAACATAGACGACATAGTGTAACCCAGTTGGCCATCAGTGAAGGTGTCACCCGAAGCACAATCGACACCGAACACAGCGCAGATTTCACCCGCTCCCACCTCAGTGACATCCTCCATCTCGTTGGAGTGCATACGCACGATGCGAGGGATCTTGACCTTCTTGTCCGTCCGTGCGTTGAAGACGTTAGCACTCTTGCGAAGGGTACCTTGGTAAACGCGGATGTAGGTCAACTGTCCGAAGTTGCTCTCTTCCAGCTTGAAAGCAAGACCGACGAATGGCAGTGCATTGTAAGGAACAAGCTTCACTTGAGCTTCGTTACGTTTTTTGTCGAGGGCAAGGTTCTGAACCTCGGAAGGATTGGGAAGATAGTCAATGACACCATCAAGCATGGGCTGCACGGACTTGTTGGCGAGGGCGGAACCCATGAAGACAGGGGTGAACTTGAGACCAATAGTAGCACGGCGGATAGCCTGTCTAAGTTGATCCTCTGTAGGCTCGATCTCGCTAAGGAAGAGTTCCGCAATCTCGTCGTCAACGTCGGCGAGAGTCTCGACAAGCATGCGCTTCCGCTCTTCCACAACGTCCTTGACCTTGTCTGGAACCTCATCCTTGATCATGATATCCTCACCGTTGGGGCCGACGTTGTAGATAGACTTCATTGTAAGCAAATCGACCACACCCTCAAACTCATCTTCGGCACCAATTGGTACCTGGACGGCAGCAGCAGGGATCTTGAGCTTGGTGTTGATCTGATCAACAGCCTTGAACGGATTGGCACCCATGCGGTCCATCTTGTTGACGAACGAGATTCGGGGAACGTTGTAACGTCTCATTTGACGATCGACGGTAATGGTCTGGGACTGAACACCGGAGACAGCGCACAGGATCATGACGGCACCATCGAGAACACGCAGCGCTCTTTCGACTTCAATGGTGAAGTCAATGTGTCCTGGCGTGTCGATCAAGTTGAGATGGTACTTCTGGTCCTGTCCATCCTTATCCTTCTTCACCCAGTCACAGTACGTAGCAGCAGACTGAATGGTAATACCCTTCTCACGCTCGAGATCCATGGAGTCCATCTTCGCTCCGACATTGTCACGACCACGGACTTCGTGAATGGCCTTGATACGACCAGTGTAGAAGAGAACTCGCTCGGTACATGTCGTCTTACCGCTGTCGATGTGTGCCTAACGATTTCAAAAAGTATGTTAGAAGGATGCGAATAAACAAAATCGGGTGGCGTCAAGAGGTATCCTACAGCAATACCAATGTTGCGGACTTTGGACAGGCGTGCCGCTTCGACGGGATCGAGGTTGTCAATAATGGCTTCCTGCGACAGAGCATCCGGGGCGGCAGCAGCGGCCTCAAGGCTGGTAGAAGAAAATGCACAAGTCAGCAATGATAATAACGACACAAGGTTTATACTGGTAGGCAATGAGAGAGAAGGGGTAAGGATCTAGGGTACTCACACAGCAGCAGCAGCAGCAGCGGAGGCGTTTCTCCTTTGCTGGTTCTGATTGCTGAGGACGGACTGATAAGCCGGAGCAACAGTGGCTGAACGGAGGACGGCGGTGGATGCGCATCTCCGAGACAGGAAGTGCTGAGACTGAAGACGAACAGGAGTCCTGGTCAGGCCAGAAACAGCACGGGATGGCAGCCGTGACAGAGTAGGGCACCTCATGACTGCGATCGACGACACCGAGACTTGAATGAGCGCTGATGCTCGTTTGAGAAGCCGGGAGTCGCGATCTTTTCTGCGGCGCCGCCGAAAAAAAGTTCGGGGAAGCCAGGAACGCGGTCACGTGCTAGCCATCGGCTGATCTTTCGCCGTTTGTTGGCTGCCAGAATAATTAAGTCATCAAGACTTGACCATTGATTCCCACTTTCTTGTCGTGCCTGTGCATATGCAGCCTATCGTTTTTCCAGCAACTGAAAGCCATGCTCATGGGAATGATGTCGAAGCTTTTCGAGGCCAATTGGACCCTTAACATTACTATTGCTGCCAGAAGCCACTCAGTACCGTGCAAACTCCGAGTTCGGACCGGGACTTAAGGCCCAGACCCTCTGAGTTCTGGAAAGTGATCTATAGCCCTCTGACGAGTATCAAAGCTCCGGAATCTGCTTCAAAGCATCATTCCAGGAGGGAAGGGGTTTAACTAGGCAGACTTCGAAGAGCATCCATACAAGCCTAGCCTGTAGTTGAGCAAAAACAATGCATAGAAAGTGGAGGGGTGTACTGTATCAGAATTACCGAAGTTCGGTAACAATTCATACGAATACAGGCAAGTATTGCTGACCGCCTTGCCTTCCGCCACCACCCCTCCGTGGCTCAATCGGACAATAAACCAATCGCCGAAGACTAATGGAAAGAAGGAAGCGTGCTCAATCTACTTGTTTTGGACGGATAGAAGAGGTCATATTCTACACCAGTCTAAAATTCTTGCGCACATAGCACTCGAGAAATGCGGACTTCACTACAGCTTCTGGCATCAATCTCCCGAAGCCAGCCGTCCAAGCTCAGGAAACCAACTGTTGGTCTTGACCATGTCAGTGCTTTGCTCAAGAAAATGGCGCTGAGCACAGTTTGGCTAATGCCCAGACTAGTTTATCCAAAGACAGCGGGTTATCGCACTATGGCGTGAGATTGTCAGGGCTTTGAATGGTCTGTCTTTGCCCATTACCTTGATATTTCATGCTAACACACAACCGAAGCGATTCCCAACTCGCCAACCCGCGATGAGCTGCGCAATTATGCCCGCAATGAGTTCGAGCGCCACCGAGACGTGACCGACCTGGTAAGTGCTCGGGAAGTGTACTGTGTGGTGACGAGACTAATGAATTTCAGCAACATATTCGATATCTGCTTTCAGTATGTCCGGAATTCTCTGGTTCGTTTTATTCATTGCTAACATAGCGCAGACGGGCAAAGCTGAGTTTGAAACGATGAGGAGGTATATCGACGAGCAAATTGTCGGTTGAGCTAGCCAAACGTCACATGCAGCGCGATTGAGAGAGAGGAGCTGGCGGAGAGTTGCATTTCCCTAAACATTGAGAACGTATTTATGTACAATAAGATATGATACCCAGACAGATCGATGAAAATCAAACAGAAACCTCAAGAACTTCTTTAGGTCATCCTACTTCTGCCCCGATAGTAGCTCAATTACAGCACTCAGAACACCAAGCGACTTCTCCTCTGAGGGCTCGATGGCCGAACGAGCAGCGTCCTGCTCCGGAGCTGGCTTTCTCTTGCCCGCCTCGTTGGCCGCCGCCTCGATGGCTGCATGGCGCTCCCGCCAGTCCTTGTCCTCCTGGTCTCGGATCTCCAGCTCACGCAGCCAAGCATCCCGCTTCTCCTGGCTCTTGCGTGCCTCGACCACCTGCTCGAACTCCTTTCGTTGCTGGCGCTCCGTTTTGTAGTACATGCCTCCGGCGACGACGGCGATCAAGGTGAAGAATTGGGCGTAGATACGGGCACGGAACATCTTGTTCATTTCAACCGAGTCGCCCGCCTTCATGGACCGGTAGGCCCGGTAAAGGGCGTAAGAAGTGGCCGCACATCCTGTAATCGAGCGCATCCAGTCAGATACAGTTCCAGAAAATAATAATAGAATCGAGGAAGGTTAAAGGTGAGCGAGGACTGACGTACCGAGCGGAATCAGCGGCTCTTGCTTGAGACGCCTGCGGAACTTCTGCAGCGAAGTTTCTTCCTGGAATTGACTACAGACGCGATGACTGTTAGCAAATGGCCACGGGCTGCAGCTGCAGAATAACACCATAAGAACTCAGATACTCACGGGTTGTCCTCGAAAGAGGAAGGAAGGGGGTTGCTCATTTTGATAGTGGGAGTCACCAAGTGGTAGCAAATTGAAGGTGGCGATCTGCGTAGAAGATCGCAAGGCGTGCGACTAAGTTAAGTTAATGATGGATGGGAGAGTGAGCCGCAGGGATTCAGTCCCGCCGATGGTAATCCCCGACCGACAACAAGCAAAACAAGCACAAGCTAGAGATGACAGTCAGGCTTCCTGCTCCTATTTTGCCTCTTTGACAGTATAGCTCAGATAGAAGTGATCATGGATATGGACGAACACAAATTACACCAGAAGTGACATGACGTCGAGACAAACCTTGAGGTGATTGGTGTATTGTATCTTACGCGGCTTTACAGCCAGAGCTCGTAAGATTTGGTAACATCTTGTCCCATGGGGATTTATCATGCCATACATTGGGCGGATCCAGTATCGGAGTCAGTTTTGACGACAAATGATTGGTGGATATGAAGGACATGATCGATGACTGGGGTGCGATAAGAGTTTATTCATGTTTTCTTCATGACCAAGAAGCTCGTGCAACTAAACTGGCGGTTCTGCCCTCAAATCGGTAGGGCGCAGTAGGCCGTCGGCGCTTTCATGCCTTCTGAGCTACTTACAGTAAGTTCAAAGTACGGAGTAGCTGTACAGTGTATCTACAAGCACCTATTGACCAGTCAAATGACGCATTGAATGCCCTGATTCTAGCAACGAATTGTTATTGGCCACCTACTTGATAGTCGACGGTCCGGCTTGCGATCAGTGCAGGTCCACTGGCCACTCATGGCTTTTTATGGGGAAAGCGAAAAAGGACTTGAGCAGCGCCTGGCCAACACAAAAAGTAGCTATTATGTATGAGATATGGCGAATGATGACAATGAGAGACGTTGAGTTAAAGTCAGTGATGTTGTACTTCATACTTAAAGATCAAATTCCTGACTCTTCTTCCTCTCCATGATGCCAACATCTTAATGTTCTTGTTTAGGGCTGGAAGTCAGGGTTAAGTTGATGACATAAACTTTTCCGCCTCCGATCACGGAATTTTCGCTCCTCTCCGCGGAATAGAAAGGGTGATTCATCTATCATAGTTAGTCAGTGCCACCGCGACTTTTTTCTCGGTCTCGGCGTCCATCTGGTGCTGACATCTCGTTCCTACTCTTTTTCTAGGACCCCCACATTCATTTCCTGCATTTATCCCATAGACCACATCCTAAAATGCCCATCGAAGTATCTGAAGACGGCGTTGCGACTCCGGTCTCCGCCAAGGTGAGCAACCTCACGTTGACTGAGGCCTCCGCGCTCGCAACTCCTACCTCTGAACGCGCGGAGGACCAGGCTGCCTACAATTGGGGCATCCCCGACGACTACCTTCTCCCGAACGGTTTCCCAGATGTAAGCGTCCTATGACTCTCATTTGCTCTGACGGAGCATGTGGCTCATGCGATTGTTGTCTACAGTACCTCCGCTTGATCTTAACCTCCCGTGTCTACGACATTATCGACGAAACCCCTCTGCACCATGCCGTTAACCTGAGCAATCGCCTCGAATGCCGTGTGCTTCTCAAGCGGGAGGACTTGCTTCCTGTCTTCAGTTTCAAGCTTCGTGGAGCCTACAACAAGATGGCTCACCTGACTCACGAGCAACGGTGGAAGGGTGTCATTGCATGCTCTGCCGGTCGGTGAACCCCCCCGCATCAAGGATTGCATGAAGGGTATGGACTGATTGGGTTATTCGATTCAGGAAATCATGCGCAGGGCGTCGCCTACTCTGCCCGCCACCTCAAGATTCCCGCCACTATTGTCATGCCCTCGGGGACACCCGCCATCAAACACTTGAATGTCGCTCGTCTGGGCGGAAGCGTCGTCCTCCACGGCAATGATTTCGATGCGGCCAAGGACGAAGCCTACCGCCTTCAGCAACAACACGGCTTGACTAACATTCCTCCCTTCGATGACCCTTACGTGATTGCTGGCCAAGGAACCATTGGCATGGAACTCCTGCGCCAGGCCAACCTGCAGAAACTGGAGGCTGTTTTCTGCGCCGTCGGTGGAGGAGGCCTGATTGCTGGCATTGGTGTCTACCTCAAGCGCATTGCGCCTCACGTCAAGATCATCGGTGTCGAGGCTCAGGATGCCAACGCTATGGCCCAGTCGCTGGACTCTGGGTCGCGCGTCCTTCTCAAGGAGGTTGGCTTGTTCGCCGACGGCGCGGCAGTCAAGACCGTGGGAGAGGAAACTTACCGGCTGGCCCGTGAAGTTGTCGACGAGATTATTCAGGTCACCACTGACGAGACATGCGCCGCCATCAAGGATGCATTCGAGGATACTCGCTCTATCGTGGAACCGGCGGGTGCTCTGGCTTTGGCTGGTCTCAAGAAGTATGTCGCCATGTATCCCAACCCTGACACCAACCGGGAACTTTGCGCCATCACCTCTGGAGCCAACATGGACTTCGACCGCTTGCGGTTTGTCGCGGAGCGTGCTGCTTTGGGTGAACGGAAGGAGGCCCTCCTGAGCGTCAACATCCCCGAGACACCGGGCGCATTCGCCAAGCTTGTCGAGGTCATTCTCCCGCATGCCGTGACTGCTTTCAGCTACCGATATGCGCACGATGCATCGGCCGACGTTCTGATGGGTATCTCCCTGTCTGCCCTGACCGGCCAGGACGACCTGGCCAAGATAATGACTCACCTCACCAATGAGGGCATGAGTGTCAAGGATCTGAGTGATGACGAACTTGTTAAGCGACACGTTCGTTTCCTGGTCGGTGGACGTAGCAACGTTCCAAACGAACGGCTGTTCATGTTCGAGTTCCCCGAGCGCCCAGGTGCTCTGGCCAAGTTCCTGACTACCCTTCGCCCGAACCAGAACATCTCCTTGTTCCACTACCGCAACTACGGTGGAGATGTCGGGAAGGTTCTTGCTGGCATCCAATGCCCTGAGAATGAAAAGGAGGAACTCGAGGCCTTCCTTAGAGACCTGGGTTACCCCTTCAGCGAGCACACCGACTCCCCTACCTACCAGACTTTCCTTCGTTCTTAAGAGATTCGACACCGTCTTTGATTCATTTCTGTTGCATTGGTAGGAAACTTGGAAACTTAATGAGGGGCTGCTGATTTTGTCTTTGTCGTTTCCTGTGGGCGTTTTTATTGGGCATATCGTCGATAGAGCTTGGGTTGTTTGTTGTAAGTATAGGTATGATAGGCATTATTCCGTACATAGAAACTGAAATATCATAATCTCGCATCTCGAATACTTTCACTCCATTTAAATAAATACTCAATTGACATTACCTGGTCCTACTATCAAGGTAGAACTCAAAGTAGATGCAAGGCTATTGATTGGATATGCTATCCGTCCAATCACAACGCCGCAAGCCCAGGCCGCTCTCGGAGTCCGGCGATACGAAAGCCCGACCAAAATGCTCCGAAGGAATTCCGGACAATCAGTTGATGGCCGCACCTTGGTGGTTCGAAAGCCTCGATATCGCCGTGATTTCTCGTCACTCTTCCTCGAACCTGTAGCGGATTCAGACTCTTTGTCTATCCGTCTTTCGACACCATGATGTCTGTCCGCTCCCTTCTCGGTGCCTCGACCGGTGCCCTCCGCCAAATCCTCCCCTCCCTGTCCCGCAAACCTGCCGGTCTTCTCTCCCGGTCGTTCTCGCAACTCGCAAAGCTTCCTTTCGGCAATGGCCTTCGTGTGCTCCGCTACGGCCAGCAGACTGGTATCGCCAGCACGACGCTGCGACAGGTTGAGCAGGTCCGGGGCATGAAGACGCGGTCTTCGGTGAAGCGGCTGTGTGATGGATGCAAGGTAGGATGATTCGCTCGATGAGAGATTATGTTCCGAATCTGCAGTGCAGTGCAATGCATCAGGGGATAATTGTCTACGACTTGTGGTTATGGGGCTAACGTTTTGTTTCATTGCAGCCCGTGCGGAGAAAGAACCGTGTCTACATTATCTGGTACGCGCATTCGTTCAACAATCCTCTGCATGTCCACAACCTCTAATTTAAATCACTCCACAGCTCGAAGAACCCCAAGCACAAGCAGCGCCAAGGCAAATAGATATGAACGTCAGAACATTACATCCAGAAGCTTGATAGGAATCCGCGAGACCTTTTCGCATTGGGGTTTACCTGCATTAAGACATGGCGGAGAGAAGAAGGTTCATGGACAGTATTCTGCATTGCATGAGAGTCTCAGCAGAATGCGAAAATTGAAAGGCGCAGATGTATTGTGTGAATTGCACAGGGTCATCGGGATCTCGAGAACTGGGAAGAACCGCGCATATTCATGGGATATGACCAACTGGTTGGTTTAGGCGCTTGTTTTCTTGTTGCATTTGTTTGCATGTACATTAATTCGGTTTATACATTTCAATTCCCCTTCTTATGCAAATTGGTCAGATGAAATTGTGCGAAGGGGTGTTCGGTTTAGTATGGACATGAGCGGTCGAGTGATGTGACTTCATAGATCTACATGAGCTGTTTGTTCTGGCTCAGTCAAAGATCTTCGCTACCAAACTCCCCCAGGGCTTTTGATTATGGTAAGTCTGTAATATAACTCCGATCTGATCAGCCAAGCGCTCCGATCAGGACCCGAGATCTCATTCCGATGATAGGCTGCAAGGGATGATATCATTGTTGCTGGTTCAGGGACGCTGTCTTCGACCTCCTTCCTATTAACAACGAGAGCGAACCTCTTGCTCTGTCCTGCTCAATTGTATCCTGTTACATCCCAAGGACAGTCACGGCTGCCTGCATTTCAAACCGCAATCCTTGTCGTATGACCTCTTAAGTCTGGAATGCAATTCACGTGGATGCCTAGACTCTGAAGACACACAGAGCAGCGATTGACAGAAACGCTTCAACCTAATCGCAAAGCATTCCTCTCCACGAGTCAACCATTGCTACGATATTCCCCAGTTCGCACTTTCCAAGATGATGTCCGGAACGTTGATCGCATCCATCCCCTACTTATACCTCATCCCAGCAGCAACCGCAACCAGCCTCTTCTCAACATTTCCCTCCTCCCACATATCGCAGCAAGTCTTCGATGGCGACAACTTCCTCAAATACACCGGGATCCGCGGGCCCTACGTCGACCGCAAATCTTACGGCATCAGCCGTGACCCACCGCCGCAATGTACCGTCGACCAAGTGATCATGATCAAACGCCACGGCGAGCGCTATCCATCATCCGACGAGGGGTCCTCGATCGAAACCGTCCTCAAGAAAGTCAACAGCACAGTCCAGTCCGCAAACAGTAGCCTCACGCCCGGAGGCAGAGGCGACCTCGATTTCCTCCGCCGCGGCAACTGGACCTACTTCGTGCCCTCAGACTGCTACGAAGCCGAGACCTCCACGGGGCCCTACGCGGGCCTAGCAGAAGCACACACCCACGGCCAGCAATACCGCGCACGTTACGGACATCTCTGGGATGATCACGCGGTCCTCCCGCTCTTCGCGGCGGAGTTCCAGCGCATCATCGACACGGCCCGGGAGTTCGGCGAAGGCTTCGTCGGCATGGAGAACTACACTACCAAAGCCGCAATGAACCTCATCTCAGAGTCGAGCAGTCGCGGTGCAGATAGCCTGACGCCCTCGTGCCACCAGGACGACAGCGGCGCAAGGGACAACTGTAATGCGTATCCGTACCATCTCCCGCAGTTCGATGCCGCCGCGGAGCGACTGAACGCGCAGTATAAGGGCCTGAACCTCAGCTGGTCGGATGTCGTCACGTTAATGAGTTAGTACATACTGAGGCCCCATGTCCCTGCTCCCAGGACCCATTCGTATACTATATGAACCCCATTCTTAACAGATATCTCGCAGCAATGACGGCATACGAGCTCAATACGCGCAGCTCCTCCGAGTGGATCGACATCTTCACCACCGACGAATGGGTCAGCTTCTCGTACATTTGGGACGTGAACTTCTACTACTGCGCCGGGTGAGATACCCAGTGTCTGCATGCAGCCCTTACACCACACTCAATCCGAACATTAACTAACCACTGCCCTATCATCAGCCCAGGAAACAAATACATGCGCGCCGTCGGCGCAAACTACCTCAACGCCTCGCTCTCCCTCCTCCAGCAAGGTCCCTCAAAAGTCGGACCCCTCTTCTTCAATTTGTATGTCCCCCCCCTCCCCAGCTAGCCCATAGCCATCCCTTACACAACCCCACAGCGCCCACGACAGCAACATCTCCCCGATAATCGCCGCCCTCGACATCGACAACCCACCGCAGGACCTCCCAACCGACCGCGTCGCCTTCGACCTCCAGCAGAACTGGCGCATCACCGACATCATCCCCATGGGCGGCCGCCTAACCCTTGAGCGGTTGAACTGCAGCGCGACGTCCGCGGGGACCGGGACCTACGTGCGGATTGTGCTGAATGAGGCGGTCGTGCCCCTGCGAGATTGCCAGGATGGACCGGGGTACTCGTGTTCGTTGGCGCAGTATGCGGAGTTTGTGGGGAGATTGCCTGGCTTTGCGAGTGAGTGTCATGTCCCGGTCGATGAGCCGCAGGTGCTGGGGTTTTGGTGGAATTATACGACTTCTACGGCGGAGAATTGGCATCGTGGGGAGAGGTGTAATGGGCTTGCTTGAAGTTATCTTGGATTGGTTGAAGGGTCGGAGTGAGTGGGGAGTGGAGTTGTCTTGGGTGCGTTTATATAGTGCATGACAGTTCATTTTAGTGGGCTGTGGAGTGGTGGGATGGAGACAGCATACTCTGTTCATGAACGAGCATGTGGATTGCTGTTATTCAAGGATATTTAGAGTTGGTAATGCCCGTCCGCGCAACTGCGCCGGCTATGATTTGACGGTCCAAGCTATGCGCCCTCCCAAGTACTTGTAGCATGCCTAGAGATACTAGTCAAACCATGTTCGTAGGATGGCAGGCTACTCAAACATCGCTAGGCCCGTCCTTCGTTCTCGACCCCTTTGCACCCGGTGGCTTCCTTGTAGAAACCGGGGGCTGGTAACTAGGGTGCATTGTCTTCAGATGCTGATTGAGATTCCACGTCCGAGAGAACCCATTGAAGTGTCGATCGCAAGTCCGAATGGGACAAACCAGATCGGCCTTCCGGTGCTCTCCTTTGCCCTTGGGTCTGGCTGCATCATCCGCCGAGGCACTCGTCGCTCGTGATCTAGAGCCACCTTTGACGGATGTTGCCCGGGAGCGTGGTTTCTTTGACGATGCTCTGGACAATGGCACAGACTCAGGTTCAGGTTCAGGCTCGGCTTGAGATCCAACCTCAAATTCAGGCTCGGACTCGCTTTCGACATAGTTCCACGGCCCTGAATTGCCGTCCCCCGCCCCGACTCGCCGAACCGTGCCTTCGTGAAGCGTGCGGAACGCCATGTCCTCCCCAAACAAATCCGCGCATCGCCGCGACGCACGCATCACCACCGTAGCAGGAAACCCCGTCATCGATGCAATGCCGAGCACTTCACTCCAGTCTCGGAGCCCCAGTCGGACCCGGCTGGCGGACCGTCGGCCGTCGCTGCTGCGTGACCGGCCGCGGGGCTGCGACGACCCGCGCGACAGCGAGCGCTGACTCGAGCTGGCTTTGGAGGAGATGCGCTCGCTGGATGCTCGGCTACTGGAGACACGAGTACTCCGCGAACGCGGGCCGCTCGACTCGGATCTGACGGAGGAGCGTCGCGTGCGTTTTCTCCCTCGCGATAGGCTCCGCTCCTTCTCACTGCCCTTCCTTTTCTGCTGCACGGAAGACGAGCCCGAAACCACACTCTCGGTATCAGTCTGCCATTCGCTGGCGGAGCTATCGTCGTCTCGCGCGAGGTCGCCCTGGCGGGCACGGTGGAGGCCCATGAGTAGCGTGTCGAACTGCGTGAGGATGTTCCTCGTCAGCGGCCGTAATTGCCGGCGCGACTTCTCATCGTCCGCCTGCACGACCGGTCGTAAAGCAACGGGCTTCATCTCCGCTGTCGCTGCCGTCCTCGTGTCGTCGTCCTCCACCTCACTTTCCCAATCGCCGGCACTCTCTTCCTGGGTTCCGGGCTGCGACATGGAGGATCTCCGCTTCCCACGCGGCGTAGTCGCCCCGACGCCAGCGGCAGCTCTCGTCTCCCACTGGCGCGCATTGAACCTCTCCTTGGCCGTCCTCAGCATAACCGCCATAAGCGATTCCTCCAACTCGGCACTGGGCCGTGGATCGGGCTGCCGGCGCAGCGTCCACGCATCATCAATCGCGCGCCGCACGAACTCGCCCGGCCGAGGCACATCAGCCGCAGGCATGGGCCACGCCGTCCACTTCTTCGGCGGCGCAAACGTTGCCTCCCCATCGCCCTCCTGCCCCCCGACCCCTTCACCACCGATCCCACGCCCACCCGCCGTAGCAGTAACCCTCCTCGCAATCTCCACGGCCCTCCTCCGCAAAGCAGACGCATTATACAAATGCGCCGCAAGATCCCTAGCCCGGAGATCAACCAACGCCTGCGCATTCTGCCGATCCTCCGCCGTAAGATTCCGCCAAGTCGACTCGGGCCCTCGAAAGCGGTTGGGCCGATACCCGTATCCTCCGCCCTCCGAACTCGACGGAGGACTACTCCCGATGCCCGTCGTCATCATCGTCGTCGTCGTCCTATCAACAGGCCGTTTGTGCGCGTCATCCTCACGGCGACCCCGGCGCGTGCTCCTCTCATCCACCTCGGACTCCTCGTTCCCACTGTCCAAGTAGGTAGAATCAGAGTCATCCGATAGATCATTCCCGTCCTGCAGGGAATCCTCCTCCATGATGGTGTCGAGGAACTCTTCCCCCACTCCTCCTCCTCCTCCTCCTCCTCCGCCGCCATCAACTAGATCTTCCTCCGGGTAAGGTTCCAGGTCATCCTGGCTGCTGTCGCCGCCTCCGAAGATGGAGGTGTACGGTTGCGCCGACTGCGGGGGCCCGAACCGCGGCGAGCTGGGATAGTAATTCGACGAGGACATTGGGTGTGGGTGTTTGTCTCACACGTCAAGGTCAAGTCACGGGTGGATTTTGTAACACTTTGGTTCCACCTAGCTTGTGTTATGTATGCTTTGGTGTTTTTGCTTTTTCTCAATTGGTGGGGTTTGAGTGTTTGTGTTATATCGTGTCTGGTGGGTCAATCTAGACCTCGAAAGTTTGATATCGGCGGGCTTGGAGAGCTCGCAGGCGCAAAGCATTGGGCTGCTGCGTGAATTTCGCCGTGGTGAAACTGTGCAGTTTGGCTATATGTCACTCCATGGCTTGCGCATTGCTACCTAATCTCCATCCTCTTGCCTGAGGATGTGGAAGAGGGAGATCGCAGGCTGCGATGGCCGTGCGGATTGGGTGAAAATGTCCTACGTCACGTGATTTGATTGCTGGGGCTCGAATGGTGATTCGGGGACTGTAACTTGGAGAGAATATGGTAGGTGCTCATGAAAATAATGGAGGTGAGTTGTAAGGGGCTTATTTAGTGGATTTGAGGAGCCTAGCAAATTCCACGCGAAGCACGGTGTTATGCAAGTCGCCGACAGCGAGCCGAAACAGCCGGGGATAAGGTAGCTATACTTCCCTTCTCCCTTTGAAAAGGCCCATCTATACAATTGAATACGAGAAAGTGCTACTATGCAACCAGGATACAATCTCGTGATGAAAATAAGTTTCTAATCAATAAAGCACTATGCAAGACGCCAAAGAGTCAAATGTCTCCAATACCCCAGCAAGGATATCATTCTAATATCACACATACACACTCTAGAAATCCACTTTTGATGCGCCCTGTCACCGCTTATTTCTGGCCGGCCTTCTCCAGCTTTCTCCGCTTGGAGCGCAGCTTGGCCGCCTCCTCGTCCTTCTTCTTGTTCGAGTACATCATCTTCTCCAACAGCTTGCGCTTCTTCCGGCTCATCATCATCTTCTGTCGCTCCAACTCCTCTTCCTCCTTGCGCTTCTTGGACGCGATCTTCTTGGACTGCGGCTTCTTCTTCGTCTCGCCCGCGGCTCCGGAGGAGAACGGGAGACCGGCAGCCTCGGCCTCTAGCTCCTTCTGGTGCTGGGACCTAGCGGCTTCCTCCTCGTCCTCGGACTCGGACGCGGCCTCGTTGTCCTCGAATCCGCCGAAGTCTTCGTCTTCCTCCGCTTCCTCGTCGCTGTCGCTCTCGTCGTCGGTGCCAGCAACATCCATACCACCGTTGATGTCGGACTCCTCGTCGCTCTCAGCCTCAGACTCCTGCGCCTCGGCCTCGGCCTTGGTGTCCTCTTCGCCGGCTTCCTCCATCTCCTCGTCGCTGTCCTCTTCCTCCGCAGCGGCGGCTTCACCTTCCTCCTCCTGATCGGCCAGGGCGGCACGAGGGTCGTACGAACCCTTGGTAGGCTTGACCCACGGGCTCAGGTGGGGAGGAAGAGTCTCGCCGGGCGCATACAGGTCGGGACGGAGGAGCTTGCCCTCGTTGATGCAGTCCCAAACCCACTGGGGCTGGACGTAGGTTCTGCCAGGAATGCGTGTACCCGGTCTGACCTTCTGGACGGAACCCTCGGCCGAGGCGGCGGGAACGGCGGGGAGAGATTCTTGAGGAAGAGAAGGGCGGTCGACAATCTGGTGAGTGATTCTCGTGTCGGTCTCGTCGTGTGTGAAGGCGCCGTCACCAAGCACGGAGTCCCAGCCAATGCGGGAGCAGCCGAAAGCGCGGAGAATGAACTCCAGGGGTGCCTTAGGTGCTTCTCTGGAAATGTAGAAAACGAACGGAGAGAACAGGGAGCCGGCCTCCTCGCCGCTCAGGTCGGGTTGGGGGAGAGTATCGGCTTCGGGAGCAGCGGGTTCGAACTTGTCGATAGCGTCGGTCGCCTCTTCTGTCGTCTCAACAGTTTGCTCGTCCTTGGTCTGATCGAGACCAGCGCTCTTGATGACCTTGTCCACCTTGGCCTGCACGTCTTTCGAGACCTCCTGGTTGGAAGACTTGCTTGCCTGCTTGCCGCTTTCGATAGCCTTGGGGGCCTCGCCGACCGAGCGTCCTTCGAGGGTGAAAGCCGCCAATTCGGCACCGTTCTCGTCACTCCGGGTATCGAACTTGGGGGGGTATCTGAGACCAAGGGTGGAGTACAGGCGGTAGTTGACAAATCCTAGGAGGGTGGTGTAGAATTCGACGAAAGTGGCCATGATACGGTAATCGACATCACCGTTGACGCGCTGCACGAATCGGTAGGGAACCAGCCACATGATATCTTGTCCCTGAATGGTAGCCTGGTAGTAGATACCCTTGATCGAGAGGAAGGATTTCCGCAGAGAGTTAGTGGTGATAAGGTAGTGCTGGAACTCGTGGCAGAGGCGCTGGCAAAGGGCGATGGTCTTGGGAGGGACGTGGGTAGAGGAAGGAAGGTTAGCGAAAAGGAAGAGCAGGGAAAGAGCATCGTCGAGATCTCTCAGGGCGTCGATAAAGGTCGGGTAGCGCTCTTTGATGACATGGTCGAGGGTAAGTTTCGGCGCATGGTTCTTCTCCAGACGAGAAGCATCGCTAACTTCTCCACGGCCAAGGGAACGGGCGATCTTCTTCGCAAGCGCCTTCTGGTCGCGGAACTTGCGGAGGAGCGGCTCGTGCAGCAGGTATTGGATATCCTTGGTGTAGTAGAAAGTGGTGTTGGGGGTCGAAGTCTTCGAGGCCTTCTTCTTGTTGCGAGGCTCACGGGGATAGATACCTGTCAGACATCAAGAAAAAACGAATCAGCACGAGGGACAGTCACAATGGCCGCAGTATTGGTCGTATAATCAAGATGTAAGCCATACCCTTGAAGATACATAGTCGACGGAAGTCAGGCAGGGAGATCTGAAGTTTGCGCACTGCCTGCGTTCTGGTAATGTAGTTTTTGGCCTGGCCAGAGGTTCCTGAGTTTCACGTCAGCATGGATTCGATTGCAAAGAACTAAAAAATTGCGAACCCTTCTTCTTAATCTTAGCCATCTTTGCAATGGAAGGCTGGTTTGAGAATTGAGGGGTGGGTGATTGAGAGGAAGATCCGATAACCAGAAAAATCGTTGATAAGTTTTTTTTTTTTCTTTGGATTTTTTGGAGCAGCGGCGCGGACGTGGTCCGTGCGCTGCGGAAAAGGGAAATGCGCGGAGGTTTCCAATTCGAGCAGTTCCACCACCACCACTTGGCACGTGAAGCCAACAACAACCATCTGGCTTCACCCCATCTTACTCCATTTCCTTACTCATTCTCGTTCATGCTCAAGTCACTCCCGGCATGCTCTGACTCTGCAGACTGATCTAACATAGCATGGGGCTTGATCGCAGAAAAGCCGCCGTGTTCGGTGGTGCCTTTGCTCTGCGACTTCTGCTTCTGGTGCTGTTCCCTTCGCTCCCCGATTTACTGACGGGCCGAGTTGAGGTCTCCACGCCAGTAACCAGTTTCAAACGACGTGAGTCTCTTGGACACGGCCACATAATGCTAAATGACGGAGGCTTACTCTCTTCCAGTACAAGAGGGTCTTTTTCTCTACACTCGAAATGTCTCTCCTTATGACGGAGGCGTCTTTCACCAGGTACGGACGGCGCTCAATAGGATCAATGCGGATGACCGAACTGACAATTCAAAGGCGCCCCTCCTCCTCCCCATTTTCTCGCTACTTCCGACCTCGCAAGCCTTCCTTTTTCCGACGGTTGTGCTATACTCCTTGATCGATCTTCTGAACGCGAACGCATTGGTCAGAATCTCGGAGTCAGGGTGGGCAGTTTCGGGGCGATCCTATTCTGCGACACGGAAGCATATAAGATGGGATGGGGTGACAGTTGCAGCATGGTACTGAGACTCAATCAAACAATCGGAATAAAACCCAATGCTAATGCTGCCAGGTACTTGTTCAACCCCTTCACCATCGCAACATGTTTGGGCCGATCCACAGCCGTTTTCACGTCGACCGGAATTCTATACGCGATCTCAAGTGCCGTCACGGGAAAGGCTTTCAATTCAATGCTCGCACTGGGCTTTGCATCATACTTATCGATCTACCCCGCGTTGCTTTTCATCCCGCTCATGCTCCTGTGCTATGACCAGCGTGCTCAGACAGCCAAATCGTGCCCCAGCACAGCCGTCTTCGCTCTCCAGCACCTCGCAATCTTCCTCCTGAGCATTGTCGGCCTGCTTGGGGTATCGAGCCTCTTGATCGGAGACTTCAAGGCATTTATGTCTGCCACATATGGATTCCAATTGCTTGTCCCCGATCTTACACCCAACGTTGGTCTCTGGTGGTATTTCTTCATCGAGATCTTCGACTCCTTCCGCGAGTTCTTCCTCGGTGTCTTCTGGCTACATTTGGCTTCATATATGGGCGGCCTGACGATTCGGCTGCGAAGACAACCGCTGTTCGTGCTTAGCTCCTTGCTGGGAATTTTCGCCGTCTTCAAGCCCTATCCCAGCATATCTGACGCCTCGCTATACTTTGCACTTCTCCCGCTTTACCGACATCTCTTCCCTCGTGAGTCTCTACTCGCTGAGCTTTGCTGTCCACTGCTAACGATGACCAGTCATGCGATACACCTTCTTCGCCGTTTCGGCGCTGCTTTACGCCACGCTCCTGGGACCAGCCTTCTATCACCTCTGGATCTACGCCGGCTCGGGCAATGCCAACTTCTTCTACGCCATCACCCTCGTATGGAGCTTGGGTCTTTCCATCCTGCTGGCGGATACCATCTTCGCGGCACTCCGCGACGAATGGGAGCACGACAACCCGGGAGTAAGGGGTAAGGACGTCAAGCAAGTGTAAAATATACCAAGTCTGTATTATATACAATAGAAGCCTAGTTGGCGTGACACACTCCCCGTAGCCCTGCTTTTTCGCAAGTGGGCGCTCTTCCAATCATTGATCATAAACCCGCGACAGAATCCGATAATCCGGATCCTTGACCGTCCCATTCCGCAACCTCCGCGGCCGGGGCGAGCTCTCATCGACCCGGAACCCCAACCGCTCGTAGAACCGGATTGCCGCCCCATTCGCCCTGAAAACCGTCAACATGGCCTTCTGCATCCCCACCCGCTCCCCGATCCGTAGAAACACGCGCATCAGCTGCGCCCCGAGCCCCTGCCGCTGCATCGCGGCCGCCAGATGCACCTCGTAGCAGTAGACGACCTCGAAGCCGTCCTCGTACGTGACCATGAACGAGAGGAAGCCCAGCACGTCGGCCTCAGCATCAGCCTCAGGCCCAGAATCAGCTCCCCCCTCCCCACCGGATGATGCCCGCCGTAAAACCAGATACTTCATATCCGGCAACCGCATCTCACTCCGCTTTTTGGGCGGTGACCAGCCGATCGAGGACGCCCGGTACGCGGTCGCGGACGTCTCCTCGATTAGCGCGAAGCATTGCTCGAAGACGCGCGCTGGGAGGCTCGCTGCTGTGTAGAGGTCGAGCGCGTAGGTTTGCTTTTGCTCTTGCTTCTCCTGTTGCGGTTCTAATTGCGCCTTCGCGGTGATGCTCAAGTCCTCTTGCGCGACGTAGAGGTTGATGAATTCGTCTAGTGGGAGGTTGTTGGTGCGCTCGATTAGGGGCTGCTCTTGAGGTGGTCGAGGTCGTGGCTCTGGCGTGCGGTTAGTGTCACGTTTCACGCGGGGGCCGGGGGTGCGCGTTGAGATGGGCGGGCCGCCGGGAGGAGGGATTCGTGACTTACTGGCTTTTTGCTGGGGACTGAGGGCTTGGAGCTTGGTTTGGAGGGTTGGTGAGGGTTGTTGGTTTGGTTTGTTGCGTGATGCGCGTCGGACGCCCCCGCGCTTCAGTGGTTTGGTTATTCGGTTTGATGTCGTGGGCATCTCTCTATTATTCCCTTTGTTCTTGACGGCGGATGTGATTACAGGAGGTTAAAGAGAATTGTAGGGATAGTTTAAGGGTTTCTGTGACTATTGTGGTGTTGAAGTTCGGGTCGTAAAGGTTGACTGCCGGATAGACGAATTTCGGTTTGGGTGCGCTTCGGATCATGTCTACTGCTGGTGCTGGTGTTGCTCATTGCGCTCCCGGTTGCATGTGTGCATGTGTCATGATGCACGACCGACCTATCATACTTCTGTGTGATGGTTTACATATCGCTAAGCGAGGGCAGTTCGTTTGTTACACGTGTGTTCGTGACGATTGTGGAAATACATGTTCAACGGAGCGGACTGTACGCTGCTATATATTCCGATGCTTCGCCAGGAGAGGAATTCCATATCGGACATATTATCATGCCTGCTCTCTTTGCTTCGCCGCGAACTCTTCAGCGCGTCTTTCGATCTCTTCGGTACCCTCCTCTCCGAAGATATCCAGACCCCACTGGAAAGGAAGTCCGTATCGGACATGGCGGTCCAGTCGATTTAGAGTTTCGAAGATCGGATCGGGAAGGATGAAGTCTGGAAGTTCGCTCAGTCAGAAAATGTATTCATGGGAAGCGTACAGTGGAGTATCGTACCTTGGAAATTGCTCTCGATTCGGGACGGTGTCACGCTCTTGGATAGCACGGCTGTCCCTCGTTGTACGCCCCAGGAGATCAGCAATTGGGCTGGATCTTTGTTCAATGAACTGGCCAACTCTTTAACGAATGGGTCGTCGATGACACTTTTTTTGATCAGTCAGAGACTAAGCTGGAGCTGAGGGCATAAATAGTCATACCGTGGGAGGCCAGCGAGGTTGTTACCAAGAGGACTATATGCGATAGGGAGGATATTCTGCGCTAGGTCAGCTTTGCTCAACTTGCACTGGTGAAGGTAATGCGAAAAAGGACCGCTTACCTTATCCTTGAGATACTGTGTCAACTTTGGCTGCAGGAGATACGGATGCGCTTCGATCTGGTTCGCAGCTGGTGGAATCTCCGCGGTCTTGAGGAGCTCCTCGACATGTTCCTGGGTGAAATTGCTCACACCAATACTCCGGACCTTGCCTGATTTAACCAGCTTCTCCATGGCCTTCCAGGTGTCGGCAATGGGGACATCGGCTAGTTTGAATCGCTTGGTAACTGGGTCGACGGGCTTCAGATCTTCCCCGGCATATTCGAAAGATACCGGCCAATGGATCTATCGTCTCTCAGCAACGGCAGCAATATATGGGCGTGGAGGCCAACACACCAGGTATAGATCCAGATAATCGGTCTGAAGGTCTTCGAGAGTCTTGTCGAGTTGCGCTTCCACGTGTTCGGGGCGGTGATGTGTGTTCCAGAGCTTGCTAGTAATCTGATCGTCGAAAGATCAATCACCATTCATATTTGACCGAGTGCTTCAGAGCAAGAGACTTACGAAGATCTGTTCTCGCGGCACACCCGACTTCTTCCAACCTCTTCCGACCTCGTTCTCGTTCCTGTAGATCACTGCGCCGTCGATATGGCGATACCCTGTCCGAAGAGCAGCCTCGACAGCGTCTTCGACTTCATGCGGTTTGGAAAGCTGAACTCGTTAGACTGCCACATTTTCACTTGAAGCAATAGCCACGTACCCAGGTCCCTAGTCCCACAGCTGGGATTTCGTAGCCCGAGTTAAGCTTAAAGGTACGTCCGAGAGACATGCTGTCGAATAGGAGGCTTACGATGTGCTTCGTGTGAAATACTCTGTAGAAAAATTCTGGAAACTCAGCTTACACGTGGGCAGGACCAGCAATATGATATATAATCCGGTGCTGGAGCGGGGGAGGGGAAAGAATGGGGTTTGATTGCACTATTGCAGTTACCCCTCCTGTTGTAGTCTATGTCCCGTGCGCACAGTGATCTTCATGTCTGGACAAGTGCAAGTGCTTACTCCCGAGGAGGGAGCACTCTATTATGCTTTATTGATGGTTGATTGGGCTTGGTTATGTCTTATACCTAGGTCCCATGGCCAGCCCATCGCAACAATTTATTGCGCCATATCTCGATTGTCCCGTCGCTTCAGGAGTCTGACCGCGAACAGACTATGCGTTGAGGCGGGATTCAACTCTCTTTGACGATACTGATCCTTTCTCCAGAATCCAGACTGTGGAGGGATCCCCACCATTTATTTCTAGAGCCCTATAAGTAGAAACGAAAGGTTGCTGTCTCCCTCGGGCAATGGGGGGCACACGCTCGTTGGCCCACCAACACACAACGGCATACGAAGCTGTTTACTTTTGCCCCGCCTCGATGTCAAGTCAACCTGGTGACGATGTACTAGTTTCGTGTCGCTTTTCCTCTAGGTTGAAAGAAATCGGTGATATTCAGACATTGAATGGAGCTAAAATCTATCAGAGAATAAATTGATCTGATAATCTTGGATGCATGGAAATATCAGTTGCTGGGATGCAGTTCTGGTGGCGGTAGAAAAGGTAAGGCGGCGGAAAGCCCGAAGAAGGCAGTGAGAAGTGGGGCTGATAATCTTCTTCAGCCTTTCAGCCTCTCACTAGAATCACCTCCCTTGCTCAACTACAGCACGGCTAGCAGCATGCTACTCAATCTCTCAGTTTTCATAGCGCTGGAGCTCCGCGATTTACTTCTATCATTGTCACTCGGGGCCGTATGAGCTCGAGAACATCGAGATGTAGACTATTCCGGTACGGCCGGCCGGCACTGCAGTGTCCACGGCTCGGCATTCTAGAAGGTCCACGATACAGAAGACCATGAGGCCCCACTCTTCCGCAATGTCTTGAAGCTTTCGCCCAAGGTCTGCCTACCTTTCTGAGCCAGGAGAATCATGTCGAAGGAGGAATTAAGTCACTGATTCGTCAATTCCAACAGAATGTCTCCGTGTCGGGCGGTTGTCGGACCGTTCTTGAGCGTCAATCCTTCAATTATGACTTATTAATCATAAGTTCAACTGTGGTGGAGCTCGCCCTCTTACGTCAATAATCCAAACTGCTTTCTCTATATTTCAGAGCTCCCCCGCCGAAAGCTTCAACGGCTTCTGCGAATCTTCATAGCTTTTCTTCTGTATAATCTGCACTGCGCTGTACTCGGTGAATTCTCAAGACCCCAATTATTACAACATGGCTCCCTCGACTCAAAAGCAGTGGACCGTTCAGAACAAGGAAGATGGATTCGATGCCCTGAAGTTCGCTGAGGCACCCGTCCCAAAGGTCGGGGAGAATGAGGTGCTGGTGAAATTCCACGCTGCTTCGCTCAACTACCGCGACCTGATCATCCCCCAGGTATGCTCCAGAATTCGCGATCATTCCCGCCTTAATCCTGGTATCTCATCGACTAATGATTCGTGCGACTGCTACAGGGAACCTATCCCTTCCCTCTTAACTTCCCAGTTGTGCCTGGCTCCGACGGTGCTGGTGAGGTGGTCGAGACTGGTCCCAAGGTCTCGCAATTCAAGAAGGGAGACAAGGTCGTCACCCTATTCAACCAGTTGCACCAATACGATCCCATCGACCCCAAAGGCACCAGCTCTGGCCTTGGTGGTATGATTGACGGCACTCTCCGCGAGTATGGAGTCTTCAACGAGAACGGTCTTGTCAGAGCCCCGAAGAACCTGAACTACCTCGAATCCAGCACTCTCTCCTGTGCAGCTCTCACAAGCTGGAATGCGCTGTATGGCATTAGGCCTCTGGTGCCTGGACAAACGGTCTTGGTGCAGGGAACTGGCGGTGTTAGCATGTTCGCCTTGCAGGTAGGTAGTCTACTCTTCATATGCTGTTATTCGGAGAGCTAATGACGAGGAATATAGTTTGCCAAAGCCGCTGGTGCCACGGTGATCGCAACCACTTCGTCGGATGCGAAGGCCAAGAAGCTGAAAGAGCTCGGCGCTGACCACATCATCAACTACAAGACTCAGCCCAACTGGGGCGAGGTGGCACGCAGCCTTACTCCCGATAATGCTGGTGTCGATCACATTGTGGAGGTCGGAGGCAGCGGCACTCTGGAGCAGAGCTTCAAGTGCATCAAGTACGAAGGTGTGATCAGCATCATCGGATTTGTGGGAGGTGCCGACCCCAAGTCGCAGCCCCCTGTTCTCGCTACGCTGAGCAACATCTGCACGGTGCGCGGTATCTACGTCGGCAGCAAGGCTATGATGAACGACATGGTTAAGGCGATTGAGGCCAACGACATTCACCCGGTGGTGGACGAGCAGGTTTTCACTCTGGAGAAGACCAAGGAGGCTTATGAGTACATGGTAAGCTGATTGCCCCTCGGCGTGGTTGCACAGTCGCTAATCAAACATACAGTGGGCCCAGAAGCACTTCGGAAAGTTGACCATCAAGATTGAGTAATTGAGATCCGGAGCTATATTGGAAATGAATGTATGAGTAAATGTATATAGAAGGAAATTACTGTGTAATGCAATGCTATAATTCTGTCAATTGGATCATTCATGCGTCGATTGAATTAAGATGCATTGATACCTTAAGGAATGGGAGCTTGAGCTCCACGCCAATGGGGGGTAGACTTCCCCTCACCGCATCGCCACCTCATCATCCGCTCTCTCCACATTCATCCACTCCTCCTTCCATCCTCCCCATGGATCAGGACATTGCCTTCATCTGGACACACTGGAGACTTCTATGCTGTTCTCCATTCCCAGCCACGGTTATACCTTTCTTCATCATTACCACTTCTACAGTCATTCCCGATGCAGTCCGACACCAGATATAGATCGACGCTCCCCATTTGCGGACCCGACCCCAAGTATATCAAGAAGTCCCAGGTTAAATTCACCCGGCCAGCCCAGATGAGTCTGTTCGCTCGAGTAACCAGCTATCCGCCTCTGGGCCAGATAACTTGTCTCAAGGCCGCCGAGTCGGTAAGCCTACCGATAATCCTAGCTAGGTTGTCATAGACTGACAAAGGGTAGCTTCGCTTCACGGTAGTCTTGGAGTCCAGCACGACGTTCCCCATTCAGCCATGGGAAGTTCACGTATGGCATAACATCAACGGTAGCAGCCCCGAATGGACAGCACTGCCGCTTCAGCGCTGCGACTCCTTCGTAGCGCCGCTCATCAACAGCAACGCAGAGGAGTACCACTACTTCCGCAACGTCTTCACTGCCGAGATCGCCCCGCCCGCCAACGCGGGACACGCCCAATTCACCGTGCGGTACCGGGTCAACCCCGACGCAGAATGGCAGTGGGTCAACCAGCAGCAACACATCAGCGACGGGGAGTTGCTCTTCCCCACGCGGACGCCAAGCTTCGACTCGGAGGAGCCGGCCTCGGCGACGGACTTCGCGAAGTACTTTGAGAGCCTCTCCTCGGAGGTCCATGTCCAGCCGCGCAGGAGCGAAGCGCCGGGGTCGGATCTCTGGCATATCGCTGGCGCGGTTGCTGCAGCTCACGGTGGAGAGTCGGGGCTCACGACGCTGGCTCTCGGCGTGCCGGCATCCGTAGCGCGGTATTTCGCCCTGGTGCGGATCTGGAGCCCGTGGCTTGGGCCGAGGCATGGGAAGGGCAAATTTGCGTTGAGTGAGGATGCAATTCTCTGCTCATTTCTGCGGACTGATGGGGTTCATGTGGTTCTTTTGGGCGTGTCGGGGCTGGACAATGTACTGACGCTGTTTGGGTCTGGTGAAGACGGTGCTGTGGTGGTCAAGACCAAGAATGATAATACCCAGGAATCCAAGTTTCAGGTTCTGGCTTCGGCTGCTCATGATTTCGAGGTGGCTATGAGTGCTGTGATTTACGAGGCCCGGAAATTGACAAGGCCTTTTGCTGAGCACGTTGAGTCGGCTCGTGTGCCAACCCCGGTTTCGCCTCCGGGGGATGATATCGTGGTGGTCGAAAAGGATGTCAAGGCGCAATGGCTCGCTGAATGGTACGACGGCTTGACATACTGTACCTGGAATGGGCTTGGACAGGATCTCACAGAAGAGAAAATCCTCCGTGGGCTGGATTCGCTGAAATCACATGGCATCAAAATAGCTAACCTGATCATCGACGACAACTGGCAGACACTGGATCAGGACGAGTCTCAGTTCAGGAGAGGATGGAAACAATTTGAGGGCAATCCTGATGCTTTTCCCAAGGGCTTCAAGCAGACAATACAGAAAATTCGGACCACTCATCCGAACATTGATCATATTGCAGTTTGGCATGCCATGCTCGGATACTGGGGAGGTATCTCTCCGGATGGCGAGCTCGCTAAGAAGTACAAGACGAAGAGAGTGCAGATCAAAGACCCGGCAGTGGGAGGCGCGATCGCACACGCCTTCGACCGTGGGTCGATACTAGCCATTGATCCCGATGATATCCAGAGGTTCTATGACGATTTCTATAACTACCTCGCGTCTATCGGCGTCGACTCGGTCAAAGCAGACGCGCAGTTCTTCCTCGATCTCATCAAAGACCCAGCCGACCGCAAGAGATTTATCAACTCGTACCTGGATGCATGGTCCATCTCCACACTGAAGCACTTCAGCACAAGAGCAATTTCATGCATGTCGATGATACCCCAAGCCATCTTCCACTCACAACTGCCAACCAACAAGCCCACCATCCCACTCCGCAACTCGGACGACTTCTTCCCCAACATTGAATCCTCCCACCCATGGCACGTCTTCTGCAACGCCCACAACGCCCTCCTCACACGGTTCTTGAACGTCGTCCCCGACTGGGACATGTTCCAAACCAGCCACCCTTACGCGGGCTTCCATGCCGCGGCGCGCTGCGTGTCCGGCGGCCCGATCTACATCACCGACGAGCCAGGCAAGCACAACCTCGCCATCATCGATCAGATGACCGCCCCGACGATCCACGGCGCCACCGTCATCCTCCGCCCCGATGTGATCGGCCGTACTCTGGACATCTACCACGACTACAATGAAGGTCACGTCCTGCGTGTTGGCACCTACACCGGCTGGGCGCGCACCGGAAGTGGTATCCTAGGTCTATTCAACATCTCCAGCGCAACCCGAACATCGATCGTCCACCTCCTCGACTTTCCAGGGATCCACCCTGACTCAGAAGGCGAGTACATCGTGCGCGCCCACACCAGCGGCAAGATTGCCGAGAACCTACGCATCACGGACACAAAAGCCTTAGTGTCCGTTGAAGTCAAACACAAAGGCTGGGAGATCCTAAGCGCGTACCCCGTGCACTCCTTCCCAACCCACAAGCCCAAGTGTTCAGCCCCAGCTCCGACCCCAAGCACCAACGCCCCCGAGACTGCAGCTGAGCCTAGCACCACGACGACAAAAGCAGCAGTCCTAGGCCTCCTCGGCAAAATGACCGGCGCCGCCGCGCTCGTCAACTCCGACATCTACGTCGAGGACACCGGCCGGCTCCGTGCAGACATCAACCTCAAGGCCCTGGGCACGCTGGGCCTGTACTTCTCCAACCTGCCGGACTGGAACATCGAGGATAATTTCATGGTCACCATTCTGGGCAAGCCGGTGCCCCCGACGACGGTGTGGAAGGTCGGTGGTGATGACGCCAGAGTCCTGGCGGTCGATGTGTTGGCCGCGTGGAAGGGGATGGGGTTGAAGCCAGGGTGGAGTAATGAGGTGCTTGTGGAGGTTTTTGTGCGGTGAGTTTCTGGGTCGGTGAGAGTTATGTGACTAGTCTGGGATTCATGGTTGCATGTGCCACTTTCTACTCGATATTGTCCTCAGCGATGCACGGTTGGGTCGGTTGTGTTTTCCTAATTGTCTGAGCGTGGTTCCGTGGAGTCCTTGCGGAAGTAGGGGTTCGAGAGGTTGAATCTATAGTCGTATCAAGGGTCTGGCTCTGACGCATGCGTTGCATGATACGAAAGCCTGCCCTCCCTATGACCGAGATCCTTAATCAGAGAAGTCATATTTGCGCACAGTCCTCACAATGTCTTCCAGTCAATTTAAATTCCATAACTCATAAAAATTCCACATCCCTACCTCAAAGGTAACCGAAATTCAAACCAGTCCAGCGAACAACAAAACAAAAGAGAGAGGAAAACAGAACCGAAAGATAAGCACACCAGAACAAATAATCCTCAGCCAGAAAGTCCACCTAATAATCCCCCGTCGGGATCCCCCGTTCGGCAGGAACATGCTGCCCATGAAACCCAAACGCCACGGGCCCATCGACCCTCGCCTTCCCCATCACCGACAGATCCCTTGCGTCCAGACAAAGCAGATAGCTCTTCCCGGAGTGTCCGTCCAACACGACACTCAACAACACCCCGTCATCCTCCTCGGTGCCCTCGGGGTCGGCTACGAAGATGGGTTCCCCAGGGGAATGTGCGTGTTGGGCCCAGATGAGTGGTGTGTCCGGGGCGTGGTCGTTGTCGAGCTTCATGATGCAGTCGAAGAAGGTGGATTCGCCGCGCGCGCCGATGGCGTAGGTGTACCGGTGCTTGCGGGTGACGTAGGCGGGATTCATGGTCGGGAGTTCGGGGGAGATGGGCTTGCAGCTTGCGCGTTCTAGGGTTGCCTGTTGGGCGGGGTCGGGCCGTGGGGTCGTGGGGATGAGGGGCAGGCGGAAGCGGGAGATCGTGGAGCGGGTGGTTTCGGTGCGGCCGGTTGCGAGGCGGGCTTTGGCGGGGCTGGTGTTTGAGAGGAGGTTCTCGTAGTAGAGGGAGAAGAGAAAGTCTGTGTTGTCGAACTTGACCAGGTCGGCGACGATGTCGATGCTGCGCTCGGTTGCGGTGGAGCTGCGAGAGGGTTCTTGCCAGGCGTTGATGCTGTGGAAGCAGAAGAATGGTGGGCCGCTGTATGTGCCGACTAGACCTTGCGTGCCCTGGCGATCGACGACGTACCACATGGATGGCTTGGTCGGATCGAATGGCTGGATCGCGTCGAGTGTGCTGTATGGTGGTGTTTGGAAGACGGACACGTCGAGATGGGCGTTCCACACGCAGAGGATCACGTAGTCTTCGGTGAGGAAGAGAGAGTGCAGGTAGGCGGGCGTGGCCGGGAAGGTCGCCAGGATCGTGGTTTCGCCGGTCGAGGCTGAGATGCGGAAGACACGATATGTGGGCTCGGGCTCGAATGCGAGGTTGTAGTTGAAGACATCGCCGGTCTTCGGGTCTGAGCGAGCATGCGAGGCGGTCCCTTCGCCTGCGAGGTCCGGTTGGAGGTTCTGCTGGCGGGCAAGACTGATCGGCTCCAGGGATACGGGATCCAGTTGCTTGTAGATGTTGTGGTCGGTCTTAGCCCACAGGGTCTTGATCCCCATGGATGTGTCCCAGCGGTCACTGGTTTCGGTTCCTAGTCCTGGCATGTTGACCGATAGGGTGACACCCACGTTCTCAGCGGAGGGATGTGGGGGCTTGTTGGCTGGCTCATACTCCGTCTGAACTTTGTCATAGACAGCTTTGCAAGGGTCGCGCTTCTGTCCGAAGGTGATGGGTTTGAAGTTTCCTGATTTACGGGTTTGTTCAATCAAGAGGTCTGTCGAGAAGCGGGAGTTGTAGTATACGCGCAGGGGATGATCGCCGTCTGGACCAACCAGCTGAAAGCGATGGGTCTGGCTGTATCCATCAAACCAGTGACTGAGTTCGAGAGTTTCGCCTTGTTCGGTGTTAACTTTATAGCTTCCTGGTCCAGTGCGATAAAGCGTGCCGGCAGTGTAGCCCGGAAAGTGACCCTCCACGGGAAGTTCGACCTGGTCTTTGACTTCGTAGTTGGCATCAAACTGGAAAGTGTATTAGAAGAAGAGCTAGCAGTAAGAGTAAGGTTACTCACCCCTTGGACGTTGGGCCAGTTGTTGAAGTGGTCACTAAGATGGCTGTCTTGCTGGACTGTCATATTTGCCTGCTTGGGGAGATGGGGTGAATAGTTTTGGGAGGATAAGATGATTCCTATGAGATGGGTTGGAACTGTGCTGTGATAGATTATGAGAGAGTAAGAAGCACAGTCCAAAGCGACGCCGGTCTTTATATGTCAAGTGAAGCTGAAGCAAGTGGGGGGAATCCGCGTATAGATGGTGGAGGAATCCCGGCTGTACGGTGCCACTGCATAATAACCAACTAAGGTGGTCTTCCATGGTTCAGCTGGGATGGAGTTGTTTGTATCCCGAGCCCGGCGGGATTCCCCCACCCTCGTTCCGTCACTGCCTCCTCTTCTCTTCTTCTCACCTCGTCATCATGGATTTTACCCTTTACTTCCCACTCTCCAGCGCACAGTAGCCTATTAGACCTGTGCTATTACACCATGACCCATCGACCAAAGCCTTCAGCTCTCAACCCACTCCCCACATGGACCTGCTCCCCGTGCGCCGCAACCTTCCACCGAATAGACCACTACAAGCGCCACATATCATCCCGTGCGTACGCTTTTATCTTAAATATCCTCATCCTAGTGCACTTCAGACCAGTTTGACCTTCTATAAGCCATACTGATCAAAACCAGACAGCGCAGACAAACCGTACCGGTGCTCCTTCTGCACATCGAGCTACAAACGCAGGTACGTACCACCAAGTTCATTTCCAAGACCCTTCCCCACCAGGTTTAAGCTCAAGTCTAGGCATAGGGATGTCCTCCGCCGCCACTGGAAATCCTGCTCCGCGCGCCTCCGATCCGGCTATACGATCCCCGAGGCCCGGGCAGGAGGCAAAGAGCGGCATGCGTGCGATGCATGTGCGCGGCTGAAAAAGTCGTGTGATGGAGGAGTGCCGTGTCTGGAGTGTAAGGCGCGGGGCAGGGGGTGTACTTATCGGCGAGTGGGCCGGGCGAGTGATGATGGAGTGGAGAGGGAGGAAGGGGGAGACTCCCAGCTAGGGTTGAGGGCTGGAGAGGATCTGGAGGCCGGCCCTTGGAGCCTGGGGCCACAGAATTTCTACTCGTTGCAGGCTGCTAAGGTTAGTGCTTATGGTGGGTTCAATTTATAGTTATGGGTTCGCATTGGGCTTGTGCGCAGTGTGTGAGTGCATGGGTATGATATATAACTGGTAGATACTAATTCTAATTGTTCTTTATCTTAACCCTGGATACGAGAAATTAGGAACGAGCGGTGACATCTAGATGACTCTACACTATGGAGTCTGATGTGGAAGAGGAGTGAAGGTCCTGTATACATCATGGTCCAAAAATATGTCCATTGACTGACTCTCCAATCCTACGACAACAATCGCACTTCAGCTACAAGACATGAAACAATTCGTCTGCCCCTGCGTTCCCAATGAGTCCAAATATGGGTCCGGCCGCCGCAAGTAGTCTGCCAGAAAATTGGCGCAGTGGGCAACATGGCCCGTGTCCGCCAGCATGGTATCCACCCGATCGCCCCGTTTATAGACATCATGACCGCGCCTGAGCAGAAAGAGGCAGTGCACCAAATGCTCCCGGGTGACAGTGAAATAGTAGCCTTGCTCATTGTTGCCCACCTCGGTGTAGTCCTTCATAGGGTGCTGCATCTCATGATCATAATAGTATTGGAAGGGCTTGCCGTCGTTGAAGGTCGCGAAGTCCTCGGCATAGTCATGAGGACAGTCCTTGTGCAGCCAGCACGCGGACAGAGGGTCGTACGAGCAGCCCAGCGCCGTGGCTTCGGCGGTGGAGTTACCGCACGAGAGCGTGGTGTGCCGGTTTGTGGAAAAGCATTGGCGTTGGCCGCTGCTTGTCGAGGTGGTTGAGGAGAGCTTTACCACCAGAATCTGGCGGAATGGCTCGATGGTGATGGCCGCGATGACGGCGAGCACCAGCAGGACTATCACCAGAAGAAGGCCCGAGATCGTGATAGCCGTCAGGTTCCGCTTGAGGAACTGCTGAACCGAGTAGCGGCGACGTGAACCGTGGGCTGTGGGGGTGGTGCCGTCGCCGCTGGTCTCCGTCTTGGGAACGGGCTCGTAGTCATGATGTTGGTGATGAGGGAAGATCTTATTGAAGGCCATTGATCTTGTGCTGATGGTACTTGTGGCATTTCAGGGCTCCCTGCCTTCACAATCATTCAGGCCATGGCCTTCACCCGGGGTGAGAGGCATGATGGCTTTATTTGTATGCGGGAGTGATGGTGGGGTGGACGAAGGAAGGCCTCAATAAACAGTCACAGCCTAAGAATGGTAATCAATAGCAGGTGAAGACAAAGAGAAGCACCGGCCTTGGCACGGAAACAGATTGAGGATATCGGCGAGGGACTATGTTGCTGTTCGGACCCGACTAATTGCTCACAACCGAAGTTGAACAAAGACAACCAGAGGCCGGCCAGATGCGGAAGTACGAGGGGCCAGCGGGAATTCCCGCAGTCGTTCCTTCTTTTACCACATCACCAACAAATACGGGGCTTCATTAAACGCCTTAAACACTATTGCTTGATTCTATCTATCACATCGTTGACTTTCCTAGGTCAGACGAGGCCTTAATCGATCTCTGCTTCTTGTCACTCATATATGGTTGCCCGTCGCTGCGCCCCAAATATACGCAGCCCAGCTGCCAAGCGTGAGCAACAGGAGGACTGTGAAACATGCAATCGAGATGCGTCTGCTTCGCTGATAATGCGTCACCAGATGATGCTCGCGCAGCGTCGCGAAGAATTCAGCTCCCAAAGCAAGACGCTTCTTCCGAGACCATTGCAGGGGCGCCAGATCTCTTCCAGTGTAGGATCCGATCAGGAGGAGAATCGAGACGATGGCACAGCAAATGGCCAGGAAGAGGTAGACTCGCACCGCACGACGGTAGGAGTCATTGTCTGCATCCTGAAGAGCGCCGGTGATGATGCCAATGATGATAGTCATTCTAAAGCGATATCAGCATGCGTCAATCAACGCTTGGGAGAATGAGAGTGAGAACATACGCGTTGTTCATGGTCACTTTCAAGGAGTACGCGGACCCAAACACAGATTGATGCCACAAGGTTGTGCGGATCCCGTCGATGATGGAGGTGGGACCCAACGACACGGCCACAGCATAGATACCGAACGATGCGGCGGTTCCCTGCTTTGCGGAAGCGAAATTGACGAGGATCATGCTGATGAACATCCCAAGGCCGCACACGCATACTGTCATATTGTCAACGGGTTGCGAATACCACCTCTAGAACTGGCATGATAGACTCACAGACTGAAGCTCGATGGCCGATGATATCAATGAAGACCCCGAGACAAGGAACAAGGAAGAAGCCTGGACATATTAGCTCAGATCCTCTTACAACCAATCCTAGCCACCTACCAGCATATTGTGCCAAAGCGCTATACCAACCCGCCTTGATTGCGTCGACGTCGAATCTCTTCTGGGCCAACTCAGTCGCATTGGAGCTGAAGACACTGGCGGTGCTGGTCTGGAACATCGAAAAGGCCAAGACTGCCCAGAACATCCAAGGAAGTTGGAATATCTTGCGAATCTCAAATTTCGTGTTCTTCTCAGTCAAGGTCTCCTGAGTGGCTTTGTCTTCGCGACCACGGTAGTGCTTCTCGCAGTAACGGTTGAAGATCCAGAAGAAGACGGTCGCTGCGTTCGTGAAAAGATTCATGAAAACAGAAGTCCAAAAGACCCAAGCAAAGTTGCCAGTATGCTGCTAATTGTTAGAAGCAATTTCCAGGAAGCCGCGGCGCGCATACCTTAGCGATAACGTTGGCAGTTGACTTGCCGACAAATCCTCCGATCTGACAGGGTTAGCTTTGTGGACGAACCTGAGGCTGTAATAGCATACCTTTCCGACAGCGAGCTCGAACCCAAGAGTAGAAGCAAAGCCATTGCTGGGCGGAAACCATGAAGAAAACATCTTGTATTGCGCTGTCTGGGTCGCAATGTCGCCAAGTGCGAGGATGATTCTTCCCCCTATCATAAACCTAAAGGATCTGACCGTGGTTGCTGCTGCTACCAAGATTGAACCAACGGTATACACAGCATTCCCATAAACGATCATCCCTGATAGAGTTAGAATTGTTGCACCCATTTGAGGAGAGGCAGAAACTTACGAGCACCACCGACTCGATCGGTGACAATCCCGCCTGCGAGAAGCAGAATGGTAGCCATGAACTTCTCGCTGGCTTCCAGAAGCGAGAATTGGGTGTTTGTAACATGCATTTGCTAAGAGATTCAGAATTCCAGCCACTTATTGAGTCTGACTGAGGCAACACTAACCTTCTTGATTGTGCTCTTCATGGCTCCGGTAACACCGGTACTCCAATGGGAGCCAAAACTGATGCAGGAGATCACCACGACAGCAGTCAGCTTGGCGAGTAAAGGCGGCGGTTTCCTTCCATCGACCTCATTAGTGCAGGGGTTTTTCGTCGATTGGAGGGATGAGGTAGTCTCCGGCTCCTCAGAAATAACCTGAGCGCTGTCCTTTTCTAGGCCCATCTTGCAGACTGACAAGCCTCGTCGCGGCACTGATTGGATGAAGGCGAAGACCAATTCTTGGTAGCTTAGAAAGCTTCTGCAAATTCTAGGGAGCTAACTTGAGCGTGAGAAGATCAGCGCAGTCGAAGGAGCGGGCAGACCCTAGCTGCACGCCCATCTTTATATGACATGCCAATGTCAAGACCAATTTCTTCTTCAGAAAGCTCCGGGATTTCGCCGGGCAGGGCCCCTCCCACCAAGACTCAGTTCATCAGATTAGATTTTGACAATCGTGCAATTCTCGGGCCACGTTTCTCAGGGAGGGGAGCTTCCACCCTTTTCGTTGTTCGGTGTCTTGGCTCTTCCAACGTTTGCCGTATAGTACCCGCTTGGAAAGGCGCTGATTGGACAGGACTCACAGCTTGGCACTGATTGATAAGATTGATAGTATCCACTCACGGACACTGTCCGAGATGGTTGAGCAGGTTCATCACCGGTTCCAGAAGATCTTGCACCTGCTGGTCTGGCTGGCTTCACTTACCGGAGTCGGAGGATGTAGGACTTTCACGTCCGTGCTACGACTTAGCTTGGAATCCTTTCACCGGGCACAAGCCCAGAATTTTTCTGCGAGATTCTACAACTTATGAAGCTGCTCCAGGATCTTCACGTTGTGAAACGGTCTAATATGCTTCGGCTGAGCAACATACGGCCCGAGAGCCATTTTCAGATAGCAACTGCGTCGGAAATACTGTTCTGCCTGAGCGGAATGAGTACAGTAATAGTGGCGAAAAGACACTGAGCTTTGACATTCAGAAGCATGCAGCTAATTCAGAGCATGACCCCGTCCCCACCCAGCATGGCGGAGCTAGGAAGTTACATTAAGCCCCTACTTTCCGAACACCCAGATTTCTTACACACTCAAGAGGAAACCATGAAAGGCCATCCTGCCATTGGTATTTTGACCAGTATCAGGCTACATCCGTGTTTAGTTGATCAGAAGTCTCAAGTAAAGAGCTTCCATATTCGTCAGATCTCCATCCCAATGATTAAACCGACTTCAGATATATACACATCCTATTGAACTGGTGGGATACACCCGCTGAGACGCAACTCCTTCAAGCCTCAGGGAATTCTGCGCGGAACCTTGGCAATACCCACCCATATAGCAGCGGAGCAATGGGCTACCACGGAAATCCGGCTGAAGAGCGGGACCCTTTCCACACACACGTGGGCAGATTCAAATTTGCGGGAAGGTCAGCGGAATAAATCGGAGACTGTCTGTCCGCTGACCAGGACTGAAGGTCTCGAAGCTAGCTTAAAGTCTCCGAGCTGAGGCAACATTCCGGAGGTGTCGGCCTCAAGGGGTGGAGCCGAGGGTTTGGTTTCAGATGGAGGCATTATTCGCCCTAGAACCTTACGAGAAATACACGTGTACTAGCCACGAAGCTATAGATTAAGCTTATCGGCCCAAAACTCCGAGGAAAGTTCGCTAGGCACGTTTCTGGATTCTGCCACTCCCATGTCTGTCGTTTTAGCCAGGGTTGAGAATAAGTCCCAGCCTATTGGGCTTCTTGTAGATTAATCTGCCAACATTTGACCAGAGTCTACCGTAGGAAGCACGGGAAGGGATATAAGGTTGTCTGTCGATAGTTGTCTTGATCCATGACCTCGCGAACTCATACCGCAAAGAAGATAGTGAGTGGGACTGGGTGGAGTGCGCTCTATCCCTCAGATTGGTGACTCGGTAGATAAACTACTTGTAGTCGTAGAGTCGCCGCTCAGTGGTTCGGGGTTGACCTAGTAGGTTAGAGGGCGTAGCACCTCCATTGATGCAGGATGAGTCTACCAGAGGGCATTCCATAGCTTAAACGAACTGTACTGTACCGCAGGACCGCATGAAGCTTCAGCATTGACCCTGCAACGACTAGACCTCAATCGTAGAGGAAAACTCAGCCAGAACACCAATATCAAGCAAAACAGGTGGATTCTCTGGTTATTCCTCCTTTAAAGAGTCGAGACACTTCACCTCCCCATCCACCCCCCATCCACAACAACCACACTTCCCGAAACATACGCACTAGCCCTCCCGGCCAGAAAAACCGTGACCCCCTTAAAATCCTCCGGACTCGCCCACCGTCCCGCCGGAATCCTATCCAAAATACTCTTAGCCCGCGTCTCATCCCGCAGCAGCGCAGTATTCATCTCTGTCGCAACATAACCAGGCGCAATAGCGTTAACGCGCACCCCGCGCGCCGCCCACTCATTGCTCAGCGCCTTGGTGAGCTGCGCCACGCCGCCCTTGGCCGCCGCATAGGCGGGCACCGTCAGCCCACCCTGGAAGGAGACCAACGACGCGACGTTGATGATGGTGCCGCGCTGTTGCGGGTCGTCGGCCGGCCGCGTGAGCATGTACCGGCCTACGTCGCGGCACAGCGTGAAGATCGTCGTCAGGTTCGTCTGCAGCACTGCGTCCCAGTCTTCGTCTGGGAATTCGTGGCTCGGGTGTCGCCGTTGGATCCCTGCGCAGTTGACGAGGATGTTGATGTCGTGCCCGTCGGCGAGGATGCGCGGCGTCAGTGCGCTTACGGACTCCCGGGAGGATAGGTCTGCGTCGTAGATTGTTGCCTTGCGGCCGAGGGATTCGATTTGGTGTTTTGTTGTGTGGTTTGTGGGGTCTCTCTGGGGGGGATTGGAGTGTTAGTTGGAGTGAAAGGTAGGTTGTGACTTACGGTAGGGTAGAGTGAATGGATAGTAGGTAGAGAGGGGGAGAGGGAGAGATAGTACCTGGACGAGGACAATGTCGCTGCCGGCTTCGGCGAGAGCGATGGCCATTTGTTGGCCGATGCCTCGTGTGCCGCCTGTGACCAGGGCGGTGCTGTTCTGCAGGGAGAAGAGGTCCATTGTGGTGTGTTCTTCAGAGGAAAGTAGTTTCGATTGAGTGACTGAAGCTACTACTAGTAGGTCATATATGTAGAGGAAGTGCGGGGGACCCCCACGTCTCCCCGCATAAAGTGGAGGCCTCTCTCTCTCTCTCTCTCTCTCTCTCTCTCTCTCTCTACCACTCGCGGATTCCTCCGTCAGGTCCGTAGAATTCTTTCGGCAGCCACGGCTCACTTTCCCGACTGATCTTCCTCACCAGCTCTTCGTTAATCTCGATCCCCAGTCCCGCGCCCTTCGGCACCGTCACATAGCCTCCATCGATATCGAATACAGAGGCGTCTACAAGGTAGCTAGTCAGATCGATGTCTCCCGCTTCAACGTTATAGTGCATCCCCAGTGACATCTCCTGAATCACGAAGTTGGGCGTGGACGTGGCCACCTGCATTGATGCTGCCAGGGCAATCGGTCCTTGAACAACGCAAGTCAGCACATGCTCATCAGTTTCTGGTGATAGTTGCATCTCACCCAAAGGACAATGCGGCGCGATCGCCACATCATACGTTTCCGCCATCGTGGCAATGCGCTTGGTCTCCGAGATACCCCCCGCATGAGCAATATCCGGCTGGAGGATATCAACTGACGCATCCTCCAGGAACCGCTTGGCGTCCCACCGCGTGTACAGACGCTCTCCCAGCGCAATCGGGATGCTGGTCTGCTGGGACAGCTGCTTGATGGCCTCCGGATGCTCCACCAGTAAGGGCTCCTCGATGAACAAGGGACGGTACGGCTCAAGCGCTTTGGCAAGCTGCTTCGCCATCGGGCGGTGCAGACGGCCGTGGAAGTCCAGTCCTACATCCAGCCCCAAAGCTTTTACCTGCTTGATGCGCTCGATGCACGAATCTAGAATGGCCGGCGAGTCTAGCCAGTTGATATCCTCGGTGGCGTTCATTTTGACGCACTTCAGCCCTTGCTCGACTCGTGCTTTTCTGCGGGCTGTTAGACAACGTTCTGCGCGATTATATGGGGGTAGACGCACGCAGCAATCTCCACGTCGCTCGGTCTGTCGCCTCCGATCCAGGCGTAGACTTGGATCTTGGTGCGTACTTTGCCGCCCAACAGCTGGTACACGGGTACACCCAGTCGACGGCCTTTCAGATCCCAGAGCGCAATGTCGATTCCAGACAAGGCGGACATGAACACGGGGCCCCCGCGGTAGAATCCCAGTCGCCAGATGGTTTGCCAGATATGCTCGATGTCACTGCATGCACTGAGCTTGAGTTCATATAGTTGAAGGGACGAACATACTCTGCCTCGTAGCCAACCACCCGAGCTATGATCTCATTCAGGGCTCCTTCCACGGCCAGTGTGTGTCCTTCCAGTGTGGCCTCGCCCCAGCCGAACTGACCTTCATCATCGGTGATCTTAACGAATAACCATCGGGGTTTCACCCTAAAATACTCGACGGTTTTGATGCGGGCCATTGTGTCGCACGTACAGTTTGTTGTTTGCCAACCAGATATTGTAAGTCGCATTCTACAGCCACACATTTATACGCGCATCATCGCTGGATACTTTGCCGCAACATTGCTTCCCCACGCTCACCCCCGCGTGGGGGTGACAGGATATGGTCTGGGGTATACATAACATGCGCTATCAAAGCTGCATCATTGGCGGGAGCAGACTGCAGATCAGTACCCCCACTCTAGCGTGATGCACTTTCCCCTCACCCCGCTCTTTCAATCTCCCCTCCACCCTCAGTACACGTACCGGAAGTTTGAGTTCTGCTTATCCGTGAGATCACTAAATGCCGTCTGGTCACGGTCCCATGCCGTGTCATTTTCACGCTGCTGCACCGCGTCTCGTCGACGATTCTCCCACGCCAGCATGATACGCAAAAACACCACCAGTGCAATTTCAATCAGGTTCGACACGATCATCGACCATATACCTAACACGTACCGTGGCGCTTGTTCAGATTTGTAAAAGAACGGGCCGGCGATGTTGCCCGCGCACACTCCAAGAAAGATCATTGCGTTGGTGACGACTTTTTTCGTGTGGCCCGCAATATTAGCGGTTAGGATGGAGAGGATCAGGACGAACGAGGCGTTGTAGGAGCCGGTCAGATAGTAGCAGATCAATCGGCCGACCCGATTGTGCTCAGGCAGGAAGCAGAGCCCAAAGGCACCTGCCACGTTGGGGAGGAGAAAGCAAACGGTCACGATGCAGCGGTTGTTGGGCGGCAGGCGGTCGTTGATATAAACGCTCAGCAGGATCATGAGAGCTATGAAGACGCCGTAGGGGATTTGCATCAGGGTCGTCACCACTGCAAGTGTCAGACTCGATGGCTCACGTTTGTAACTGCTAACCAGACCTACAGGTCGAGAACCCAAACCCGGAAATGATCAAGGTCCCAAAATTCGAGATCCCGCCATTGGGGATGTTGCCAGATAGACCCAACAGCAGGAACACCCACACTTTCCAGTCGAGCAGCGCCTCCAGAACCTGTGTCGGCTTGATGGTCTTATTCTCCACGCCCGTTTGGTTGTCACGAAGCCGCTGCACTGCCAACCATCTTTCTCGAGGAGAGAAGTTGCGCGCCGTGACCGGAGAGTCGGGCAGGAGGACTAAGATGATAAATCCCCAAGCGGTGCACAACGCGCCAATGATCAGGAATTCGTACTTCCACGACGACAGGGCGCCTTGGATGTGTCCGATGCCGTATCCCAACAATCCCCCCAGGGCGATTCCGAGCCCGTTGGCAGTGTACCACAGGCCGATACGGATGGGCTGTTGGCGTCTTGTGTAGAACATGCTTGTGATCAGCATGAAAGCCGGGTCACTTTTGCTGTTAGCTGCAACACGCCTGAACCAGTGACGGCGTCAATACCTGCATGCTTCAGCGGCTCCTGAGATCACCCGCAGCACGACAAGCTGCGTGAAGTTCTTCGCCGCAGCTGGGGAATGATACGTAAGCAAAACTGTCTCAAGGAAATAATAGCGTTTGACCTACCCTGCAACATCAGAAATAACCCCCATAGGATAATATTCACGCCTAGGTATTTAGCCACGGGAAATTTCTGGAGCAGAAAGTTGGTCGGCACAGCCCAGACGAGGAAACCGAAGTAGAAGACAGAGGAGAGCCAGGAGTACTGCTTGCCCGACAACTCCAGATCCTCTTTGATGCCGAAGATGGCCGCATAGGAGAGCGTGGTTTTGTCAATCTGACCGTGCCGTTAGTTGTGAATAGCTTCATGCTCCCAAGGCACGCACATAGTAGAAGGCATAACAGACGGACAGACAAGGCAGGATGGCCCAATCTATCTTCCTCTCCAGGCGTTTCAACTCCTGCGCATTGGCTGAATCCAGCCCATCGCCTGTGGCAAACAGTGCCAGAGCTGTATCTCCATGTTGGATTTTGCTGGGGTGTTCGACATCCTCGATATGCAAGGAGGATCGCTTCACAGCGGCGTTGGCAGTGGATGTTTCCGCAGACATATTGCTCAGTATGCGTTTGGCTAGGGTGGAGTCGTGGAATCGATTGAGGAATCCGATTCTTCTTCTTACCCCAGACCATGATGTATACACTCAATCCCTTTCCCTTTCCCCCACACCCCCAGACAAGGAGCGTTGTTAGCGTGGGGGATGTGCATAATCTGGACTCGGACTCCTGCAGCCGCTGGAAATTTCTCCGCATTTGGGCCGGATCGAAATCCGAGTTTCCTCTCGCAATCAATCCCCTTGCAGTTGCTTTTCTCTTTCCTTGTATCTTCAGACCGTTGTCTTTTGCTTTGTTCCCAATTCTCCAATCGAATGGCCACAATGACAATTTTAACTCGAGAGGTGATCGAGAAGCATTCGTCTCGCGAGTCGTGCTGGGTCGCCATCCATGGCTCCGTGTACGATGTGACTGGTGAGCTACGAACCAAGTATCTCACTATGCTTGGAAACAAACACCCTCTGACACATCCAGACTTTATTGACGAACATCCCGGCGGTCCACAAGTGATTCTCCGCTGCGCTGGGAAAGACGCAACCGCCGACTTCGACTCCGTGCACGACGAGACCTTGATTTCGCAAACCCTTGCGCCATCAGCTCTGAAGGGCAAAATCCCACCAAACACCCTGACAAGCTCAGCTTCATCCTCATCAAGACCCTTACCCAAGATAGTCACCAGCGCCACCAACGATAATACCCCACCCGCCCCTCCACTGTCCGCACTAATCAACCTGCACGACTTCGAAAAAGTCGCCCAGCAACACCTCCCCCCGCACGCATGGGCCTACTACTCCTCCGGTGCCGACGACGAGATCAGCAAGCGCCAGAACCAAAAGGCCTACCAGAAGGTATCCCTGCGGCCGCGCATCCTCCGCAGCATCCGGACAGTCGACACCAGCACAGCAATCCTAGGGCGGCATGTCTCCCTGCCAGTGTACATGAGTCCCACTGGGATTGCCAAGCTAGCGCACCCGGACGCCGAATGCGCATTCGCCCGAGCAGCAGGCCACGAGGGTCTGGCGCAGGTCCTGGCTAACGGGTCCAGTATGCCCATCGAGAGGGTGCGGGCCGCGCGCACGGATCCCGAGCAGCCGCTGTTCGCGCAGCTGTATGTCAATAAAGATATCAGGAAGTCGGAGGAGACGGTGCGGAGGGCTGTCGAGGCGGGGGCCGGTGCGATTTGGGTGACGGTGGATTCGCCGGTGGTGGGGAAGCGGGAGATGGATGAGCGGTTGAATCTGGAGGTTCAGGTACGTGCCATGCTTTCCTGTCTACGGGTGTATGCATTTTGTGGGGTAATATGGGCGGAGAGGAGCTGATGCTTCGAGACGTGCAGGCGCGAGACTCCTCGGCTAGAGGCCAGGGCGTCGCGAAAACCATGGCGAGTTCCATCTCCCCATTCATCGACTGGGAGATTCTCACCTGGTTGCGCGGCCTCACCGACCTGCCCATCGTCATCAAGGGGATCCAATGCGTCGAGGATGCCGTGTTAGCCTACCAGCACGGAGTGCAGGGGATTGTCCTTTCCAACCATGGAGGGAGGTCGCAAGATACGTGAGTTTGAGACCCCCATAACTATATACCCTCCGCTCCCTGGGGCGACACAAATCACTAAAATATATATGTACTAATGGTGCAGAGCCCAACCTCCACTGGTCACATTACTAGAGATTCGAAAACACGCCCCCTTCCTGATCGGAAGTCGCATGCAGATCTTTGTGGATGGCGGAATCCGGCGTGGGACCGATGTGCTCAAGGCGCTGGCACTGGGCGCCTCGGCCGTGGGTCTCGGGCGGCCGTTCCTTTTCGGCCTCGCGGCGGGATACGGCGAGGAGGGCGTGCGCAGGGTGGTCGCCATCCTGCGGCAGGAAATCGAGGCCAATATGGTGTTTCTTGGGGTGACGCGGTTGGCGGAGCTGGGGCCTCATCTGCTGAATGCGACGCGGTTGGAAAGGGATGTGGTGGGGTCGGTAAAGTTGTAGCTTGTCATATACATCGAGGTGTATTCCAACTCAGTATGAGCGATCATAAACTCATTTCAATTCCTCCAATTCGGTCACAGAATTTGTCACCACTGGCTATTGTCTATCTATTGTCTGAATAATTCTCCGAAAGCGACAGGGAAGAGCGAAGATTCATCGCTTAACAATACCTAGGTCCCTAGGTTCACTACTTAGCCCGAAGACTAGACCTTCTAGCACAGTATGTACACATCACGACCCTCGCCAAGCATCATCATCATCATCATACTACATAACGTTTCTTCCCCAAGCAAAGATTCCCAAGGTCCAACTGAAAACCCGGGGACCAAATCCGTTCTACGAGTACCCCGAGTCCTGTGCGCGCGTGCGTGTGATGATTAATCCAAAGTCCAGCAGAGTTTGGTACTGTACTGTCGGTCGGCATTTCCGCCTCTTCTAGCCTACTGCTACAACTTCCCCGGGAATTGTCAATACTCGGAAGGGGAACGGGAAGTTCCTAAACGGCGTCGAGTTTCAAACTCACCGTATCTATTTACTAATCAAGGAGTATTTACTAATCAAGGAGATGGAAGAGGCAAAAGTCCCCTGGACGGCGACCCTCTTGTCGGGCGGAGAATCATGACTTAATAGATGTGTCTGATCTGTAATGCTCCGATCAAGAAAATAGGGTTCGGGGACCATTTCCATGGGGTCCCGAGTAAGTCATACTCCGTAGTTACAGTAGGTGCTCGGGGGTGGGATCCCGCATACCCGTGACCATTCCGGCTACTTCCTATTCAGTAGGTGATTACTTTGGTCCCCGATTCAAGGGAAATTATCCACTCTATCGCCGTCTTTGTCTCTTTTCTTTTCCTTTTCTTTCGTCGCCGTGGACGGGATGGTGGGTATTTCTTGCTGGGGCTCTGGTTCTTTGGGTAGGGGGAACGGGGTGGAAATTACTTGATTTGCCTCCTGGCCAGGTATTTATACTGTTGTTCCGGTGTAAATATCTCCAGAAATTGGTACTACGTACTACTCTCGCGCGGTCTCTCGTTTGACCTGCACGGCTCAGGAACAATCATGTTCACCCCTGTCCATACCTCGTTGGGCGCCTTGCTCCTCTACCAGGGCTCTTCCGGGCTGCTCTTGCACAATGGCGCCATTCTGGGCATCTCGTCCCTGCTCTCGGGCAGTCTCCTGCGACCCAGCTGGGAGAACGTGCCGATCATCGCGGGTCTGGTGTCCGGTCTTATCCCCGTCGCCCTCTTCATGCCGTCGTTGATTCCTGCGTATCCGCCTGCGCCGGCCTCGTGGCTGTCGCTGGCGTCGACCCTGACCGCGGGGTTCCTGCTCGGCTGGGGAACCAAGGTAAGAAAGCACCGATCAACTGCCTTCCCTTGCTAGTATCAACAGCTGACCATGTCCGTCCGTCTGGTAGAACGGTCGAGGCTGCACATCCGGCCACATGCTGTGCGGTACCTCCCGCCTCTCCCCGCGCTCCTTCATCGCCACCGCCATCTTCTTCACCACCGCCCTGCTCACAGCCAACTTCTTCCCGGGCGTCCAGAGTGACATACCAGCATGCCCGGGCGACCTCCCGTGTTACATGCCCGTCTACCCGACGTTCGCGGAGACCGGATTCATGGTGGCTATGACGCTGCTTGCCTTCGCAACGAACTGGGTGGCCGTGCCTCGCACCTTCGACCGCTCCCCCAAATCGCAGGCAATCTTCGCCTACCTCGCCGGCCTACAGTTCGGCACGGGCCTGCTGTTCACGGGCATGGCCGATCCGCAGAAGGTTCTGCGGTTCTTAGTCGGCCTCACAGATGTATCGCGCTTCGACCCCTCGTTGGCGCTGGTGATTTTGTTCGCCGTCGTGCCGTCGATGGTGACCTACTTGTCGCGCAAGCCAGGACAGCTGAAGAGCCAGCAGGAGGATGGAGATGGGGTGGTTAAGCCAACACTGGCTGATACCTGGAGGTTGCCCACGGCCACCGTGGCGGATATCGACTGGCGCTTTGTGGCTGGTGCGGCGGTGTTCGGCTTCGTCTGGGGTCTGCGCGGCGTGTGTCCGGGCCCTGCGATCCTGCGGTCGGCGGTGCAGCCCACTTGGGGACTGGTGGAGATGGCTGGGTATGTGCTGGGGAACTTGGTATAGAATATTTGTGTGAAGCATGCGTGTACATTAGAGGGCCTTTCCCACAGAGTTCCGGAATATTGTATCATAACAGTTGCTGATTAACATGGTGGAGTAGAGTCAGAGGCTATGTCATTCACTAGATATCAGCACAGCTTCACTGTAGAGAAAGAAGACGCAATGTTGCCCGGTGATTATATGTGCAATTAACCAAGGTGTAGTAGACGGGCCCGATGCAATATTCATGATTCGGACAAGGCTTACAATTCCGTCTTGGCCCAGCTATCCGTAGAGCGCTTGTTGTTCTGAGAAGCGCTGTCACTCCCACTGGACATGAAGCCCTCGAGTTCCATCCATTCGGCCGCGAACGCGGTCAACAGCACGCTCCAGTCCTCCACGGTGTCTACATCCAGATGTTCGCCGTTGTCCTCCATCTTATGCCAGACCTTGGGGAATCCGAAATTACCTGCATCGATGATATGGAGAATCTCGACGCCGCGTCTCATGAAGGGGATATGATCGTCTTCGATGCGCATGTACATGGGTATCTCATGCTCGCTCTTCGACAGGTGCGGGAACCACGAGCGCCCGGGATCGGAGGAGCGGAACTGCTTCAGCTCTCGCAGCCGGCGCTCCAGCCGGGCCAGCTTCTTGTACGCCCAGTGCGTGGTCGGAAAGAACGACTGGATCGTCGGGTCCTTGGCGCCCAGCAGATCCAGCAGCACGAACAGCGAGATCGAGTCCAGCGGCGACCGGTACACAGACATAGCCGGGTGAACCTCGGCGTCCCACTGCTCTGCCAGGGCGCGCGCCCCGTACAGCGAATCCGTCGCCGTCCACTCCTTGAACGACTCCTCCCCGTCCATGAAGATCACCTGTATGCCCTGTTGTTCCTCCAGCAGATTCAGCTCGCCCTTGACGCGCATGTCCTCCCACTTCTTCGTCAGCGCCGCGTCGATGCTCCGCACCGCGTGCAGCATGATCGCGCACGGCGCGGCGCTGTCGATCGCCCCGATGAAGCCCTCCGGCTCGTATTTACTGTCGTAGTGCGCGACCAGCGTGAGGCGGCCGACATCGCCCGCGGGGGCTCCGGGCGGGTCGCGGGAGGCGATGAGGTTGACGAACGGGACTTCCTTGCCCTTGGACACGGGCGTCTTCGAGGTCGAGTTCTGGAATTGGAGGGTCCACTCGGGGAGTGAGGTGCGGAAGAAATCCGCGAGGTGGTTCAGGACGGCGGTTGAGCCTGCGGTCCCGGAGACGCGGGGAACCAGGATCGGGGCGAGGAGAGCGCCATTGTGGATGTTGAAGTCGTCGCCAGGTCGCGGGAGCGATTGGAGGGTCTTGTCCGAGACGGATTCGTAGGCGGTTCCTGATGCGATAAGGAGGTAGAAGAGGGACAGGTAGGTCGACAACAAGGGGCGTAGAAGGCCACGGTGCAGCTGCGGAAGCATGGCGACGAGGAGCAATGGTAAGGGTCAGTACAGGCTCATTGCACGGGTTTACACAATGAAACTGACTGTTCCGGACAGTCAGACAGGGTTCAAAGTGCAAGAAATCGTCAGCCCTTGTAGCGTTGGATGAGGAAAGGTCGAGTCAATCTGTCTGTCTGTCTGTCTGTCTTTGTTTCACAAGCGATGATCGTTTGATTTGACAGCTCTGACCGCCTTCGCCTATCGATAAGTTCTTATCCAACCTTCGAAGTGGACGGCCTCCACTTTCTCCGATTTCCCTTCGCTGAGACGACTTCAAGCTCAATTCAACCTCTCGCTCAGACACGATGAGACCGCTCATTCTGTTCCACCCGCAGCTGAGGGCTGTCCTGCCCCGGAGTGCTCGGCGGAGCCTCAACAACAAGCTATTTGCCCGGCCGAAGACCACGGAGAAGGCTACTCGAAGCCCCAAGGACGAAGCACCTTTCATCAAAAAGCCCCTGCAGGAAGTTCGCAGCCTATTTCCTCAAAAGCAGCTCGACCCGGGCACTTACGCCTATGGAAAGCTCACGATGCGAAAAGGTAGTGTTGCGAATATCTTCTGCGCAGGCCGAAAGAAAACCAATATTAAAGCTATTGCGTAGGACCTCCGGAGTTGATCCTCATATACAATGGTGGTATGAACAAAACCATGCTCCTGGCTGCGTTGAAGATCACTACCATCATGCTGTACGGCGCGACAGCCCTCTTCATCGCACCACATTTCCTATCCGGCGAGTATCCCAGCTGGTATTTCCCAGCAAGTAAGCTCAGAGTCCCAACAACCCCGATTATCACAGAAGGAGTCGGCCCCTAACTGCAACAAATAGTTATCCTCGGCGGTGCAGTTCCAATGGTATTCATGGCATATAATGGAGCCACCTGGGTCTGCTACGTTCATCTTTTCCTCCCGATGTTCGCTCGACAGTCTCGGCAGGCAGCCGAGAATTATGCGAGAAACCTTCCTCCCACCGCGAGGCTATACATCACAACCATGGGGTTCACAACTAGACCTGTCCGGACCGAAGTGAAACTGGGAGACTTAGTCCCCGAATACACGCTTAGGCGTCCGGTGGCCTTCAAAAACTTGCGTCCTTCACCCGGAACAAGATGGTTTCGGCCGCAGACAGAGTTCTGGGCGGCGAACAAAAGTCACACTGGGAAACAGTCAACAGCTTTCTATCCTCACTTGTGGCCAAGGGTGTGGTCGCAAATCGAGCAGAATGGAGTGCAGAATGCATCATGATAGAGTTGCAAAGGACTCGGCGTTGGGGAGTTAACTGTGAGGTGAATGATATAGAAGTTACTTATTATTGTGAAATCCGACCAGACACACTTGATATCAGTACAACATCTGTTAAGGGTTAACTGAAACCCACCGATCATTATACAGTTTGATTCCTGGTCAAGTGGAGACAGGAGCTCTTCACTCTCATGCTAGACCGTGTTATGCCTCAGTGTGCTCTGGCCATTACCTTGCCAAACTCATTCACCCTTCACTTTGACAGACCTCATATCTTTCCCCATCCTTCCCCTGTTATCTGGGTTGTATCTACCTCATTTTAGTTTCTTCTTCTCATTTTCAAATACCCCGCTACTTCCTCTTTCCAACACTTTCTCCTCCCATCATCTCCCTTCCCATCCATAACACCTTTTACCTTCACCAGCCACTTTCAACTCTCATACTCACCACATCGCTTTATCTACCGCAACGCGTCACCCATCTCACAGACCACCAACCATACAGATCACTTCAACTCACGATACACCCACTCTCAAAAATAACCAATAACATCAACTATGGCAGCCAAAGGTGCCCCTAAGCCGGAGGGCTTGTTCGGTTTGACCCTGAGCGAGGCGAAGATGATTATCCTCGGCCAGATCTGCACCGATTCCTCAGGCAAAGTGAGTTACCCTAACCCCAGAGCATCGAGTCAACCCTATCCAGAGGATTATTCTAACACAAACACCACCAGGTCGATCACGACAAGCTAGCCATCAAAGGCGGATACAAAAACGGAGCCTCAGCCTATACCGTCTACCGCAATGCGAAACGCAAGCTTGAAGAGCTCCAGTTCGAAGAATCCGGTACTGTCAATGGCGGCGCCAGCTCTGCTGCAACCACACCCCTGAAGACCCCTACCAGGCGCAAGAGGGCCAAGGCAGTGGATGCCACGCCTGACGATACCCCGGCCACTCCCGCCACTCCCAGCGGTCCTGGTCCCGTGCAGGCCGACGTCGCCGTGACCCCGAAGCCCAAGCGCGTCAGAAAGACCCCGACCAAGAAAGCGGCCACTCCCAAGGTCGTCCCCAAGGCCGAGGAACTCGATAGGTAGATCCGTTCCCACCCTTCGCAACCCGTCCATCCCTATCAAAAAGAAATCATACTAACCACTCGACAGCGACGGGGGATCTACCATGAAACTCGACTCGAGTCCTGTCGTGGAGCCTACCACCGATAAGGAAAATCACGCTGTGCTCAAGGGTCTTAAGAGAGAGCTGTCCGTCGAGCCTGATCACAACGAGGAAAACCTGACTTCTCACGGCCGCGTGCCTAAAAAGCATCTCACTGCCTCTGACGAGGAAGTCGCCATGGCCGTGCTCGATGTCGGAGCCGAGATGGACGCGCTCGACACAGCCCAGGTCCCCGTCAAGACTGAGGAATGAGTCTGTCGTCTAGTCTACCTCACACCAGTCGCGTGACATTCTTCGTGAATCATCCTGACATGTTCAATTCGCTTTCTTATGTGTTGTTCTCTACGGTGCCCTTTATGGAGTGTTCCTTATGGAAATTTGTGTATTTTAAATTAGCTCGTACTCAATGAAGCATTGATCGTGATGCAGTAGTAACGGCGCATATCTACTCTCCTCCATGACTTGTATGAATTGGTAAACAAGTCCACGTAAGAAACTACTCAAAGAAGTCAACAGTAAGTTCTATACTCCTGATGCCGCAGCAGTCTTCTCATTCCTTCCAGTGACCGCATCAATGAAGCAAAGAGATAGTGATAAACGTAAAAAGCATATGATTCTGTAACAAAAACCAGCTATATAACCGAAACGCTATCGCAATTCCCACGTAATTTTAGAACTCGGCCGAATGGCCCGCGTGGAACGTCACAAATCCACAGAAACGCCTAAAGAGACGCCAGGAGTACACATCTCAAACAAACAGATCAACCAGAATTCACCACCTTCAACACTCACAAAGCCTCGATCGCGCGCCTCAACACCTCCAAGCTCCGCTCAGACACGCCCGCCTCGCCGTTATTGTCACCGTCCACAGCAGCAGGAGCAGAAGCACTCTCGCGCAAAGCCCAAGCAACATCGCTCCACCAGCCCATACCAACCACGGCGGCACCGCCGGTGCCGGTGCCGGTGCCGTTGCCCTTGCTCTTGCGCCGCTCCAGACTCTCAGTCAACCGACTGGTATGCTCCCACTGCTTGGCGGCGACCTCGGCGCGCTCGATGACCTTGGCGGGGATGCCGCACATGGAGGCGCAGTGCATGCCGAAGCTGCCCTCTGCGACGCCGGGCTCGAGCTTGTACAGGAAGGTGACGCGGCGCTCGGCCTCGTCGACGTCGATCTTCATGCGCTTGGGCGCGATCTCCGGGTGGTGCTCGAACTCGGCGGCCAGCGAGTGGTAGTGCGTGGCGAAGAAGCCCAGCGCGCCGATGTGCGTGGCCACGTGGTGGAGCACCGCCTGCGCGACCGCCACGCCGTCGTACGACGACGTCCCACGGCCCAGCTCGTCCAGGATTACCAGCGACCGCGGCGTCGCCTCCGAAAGGATCTTCTTCGTTTCCGACAGCTCCACGAAGAAGGTCGACTGCGCCGCGAAGATGTTGTCGTTGGCGCCGAGGCGCGACATGATTCGGTCCACCGGCGTGAGGGTCGCGGCGGTGCAGGGCAGGTAGCAGCCGATTTGCGCCATGATTACTGCGATACAGGTCTGTTTCGGGTTTGAAGTGGTTAGAGATTGTTTGTGAAGGTATGGGGCAGAGGGGAAGAAAGGGCCTTGATTGGGAATTAGGAAGGGAGGAGAGTCTTACCATGCGAAGAACGGTGGATTTACCGGCCGCGTTGGCACCGGTCAGGAGGTCGATGTTGGGTCGCGGACCGCCCAGGCGTACGTCGTTGGGGATGAAGTCGTCGACGGAGGACAACAGGCACGGATGGCGCAGTTCCTCGAACTCGAGCACACTGCGTTCGTCGTTGACGAACACCGGGCGGCAGCTGGGGTGGCCCAGCGAGGACGACGCCTTGGCCAAGCTGATAAGGCAGTCGAGCTGCGAGACGATCCGCACCGCTGCCAGCCAGGTGGTGTAGTTCTCGTCAAATCGTGCATAGAATCGACCCGCGACTTCTTTGACGATCTGACTGTGGGTCTCCTGCGCCTCTTGAAGTTGGCGGATAAGCGCGCGCAACTCGGGGAAGTAGTACCGTTTCACCTGCTTGGTGGCGGACATCTGGTCCCAGTTCTTGGGGATGTTCTTGACTTTGATGGGTACTTCAAGCTGGTAGATCTCCTTGCCGTTGTCGCGGTAGCAGATCGCCGTGGAGCCTAGCTCGCGCCGGTATTTTTTGAGGAGGTTTTCAAGCTTCTGGTGGATCTCTTCGATGTGTTCCTGGGAGTTGTCGAAGTCTTCTTCGACTCCAGGCTTCGGGACCAGGATGCCATTCTCCTTCGCTTTGGTGCGGTCAAAGGCCGTCTTCCAGTACTCGAGCAAGCTGTTGAGATCCGGCATCGCGTTGATCAGCTGTCCGATCACACCCTCGCCGGAACCGCTGTCTTTGAGAAGACTCATGGTGTACTCAATCTGCTCAAAGCCCTCCAAGACACGAGCGAAGTCTTGAGCCTTGCAGTTGGCTGCGTGAATGCGAGAAATGAGTCTCTCCAGATCAGGCATCTTGGTCAACTGAGAGGAGAACTGATCCCGAACAGTAGAGTCAGCGTTGAGCGCATCAACCGCATCCAGGCGAGCATTGATCTTGTTGGCATCCACCAACGGATGGCACACCCACTGTTTGAACATGCGCTTGCCGAAGGGTGTAATGCAGCGGTTCAAGAGCTGGAACAGCGTCCCATCGGACGTTCCGTCGAAGGAGTTGGCAAAAATCTCCATGTTGATAAGTGTCTGACCGTCCAGCACCAGGCTGGAAGCCTTCTTGATGGGGTCGTACGAGGAAAAGTTACCAATGGTGATCAAGTCACGGTCAAGCTTCAGGATCCGGAGATATTGCACCAGAGCACCAAAGGCGGACATGACCAGCTCCTTGTCCCGGGCCTCCCGCAGGGCCTCGGGCCAGGCCTGTAGGTTGTCCCCATCTTCACAGACAAAGTAGTCGCTGGCATCAAGTTCTCGTACCGTGATATCGGCCTCCCAGAATTCCTTTGCTGGTTTCAAGTAGTTCCAGATAGTGGTAGGCCCGGTATTGTTCTTCAAGATGCGGAGTGCCTTTGCTGAGACAGTGGACTTTTCGAGCAGCAACTCTTGAGGCCGTGTTTGTGCAACAAAGGTCTCAAATTTAGTCATATCGACATCATCCACAAACTCCGACAAAAAGAACTGACCAGTCGCAGTATCGACGAAAGCCAGACCGAAGGCCGGGCGGTCTTCAATGAGGGCCTCTTTGATGGCGACGCAGTACGTAGACATGTCATCCTGAAGCATCGAGCCTTCAACGAGCGTACCCGCTGTCAAAACGCAAGACAACTCTCGCCGAATGACCTTGTCCTCCTTACCACCAGCCTTCTTCTTCCCGTCCCTTTCGCGCATTTCCTTGCCCAGGGCGGATTCGATCTGGTCCACGCGCGCGATCTTGAAGCCCTTGGCAACAAACTGGTTGGCCCAGTGGTCCAGGCTCATCTCCGGAACGCCCACCATACGCATATTGACACGATCCGTCAGCTTCAAGTCAAAGAGCTGGTGTCCGATGGTGGCATCATTTTCGTAGAGTTCATAGAACTTTCCTTTCTTGAAGAACACGACAGTGTCCCAGAACTTCTGCTTGATCTCCCAGTACTGTTTCTCGAAAGGCGAGAACTTCGACCAAGCCAATGGGGGTATATATAGTGTGCGAGGATCATACTCAGGATGACCGATGGGATGGCCATCGATGTCCCTAAGGTTGGCAAGCCAGGCATATCGTTGCTCCGGCTCTGTAACGTGTGCTTTTTGTTTACCGTTGCTAGGGCGCTTGGGCGTCGTGGGTGCGGTACGCTGTTGCCGGGGCTCGGTGCTTTCAGGGTCATACTTCCATTTCAACGCCGTGCCGCCGGCCGTTTCGGGGATATCGAGATCGAGATCTTCGTCTTCATCTGGCGTTTGCAGCGGGAGCGGAGATGACTTGTTCTTGGACTGAGCAGAAGACTTCGCGCGTCTCTTGGCTGGCTTCACTTCTTCGTCTGATTCATCAGCGACTATGAAGTCGTCGATGTCTGGAAGCTGTCAGTATCGCTGGAATTAACGTCGCGAAGCATCGACTCACCATAATCAGAGTAACCAGCATCGTCTGCATCCTCCTTGAACTCATCCTCGCTCTCCGGGGACAGCTTCTGGCGCTTGCTCCTGTTGCTGCGACCGGGGCGGAAGATCTTTTCATCGTCCTCCTCGCCTTCGGTGTCGGATTCAAGGTAATTAACCTTTTTTCTAGCCTTGAACATCATCTTCATTAGCACAAATCCGCTGGCGATTGGATGAGATGGAGAAAGGATCCTTACCCGACGCGACGGAGACGTGCCCGTCTCTTGCTCATTAACACTAGCCTGCAAGCATTTCCCAAGTCAATCACGCGAGAACCACCAGGCAACAACCACACCCGAGCCACTCAAAGCTTGCACCATACCTGTACATCATCCTGTTGTTCCTCCTCCTCTGGAATCACGAGATCGCTACTGGGAACCGGCGTCAAGTCCTGCTTGAACTGGGGCGCACGTTTCTTCATAGCGGTTGTCGTCGTCGGCTTGGCTCCGCGCTGCACCGAGGCCCTTTCGGCAGGCGAAGAGGCAGGCTCGACATTGCGAGCGGTCGAGGGCGTCGACGGGGAGGACTTCTGAAAGAACCCAAGGATGGACTTCTGGCTTTTCATGTTCTGGGTGCTGGAGGTGGTTCGTTTCAGCGCCCGGGATGGAGGCGTCGCGGTCGTGGGGGAAGATGCGGCGGGGGCTCCCTTAGCCATGCTGGAACGAGGGCCGGTTTTGGAAGGTGAAATTAATGTTTCTTGTAGTTGTTTATCATACCATGCTTCCATGGAATACAGGGGAGCGTCAATTGCAATGGTTCATGGGGATATTTGGGAGAGGGATGGAAAGAGCAGCACCCCCGGGACGATAAGGACGGGCGGAGCGGGAGAGAGACGTGTGTCGGTGTCGATCGCCATCAGCGGGCCGTCGCGCGTCGACGCGTTGAGTGCTTTTTTTTTCTGCCGCTTGCAGTGCTACTGACCGCCTTGGCTTGTCATATCATCTAGTTACAACCTTCAAGTAGTCATCACAAGCTATAATTAAGGGGATATGATAGAGATATTTCCAACTGCGGTATATGTACAAGTTTCTAGTAATACATCGAACAGGTATATGAATGCTTCTGGACCACCTTACTCCCCACCTCAATTGGACTGGTCGGCAGCCTTGGGCTCGGGCTCAAACCCGGGGCAAGTCAGTCCTTTCTTCGCGAATTCTTCATCGCTGATAATCTTCACAATCTTGAATTTCCACTTGCCCACCTTCAAGAACAGAAGCTCTCCGTCCATAATGAATCTCTCGGTCATGTCCGGAAGCCAGATCCCGATAGGCGTGAATTCCAGCTGATCTTCGATTTGTCCACTGTTTGATGGGCGGCTTCCGACGTAGGCTCCCCCGTTAGCACAGAGACGGTGGGCCTCACTCTTGGAATTGACCAGACCTGCAGACCAGAGCACCTTTGACAAAGATTGCCCGTAAACTACAGATCTGGGGAGTTCCATCCGGAGACTAGGCATCTTCTCCCAATTTGTTTGTGGAGCATAAATATTGCCTGCTGCCATGTTGGCGTCGGATGCATATGGGGATTGGGGAATGGGGTGAGGCTTGGGCTTTCCGGGAAGAGGAGTGGGTTCACCGGTGGAAGACCTTGATCGGAAGAGTTGGCGATGTTGGAGAGCGACTGCTTCCGCTTCAGTCTTGCCGTGGATGAGTTCGACGAATTCGGCAGCCAGAGCATGCTGGGCCACTCGCTTGGACGGGTCAATGACGTGCTCGTCCATGATCTGATCGATCTTGGGCAACGGCAAGAAAGTGAACATCTTCAGATACTTCTTCACGACGTCGTCAGGAGTTCGGACAAAGAACTTCGGCGGGTGTTAGTAGACCTGCATGATGACCTGCGGAACGCTTTCCCGTACCTGATACAATTCAAATGTGGACGTCATGTCTTTGTCAAGCCAGATCGCATTGCCAGCCGATTTGCCGAACTTCTCGCCCGAGGATGTCGTTAGTAAGGGCGTCGTCAGCCCGATAGGCTGGTCAATGTCTTTTTTCAAATCTTTTCGTGACTGCTCATCGGCAGTGCTCCTGCTTATCGACTTGACCGCGTCCATTCCAAAAAGAATGTTTCCATATTGATCGGCGCCTCCAACCTGGACTTGTACGCCCTTTTGAAACAGTTCCCACCAGTCCCACGCCTGCATCAGTGGATAGGAGAATTCTGCAAACGACATTCCGTCTCCCTCTAATCGAGTCTTGACACTACAGCTGGTCAGTACGCGCAGAAGCAGCCGACAGCGACATGGAGCGCAAGATGAAAATAAAGATAAACTCACGTATCCCTCCCCAGCATGGGACCCAGACGCATGAAAGCACCCAAATCTCTCATGACCTCCTGAAAAGTGACCTGACTCCACCAGACACTGTTGTTAGTAAGAGATCGCCTCCAAGCCCATTGCCTGATATAACCATGTTTCGCGCCATATCTCTCAATGCCCTTGCCTAACTTCTTCAGCTGCATGTGCATCGCCGCCATATTTGCCTTCCGAACAGATGATTCGACTCGTGCTCGTCCTGTTAATCGCCCAGAAGGGTCGCCGATTCGACTAGTTGAACCGCCAAGCTATCCTGTGTCAGCTGGGTTTTTTGGATGCTCCGAAGGGCGTGGATAGGAGGATAACTCACGATGAAATGGACTGGCAGACCCCATACATAGCCCCATGCAAGAACCATAAACGGTAGCATATGCCCGACATGAAGGGAAGGACCAGTAGGATCGACGCCGGCATACAACCCGACCCTCTTCTCAGTGAACACGCGATCTAGAAGTTCTCGTTCCCTGTAGGTCGAACGAGAAAAAAAAAGAAGTCCACTGTTAGCCAAGCTGCTGCGACAGATCCAGACGATGTGTAAAGCTAGAATAAGGCCTACTCACCCAACGACGTCGTGCAGCAGTTCTCTATCTTCAAGGTGCTGTGAGAAACTCTTTCTCTTGCCTTCCTTGATCTGTTTGGCGAAGTGCGCCCATTCATCCTTAGCATCTTTCATCCGTTTAGCATACTGCTGAGTTATCCCCCTTCTCTGCTCGGAATCAGAAAAAGTTGTGGATTGGCTCAGCGTTGGACGAGATCCGGTGGTGAGGGCGGAGTTCATCCGCAGCATAGCGGCCGTCCGCGCGTAATTATGGACACCGCATACGTTTTGGCGGAAGGGAGAGGGGATCCGAGGAGCCTGAAGGCGTGCCCTCACGGGCAGCGACCCGGAAAGCAGTCTCATGGGTCCGGATTGGAGGAAAGAGATGGGGGATTGACACAGCAGAACAATGCCTTGGGAATTTCTCGATAGCATGTTTTGCCTCCGATAAGAAGCCGATCAGTTGCTTCTCCAACGGAAAATTGTTGATGCGCGGATCGGAGCCATATCAGCTGCAAACAATGCAAACAGGCATTTTTCTATACCCCGGTCTAGATTGTTGACACTCTCCTTGTCAACCTTCTGCCTATGATCAGAGGGAAGATATTCTTTGGAACTCAGTCTTTGAGCTTCCTGAACTAACTTGGAATACAGTGCAAGCACAGATCAAAGATTCACCGACTTCATAATAGGAGAAACTATGCGGGTATTAATGTCCCAGCCAACTACCATGTCCTTGCGGCATGATACATCCCTGTAGTCAATCCTATACCTCGTAGGACGTCCATGGACAGGTATGAGTGGTGGGCAGCAGACACACACTCAATCACATTTACAGTAACTAAGTCTTTCTCAGCGATTGTTGATATTCTCCGTTCAGTACGACGTAGGGTACAGCATATAAAAATGTTTATACTCAAGCCATATCAACATACTCGGAAATAAACAGTTTATCAAAAAGAATAGCTCTGGCCAAACTGTGTCATCCCTTAAGGATGCATCCGCTTCTAAATGATGGTCTCCTATAATCAATAGATGAGATAGCTATATCTCTAACAGCCTTAATATATTTATTAAGAAAATCTGTAATCTTAATTATATAGAAAGGTTTCCTCTTAAAATTTTTGATTTTATAGTCTTCTTCATAATTAATATGTATTAGTATATATCATAAGCTAGTGATCTTTAAGTGTTAGTTATAATAAGTTTATATATGTCATGGATAACCCACGCAACCCAACCATTATTATGACGAAACGCCCATGTTGCGACTGCTGGAGAGTCGATACGTCAATGACTTAGCAGAATCTGTATCTTAAATAGCCAGGCCTTACTATAACTTAGGAAGGCAAGGATTAGTCTATGTCTATACGATACCAGTACTTTGATTCTACACCTAGCTGACCTTTTCTCTTTACAATTTATATAATATCTAAAAAGTATACTCTGTGATTGTCGGGTATAAATACTACTATTTGGCTTATTTCTGTCTAGATGTGAGATCTGCTGAATTTGGAACTATTTGAGAATTCACCAAAATCAAGTGTTTTCAGCTGCCCACCTTTCGCAGGCACTGATTTTTTGTCAATAAAGAGCGTAAAGCCCACTCGCAGGCCTCAGCTTCTACAGGTACATATAGGGTGGAGATTTCCTAAATGTCAGAATTCTTCCCAGTTGGACATGAAACATCTACTGACCTGGATTAGATTCAAGTCATGATGAATGATTCCCCAGAAAATGTTTTGAATAAGTCGAGAAGATCTCAATGCGAACTTATTCGGATTTACCATCAAAGCTTGCGTCGTTCCTCCCCAATGGCTAGGATAGATCAATAAAACAAAGAGCCATCTCCTGTGCCTCTCCCTTCATTCGAGTCCATGATTTCAACAAAAACGTGGCTTCGTGTCAAGGTGAAGTATTTTCTGATCATCACTCATTCACTTATCAGTTGTCAGCAAACAAGACGTGGTAGTATGATATCGATTGATGGATATTGCCCCAAGGCTGTGGAGTACATCACATCCTCACTTAACGCCACAATTTCAGTCTCGCTGCTCCCCCCTCAAACTATGAAGGAAGTCTTTTGTGATTTCAAATAGTACTTTGAAATCTTTGCGAAGCAAGCTTAGCAGTCCGTGAGCCGGCCGGAAAGGGGAACAAAGGCCTAGGAGCATAATTAGCAGAGTTTATTGATGTTAAACAATGCCGTACCTTCTTCACAACAATCCCACCAAGGCAGGGACAGGCAGTGCCAATCGAGTTTCACCGCCGCGAGCTTCAACAGAAATGAGTCCTTAATCTTATCTCTACGCGAATGGCACATGATCTAAATATCTTAGAAATCTCATCTTGCTTCAGCATTTGTGCAAGTTTGCTTGCAGTCAACCTCGTCATCTTTATGTTGTTCGCGCCAGTACCAATGCTGAGGCACATTCAACCGCCTTGCTCTTTATGTCTGAAGCCACGTTTCTCAACCTCGAATTGTTGCAGACGCGCCACCCTTCTAGCGCTGTCGAAGGCACTCAAATCATCATTTACTACAATGTCCTCAGAAAAATCAACAAAGAGGAGGTCTGATCACTATGATTCGATTCACTCGGTTCAGCAATCTGCACAGCGCAAACCGGAACTCGATCCTCATAAATCACGTTGCCTAGCCTCATCTCTTGTCGACGGCAATCCCATTTGCGTACGCATGGATAAGCTGAACCGTGAGTTCAGTAGAGGCTTCCTGCTTACTATGGATAATGGGTGTGAACTCATCGCAAAGATACCATGCGCACATACAGAACAAGCCTTCCTCGCGTCTGAGGTAGCGACTTCCAAATACCGTATGCTCCATATCCTGTTAGACAAACTCTTTGAAGCTGACATCTTCTAGTACGCCAATATACATCCCTTCCCATCCCGAATGTCCTCGCCTGGAACCCAGATAAAACAAATGAGATTGGTTCGGAATATTTGATCGTAGAGAAGATTTATGGGGTTGCTCTAAAAGACTTATGGGAAAATCTCAGTTCCCTGGATCGCTACAGTATCATCGAGAAGATTGTCGCAATGGAGACTGAGCTTGCAAATCTGGATTTCTCAGCATACGGTGCTCTCTACTTGCGGGGTTCGGTACCTGATCAACCGAAGTATTATCCGCTGGCCTCTGAACGCGACTGTGGTGAATCTTTTTGCGTCGGAGCATTATATAAATTGTCACAAATTGATGACAACACGGAATCGTCTGGAGAGTTGACGTCTTATGGACCTTGTCAGTCTATTTTCCATATCCACGTTATTCTTTTGTATTCGTTATTGGCTATCAAACCTGTACTAACCACCCTTTCACCTCACTATAGGGTCATCTTTTGAAAATTTCGCCCCGTTTTTCGGTCAACAACAAGTGATTGCCCCGAAGATTCGCCAGAGCGTCGAAAACAAGTTCCAAGCTATGACTCAAGTTGATTTCGACCCTATCAATGAAACTAGAGCTCTGCTAGAAAAGGCCTCAATTTTAATATCTATTTTGACCTCAGACAATCGTGTCCAGAGAGTCTCGAAGCCATCTCTATAGCATAGTGGTTTACCTCTTGACAATATCCTGGTTTCTACGACACAGCCTACACATATTCTTGGAATTATCGGTTGGCAGTCTTCTAAAATACTTCCTTTATTTCTACAAGCACAGTTCCCCAAATTTCTTGCAACTCCCAGGTCTCATAAATTTGGGGATCCTATGCCTAGTCTCTCTGGTTTTTCTGAACTCAATCCCGAACAGAAGCAAAGAGTACTTCAGAACCAAGACGCAGCTGCCCGTGCCAGATATTATGAAATGTGTATATCTGAGTACAATAACCCAGTTTATGAGACATTGAATCTTGATCCAAAACTGACTGAATCGTATCGGTACCATGATTTATCCACAGAGAGTGATATACTAGGCCTATACAACTACCTTATCTCTGTCTCGGCAGAATGGGATAGTTTAGGACTATCGGGTGATTGTCCATTTCAATTCACCTCGGAGCAGCTAGTGCAGTTTCAGAACCAGCAAGCTCAGCACAGCGATGCTTTGAACACAAGGAGCTCATAAATCATGACCGTTCCGTTGATGATGAGAGCCAAAAAGTGGCGGACAAGGATGCCAGGGATTTGTGGAAATAGCTTGTTAGGTATACCACTTCACCAGTATGGCATTTGTTATTCAAGGATGATAACAATGTAAGTTAAGCAATCATTGGGCACTTGCAGAAGCACGATTCGAAGCCCAGTAGTTAGGCATAAGTGTTCTATAGTGGTATTATCCGTCCAGGTTCTTCTTGTAGTAGGCAGTACTTACCAGTAGAAGAATAAATTCTGCTAGTAGTAGACTAGGCAGGATTATCTACTTTCAAAGGTCTAAAAAGGAGATTATGACAGTGTTGAATACGTTCTTTGAAGGTAGTCTGGCGATTTTATACTTCTGCCTGCTCTCTCAGTACCTTCTCCTAACCTCTCTTCCCTCCTCAGCGTTCTTTCTTGTCTCCTCTGCCCTCGAAAACAAAGCCTTGTAGTCGACCGGGTCCGATATGGCTGTAGCGAGTGGATGTTTGAGGAGGTTTGATTCTTCTGACGATGTTATGTTATGAACTAAGATTGATTCTAGCCTAAGCATCACCCCTCCCCCAAGGCCGGCAATCCCTGAAATCACCATCACAGAGTTCTCGCAACGCTGGAGAGCGCAGACACCCCATCGGACGAATAATACCACTACCTCATCGCCCGCTTCCCACGGGGCCAATAGTTCGACGTGGAACACCACCCGCAGCGCATCTGCTGCATTGCGAACCTCATCAAGCGCCTCGTGCCGTGATACGTTCTGACCTTCCTGCACGGGCCACAGCGTAACCCGGACTTCTACTGCTGGTTCTTCGCCCAGAGTTTTCCCTAGACCATGGAGACCGTGCCTCGCGGGGTGCCGACCCTTGGCGTCGCGTACTGCTCCGGTAAGCTGTACTTCTACTGATGGGATCCGACCAACAAGGATGTGGAGCAATTCGTCGTGGATAGGCATTGATCTTGGGAAGGAGGATCTCGCCCTTAATTGTTGGGCGCAACCTGAGGCGTTTGAGGGCCCCCTTGATTTGATGAAGCGGTTTCTGGAGCCTTTGGGGTAAGGTTTTGCTTGAAGAGTGAGAGGCAGCTCAGGGATGTATCAGGTGGGGTTTTTTCTTCTTACCTTATCCTTGTATTAAAATCTGCTCTCGGAATGTAATACATTGAACATCTCGGCAATATAACTATGGGACATTATTCGCGAACGCCATTAACGTAGCAGGGTCGATCCACGGCAACGACATATCTATTAGCTCCGACGCCCCGAACAGTTCCTCGAAATATGGGACCGGCGCCGAGTCTGTCGGATAGTTTCCGAACTCGTCCACAGCATCCTCCTGCGCTACCTCACCACTATGAGTAGTGTTCTCGCTTTCGGACTGTTGCACCTCCCAGGGCTTGCTGCTCGAGCCCGAGCCAGCAAACAAAAACCTCAAAGTCGATTCCGTGTCAGCAACAGATGTCCACAAACGCGGCGATGCCATTAACTTCATGATATTGGCGAAGGCCCGCTGGTCAATCTCGTGGCGATGGTACAGAATATCATGAAGATAGGCCAACCGCCGCAGGACGAGCAGGGCACCGTGTCGCGTCTCCGTGTATGACGACTCGAGCATTTGAATGTTAACCAGTATCAATTCTTTGGCCTGGGTGACCTCGGTTGGTGATCGCAGGTGTCCAAAGCAGATCAGGTCCAGACACAGAAAGATACCGGCTGAAACTGCCGAGCACGTCACAGCCCAGAACTTCTGGAAGTGAGGGGTTGGGTCGTGGTATCGACGGTGCAGAATGCTTTTGGCTGCGGATACGGCACTTGTGTGCACTGCATCTTCGTTTGCTTTGGGATTGCCCAGTAACTGAGGGATCAAAGCGACGCTGAGATTTATCCGCCAGGTATCGAGAAGGTTCCACACCAGATACCGCTGTACATCCATCCAGGACGGAGCCTCTACTGTAGACCTAGAGGTGTCCAGACCAGAATAGGAGAGGTGAGGTGGGAAGGAGGACGCTACGGCGTCAATCTCTTCCAAGGACGCCTGCACTGTACGGCTGTTCCATTCTTTGATGGACCTGACAGTGTTCTGCATGGTGGCGGCTAGCTGAGCCATGGCCTTGTGATACTCAAAAGGGGAGGATGGCTCGGCTTCGCTCGAGGATTCTGGAGTACGAGATCCCTCACTGATTTCTAGCGCCGTAGTGAATGAGCCGGGATGGATTGAGATTGGCCGGGACCAGACAGTCATCCTGACGACACTTAGCATGGAGCAACGACAAGAAGGGCTAGTATCTTACCAATCGATAATGACCAGAGTCCACCATAGTCGTCGATAGACGTTTGGATGCGTGTTTGTCTCGGTGTCTCGCAGCAAGGGTGGTATCTCGCAGCCTTCTCCAAGACGATCTATACCGATCAATCGTGCAACGTTCACCGCCAAGCCATGCAGGATATACTCTCGACTCGACTGTCCCAGGTTCTTGTGAACTATATTCAGGATTGCTATCGCTTGCACTGTCGAGATACTGGGCTTACTGATGTAGTCGGCGTGTTCCAGTTCCTTGATAGCAGCTTCGCACCAAATGCGACACAGCTGTGTAGTCATTCGGCTTCGCGAGACTTCCCCTGATGGGCCGGTGAGATAGCTTTCGTGAAAGAATTGGAAGCCCTCGATCATATCATCATTCATGAAATATACCCCTACCTGATGAAGGATAAGTATATAATCGATCATGTGCACACGTAGGATGATACTAACGGTGAGGACACTCAAATACACGGCATTCCAGCCGTGGTTCCTCGAATTCCCAAGACCAATCAATTGATCCCAAAATGCATCATGCTCCTTGGCAAAGACCGTAGGATCCAAAGCACAATGAACCCAGCCCAGATGCTTGAGCGAAAATTGCACAATCACCTCACTCCAGCGCCGAGCGGGCAGAATGAGCAATACATGATCGTCGCGTGGGCGAAGAGTGTCAGCACTATCATTGGGAGATTCAGCTAGAAGCCCAAATGGCAGTCTCTGGAAGTCATTCAAGATCTTCTCCGACGAGTGGGACATGTCTGCTGCGGGGGCTGGTCGAAAGAGTTCCGTCTCGAGTTTCAAGAGCTCTGGTCGTTGGAGGACGGATTCCAGCTGACGGATGCGGGTCTTGAGGCTGAGGTTCTCCTGCACAAGCCTGGAATTGAGGGTTGCCTCACTCTGGTCCGAGTCATCTTCGTCAACGGCACTAGTCGCTAGTCAAAACAGAGATCGATACTGTGATGTGAGAGGCAGACAAGCTTACATGGTCACCTTGCCATGGACCTTGACAACCTCTCGCATGCAAGCCGCAGAGTCACCCCGCCGGATGCATGCATCGCAGGGAATTTTCTTGGAGCACTTGACCTTTCTGCGAGCACACTGTATACATGTTCGGGGCACTCTCTGGGTCTCACGCATTTGCTGCGGCATGAGGAGGCGGGTTACCCGGAACTAGAATCCGAGATTCCAATTTCCGCTAAGCTGTCCCGAGACTTGGCATGAATCGAGTTAGAGTCGTTGATGCCTCATTCATAGATCACAGAGTGGTACGATCGATGCATAAAGGTGCAACAAGATGCAGTGTGCCAGATTGGCTACACCTCGGGCGAGTTCGCGTGAGTTCTAGACGAGGTTTGGGTGCATGTGACCCTTCGGCTCTACTAGCGTATACATAACCGAGATGCATGTGCCGCCGCTTTTAGGAGAGCATCACTCAAGTGCTCTAGAAGCGCTTAGAGATGTCCCTGATCACTTGTTAAGTATACACCTGGTGCTGGGGCTTGCTTGTTCCATCCAACTTCTGACTTCCCTGGATATTCTTGGATGGCCTCTATCCACCATTGCTTTTCTTCCCCTAGTATTCTCTGCATGGAAACGCGTAGTCTGAAATCTATTGATCTACTTCGCTTCGTGCAACAGTTGAAAGAGTGAGACGTCGTCCCAGATGTAATCCTCAAACCGGACATTGAACGCTAAACCAAGGTCAAAGCAGAAATTGCATACTTGTAAATTGTATTTTTCTGAGATCAGATTCTGGCTTCATGTCTCAACCTGGGCAAGGCTGGAAGAACTAAATGCGAATCTAGCAATCAGCATCACAGTGACCCGACCTCTTTCTGCTCAATCTGGCCCATCCATTCGACTGTTTCCTTGGCGATACGCCTTGTCTTCCGGTCCAACGCCGTTACATTGGAGATCCACTCAAACCTCTCTTTCCAAAAGGCCCAGCGCTCCTTGGACCAACCCCCCTGTCCCTTCCACTTGTCATAAGCCGCAATCTCCCTGCCCAACGATCCCTCCTTCTCAAAAATCTCCTTTCCACAGTACCCAATCCACACAGCCGCCGCAGGCACGAACCCGTTTAGCGTCCTAACATCGAGAACCTCGAGCGCCTCGTCTCGCTTCTGGTTGTAGAAGGCTTCTTCATCTTCCTCGATGTCCCGGATGGAATTTTCGACGCGCGGGTGATGGAAGTTCTCCCAGGGGGCATGCTCCAGGGTCTTCCTCAGCACCCACGATCCGCGATTGATCAGGGATCCAAAGCGGTTGGGCCGAGGGAGACGCTGGTAGAATTTGATGGTGAAGATATTCGCATTCACGAAGCGCTGCCGCTCTGCATCGCGCTTCGCCTCGTTAAAACAGTGATCCGCGTCTAGCACAAATTAGCCCCTGTGTCTCGGCGCAGCGTCCTAGGTGATAGACTTACAGTCGTAGGTGAACTCATCCAAATGCATCATGAACCCTTCCAGCCATTGGAACTCACCATCGCAGTCTGGAAGTTGGTGGATGGCGATTAGAAAGTCCACCAGGCGGTCGCACTGCTCCGGAAATCGCTCGACTGCTCCCAGCAGCGTCGACCACAGGTCGCCGTATTGTGGTCGTGGATTCGCCTCCGCGATCACGCGGGACATGCACGCCCTGGCAATGTCAGAGACTGGAGCAGAGGGGTCGAGCAGCAGGGACCGGAAAGCCGTCAGGATTTCTACGCGAGGAGGCCATTCATCGCCCGCCTCTTCGGCCAGAAAAGCTTCATATGCGGATGCCATCGCCATCTTGGTTGGATGTCAGGTTTGAGTCAGAAAAGTGTGATGGTCGCTCTTCCTGGGACGAGAAGAGGTTTATAAATGCTGGATGGAGCGAAGATCAGTTGTTGACGTGGTCTGGTCAGTTTTACTCTAGTGTTCATTTAGGAACTGCTTCCAAGTTAGCGTCTGACTCATCTTATACTAAAGTATGACACTTTCTTTGTTTGCTTGTTGGGGGCTGTTTCTGAACGGCCCCAATTTGGCGCCCTGTCATATTCACTCTGTGCCAATGGACCCTAGTAACGCTATCACGGGTCGCGGGCTTAGCCGCCGCTGGCAGGCTCCCTCGGGATTGGATGATCTATACTATATCTCGGGCGATAGAGCTCGATGCCAATTGTTCCTTCAACAACAACCACGACTCCACGGCTGTTCAGGTGCTCGAACTCACAAGCGACCCAGTGAGTATGTAAGTTTGATGCTGCTCGAGATTTGAGTAATTTCGAGCTCGATGGACACAAGTCATAAGCACATCTTCCACCATCCAGCATCAAACCCATGCCATTTTTTTCGACCCCACGAGAACTACCTCGTCTCAGGACAGACCTGGCAGGGAATATCCCAACTCATATTGATTTCAATGACCCCAACAGCGCAGACCCGACATGGTATACACATGCTGTTGAGGCACGTAGTGCTTCGGCCCCTATGGTCCTTGCATATTGGCCCCCTACGTGGCCAAAAATGAGTTCAGACAGACTCGCAGTAGAACAGCATGATAGAAGATCCAGTACCAAGCAGGAGGTATAAAGACTCTTCAGGGAACTGGGTACTCTGGGAGGAGATTCTCTGTATCACCGCCACCAGCCTCAGCAATCAAGACCGAAGCCAAACCGACATCTTTCTTCCGCATTGACTCTATCATATCGCTCGTTAATCCCCATACAAACAAGGATGCCTTCCATCAAGACCTTCATTTTCCATACTCTGCTGGCCGGAGCCCTCATGAGCCAGTCTGTGCTCGCGTACTATCTGCAGGACCCGAACGCCTCCCTCGAACAGCCCGACATCGTCGAGGATATCGACAAGCGCAGCAACACTGTCCCGAAGCTCTCGACGGCGGAGGTCCCGAGCAAGAGCTACACTTGCCCCCAGACTAGCCGGTACGCAGCGACCACCTACACGGCCGGCCAGCTGAAGAAGGTCTACTTCAGCGCGGCCAAGTTGGCCAATGGGGGCAAACAACTGGGGAAAAGTGAGCACAGGCAATTTGAACCTAATCTTCCCTTCCCTTTCCCTGTTTGCAATGGAATCATAACGTGAGGCCTTGGGATGTCTAATAACAGTGTGAGGGCCAGACAAATACCCCCACCACTACGCCAACCACGAGAATCTGCCTTTCCCCTGTGGCTCCAATATGATGGAGTTCGTGCTGGACCGCGATCACGCCGGAGACGTGTACGGCGGAGACGAAGTCACCACGTTCCCTGATCGACTCATCTTCGAGTACTCCACGACCAGCAAGACGGCCAAAGCCCGGTTCTGCGGCGTCATCCGCCACGGAGACGATGCGTTTGTCAACTGTCTAGCTACTTGAATTTCGTGATGCTGTTGTTTTCACTGTCTTGGATTGACCTGTGTCCTGTCTTGGGGAGACGGATGTATACCATATACCAGTTTCTTACCCTGCCTGCTTGCCTTGGGACATTATGACTCTAGCGCTGGCCACCAGAGAGTCCGAGTGATTGCAGTTTCTCTTTTAGGACATGATGTACTTGGAGTCGCAATTTCGTGACTTTTAAGGTCACGTAGGAATCAATTGAGCTGTATACTTTAATATTGAATCGATCTTTGAGGTAGTCTAGTAGGTATACAGCAGTAGTTGCCAGTAAGGTTTTAAAGGTGAAAGAAGAATTCACCTGATCTCTCCAGCAATGCTGTTCAGTAGGTACTAGTAGTCAATTGAATAAAGAGGTAACCGCTATATGAAACCCCCATATCATGGGAGCACCTGATGACTATGATAGCATAAAACAACACTTCCCTTCATCGAGCTCCATCCTTGAGCTCTCCAGAGGACTCTTGATCAAATCTCAACACTCCTCCCATCGACCGCATACTTCATCGTCATCGCCCTGATCGTGGGTCCGAAAATAAAGACCGGCACGCCCAATGCCGAGATCACGCCCATGATAATAGCACAGATGTTCAGACTGCCCTGAAAGCCCTTCTGGGCGATAAAGCTCGTGATGCCAAACGAAATACCAAAGGAGATCAACCCACGAATCGCACATATCAGTACCAGGATAGGCGCTGCGCGCTCGCCGTAACTATCCAGCGAGTAGGTGAACCCGTTCAACACGATTCCAATGAATCCAAAATACATGCCATTGAAGGTAGTGACGATGGCCCACGAGGACCATTCGGTAGGATGTGAGCCGGCACGGCCGTAGATAATCGCGGAAATGAGCACAACGGCTATGGGAAGTATGATAGGGATGAGACGCATCTCGGGGGCCACAACGCCTCCACGGCGACCGGCGATCCACCGATGCAGGCGATCACCACCATATCCCAAGATAGGCACCATGAGCATGGACACGACGATTTGACCACCCTGGACAAGGCCCAGACTGGTATTCGGGTAGCTGTAGGGGGGTGCGGCGAGCAACGGTGCGTATTCGGTCACACCAATCACATAGATGCCCAGTGCGACGCTGTTCATCAGCACGACCCAGAGAATGTTTGGGAAGAGGATACACTGGGCCATTTGCTTCCAGCAGACAGCCGCGGCGCGCCAGTCTGCAGGACCATGGAAGATCTTCACGCTGTAACGGAAGGTTCGAGCTTTGTAGCGCGTAAAATCTAGAGGGACTGGGTGCTTGGTTGTTGCGTGCACGGTGACGAGTTCTTCACCTTCGTGACGGATGTGGACTCGGCCTTCGAAGGCATCCGTCGGGCGGTCATAGAGGGATTCTGGGACGAAAAGGAAGGCCACTATAAATACAAGACCGCTAGCTATGGCGAAGATCCCGTACCACCAGCGCCAGCCAAGGCTGATGACAAGGTAAGATGTGGCGATTGTCAGGGCCGCGGATCCAATGGATTGGATCGCACTGAACCAGGCAAGCTTGCTGCTGCGCTCGTGGACAAAGTGAATTTCCTGGATCCAGTCAGTTGGTGGCCATTGCCAGGCTTATCTATCAGTCGCCATTGATCTGCTTACCTGAATTATCAGCGGACAAAGGGCTTCTGATTGTCCCGCCGCCAGCGACAGAACGTCTCGTCCGGCTATATGCGATCCCAGACTTCCACTCACGGCGCACCAGATTGAACCTACCGTCAGGATCAAGGCCGAGGCTAGAAATATTGGCCTCCGCCCAACTGCCATAGCCAGTGGCATAGCAATGAAGTTGGCTATTCCCATGAACAGGGTGGGATAGGTCATAAGGTCGTTCGTCCGCGGGTCGTAGTTGTAGTAGGCATGCATCGTCGTAGTGAAAGGACCCATTCCCGACGTCAATAGCACGCCCAAAACAGAGACTGTCTCTCTTCGATGTTAGAACCAGATCCGCAATTGCAGTGTAGTGGCCAGCCATAACTCACACATTCCTAGAACACAGGTAATCACCCACTTGTGCCATTGGGGTAAGTTGAGAGGATCTGCGCACGTCAGTCCACATTCTTCCTGTCATTCAGGAAGCTCTTACCTCGTGGATCTGGTGATGGGGTTGGAATCAACACCACTTCACCATCTTCGACCAGTCTGACTGTGCCAATTGGCTGAGCCGGGTCTACAGTTGCAGGTTTGACCACCTCCTGATGTGTGGCGTCGATATCTTTGGCATCCATGACTGAAGTCTGGGTAGAGCTGAGCATAGACTCGAGGACTCCAAGTCGTTGACCCTACGCCCTCTGGGCAATGAAGATATATCTAGAGACCTTTCTTTCACCTAAGAACATGTTCGCCTCCCAGGTACTAGACCTTACCCCACGGGGTATCCTTGTGCCCCCGCCCCCCCCCTCCCTTGTCATGTAGGGTTGAAGCGTCCAAGGTGTCCATCGGCGTCACCACCGGTGTGGGGAATGGCAAATCGAACGTGGAGCCGAAAGCATATTGGCGAAATTGAAGCGTGGGATTGACATTGCCGGGGAAGTGACTGGTTGAGGGAAATGACAATCTCACCCGAGCTCGCCCGAAGCGGGTTAAGTTCGCTTACCATGGATGAGACTAGAGTCGGTGCACGGGACTCTGGGGTTGGAGGGAGAACAACTGAGAAGGCGGGGGCCACGTGTAGACCCGCCTCACCGTGATCCACATTTGCTTCGTCTAGTTTGACCTCCCGTGTTCGTTTCTCTTAGTCTGGATTGCTTACGGGGAATGGGTGGTTTAGGGGACTACCCGAGGTCCAGAGTGGATGGACATCTACAGGCAGCAGCGGAACAAGATCACCACAAAGTACAATAATTGAACTGAGGAGCAAGAACGGGATATCATTTCAAAAAGTCTCTAATAGGGAACTACACCGGCCAACTTCAACAACTGCTCCGTCCGCTCGGGCTTCGTGATGGGCTCATCTCTTTCCAAGGGATCTGGTCTCTCCTGCCCATCGACAGTCACCGTCGCCTTGCCATGGGTATACAAATTTGTGTGCGGCCAATGGGTCGTTGTTTCGTAGTGCTCAAACAGCTCCGTCTTCTTCTGGCGGTCCTCCTCCGACATCCACTTCGCCGGCGTGTAGGTAGCGTAGACGATAGTGCGCACGACGTCCGACTCTCCAAACTGCGCCCAGTGAATCTGCCGCGAGTCCCAGATGATCAAGTCGCCCGGTTCGGCGCACACCTTGATCAGCTCGCAGCCGCGTGCGCGGTACCACTCGAGATTCTCCTCTGAGAACGGATGGAAGTCCTTGTGTTTGGCGGTGCGCCATGGCGTGGGCCCCGTCACCGGGTTCTCAGCGAAGAAGTCATCGAACAGGGGAGCCGAGCCCTTCATCACGACCAGGCCGCCGTCGTCGGGTCCCGCGTTGGACAAATTCACAATGCCCTGCACGCAGACCATACCCCGTCGCTCGGGGGCTTGGTCGACGTGAGGCCAGGGCTTGGAGTCGTACTCGCCAACGATCGATTGCGGAAGGGTAATGTTCACGGTGTCGAAGGAGACGACCAGCTCGTCGGTCTCCCACAGTTTGGCGAAGGGAGCGATCACGCCGGGTTCACTATTCGAGTAATGTCAGAGTCGAGCGAGGGGAGTGACTGAACCTGAGCGCTACTAACCACCGGACGTCCCAGACGTATTTCTCGTGCGCTGCGGAGAAGTGGAGGTACATTCCTCCCTTCCAGCTCTGAGGCAGGTTTTCCTTCTTCCAGGTGGATTTATCGTTGCGGTCGAAACCAAGGCCGAAAGACTCGAGCCAGTCCAGAGCCCGGCTCTGGTATTTCTGGGCGCGTTCGGGGGTCAAGGCGCCTTTGATGACGGCGTAACCGTCACGGAAGAAGGCGTCGCGGAAATCGCCATACTGGGTATCTTGTTTCTGGGTCGACTGGAGTTTGGTTGGCGCAACCGATGTGACCTCAGGCGTATCGATGCGCGAGGGAGCCATGATGAGGGGAAGGTATGTAGCACTGGATGAAGATAGGCTATGAGGATATGCGTAAGTCAAAGCGCACTGCCTTGTAGGGTGGGAGGCTCAGTGACGGTTGGAGGACACCGTCCTTTTCTATGACTTCTTCTGGGTCATGCCATTCTGATTATAGTCCGACCCGGCACATCTTGGTACCAGAGAATCAACGCTTGAGCTTGCCATCCTCCGAAGCGCTCAAACTTGGTTTCCCAGATCCAGTTCGTCTAGTGTCTCTGCTGAATGTGGAGTGGTCAGCAGGGTTGGCATTGCTGGAGAAGTGGAGACTCGAGAGTTTGGGGGGAGACTGATGATCATCTCACCCGAGCTCGCCCGGGGTGGGTGCTTCTGCTTATCGAAAAGAGACTAGATCTTGCCAAAGCGATGCTTGAGAGCCATTCATGAAGGTGCATTCAAGTAAGCAAGATAGACAACTGCCTGAACTCGGCCGAGGTGGCGAACGGTGCACTTTACGCAACAGCCTCGGCCAGCATGAAATGTCCACAACCCGGGCAACAACTGACTCGGAATACACTGCAACCCCTCAAGCTCGAGTTCCAGTGGAGCTCGTCTGCGTGGAATCGCAGATGTGGGGGACTATGACTCCCTCAAAAGAAGGGTGCGCCCTCAGTGATCTACGAACAACAGTGCCAATCGAAATGCCTTCCCCCGTCCCTATCGCAACACGCCCGATCAACAAGCCCACCGTGGGCAGAAACAATTATCAGCCCTTTGGCTTCCGCGAGGAAACCCTCCCTCAGGGATGGAGTCAAGACGGCTCACGTCCGCTGCCATGCGACATTCATGCCTCTCACGACCTGGGAATCAAAGTCCGTGACGGAAGCACACTCTATTGCGACATCTATCGCCCCGCCAACACTGACAAGCCAGTACCTGCGATCCTGGCATGGAGTCCCTTTGGGAAGAAGTTCAACGGCATCACATTACTGAAGTTCTTGCCATGGGGTCTAGGAATCCCGAAAGGCGTTCTCAGCGGCCTGGAGAAGTTCGAGGGGCCCGATCCAGCCGAGTTTGTGCCTCGCGGGTTCGCAATAGTCAACGTTGACGCTCGCGGATCGGGTGACTCAGAAGGCACGGTGGGGATTATGGGAACGCAGGAGGCCGAGGACGGTTACGACGTGATTGAGGCCATCGCCAAAATGTCTTGGTGCAACGGAAATGTCGGGCTGGCCGGCAACTCTCACTTAGCCATCGTTCAGTGGTTTATCGCTGCATTGCGGCCGCCATCTCTGAAAGCCATCGCCCCCTGGGAGGCATGCAGTGATCTCTACCGAGAGCAGTTCGTCCGGGGCGGTGTGTTCGATGCCGGCCTGTTCGACTGGATCATCGACCACAATATCCAGGGCCACGGCGGTGTCGAGGACTTCCATGAAATGTATCGACGCAATCGAACCGCGGACACCTTGTATTGGAAGGACAAACGGCCGGATATGAGCAAGATCGAGATCCCGGCCTATATCACGGCTTCCTACACCAGCTTCGTGCACACGATGGGCTCCCTGCGTGGATGGCTTCAGATTTCATCTTCAGACAAGTGGCTGCGGCTATGCCCCTGGCAGGAATGGTATGACATGTGGAACTGCAGGGACTCCGCTGCTGAGCTGGCTTCCTTCTTCGATCACTACCTGAACGGCGCCAGCAACGGTTGGGAGCAGACCCCGAGGGTTCGAACCACCATCTTGCGGTTCAATCAGGATCCATTGTCCGACATTGTCGAAGAGGACTATCCGATCCCACGCACAGAGTATCGAAAATTGTACTTCCATGCCGATGGTGCTCTTCGGGCTGATGCTCCTACCGACATCTCATCTCTCTCATACAACTCGGAGAAGTATCAGGATTGCGCAAGCTTCACCTACACGTTTCCAACCCGCAGCCGGTTGGCAGGCATCCCAAAAGCGGTGGTATACATGTCCTGTCCTGATTTCCACGACCTAGACGTCTATGTGCTGGTCCGCAAACTCGACGCACAAGGAAAGCCACTGCTCAACTTGAACATCCCCTGGTCTTCCATTGCGGAGCATGGTGTCAGTCCAGACAACGTCGATAGCCTCTCCCCGCGGGAGAAGACCAATCTCATGTTCCACGTGGGCTCTCTGGGCATCCTGCGGGCGTCTCGACGCGCGATCGATCGCTCCAGATCATTGCATGAGAATTTTCCCTTCCATCCTCATGATCGGGACGAATATGTCAATCCCGGCGAGATTGTGAAATTGGAGATCGGTATCTGGGCGATGGGAGTGGAGTATGAAGCCGGAGAGAGTGTGCGAGTCGAGGTGCATGGGAATAGCCCACTCTTGCGGGGAGAGTTCAAGGAGGACGGCGAGTTCCAAGATTTGGCGTCGCACGGGACTCACGTCGTTCATCTTGGTGGAGAGCAGTCTTCGCATATTATATTGCCGTTTGTTTGAGGCTGGGATGTGTGAATATAGAGAGCAGCATAATTAATGTGATCACAAAAACATGACAAGCTACGGGAATGTATATTATGCTGGTATGAGAATCAAAGGAATCAGAAACATGAAGATTATTATTATTTATCAAGGGTATATGGTTGTGAGTGTTGGGTGATTTGGGATATGAGCAAGCAACGGAGAGCCCTCTCATGCGCGTACGACAAGCGTACATCAAGGGTCATACCGACACTTGCAGGGACACCACCAAGTAATATGTGAATCAGAGATGCCTTCATCGCGTCCGTGAATAACAAGGTAAGGTGTGCCGAACGCCTTTCTCAGCCTCGCTCCATCCCGGAGGTCCCAGCAGCCCTTAAACCCCGAAAGGAGAGCCAGCCAGGTTCCAAGAGGAGAGATGATCGAAAGATACACGCTAGGCTTTCATCATCTAAAGGAGAAATGTTAGTGACCGCTGTGGACTGGGATCGGCAAAGGTAGCACTCACTTTAATAAAACTTGGAAGGATGAAGAAGAAAATAAAGAGACGGCCGGAGAATCCCAATTTTGTAGTGGGCGGCATGCCACTAGGCTGAATCGAGAAAGCGGAAAGAGAGCATCTGCCGGTCATTACCGCCTTGTGATGTGAAGCCATCGGCTCGTCATTCCACTTCTTGTCGCTGCGCAAACACCTCATAGCTTGCAATTCGACGTCAATTGATCCCTCAACTTTGAGAGAATTGCTTCTGGGGTCTTTGGGAACTCATCATGTTCTTGTCTCGGGCGGTACGATGCCCACCGCAGCTCCGCGCCAGCTATGTCGAGATTTCCAACTACTTCCGCGGCCGACGGCCGGCGTTCAACCGAACATTCTACGCTCACAGCTCGCCTCTGCGAGCGCCCCATGGCATTCAACCTCCTCCGGAGCAGTCAGACGCTGATAAGTCTGCTTCTGCTGCGCTAGCGAGCTTCAAAAAGTCCAGTAAGCGATCTAGATTGCCCCGCTATGCGATTCTATCTATTGCGACAAGCGCTGACCGTCAATTGTTCCAGTCGAATTCCCGTCCCCGACATATGACTTCGAAACATTCTTACGCACAGCCCAACCCGGTCAAGAGGTTGTACTCCAAGGCTACGTCAGCAGTCGCAGAGAGCTCTCCAGCAAGCTCGCATTCATCCGTCTGAGGGACCCGACCCTGAAACACAGCGTGCAAGTTGTCTCAACTCAGAAGAGCGGAACATTTGCTGCGGCCAAAGCAGTGCGCACGCACAGTCCGGTGGTCATCAAGGGCACAGTTCAGAAGAAGCAAGCGAAGGATGCCGAAATGGCCGAGAAGGATCCGTGGGAGATTGTCCTGACCGAGATCCAAGCCCTAAACGAGTTCCCGAAAGACATCGTTCTGACTGGCGAACACGCCCACCCACCAAAGCACCGACACCTACAACTACGATCCAGCGACGAGCTACGGGACGCGCTGCGATTCCGGGCCGAGGCCCGCAACGTCTGCCGACAGGAGCTGGAACAGGCCCGGCCAGGCTTCGTGGAGATTGAAACGCCGATGCTCTTCAAGTCCACGCCCGAGGGCGCTCGCGAGTTCCTGGTCCCGTCGCGCAAGCGTGGCCTGGCATATGCGCTGCCGCAGAGCCCGCAGCAGTACAAGCAGATCCTCATGGCCAGTGGAATCCCGCGCTACTTCCAGTTCGCGCGGTGTTTCCGCGACGAAGACCTCCGCGCGGACCGACAGCCGGAATTCACGCAGGTATGCTCTTTCCTTCTCCTCCTGCTTTAAAGCATCCCAGCTGACCACCGCAACACAAAGCTGGATCTCGAGATGTCCTTCGCCACCGGCAACGACGTCATGCAGGTCGTCGAAGGCGTGATCCGTCGGCTCTGGTCTGAGCTGATGCCGGAGCCGGCGCCCTCGGGCCCCTTCCGCCGCATGCCCTACCAGGAAGCGATGAGCCGGTACGGCTCCGACAAGCCCGACACACGATACGGGATGGAGATCTCACGGATCGACTACCTCCTGCCGGTGGACCTAGTCCAGAAGATCACGCCGCTTACGGACCCGGTGGTGGAAGTCTTCAGGCTCGAAGGCAACGACAACGACCCGGCCGCGACGCAGGAGTTCATCACGCGCTTCCTGGACTCACCGGAAGGCGCGCCGTTCAACGAGAACCCAGACGGCGGACCGGGGATCTTCGTGGTGGACGCGAAGAAGCCGCTGAGCGGGCTGCAACCGTTCGGGTTCGAGGCGGCGGAGCACCTGGAGACGACGCTGGGGATCGAACACGGCGACCTGGTGGTGATCCAGGCGCGGGCGCAGGGGTCGCTGACGGGCGGGTCGACGGCGCTGGGCAACCTGCGGCGGGCGCTGCACGCGGCGGCGGTGGCGACGGGGTTCAAGCCCGCGCCGCCGGGCTTCGAGTTCATGTGGGTGGTCGACTTCCCGCTCTTCACGCCGGCGGCGGAGGACTCGGCCGAGGAGCCCGGCCAGGGCGGCGCGGCGGGCTTCTCGGCCACGCACCACCCGTTCACCGCGCCCAAGTCCGCCGCCGACGTCGACCTGCTGACCTCCGCCGACCCGACGCAGGCCACCGCCGACCACTACGACCTGGTTGTCAACGGCGTCGAGCTGGGCGGCGGCAGTCGCCGTATCCACGACGCCGCCGTCCAGGAGTTCGTCTTCCGCCACGTCCTTCGCATGCCCGACCACCGCATCGCCGACTTCGCCCACCTGCTCGAGGCCCTGCGCGCCGGCTGCCCCCCGCACGCCGGCTTCGCCCTGGGCTTCGATCGCCTCGTCGCCGTCATGCTCGGCAAGGAGTCCGTCCGCGATGTCATCGCCTTCCCCAAGATTGGCAAGACCGGCGAGGACCCCATGGTCAAGGCCCCCAGTCCTATCAGCGAGGAGGCTGCCAAGATCTACCATCTGTCGGTGAAGGAGTGATGGGGTGGTCTGGGCTTGTATCTTAGCTTTAGACCGGGGGGGAAAACCCATGTTCCCGTTCTTGGACGGTACCTTGCTACGGGGTAACAGACTGTATTATACCATTGTATTTGTTAGAATAGACATCTTCACTTCATGCATTGTCCAGACCTGATCAGGCATGAGACCTATCCCCTTCGTCAAAGCGATATCTACCTACATCACCAAATCATTTGATTCACCCCAGAGTAAAGATATCATATCTCGGAGTAGCAGCAGTTGTTATACAATACAAAGACTCAAAACAGAGCAGAAACATTAACGCCGTCCGCATTCCAATAGACAAAAAGACAGGGAATCTAAATACATCACATTCGGTAGAAACAACAACGAAAAAAAAAGAGTGGACAGATCAGGATATAACCCCAACCCATGCCAAGATCATCTATAATGTGATTTTCTGTTTTACACGGTTCTCAGTCTGAGCCAATTGGACGAGATACCAAAGCCTCAGGATCGGTCATCTCAAGCTCGAGAAGCGACATGCGTTGGTTGAGCAGAAGCAGAAGCAACAGCAGTAGCAGCGACCTCCTCTTCCTCGTCCAGATAGATGTAATCGGCCTCATCGTCCTCTGGGTCCTCGGGCTGTCCGAACGCTTGTCGCCACACGCCGTCCCAGAGACCCTTCTTGGTAACCAGGCCGCCGACCAGCAAGACCGGTAGCTGCCAGATGCTGGCCCAGAAGAGACCGCGCGCGCTACCCTGGCCGCCCTGATACTTCCAGAAGCGGTAGGCCTCCTTGACGAGCCAGGCGTTGGCGAGGGAGCTGCTGACCAGGAAGCCGTGGCCGACGACGCCGACCCACCACAGGCCGATGGAGATGGGGAACATGAGGACGGAGTAGCGCAGGGCGACGCGCGCGTTCATGGCCGGGTTCTTCCAGCACAGCATCTTGTAGCCGGCGCGCTTGTATTCGTCGCGGATGGTGTGCGACAGGGCGTTGAAGTGGGGGAATTGCCATGCAAAGAGGATGCCGCCGAGCAGCCAGCCGCCGATGCTGTCCTCGCTGAAGAGCATGTCGCGCCAGGTGTCGTGGCCCGGCGTCGCCGTCTGGCCGGCCGCGGCGACCCAGCCCATCAGTGGCGGAATACCGCCAACGATGGCACCGACCCAGGTGTTGATCACGTGGATGCGCTTGAGAGGGGTATAGATGAAGCCGTAGAGGATGATATTCCCCGCGGAGAGGGCCGTTACCGTGGGGTTGGTGCCGAAGTAGAGCAGGCCCAGCCCGGAGACGGCGGTTGCGATCGCGAAGAGCACCGCCCCGCGGCGCGAGACGAGGCCGCGGACGAGCGGGCGGTTGCGGGTTCGCGACATCAGGGCATCGTACTTGGGTTCAAGGTACATGTTGATGGTGTTGGCGCAGCAGCTGGAGAGGAAAGTTCCGGCTGTCAGGTAGAGGAATGTGAGGGTGGAGGTGGAGAGGGTAGGGAGCGGGGCCATGGACGGGTCCAGGGCGAGGAGAGTCGAGATCGGGTACATGCCGTAGGCTGCGGTCGTGCTCAGCACGACCAGCACAGACAGACGGGGTTTGCAGAGAGCGAGAAAGGCCGCCATCTTGCGGCGCGGGGACGTGGTGGGCAGGGCGGAGGAGATCGCTGACAGCTGTGCGGAGGCGTCGGGGGGGATGACATGTTCTGCTTCGGGGTCGCCTGCTGCAGCTTCATCCTTCAATCGTTTCCTTCGGCGGTGAGGGAGCTCTGGCGACGTGGGTTCGGAGGTAATTGAGACGGGGGAAGAGGATGAGGATGAGGTCGAGTGGTGGTCCGATGCTGGTTGGCGGACTGAGGAGTCGGGTTGAGCGGTGGCATTGTTGGTCGAGAAGGAGGACAACAGATTGCTCTTGCTTGCTGCAGAATCCTCGGTGCGATTGGCCGAGAAATAGGAGCGGTGGAGAGATGCAGGAGCGGATTGAGAATCGGCGGTGCCGGAGCTGGAGCGGGACGACGAGATGAAGCCGCGGAGACCGGCTGCGGAGAAACGCGGTGGTGAGCGTCTCAAGAGGCCCTGGGATGCGATTCGACCGGCATCGCGAGTCGGTCCTACCGCTCGCAAGGAGCAGCGGAGGAGACTCATGACGAGGAGGCGAGGCGAGGCAGCAGATGCCGGGAGGGAAGTGTCTGGGAAGCAGAACAACAGCCGCAGGATGGAATGAACATTGGATGAATTGAAGCCGAAGCGGGAAAGGTTGTGGTGCGGGCAGCGACAGCGACCACAACTGCAGCTGCATCGATCGGTGAGATTCGACTTGATTGTCATCTTGTCATCCGCCTCTTTATTTTCGCCGCTGTGCTGTCCGTCCATTCTTCTTTTCTCCCTCCTGTCCCACACTCTTCCCCCATTTCAGAAGGGCAAACCCCCTCCCACATACTTCTCCGCGCTTCATCACCATCACCCCACCCTTCTCAACATGGACGTCCTCCAAAAATCCGTCCTGGACCCTCTCCAGCCCGTGCTCCGTCCGATCGTCTCAGCCGTGCCCGAACCCGTCCACGATGCGATCGTCTCGCTAATCGGCCAATCCTGCCACAACGCCCTGGTGGTCGACCTGGACGTCAGCAAAGACCCGGCATGCACCTCGCTGGCCATCTCCAAGGCGCTGGGCATCGCGATCGTCGGGGCCAGCGCCATCGTCAAGGTGCCGCAGATCCTGAAGCTGATCGGTTCGCGCTCGTCGGCCGGCGTGTCGTTCGTCTCGTATGCGCTGGAGACGGCCAGCCTGCTCATCACGCTGTCGTACAGCGTGCGCAACCAGTTCCCCTTCAGCACCTTCGGCGAGTCGGCCTTGATTGCCGTGCAGGACGTCGTGGTGGGCGTGTTGGTTCTGGTGTTTGCAGGTCGGTCCGCCGCGGCGGCGGCGTTCGTGGCGGTCGTCGCGGCCAGCGTGTATGCCTTGCTGTTCGACCAGACGCTCGTGGATGCGAAGACAATGTCGCTGCTGCAGGCTGGTGCGGGCGCGCTGGGTGTGGCCAGCAAGGCGCCGCAGATCTACACTATCTGGCGGGAAGGTGGCACTGGCCAATTGAGTGCTTTTGCCGTAAGTGCTGGATGACTTCACTTCGATTTCTGGAGGACTACAGCTAAATAAACATTGAACCAGGTCTTCAACTATCTCGCCGGCTCGCTGTCGCGCATCTTCACGACCCTGCAAGAGGTGGACGACAAGCTGATTCTGTACGGTTTCATTGCGGGCTTCTCGCTGAACTTGATCCTGGCGAGCCAGATGCTGTACTACTGGAACAGCCCGGCCAAGTCGCAGGGCAAGAAGACCAAGGGCAAGCCCATCGCCAGTGCGACGAGCACCTCGACCCCGAAGCCAACAGCCACAAGCTCCGGAATCTCGTCGCCCAAGCCGTCGGGCAAGACCCCGACCACGCGGAGACGGGGTTAATAGCTTCACTTCTATATCCTTTTTTCAAAAGCATAATCCAAAGCCAAGCTCTTCCGCGCATTTTAATCCCACCTCCACCCGTAATATAACCCACCTCACCTCTGCCCCGGCACAACACCAACAGTCATAAACCGTAGAATATCCTCCAACGGCACCTCCGGCGCAACCGCCTTCAACTGCCCAGGATGACTGGAAGGAGCAGCGGGCGCAATATCAAACTCAACGCCGGTAGCCCCAGCCCCAGACCTCCTCCTAACCCCAACAACCTCCATCTCATCCGGCTCTCCCTCCCCCTCAACATCACTTTCCTCGTCCTCTTCACTTCCACTCTCATCCTCATCATCCTCGAGCACCCTGCGCAACCCAGTGACAACATTCGCAATCCCACTTTCTCTCTCCTCCAACGTAAAATTCCCGCCCCAGTTCCTCCGCCGCGCCTCCAGGTTAGCCTCAACAGGCGCCCAATCCCACAGCTCCGATAGCGCCGCAAGATCATCCAGCGGTTTATTCCCATCGTTATCGCCGGAATACCCGGACGGATAACCCCCGTAGGGGGGATGATCAGAGGAAGAAGAAGAAGGTGGAAGTAACGCGCCGCCGGCCTTGCGGCCTCGCGCGACCCAGTCCTCGACGCGGGGGTCGAGTTTCGTGCGGAGAAGCTGCTCGAGGGCGACGGTGTTGGTGGGGTTGCGGGAGGGGTAGGAGGGGGCTGGGTAGGCGACGAGGGTGGAGAGGAGGTCGCGGTTGTCGGAGAGGTGGTCGGAGATGGTTAGGAGGTTGTTGGAGATGATTGTTGCTTGGGATTGGAGGGAGGTCCTTTTTATTATTGATTGGGTTAGTGAAGGTAGAAGATAGAGGGGCTGTGGAGTGATGAAACATGGGCTCGGGAGGGGTGTAGTGTATAGGGTGTGAATGGGATCCATATGTATAGCTGAACAGATGGTACAACCCGAATAACTTGATAACCGGCAGCAAAGGTTGACATACCAAGAAGGAAGCGGATCACTCTGGTTCAAACTGGTGATTAATGAGGCCAGGGAATGCGTGAGCTGAACAAGTCGTTGGCGGGACTGCTCCAGGGTTTTGATCTGGTCTGGCGTGAGGGTGGACATTATGTTCTTGGTTGGTTCTTTTGCTTCTTGGGGTATATACACAGCAGTGAATCCGAAAAGTGAGAGAAGGATGAAGAAGCAGTGAGAGCACTGCTGGACTGAAATCAATCAAGATGGAGAAGTTGCGCGCGGCGGAGTGTGAGGGGGAAGTTGGAGTTCGTTTTACGCGGAGAGAGACAGAGAGAATCAACTAAGGTTAAGGTGCTTCTGCCTCAGGTATCCACCTCCCTCCCGCTTATCGCTCCCCCATGTCTATACTCTCATCTCTCATGTGTATGCAGGCAGACAGCGGAAAAACAAAGAACAGATACTTACCCTGAAAATCCTGGCGCCTAGTTCTCCGTCTTATTCTCACCACTCATCATCCCCCTCTATTCTGATAATCTCCCCCGTGGCTACGCCATGAAACGCGCTTCCCCCTCGCCCAACCACTCATCGTCCTCCAAAATCCCGTGTTTATTTATAGACCCCCTGCATTGATTCTGCAGGTCAGTTCACAAACCTCCCCCCCGCGCTTAATGCCCAGCTTATCACTGGGGGCCTCACGGGAAGGGGAGATATAAACCCACCTTTCTGCTGTCAGTCTTGCGAGGGAGCGTTTCAGGGTCTTTCTTGCGTCTCTCCACCCTCTTGTTTATCCACTTGTGGGACTCGCCTCTCATACTAGTATCTTCACTGCGCGTCTATTCTCGAGAGAACCATGACGCACACATTACTCATCACTCGCCCAAGAATTCAGGGTACATGATCGACTAGATTATGTGCATTACTCGAAGGAGAGGGGGTATACAAGACATGCTCCTTGCGATGATCCATCCGATCCGCTCATCATAAACATCGTCAGAGATACAAACATACCAGAAACAACAAATACAACCTCGACTCGGTAGCGTCCCCACGTGCAGACCACCCAGGAATGTCGCTGACCTCAACCATTGAGGTCATCGCTTGAGATTGAGGGTGCCCCCTTTTGGTTGCAGTGTTTGCAGTATCACAATCCAGGAAGCCTATGACTTCAAATCAGACGGGATAGGGAAAACCTCCCCAGGCCCCTTCCCCTTCTCTTGCGGGGACAATCCGCCTTGCATCGCCACAGTCGTCTCCTTTACCTGTTGCTTGGAGTACCCCACCATCTGGCTGCGACCATCATTATCCACAAACTGGAAGCCAGATCCTTCTTGATGTGGTTGCAGCTGCGGCTGCGACTGCGGCTGCGGCTGTTGCTGCTGATACGCCCCGGGCGGGTACATCTCCTGTGGAGAATACGCTGGACCAGTCCACGGATGCTCCGCAGCCAGGGTTTTCCACCGCTGCTGCTCGGACGCTCGCTCTCGGCGGACACATCTCCGCCGCCAGCCAAGACAGAAGAAGATACCCAGCACGAGCAGACAGACAAAAATCACAAAGCCCATCACCGGAAGTCCAATCAGCGTCGCTAGCCGGTAGTTGACCGGGTCATGCGCCGTGCTGTTGAGCAGGTCCGACGAGTAGAAGGGCAGCTGCACCTCCGAGAAGATATCAGACGGACTGATGGGGAAGGCCGTATCGATGGGCACGGGGAAATGGCACTCATAACGCATCGCTTCTAAAACTGATCATCGGAGTTCCGTTAGTGACTTCACTTTTCAATCGAGGTCAAGAGATTACACACAGTTGGCCAGATATCCTTGGGTGCTTGTCCGGTTGTAGCAGTTACTGCAGGTGTCGATGTGGTTGTCGGCGAATTGCCCTGTGGCGCAATAGGCCCGCAGGTTGTTCTGATTCGGATGCAGCAGCTCAAACTCGAATACGGGACTCAACCCAAGGCACGACACCAGACAAGGCGTCGAGACCGTGTCCACATCCTCCGGATACCCGTAGACACAGGTATCGAATGCAAATCGGAGGTTATCTGGGCGCGATTCACGGTTAGCGCCCAAGCAAATTGCACATACCGGGGGTAAGACTTACAAAGACCCCAACTGAAGTCACTGATCTGGGTTTTAGTATCGGTGTAATTACTCTGTAGTTCACAAGACACGCATTCTTGGAATTTCCGGCCGGTATCGGTGGTGTTGTACGACTCGTCCAGACAGACGATTTCGGAGGACGTGGTGTTGGTCGGATTGCTACAGACGTCATAGCACGGTGACCCGTATGTGGCGTACAGAGCCGCGACCGGTGAAGCCAGGTAGGTCAATAACAGCAACAGTGCTGCTGCTGCTGCTGCCCAGGTGGACGTAGATCTAGGGCTCGGGCCCCGCGATTCAGACATCATGCTGGGCTCTTGGTACTGGATCGCTGGATCGCCCTTGTGGTCTGGACGGCCGATTACCGGTCTACCTTACAGCCAAACAAATGGAGATGCTGAGTGCCGGGAGGTCGACCGATCCAGCATCGAACTCACCGCACGGCAGAGGGGAGAGATAGTGACAGGAAGTGGAAGGATTCAAGAACCGAGAGCAAAGATGGGGAAGAGCGTGCACCGGGCACGGGGGGAGACGAAGGGTAGAAATGGCGATGCGGATCCCAGGAGGCAAGACAAGCTCTTCGGTTGGACGGCATGGATCGAAGTCATGATGGGATTGATAAAAGGTACTGACTGGCGATGAGGAGAACCACCGTTCCGTGCCGGATCACCATGCGTTGGTTGGTAGCGCTGGCTCACTGGCTATAGCTGAATGAGTATGGCCAGGTTGAACCAGGATGGGCAAAAACCACCTCCGGTTGATCTGGGCGCTAAGTAGCGCTCTCCAAGCCAGGCAGTGGGATAAATCGGGGGGGAAGTGATCACCGTGTGATGGGACGACTGTGACTGTGACATGTAGTGCAGAAGCTTGCAGTCCCGGGAAAGTGTATGATCCAGTGGGATTAGCCAGCACTGCACCTATAAGCACTTCATCTGCCTCTCAGCTTGCGGGGTTCGGCGCTTGCAGACAGCCTCACATTGGACAAAATACAGCTTGCCATAACATGCATTCACTGAATCCTCTTTGCTTCCAACCATGGCTGGCTTTGTCCGGAGGGTGTGATCGGTAAATTGGATCGGATCGATTATTGTTCTCCGCCGGAAATGCGACCTGGAGGCCCGGGAGAGACCACCCCTCCTCACGCACGATAGCCACCCCGAACAATAGTAGGCAAGAATATTAAAACGCCTCCCAAGCAGACAAGCAGAAGCAAACAACTAATTACACAACGCCACAATGCAGGTTTAATCGGCGGAATAACCCCCCCGCGAGCCATAACATATGCCTCTCAACCAGCGAGAAATAGAGTCATGCCAGTCCAATTTGGCGCTCGCTATCAGTCCTGGAGTGTGGCCCAAAAACAAAAAAAAAAAAAAAAAAAAAAAAAAAAAA